CATCGATGATACAACCATTTTTATCGAGTCACATATCTCGACCGGTTACGCAATACCATTAACCGATCGCGATATGGCACCGCGACCCAAATCCGCCGTCACCGTGAAATCATATACATTTGAGACGAAATTGTGCCGTTAAACGATCGCGTCGGTACTATGGGCCGACGATTCGCGCCTATTTCAGTTTTAAAGCGGGTTTCGCGGTGGTACAAAAGTGCGTGCACGCGGCAACACGACGCGGCCATTGAATTACGCGAAACCGGTGGGCGGGCTACGTTCAGGGTTGGCCAGTAAACAACTACGCTTCCAACGATTACTGTAATTAATTATGGAAGTAATCATAGTAATCGTAATCGTAGCATGGAGTTTTGCTCCTTTAGACTGATAAATAAATAGAAATTGCACGATGAAGCGAATCGACGGCCACTTTCTCGACGCCGATCCTGTCGTACGAAACGACACCTGATAGAGCGTGTAACAATGCTTCCTCCGTTATGCGGATTCCCACGGCGCCTAATCCCTGGCACAGTGAAAGCACTCGGACAGCCAGTCATTCAGCGTTTTCTGCCGGCTGATTTTGAATACTAATCCCCTTTTCTCGCGGATCGTCCATTCGAAAGCTGGTCAGGCAGCTGTAATACAAGAGAATTTTAAGATTTTAGTCTGAATGATTTTCTCTTCTCAAATTTTTTAAAAGCCTCGAAAGATAAACAAACTCTCCGCGTACGACCTCTTCCACTCGAAGCTCGGTATTCGAAAATGGCTGCTGCCGCGAAGACTCGCCGAACTGCGGATGTGGTCGACCTCGACCACGTTCACGTTCACGAACTGAAAATTCAAAACAACACGATGATTACACGCCGAGGTATGCGGATGAATTCCAGTCCTGACTTTTGCAGAGAGAAAAAGAAATCAGCTGATAGGATTAATGGAACATGATTCGAACCCGAATCCTCGCTGAATCCTTGCTCCAACCATCGAGATCCATTTAGGATTCCTCAGTTTTATATTTCGATAACTACCTCTTAGCTTGATACGTTTCTTTTACTATCTTGCACCTCGTTAATGGACTCTTTTAACACTAGATTGCCCAAGGAAGTCATTTTGACTGCTTTTTAATTTCAATTAGAAAAACAATTATTATAATGACACAATTTCTTAGAATTTTGTGACTCTTTGTACAACTTATAAATGAGTTTATTAATAATTGTAGTTCCCTCCCCCCTCCTTCATTTCCGGTATATATATATATATATAATTTACTCAATTCAATAATAAGAGTCATTTGATTATTAAATTGAGTAAATTGACACATGATAACATACAAGTACGTGATAAATTGTCGATTTGGGCGTATGCTTGATAAGTTGCAGTTTCCCAATAAGCTAAAGTAGTACTTGTTAGTTGTAACTAAATTCATAATATTAAAAATTAATTTTAAACAAATTTCTTTACACATTAGTTATTCTTTCACAATACAGTCATTTTGACTGCTTTTGGGCAATATAGGTATATACTAAATTTCAGTCTTTCTAGTGTTAAGGGAGTAAATATTTGCGAATCTGAAAATTGGCAATGGTATTATTATACGTACTACTTAGACAAGACTTCCTCCTATTTGAATAGTATTGCTTCTCTTTTAGAGATCTATGGTACCAAACCAGACTATAGGAAGGGTTGATATAAATCAAAGTCAGACAGTTTCAGTCTTTCTAGTGTTAAAGGAGTAAATATTTGGGAATCAGAAAATTGGCAATGGCACTATTATACGTACTACTTAGACAAGACTTCCTCCTATTTGAATAGTACTGCTTCTCTTTTAGAGATCTATGGTACCAAACCAGACTATAGGAAGGGTTGATATAAATCAAATTGGTTTAGTTATCTAGAACAATGACGTTATAAATAACGATCTATATTAACTGTGTTACGTATGATATTCTCAGCTGGTTCGAGCAAGTCATAAAGCCAGAAACAATCGTTGTAGCGAGACAGTCTGCACGTGGGAAGGCACGCGGCCCAAGAATTTAACACGAGCCAAGGGCGCCGATTAGGGCCTCACACACACGCATAGATTACGTCGTAATTAAATATCGTACGATCGTTAATTATCGTCCCATGGGAAATTGTCCTATCTTTATCTTTACGATCGTTACGCGCCAAGGCGTATATGCGATGCGTCGCGCACAAACGAATTCCATAGAGGCGCGTCGGTCGAACAATTTATGGCTTTTATGGACGAAATATCCCGCTAAGCCCGCATCGACGGACGCGCGAGCTTTTATTCAACACCTGGTAGTAAGCGGCAGCGTGCGCGACCGTACGTACGTAGCCATCCAATCAAATAGGTTTCTCTTGGAGCAAATTCAGAATTTCACATTCCTCGCACATAACTATGCAAAAAACCGAGCTGCCTTCATAGTTTCTCTCTTTGCCCGGAGCCGCCACGCACACGGTACAGTACACGTTGCCTCCAAGGGTTTTCAACGGAACAGGAAGCCTCCATCTTGTTTTTTATGCGCGACGCTCAGGTCGAAGAAATTAAAAGGATGCAACTACTATCCAGGATGATCGTTTGGTCCATGTTTAAAACCTTAACAATATAAGTTGCATACGTATTTGTCAGCCATCTTGAGTCCACAATTATTTGTAAATAAACAGCACAATTTGAACTATAGTCTTGGAGGATTCTGATGTTTCTTGAGAGCTTATCCATTAACGTAGCAGCGTAGAAAGGGTCCGTTGGAATGTCAAAAGGCTACCACTGGTTGAACGTATACACGTATCGGTGTACGAAAGTGTCCTAGAATCGAGAATAGCACAGCACTAAAGTATGGAAAAAGTGTGTCGTGGGCATAGGTTCGAAAATGAATTCTGTTTACCATAAGTGAAGTGCAATTCTCTCTGCGTCGGTTGTGCAAGCGTATGCAAATGTGCAATCTTCTGATTCAACTTGCCGGGACTTTTTCCCCCGCGAGAGATATTTCGAGAAATTCTGCCGTGTTCGTTTGCAATAAATGATAATGTGGCCAGGCGGGCACAACAGCGGGCAGAGAATATGTAATCATCGGGAAGAGTTTTCGCGCGACGCCATCGCGGCACCGTTTAAATCCAAGCGCTTTCAACATCGTGTATCCTGTAAAAATAAACGGGGAGAAAAAAAAAGTTAAAAGAATTCCGTGTCGTTGATGATAATTCTTCCGACGAGCAGAATCGCCTAAATTGCTGGCGATACTGGAACAGAAAGTCGCTTTCATTCGAGCAATTAAAAACTCGTTTTTAGACTCGTGCGTACGAGACGGCCAGCAACGATGTCCAAAAAAATTTCGTTCGTATTCTACGTTACCGGAGTCAGGAAACAAATATAATAATTTGTCTGGTTTCTACGTAACAACGAGTAATATATTCTCGTATCAAATTACGAGAAGAAACTTTAACAAATATTTATGGATTTTATTTATAGATTTTATGTGTCCCCGGGGAAGCCTGTAAGTACGTGCTTAAAACCTTGAATGTTAAACAAAGTTATGTGAGCTTTGCTCGTATCTATTACGATCACTTTTTGATGATTTCGAAGTGGACGTAAATATCATTAGTGAACGTGGATGTAATTAAAAATGCAGAAGTGCACGGTGTAATTAGAAATCAACAGAGAGTTGATTACTATGAAGTAATTGAAGAATTTCATTCCTTTGGGTATTAATTATGAAAAGTATAATAACTTGTAACTGTACAATTATTTTACTTTAAATTCATCTTTTAGTTTCTTAACATTCTTGGTCTTATACGTGGCTCATCGTTAGACTGCGGATCTTTATGTAAATTCATATTTTTATAGAATTAATGAAATGGGAGCTTTGTAGAGGGTTGTCTTAACACCTAAATATAATAATTCGTATGTTACTTTAAGTATTTCTCATATCTTTGCATATTAAGTGCTCTCTGTAGTTTCTTCAGAATTACAATTTTCCATAAATGCATAAACATCCGCAGTCTACTCGTCGTTTTAGAAATACATCCGCTATTAAACTACTAAGCTTAGGAGCATCAGAATTCTTCAAGAGATATTTCAAGATCCTGTCCAAATATTTTTGGGGTTCCGTACACTCTTAGTCTAAAGAATCAATGGGAAGACAGTTTATACCTATGCGACCTCGAGACACCTCGCTGGCCGAGGGTGCATGACTTTCGTCAATTTCCCATTCAATCCTCGACCCAGTCATAAATTCCCCGCTAAGCTATTGGGTAGAGTCATAAGTTACTGTCGGTTCAGGCAGTGGATCATAAACTTTTTTAGGGAATTCCAAATGACTCGCAGTTTCCCTTCGTCGTTGCGTTTATCTTATTTCAGAGGGTTCAGCGGTCCAACAGCAGTATTAGCGCAACTTTTACTGAAACAAATATGAAACAGATTAAATTCTTTATTTACAAAAACACAATGAAGAGTAAAAAGAAAAATAGTTATAAAAAACCACCGTTCCTTTTGGTCCATAATTAAGGGATGCAATCTTGCTTCCGGATTCGTGTTTGGGACGAGGAACTCTATCAGGCGAATATTACAGAATAGAAAGATTTTACTTTGTTGGATGGTGTATTTATCGTCACCATAGTACCCGGGAATCGCACCTTCGTAGTGGCCAAAGTTCGATAAATGGATGGCACGCGAAAGGAATTCCCGACATGTCTGGCGAGCGAATTAGGCTCATTGGAATTTCACTTTGGTTACAAGCTGGCTTTCGTGCCGCCAAGTATGGTCCCCATGACCCGGTAGCCGGATACGATACGCGACGTGCAACTATCGCCTGTCTCCAGTCATTAAGTGATTAAACACCGTACTGCCTTCGACAAAGCGTTTATGACATCGTCGGGTCCCGTTCCGAGCCGAATAAGCGGTCAACGAGACAGATCGCGTGGATCGCGACGAGAAGCAACTGTTTCTAATCGTTCGCGGACGCGTCGATGACTTCTTCAAGCCTGGATTTAATTGCTTGTTTCAGATAAGAACTAAACGAAAATCGGCCACAATGCCGTACTACAACAGCGGCCACAGTCCCTCCACTTATAAAGGTAATAATGGCGGAACGGTCTGGCCTTGGATAATTTTATATTCGAACAGTTTCAATATATAAATAAATAATCGAGTTAAACGCGAGTTAAATCGAGTCTTACAAATCATCCAACACTTCCGTAATAAAGCACAAATTGAAAATACTCTTTCTGCAAAGACAGCTGAACAATTAAACCATTAAAATTGTTGTAACTAGGGGACAAGATAAAACGTAACAAATGTTGACACGCGATTGAATGTATGCCTGATTATGCTCACATTTTATGAAACTCTCTACAAGAGTGTAAACACAATATGTACATATTATGTAAATGTGTGCTTACGGAGGATGGGCGCGACTATGTTTACTCGAGGAAAAGATTTCGATTAGATCATGGCAAATATGTCTATTAACTGAGGAGCTCCGGTAACAACACATTTCCGCTATTATTTTGTTATTAATGTGTAGCAAATATTATATAATTTTAAACGTTGAGATGGTAGAATTTCATGTGTCTATAATATTACAGTAAAAAATGCTACATATTAATTTCACATAAATGTCTTTGCCAAATTTCAAAACTTTCCTGTTTCCACCTGTTCGGTCTTCGTTGACCGAGCTAATCGTACCGTTTGCGTCCCACATTCCACGGCGCCAAAGAGCAACGTGCAAATCAGGTTGCTGAAATATCAGACATGTTGCTCGACGAACTCGCGATAATGAAATTAATGGGAATCGCGGTGCATCCAGATGGAGGATCCAGTGGGCCATCGAGCACATCGGGCGGCCGAGTCAGTAGCTCCGAGCCGACGTACATGATGGAGCATTTGGCCACATTCACGGTCACGAAGGAAACCGGTATTGTTTATCCAGCGGACGGTATGCGGCGACTTCTGCAGTTGGAGAAGAGTAACGGCATTTGGAGCCAAAAGATGCAGCTCCGTCTGGAACGGAACTGGGTCCTGATCATGGACAACGAGACAGGGGTAATAGATCCTTGACACAGCATAATTATCATTTCCAAGCTAAAAACAGAGAAACTTACATGACTATACAGGATGTTCATTGTAACGGTCACTACGATTTCTTTGGACACTTCTGATAATCTGACAGAGTAAACTGACAGCCATGTGTACTTTCCATTTCTAGAGATACATTCGACGTGCATCGTTACAAAGATTGTCCTTAATTGTCAGATTGTCGAAAGCGCCCAACGGATCAGAAGCGTTTTTTTAAATAAAACTTGAAATGAAAATTAGTAAATTAAGTAATTCCTGAAGCGTGTTCTCGTTTTGTTCCGATGTGTACGCGCGATGAAAGATTTATTTAAAAGACCGAAGGGTGCTCGAGACTTTTGAACAGCAATGTATAACGTGCGACGACATTACGAAGTAGAACGTTTGTGAAATTACACAGCCGCCCAAGAGTTTGAGGCAGTTTTCACTTAATGCATCGTTGATAAATTCGTATGCAGGCCGTCATGGAGCGATTCCCAGCCTCGTTGATACAGGAACCGACCGCATTCACGTCGAGGGACCCTATGGAGATGTATAACAACATTCTCGTCTTCACAGTGGCGGATGACAGCGGTTCCGGTCAGCGAGCAGAGATGCATATATTCCAGTGTCAAAGCGTCTCGGCCCAGGACCTCGTCGAGGACTTGAAAATGTTGCAGATGGGTAAACTGGTGCCTGGTGGTTCACCGAGGGGTCCTAGGGGACGTATACCTCCGCCACCGACATTGCCACCGCCGGAACCACCCTTGAACGGGGTGAACGTCCGGGAACAAGTGTCCGCCTTCAACGCTAACAATGGTAAATGACTTCTGTAAAAGCAGGGATAATATCCGCTCCTGAAACAAAAATTAATTTCTGTTAGTAAACGCTATATTTTGTTTTAAACAGCGGACGGCCAGAACGACATATCTCGCGAAGAGAACAACGACGAGGTCTCCTCGACGTCCTCGGAGAAGTACGAACGCGACGTGACGATCCTCAACCATTGCTTCGACGACATCGAGAAGTTTATCGCGCGTCTGCAGCACGCCGCGGCCGCGTCCAAGGAGCTGGAGCGCCGCAGACGCAACCGGAAGTCGAAGAAGAGAAACCTGGGCGACGGTATGCTGACGCTAAGGGCGAAACCGCCGCTGGAGATGGAGTTCATCGACATCTTCCAGAAGTTCAAGCTCTCGTTCAACTTGCTGGCCAAGCTCAAGGCCCACATCCACGATCCCAACGCCCCCGAGCTAGTCCACTTCCTCTTCACGCCTCTGGCTCTCATCGTGGACGCGTCCCGCGACACCAACTACGATCCCAATCTGCCCAGCAAAGTGGTGTCGCCGTTGTTGACCAGAGAGGCGGTCAATCTGCTGATCAACTGCGTGACCAGCAAAGAGACCGAGCTGTGGCACTCTCTGGGCGACACATGGCTGATACCGCGCGACCAATGGAAAGGACACGTGCCACCGTATCATCCCATCTTCGTGGACGGTTGGTCACCCGAGTACCCGATACCCGAGGACAGAGACCACGATCATTTAGCCTCGCTACTAAACGCTGACAAACAAAAGAGGGACGAGCTGCCCGAGCAACAGAACGATCCTTACTACAATCACCGGGAGGTGGACGAGTCGCATTACAGCAGCGATTACTTGGAATACGAGAGCAGAGAGGAGCGCGGTGGCAACGAGTACTTCGACAGGAGTTACGGTACCACTTCTGAGCTCTATGGCAGGGAGGAGAGAGTGGTCGATCAGACGAGGGCCCACAGCGACATATCCGTCGACTCCATCGAGAGAACACCGAGGGTCGCCGGTATGGAACGGGCCCAGGAGGCCTGGCTGGACGACCTGATGGCCAGACACGCGAAGATCGTGCAGGTCACTTATCCCCGAACGGCGAACAACGACAAAGAGCTGACGGTCGTCAGGGGCGAGTATCTGGAGATACTCGACGACAGCCGGAAGTGGTGGAAGGCGAGGAATTCCAGGGGCCAGGTAGCGCACGTGCCGCACACCATCGTCACGCCCCACAATCCGTCCCATTCCGGCGAGAACGACGTTTTCAACAATCCTCTGTACACCAGCCGATATCCGCGACAGGGGCACGGCTACAATTACGAGGTGAGAGTTGTCGAGGACGTATCCGCGCGCCTCCGAGAAAACTAATTACAGTGGTAAAGATCCGCTCGAACGGCGAGATAATTGCCGTTGCGAAACTGTGCCGCTGGTAACGATTCGCGCGATCGAAGGGCCCAGCGATTGGAATCAGGTATCTCCGCTTTTCGATGAAAATAAGCGCGCTGAAATTCCACGCTCGATGGGAAGATCTTGCGGCAACGAGCACCGGCTGACTTTGTCATTTCGCTCCAAATCGGTCACTCTTTTTGTTCAAGCACGTTGCAGGTCATCTGAAAAGATAGAGTTTATGTTAGAGTTTAGAATTTAAATCGAGAATAAAGCAGGAGATTTTATTAGCTATCTGTAATATAGGAACCTAGATATACTCTGGACCCTTCAGTTAACTTAGAGCAGACTTTTAATGATTTTTACTTTTAAACATTTTAAATGTTATTTATGAAATTGTAGGATTCTGAAATTGAGAGAACCAGCACTAGTCCAGGCCCGGAAGCCACTCATCGGACACACGCGATTCCGCCACCGGCGCCTGCAGATTGGGTGAGGAAAGAGAGACTCGGGAAAAAAGGTGAATTCCGATACTTTTAAGCCATCTAGTGACTCAGGATCGTGTAATATTCTCCGTTGCTTGAATAGAATTACTTGGGCCGGGTGATAGAACCACTTCCGAGTAGCGATCTTTATCAGATCTATTAAAACAGGTCACCCACTGAGATAAAGTATGGAGATCTTCGAGGCTTCCATGGTCTACGTTCTGGCAATTGAAACTGTAGGGAGCTTCTTCCTTGCTCGGTATTGGAATTATTATCCAAGAGAACACAGTCTAGAAGCCTAGAAGTTAGTTTCAATTGCAAGATAAAGTACGCCACGCGGAGCATTAAAAATAATTCACCGAATACAATTAGCATCGTCGCGCAATAATATTATTATTTATAATCAGTGTCTATGTCGTGTTTGAACCTGCTGTACACGTCCAACCGAAGCATTCCATGATTTCTGACTCTATTTTTTTTTTTTTTTTTTTTCTTATGTCAATATCGTGTTTTTTCCATTTGTGTATATATATAAATATAAATATATAAAGAGGTATATGCGAGTAATATCTAGATCGAATCGTCAATATCGTTATCGTAAGAGGGGCATGGTAACCGGAGGAATTATACGTTCGAATGTTGTTAAACATTGTGGCTCCATTTTCCAAGTTCTTCGGCCCTGTCCAAAGTTTCGCTTTGTATGGACAATCCATACGGACACCGGGAAGAACTTCGAAAATAACACCGTAATACATAATTTATTTCGTCGCAAGGAATCGAACGTTCGTTCCTTTCTTTCTCGTACAGCTTAGAAGTACTAGCGATAAGACAATGACTTTATCAGATACACAGCTCCGCGATCGAGAAATGCAATTAAACGCTGGATAAACGTGGCACCGTTAAACGTGCAACGAGCATTGAAACGCGTTTCACAGCGGCAGATTGATATTTCTATCGCGCGTTTATTTAACGACACAAATATATAAACTGACACGTTATATACGCTCGAAATCAACTGGTATCATTTCATTATCGGTTAGGAGTCTTCGAGTTCATTTTAACACCGTACCTTTTGTTAGTGACCATAAGGACGATACCATATTTTTTTATATTTATCGACTAACCAAATCTTAGTATATATATATATATATACATACTTAACAGGAGAGAACGATATGTATAGTTTTCTATTAAAAATGTAACGTAAAGCGTAAAAAGTCGTGGGTTGGTTAAGTTAATGGGCTCGTTATCGAGCCCGAGAAACGTACTGCAAAAGGAGTTACAAAGAATGGCACCCGATAGTGAAAATAACGTCTTGCACAAAAAATTCTAATCGTTAAATCTGGAATTCCATGCCGGGGCATTCTCTTCAGCTCTCTACTATACGAATGCATATTTCTGTGCGTTTCTGCTAGGACTATAGGGAAGTCACTGTGTCCGTCCATTATTCCGTATTATACTCGGCTTCGTTCTGAGAAAAAGCATTAGCGGTGTCGGATTAAAGCTATTGACAATTGGCACGTCACCCTTCCGCAACAAAGGAACAATCAAAAGCTCGATTCCCGCGCGATCAAATTCGCCGATAAACGCATTCACTCTCGTGACTCATTTCTTTATTTATCAATGGCTTTGATCGACCGGCGCAAATCTTTCTCTCGATGCTTGTACGTGTCGTCGTATGTGTCTGCACGCATCAGTGTAAGTAAGCTTGTACAAACACGCGAGGAGAACGTTGGGAAAGAAGAATCGTCGGATTTTTGCGATTCCAATCGCGTGACTGAACACATCCGCCAAGTTCGCCCTCCTCCTTTCAATTTTAATGAATTTTTGCAGGTTTCTAGAACGATCACAAAGAAGGGGTATGTTTTATCAGAAGCATTGAACTTAAGTTTGAGTTGTAAATTATTGAACGTGTCGAAATCAAGGCCGACTACTTCGCGGATGTTCATTCTGAAATCAGAGATGGGCGAAATTCTTATCCGGGTACAAAGAATATAGCGAATAAAAATTAAATTTCAGTCATAATTACATAATAATTTAACTGGTAACGAAGTCAATTATCTATTACGTGTTAGTTGTGATTTTTATCTAGATAAGGATTTTACCCATCTTTGTCACGCGACCGCTGCTTTGCGGTAAAAAATCTCGACTTTAGCTTTTCAGGATTCGTCCATCAGTCAAGATGCGTGTTCACGTAATATCGAGTCAACATTTATTATCCTGACGGATATCACGTTTGTCGTGAAAATCAGGTCATTATTTAATTTAAAATTTGTCGTAGTACTTATTTTTCTAACCTCGTCGAAACTCAAGGGTCCAGATTCATTTTTCTTAACATCCATAAGAATTCATTTTTGTAGATCCTGATTGAAAAGTACTGTCATTTATATGTACATGGGTGTTGTGGCGATCCAATTATGTCTACAAGCCTCGTATTTGATTAATCGGCGAATTTTCAACGAGCTTCGCCAGACTTCATTCCAACGTTCACAGTATCGAGAAATGAAAACCCTACAAAATGTTATCGATGACAAAAACTAAATAGAATCGGTGAGAGAACGCAATGTTCTTGTTGACCTACATATCGCATGCAAAATAGAAGATGGCTTGTCACGTGGGTATAGATGGATCTCGAAACCGTGCAAACACATCAGCAGAAAATGTTACACTGTCATGGCTTTAAAATGCTTCGACTCGAATATCATGTGAACACGCACCTTTGGTTTTGCGCCGTCAACCGAATAAGGAGAAAGCAAAAATGGGAAACGAACTGCGTATTGATGAATGAGCGTGACTGTGCCGCTTTCTTGTTGCGTAAACATTCGTGGAAACACGTCCAACAGAGGGCGCGCGATTGCCGGTACGCGTGCTCGATCTATTTTTGTACGATTGGATTATTTATGTATAGAATGATCCGTACGAAGATGACGAATCTGTATAAATTGCGATTGTCTCGATAGCTTGAAAGAATGTTAGAGACGTTCAGGCAGGCTCGTTCGTTTAAATAGAACGTTATACTTACCCCGCAGGGTAACACTTATTTTTACGAGTTCAATGACCTGTAACGCATGGGCTCCCAAGGTCATTCGACCACACGTACTTGTGGCAAGGAATATTCACGAGGCGTCTTTTTCTCAACAGAGTCTATCATTCCCCTGTCTTGAATCGATAATTGTATTATTAATGCAACAAGTCGATAGCACTCGACACCTGTATATGTATAGTGCTAAGCAGGCTTGTTGTTACTGTCTCATATAGATTAATTTTCAAATCCACATTACCATGACAGGAGCGGATCCAAAAAGCTTGCTGGAGGAGGGGCGAGATATGTAAAAATATATTTCTGAATTTATGAAACGAATAATAATTATATTTTCTAAAGATTTCATGGTTCTTGGATCCACCCCTGGTACTCGAACTGTTCAACAATGTCGTACAAATGTAAACATATCAATTTTTATTGTCGAAGAGGTAAAAATCTAAACAGTTAACGATACCTTCAATTCAGGTGTCTGAAACCACCTCAACGCCTTCGTTTCCCTTTTTTCTTACAACTCTTAATTGTATTATAGTAATCTTATTGAAATCTTCCACGAGGACATACCGCAATATAAAATATACAGGATCGCGTAATCTCTACTGTACTCTCTTCTCCAGCGAGTGAAACTCTTTAAAACTCTTTGTTTGTTTTGTGTCCACGGGATGGGGGTACGATCCGTCCAGTATTTCGTTGCACTGTAATTTATGTACATCACTTATTAAAATAAATATACTCGGTTACAGATAGTAGGCGTTTCCGCATTAAATATATTCTCGTCCTACCCCACTGATAGAATAGACACTTTTTCTTGCTTCAAATCGCAAGACAATATTTTCATATCACAAATATATGAAACGCTTATGCGCGCATCGGTATCCTTGCGTTTACTATTGTTGATGTTTTCGTCGGTAATGTTCCTGTCGTGCTGTTACGTTTGCTTGAGGTGTGCTTCTTGGTGTGATCGTCCATTGGAAAAAAAGTGTCCGCCGTCTTTATTCACCAAACGCATTAGGGTAAGTTTATCTTAACGCTTATGGTATTCGATATTTAATTACAATACGGTACTTTGACTCGTTACGCAAATGAATACACTCTATATCGAGATTACTTGTTGCAGATGAGTCTACTGAAACGTCACCTACCAGTAGCAAGGTAATATCCTCGGTCGGGACCGACACCAACTTAGACACACCACCAACCCCCCTCGTCGAAAATCGGAAATTTATGTTCGAGAACAAATCAATCGAGGTAGCTCAAGTTCATCCACCACCTGCTAACGTGTCTGTGAAGGTGGCTCCTAAATCATCAACATCACCACCACCACCACCGCCTCCACCACCTCCAACTCCAACTCCAACTCTGCAAAGTCAGTCATCTGTCTCATCTACCAGCTCAAGCAGAACAGGAACTCAGAAAAGCAACAAGTCTACCTTTGGTAAAATTGTAGTACTTTCATTCCTTACAATAGATACTTGAACGTCTTATATTTTTAAGGGCCTCAAAGTCAGGATCAAATGCACCAGGAACTGAAATTCGTCCTGAACATCTACCGCGAGAAGAAACAAAACGTCAAAGACATCTCGGGTCCCGACGTTATTTTGGATCAATTTTCATCTCCCAGTGAAGTGCACAACTGGCTGATGGTTAAAGGATTTTCAGAAAAGTATGATAGAATTGTGTAATGTATTCTGTAATGCAGTATGAGTCACAAAATCTTAAAAGTATAAGTGTAAGGAAAGTGGATCAACAAGCATGGGAATTTGAAAACTACTTGTCTATATAAATACATCTTGTACGAAAAAAAAACGATAAAATTCATATATCTACTTCTAGGACTTGCAAACAGTTGAGGGATATGACTGGTTCGGATATATTTGATCTAACTAGACGACAAATGGATCACTACTGCGGCGCAGGAGAAGGCTCTAGACTCTACAGCCAAATTACATTATTACGAACTGAAACCGAGGTGAGCTATGAAAATAAAATCGCTGGAGACGCGAATATCTAAAGTTTCTCGTTATTTGTATTTGCAGAAGAAGAGTTCTCGAAAATCGGAATTGAAGGGAATATTGGAAAAAGCTCGTCACAGAGCAGAACAATAGAACGTCTATAAAATACTCTCCATAAATTAAAGAAACAAAATATAAATGATATCATTCACAGAATGTATGTAGGGATACGTAGACGTACTGAGAAATATAAAGTATTATGTTATATTTATTACTAACTGACAGTGGCACGATTGTTCTCTTTCATGACATTCTGTGATGATTTTATCAAAATGTGAGCAATATCACGCACATTGTAACGAGACGTTCTTACATCTGAACGTTCGAATGAGATTCTATGATTTAATTTTATGATGTACAAATATTTCAAGTGGTAACGATAAAATGTTTTATTAGATATAAACGAATGTGTCTTTCGAATCGCGTAAAATGAAAACTGATTATTTTTTTCTCTGAAAGTAGAAGAAATAAAGACGGTAGAACAATTTTTTGTCGTTAAAATGATAAAAAGAGGCTTAACCCTGTCGATTCAATATTGATGTCAAGTTTTTATTTCAAGCGATCACATACATTGTAACAGACATAAATAGGTACTCTAGCTGTATATCACTTATTATATCGATACACTATACATTTCTTTCGAATACTCGACTTGAGGTCACGCAACGTGAACACATTGATAATTATATTTTTATAAAGGTAAATCTGTTTGCCAAGCCTCCGCGTGTGCGATCAACGAATTCCCATGGAAACCCTTCTATGCAAAACGCGGATTTATTATAATGGCGAACGGGTACAAAAATCCTCGTTATCAAAGACGGCGAATGTTACTTTTACCAAAGAAAAACAAACTATAATTATGTATCTTCAGCGAATGTAACATGCAAGATAAAGACTCAATAAATTGTTAATAGTCTATAAACGGTAAAAACGAACGGTGATAACATTTTCTCAACAAACTGTAATACTTCGGACGAAACAAAACCGCTTCTCGATTAAACAGGCTTCAAGCAGTCTTATATAATCACACACATCCAGCTATGTAATTATTCAAAGACAACAATGCATCGTGGGAAACAGTGGAGTCGTTTCGATAAAATAACTGCGGTCAATAGCCTAGAGATCTAGCCTAAATTATGTCAAATAATTAAACGTCATATTTTTTTTTTAAATCCCTAATATAACCCATTTCGCGTATAGAAACTCTTAGAAACGCTTATGAAATTTCAATACAAAATCTACTAGGAAAACTCTCGGATATCTCATCTAAATGCGATCAAAAAATCTCGTCCCAAAAGTGTATCACGACGTTCACAATAGTGTAAATTCCATATTACAACTGTTACAATGGTAGCCAAAGTTTTGGTCGTTTACGAGTAGCTCAGACAAGCCGTACGTTGTTCATAAAACTTCGGTCTCGTTCATCTTACACGATAGTGAGTACGTGATGGATATTTATTATGCGATGATTATTATTGTTAATATCATTACTCTTAACGTTATTACCATTAAAACCATTACCGGTAAAATTACTTTCGCAGACGAGTGTGTTAACAGTGCGTATCTCAAGGATTTAATAAAAATAACAGTGTTCAACTTTCGCAAACTAAAGTTAAAAAAAAAGATAGAAGGAAAATCAAATCTTCGTAGCACGTTAAAATTCGGAATGTAGGATTAGGTCGATAAGAAATTAAAAAAAAAAAAAAAGACTTCAATTCGATCGAACTAAACGGTGTCAAGTGTCTGCTTTTACGGTAAATTCTGTAGCCAGAATTGTGAGCAACAAGTGTGCGTTCTGTCTAATGCATCGCATTAATTTTTCACTTCCGGCATAGGCAGTTGGTTAATCTAGAATTTTAGCGGCCTTGTGTCTCTTTATTTAAAGATTTGTGCGTCGTAATTCAGTTAATGTTCCTACGTGCTATCGTTCACGTGCTAGGCATTTTTGAAGATCTTGCGGACCACGCTGAACATTTTCGAACGTTCGAATGTTTCGATAAACGTTCAGAGCAGAACGCAGAGTCGAAACGGAACATTACAGTTTTAATGTCGTTGCGTAACATTAGAACGTGACGAAAAACAGAACAATCGCTGTTCGATAACAGATCGGCTCTTAAGATTAAACTTACAATGCGTCGATTTTAATGCTAAACGTATCGATAGTGTATATAAAATGTATCGCGTTATGCCCATGAGATGATCGCATGCTGGGGAAACCTTGATTGGTCGAAAGCAAAATAGATTCCGTATGTAATATTTACACCGGCCATGTAATATTTACATCACCGTATATGATCGACGGTAACCGATGACACCCGGTGATCTCATTGAGCGTCGGCGTTGCAAATAATCGCACGATACAGAACGAAAGTCATAACAATAACTAACAACAGTTTAATGTACAACTTATGATTCGTGAACGATAACGTTTTACTAATAATCGCGGTACGAACACCGCGGTCATCGAGGATTGCTCTACAGATGCAAACGTATTTTCTGGAGTAATATGTATATGCGTATGCAATAAATAAGTAGCTCATAAGCTTGACCTTGGAGTATTTTCCATCTCGTCGTTTTAAACATTTCTTTTTTTAATGAGAAAAAAAGAAACAAATATAATAAAATTATAACACGCAGTAAAAATTCCAATTGCACAAGTTCAAACTATTGCGTAACTGTATTTAACAATGGTGATCGTCTTTGGAACAAAAATACTAAACGTTTGTGTACTAAGCGCGTTCGTATCAATTGCTCTTATTAATTGTAAATACAGTTACACGAGCATTCGAGTTACTATTCACGTAGAGCACAATCAAAAGACTCACGTACCAACACACAATGAACGACCCAGCTACACGAACGAGTTCTTTCGTCTATTGCACGCAAAAGTCCATCGTCGAAGAAACGCGAACCACGTGGAACGCGCCAACTGTCCAAGGTCAAAGAACGAAGCGCACGGATACACAGAGCGGCAATGAAACGATAATGAAGCGAGAAATGGAGCGACACACGAATATGAACGTACACTCTCTACTTAGCAGTGGCTTCCGAATCCTCCTTTAATGGAACAGACCTTGATACGACGGGAATATAACGTCAATTGCAAAACGAACTAAACTTAAAATCGTAATATTTGGTGAGTAGCGAACCTGAAAAGCGGGCTGACAATTCTCACGTGAAACAGAATTAAGGAAAAATGCGGATGCGTAATGTGTGTGTATGTGAATGAGAAGGAGGGTGATCAGGGGGAGAGGGATTTCCACCGTTCTTAGTAATAAAAAATCCCTATATGCAAAAGCGAACCTTGATCACTTTTTTTCATAAATTACCAAAAACCTCCTGCACTGCGACCACCCGGTGGATTGTTCACGCGGATACAGGCTCTTCTCGCCTCCTCTACGTCATCTGTGAAAAAACAACGCTTCCAATGCCGGTTTTTAGATTAAAACACGGGCTCGCGACTCAAACGGAAGCTTTTTAAATGACAGTGTATACACTTTCTCATGAAACAATGGAAAAAAATCATTATTCTTTCAATAATTCATGAAACTGATTATTCAAGAGTCTGACATTAGAGTTCTCATGTTTAAAAAAAACAACGAGTCATCGAAAGCTAGCGTTCAGGTGTTGATTTGCCCGCGTTAATTTGTTGCTTACCGCTGATGGAGAAAGTGGTGTCTTGCAAATTTCTTTGCCCTTCTAGTCGAGGACCTTTCGACGATGGCGTAACCACTGCCGAATCTGGTAACGTAGGTACGCAATCGGGCATCTTTATTTTCGGTTTCGGGCTCGGGGAACTGTTGTTCATCTGATGAGCCTTGGCTAGCGCCGCTGCTCTAGCCTGTTCCTTCGCCTTCGCAATGGCGGCGTCCTCCTCGGCGTATTTCTTCGCCTCGACGTCGTTCCGCACCACACCACGCGGTCTCTGAACAAACAACACTCAGTTTCACCCGATCTATAGGCATAATTGTCCGTTTACTTCATTCGCGTCTACTATCTTCGTTAAGTTTCACGATTATTTCCACTATATTTCATAACGAAGAGCTCATACCTTTTCCCTAATCTTTACCATATCATATACGTATTCGTTGTGGCATGGGGTCTCCACGAACTTTCCAAAACCGTGGACAGCCTTCAGTTCGTACTCGTCCACGCAGACGCGTCCTCCCACTATTACGTACTCTATTGCTCCTTCGATCTCCATTCCCTGAAACCGAGTACACCGATTATTCTTCGTTGAACTTAACAGAAACTATTCTAGAGACAGAGGATGATCGATGCATCGTGCGTTACCTAACCCAGACCTAACTGCTTTTCGACTCGACTAAGTACTTAAATATCAGCTCTACTTAACTTGTTTCCGGAAACGAGGCACTCGAAGATGCTAGAAACAGTATTATAAGGAATTATGAATACAGAGACGCCCATAGCGAGCATACGAGATAAAATCTAATCCCTGAACAAACACATTAAATCGAAACAGTAAATGGCCATCAAGGTATGAAGAATGTGGTATCATCGACATGTAGAAAAAATCGTACCTAATATTAATTAGACCTTTACCTCGAAGATGTTGAAGTCGACAGCCTGTACGTGAGTCTCGGCGGAGATCGTACGATCCTTGAACGGATTCAAGATGACGATATCGGCGTCTGAACCGACCGCTATCAATCCTTTCTTCGGGTACAAGTTGAAGATCTTCGCGGCGTTCGTGCTGGTCACTGCCACGAATCTCGCGGCGTCCATTGTTCCATTGTGGTAACCCTTTTGCCAGACGACCGACATTCTATCTTCGACGCCGTTCACGCCGTTCGGGATCTTCGAGAAGTCGTCTTTGCCCAGAGCCTTTTGGTCCGCGTTGAAGGTGCAATTGTCGCTACCAACGACCTGGAGGTAGTCTCTGACGAAAGAAAGAGTCGCGTCAACGCATCGTTAACGGGAAACGAAGCTCGGCAAGGACAAAGGTGAAACGTAAAAAGGTTTACCTTGACATCCGACAAGCTAAAAAAATAATATCGAAACCGTGAAACCGTATCAACGAATAAACGTCTGGAGCCGAACGCTGACCGTTTCAACAATCTTTGAACGAGTTTTCCTCTGCCCCGTTTAATTAAGTTTAATGCCGCTGGACGAGATAAAAGCAACTTCCCACGCCGGTGTCTATTAAAATTACGTTCAGTTACGCTAGGTATCGTGTGTGCCAATTCGTTCACGTAATTTATTGCCGTCAATTTGAATATTCGTGCCACGCGGACGCATGAACGGTGACGCAATAATGCGTAAATCTGGTTATCTCGGATCTCTCCATCGATCGTACGTCTAAATCGACCGGCGCGGCCCTCCGAGCTTTAACGGCGATAAAGAAAACCGAACGTTACGAAGCCAAAGATCGTTTGTACTTGATCCTTCGTTCCCACAGTTATTTCCATCCAAATGAAAAGGTGTCGAGAGACTCGAAATATTTTTTAGCTGGATTACTTACTTGACTAGGCTATCGGTTAGATACGCAGCCGTCAGGAAATCGGGTCTCAACGGCGGACTAGTAACGTAACGTCTCGCTTTTTCGATATCTTTCCCATATTGCACGCTACCGTCGACAGCCACGCTACATGCGAGAGTCTCCCCGAACACGATGACACCCTCGTATCTTTTCTCCGATATAACTTCGGCGGCGCTCTTGCTCATCACCGACGATACGTACAACGGGCAATTCACCTAAACGCAACATTTTTATCCTCTCACTGGTCTATTCATGGGGCAGAAAGTATTGGCCGCTCGAGGTCGCTGACCATCCTCCGTTATTACGTTTAACTACCCCATTGTTCCGTGTCCCGTGCCTCCGCCTAATGTTACGCAAATAATTTCATTAGACACGAATAAGGGTTTCAGCACGTTCGATTATGAGAATACCCCTTCCACTGTATAGGCTACGATAGAGAGACTCGACATTCGTGTCTCAACGATACAAAGTAGGGTGAGTGCCCCTGAACAGCCAAACTTTCTGCCCCGACCATTTCTTATTCTACGCTAGGGTTTGCACATCGGAATCAAGGGAAACGTGCTAGCTGCAAACAACAACGATCGCTGATACGAAAGAAATTAGGGCAAAGGAAAAGTAAAATTAACTGTAGCTACGATCAGCGTGCATGCAACGAGAATTTCGACAGAATTGCTAAATATAATTTCCGGACGCATGCAATATCGGAGAACGGTGCAGGTTGCGTGTACGTTCTAAGCGAGCCTAGATAAATTCGAATCGCCGTGGCCTGATGTTTCCGCCATCTTTTTTTTTCGGATGTCAAAGTCACCCCGAAGAACGATCGCGATCGCGATCGCGTCGACTCACTTGGCCAACATATTCAGGAGGATTTTAGGTGTGTCTGGATCTGGCCTCAGAGGTGGACTCAGAACGTGACCCGCGGCGTGTCTCCAACATTTGTGCGCATAGTTTGTGCCATCTGTGCCGACTGCGGCTGCCAAGGTCTCGCCGAAGACGCAAACGCCATTCACACGAGCAGCAATCAATGCCTCCGCGGCGCTACGACTCATCACATGCACTACATACAGTGGACAATTCACCTAAGCATGCAGAATTTCGATCTATACAGCATTAAATCAATAGTGGCTCGATCTTCGAGAAAAGGTCGACGGAAATGTGTCAGAAATACGCGAGGATGGTTCACCTAATTACGTTTCTTTTTACCTGAATCGATTCTTCCCACCATTATGCATAGTAGTGTTAAAGCATGACCACTGAGAACGCAATACTTTACAGGATATTTCGTATTCTATGCTAGGATATTACTTCATCCCAGCAGGTGCTGAAACCTTCCGTCATTAACGTTTAAACGTTTTATTATTCGCTTCCTCGCATTATTTATGACTTTCTTAACTCGTAACGGACGGGTCACGCAGATTTACGGTTCTCCCATCTCAGCTTTCTAAGACCGTTCGCGAATAGCTATTAATCTTATCATATTTGTGAGCAGTATTGGCCATGAAAGTAATGAAATTTTTACTAGCATCGATGTTTATTTGATAAGACCAGAGTATTTTTATTTAATTGCCTTAAAGAATGCCCGGAAACGGGACAATGTGGAGCAAGAATCGCCCGTTAAGTGGTAAGTTGTGTAGTGGTTACTCTCGTTGGGGGAGTTCCCCTACTGCCACCTAAATAGTTGTGAATCGTCTCGTTGGTCCGAGTATAGTCCCGGACAGCACCGTTATGTTCGTGAAATAAGTGAGAGAGGCAGAAATAATAAGCGATTGACCCAGACAGACGGTGATACTATGTTGGTGAACTTGAAATATCGAATTCCTATAACACGTATGTAAATGCTTATCTCCCTGATTTCGTGACACAAATAAAGTTCGCGTATTTTACATTGGAAAATCACAGAACATCCCCCCCATATTCTCCCGATTTAACACCGTCAGATTATCACTTCTAAATCGCATAGTAACCGAACTGGAATGTTATCCAATAGATAAAACAATGCAAGTTCCAAGAAATACCGATATCGGTGATAATTCAAGATGTTATCGATAAAAAAACATGGATCTGGTTATCTCTCCATAAAGTTGTTCGACTAAAATTTCTGTTACTCCGTATTTGTCCAAGAAAAAATTGGCAAGATCGTATTCTTTGTATTTTATCGCCCACGTGCGAAGTACTGCAAACATGAAATACGAAATATCTCGTACGGTATAACGTCTGCAATGATCGTACTTTAATAATTTTATGTACGTAACGGTGAGAAGAATCGATTTATGCAAAAAAATATTGTCTTCGTACCTTGTCCATTCAACTTTTATCTGAAATATTCCGACATCGAAGTGGTCATATTCTATCGTTTATCGGGTACTCTATTTCCAGCGAACCATCCTGTGCAATGATAAGCAAACGTAAATAATCATTCGTGAATAAAATAGAAAATGCACGCATTTAGTGTGGTTAAAGTCTCAGAAAGAAGCGGTACACAATTAATCGTACGTAAGAATAGTAATCATATTGAACAAATATAAAAGTCGATGTCTAAGACTGGCTTTTTTTACGTTCGACACGTGTTGAATATGGTCGTCACCGACTTACCTGGCTGGCTATAACGCACGCCCTATGTACAGCTTCGGCTTCGACTTCCTCGGGCCGTGACATTTCGTGGCCCTCCGGCCCTGTAACTCCAGCCTCGAGCAATCGTTTCGTGTTCTGAAACAATTCCAGATAATGCGGGCTACATCCGTCAGAAAATTCGTGAACTAAATCTGTTCGTACCAGGCAATCGCTCTAGGTGAAAACTTATCTGTCTAATGGAACTCCAAAAACAAAAAAAATAAGCAATAAACCCTAGACTAAACGTTTCATGATATTCAGCCATTCGTTTCCTAAGCTAAATTGAACCGTTCACTTGCCAAGTCGATTAACTCCACAAACATAAAGAAATCGATGAATAATATATGTATACTTCCTTTCAAAATTTGCATTTCCTTGTGTTAATTTATTGTGTCATTATTACCGAAGTTATTCTATGCAGAAAATTAGCGCATCATGTGGCCCAATTTTCCTAATTTTAGCACGCAAAAGATGCTTGACCCGCCATCGCTGCTTCAGAAGAAGATTCTTAATCGTTTCTAGCTCGTGGCGCAGGAAACAAACTTGGTACAGCTCTTAATTTTGAATCTATGTTGTAAGTTTGAGAATCACAATTTTATTAACGAATTATACCTCTGCAATAATATCGCCATTTTCGGCGTGGACCATGGCGATGGCTTCCAGCTCCTTGCACGCCTTGAACACCTCGATCAGTTCGTAGTCCCTGAGCATATACATGTCCCGGTAAGCCATGAACACCTTGAAGCTGTTGACCCCGTGTTCCTTCGCCAACGTCTCCATTTCCTCTTTGACCTGCAACAGCCAACCGTGAACATTAGAACGGGAGACTCGTATCCGAACGGAACGAATGGCAAGTCTGGCCAAGCGCCGGCAAATAAGGAGCACGATGAATTTACATGCATCCGTATGCCACACGCGCGATTTCCTCACCGATCGTTCGACACACCATTCACGATCCCGATTACAGTTACCAGCCACCGCCGTAGCAAACCCGTATCCAGCGATGGGAATGACAATGCATCAACACCATCGACACCGATCCGTAAATCAATGGTTCCCAAACTTTTACAGAAACATCCCCTCGAACACTATTTTTACCAAATGTTTCGTTTGTACATGAACTTGTCTCAAACAATGAACGATAAAATGTGCTATTCTTGATCTTTATCTATTGTTATATAATCTTTCTTGAAGATTCTGATCCCTGAATTTAAATTCCATTCAGGGACAATCTCACCAATTTTACGACGCGGCGAGTACATGACGCGAATATGGCGAAAGACAATACAAACGATGACGGAATCGGTCAGAAATGAAACGAGGCATGCAGGAGGCTCGATATTTCTTGGGTACACTTATTTCGATTACAATTGTGAATCTCGAGATTTTAACAGTTTTGTTGAATGAAAAAATATAAACAATATTTCGATTTTTCTTTTGCTAGGCCATATTAGGTATCTTTACCCTGTCTCTATCCATCAGATTCGTGCGATTTGCCAATTTGCCGGCAGATCTATCGCTTTTCCCATATTTAGAGACGTAGCTCGATCAACATCTAGGCCAGAGGCTCGCGCTCGTTTCAAGTCCAACGATCCAGCCAGAGAGATCTGTCCGTCGATCGATCGACGCTCGAAGTTTCTTGTATACGAATGGCCAATAATGACAGCAATCGATCCGTCAATGCCATTTTTTCTGTTAATTCGTGCGTAGATTTCGATCACCGGCGTTCGACAAAAGAAGCATTCGAGGTGGACCGTATACTGGTAATTTCCGATAGACGAATTACGTAAATTCCATTTACCAGCTGGCGTAATATGGTTTGTCATTAGGTTCGGTTCAATGTCGATGGGAAACACAATTGCACGAAAATGGCTACTCTTGGTACTCCGGGGAAAAAATATTTTTCACGTTACAATCCGTCTACGTCCTAAGAGGCTAGAAAACAATGGCTATTTAATCGACACGTGATGGGAAAGTTGCAATAAACGCGCTTGGAGATCGGATTGTCATAGCGAGTACGACTCACCTAATTAACGTGCTTCGTCCTCGTCTTCTTCCGATGTAATTATTCAAGAAATTGTTCAGAAAGTGTGTAGTCTAACAAAACGGAGGGATCGTAAAACTGTTAATAGCGTGTTCAGCGATAAATGGAGATCCAACGTCGATGGAAAGAAAAACGAATTGCAAAAGTCTGCGTGGAACCATAATGGAGGTAGAGACAGTATACTAGAATGGAACTGCATGAGTGCTTCTGATGCAGAGCGCTTAGAATACATTAACCGCATCATAAACCAAAATGTTTATTTATGTTTAAAGATAATTTGTGCGTTCGGTGCAACGGTGCATTCCAGCAAGATAGTAATCCATAGCACATTAATTCAAAATCTATTTTCATTTTTCATTTCCAATGTGTGGAACCACTGAGACCATAGAAACCATAAGACAACGGATTTTTAGTTTTACTAATTTGTAGAACGTAGAAAATGTGAACGTTGTTACAGTGCAGAAAAATTAATTGTATCCAAGTGTTTACACAACTGAGAATCCTCGTCGTGACTGCAGCTGGACTGTCACTACCGCCTTATACGAGCTTGATCCACCGTGTTATAAGAGGATTGTCGCAATTTCTTCATCGTGTTATGTAAGTCCATATTATGGTAGTTTAGATCGTGCGTGGATGTCCTATAACGATGTTATTTTTTGGAAACGGTCATTTCCACTGCACGTAAATGCATCCTTGGCGAACGTACAATTTAGTTATTTCTCTGTAGTAACAATTTTAGGCGCGTTTATTACAGCTTTCAAATGACACACACGCGAAACCTCTTTCGTACGAGTAGCAAGAAAGAGGTCAACGATGGGTATGCTTTCTTTTCTAGGAAGGACTCGTGTTACGGTAATTATCTAATTCCGGGCGACTAAATACACTGTGGAGGCGCGTGTGAACTGCATCGTGCGTGGCGCGATGACCTCGCATAACGCAGTCATTTCAACGTTCCTGGCAGATCTCGTTAATGTGCCCCAATGGTTACCGCCCAAGGTCTTTCTAGGGTTTCCAATATCGCGAGGAGGCCAGAACGAACACGTTCGAGGGTAGCAAATACCACAAATCCAATTAAAAAGTGTCTTACACAATAAGAACCATAGACGTAACGATTTATCCTAGGATAAGCAGTATACAGACTGTCTTCGACTTACTAGTAAACAAGTAATACGCATCGTAAGTAGAAATAGTAGTGCATGACTATGAGCACGGTTGTTATTAGCGGAAGATTCTTCCCAGGGAATACCAGAAAGGAAAGTTCACAAAGTGAACAGGTTGAGGGAAAAACAAAACCGTACAATTTATCGTACGATAAATCGTCACGTCTGTGGCGACGTTTACGTCTTCACTTAGATGTTACGTCGACGGTGAGGCTCACTTTTGGATTCCAAGACGTGATGGCGACATGGAGCGAATAATCGCAGCAGACTTTCTGGTCGGCGGTCTCTCTGTACCTATTGTACGCCTCTAACAGAGACTCGTCCTTCTTGGGGATGACGAAGTCCATGATCATCGTGGTGCCACCGGCTACAGCCGCCTTCGTGCCCTGGTAGAAATCGTCGACGGTCTTCGCTCCCATCAGCTCCAGCTCGAAATGGGTGTGGGGATCTATGCCACCGGGCATCACAAACTTCTGACACGCGTCGATGATTCTCGTGCCACCCGGTATTATCAGATTGCGTCCCATTTGCCTAGGGACAGAAAGATTCTCATTATAGCTCGAATAGCAACGACTGCGGCTGGAGTCGTACCGGTTGGACGCGTGCAACACGTGCCTTCGATTTTTTGCTAATTTCACGAGAATAAGAAATACTGTTTCGTTCCGCTTTTTGCCTCGTCTCTTCGACGCGCGGCGTGTCGTGCATATGGGAATTCGGAACAGAAATCGTGTCTTAATCGTGTGACTTTTCTATAAATAGCTTTTCCGTGCAACGCGTACTTTGGAAATTATTACGTTGGATAAGCATTGATTTAAAAAAAAAGTAATCTTCGATCTATCTCGCGGATCAGTTTATGTGTTTTGCGACAGCTTATGGAAGACTACATTATCTCTTAATTGCGATCTAATTCCTACGAGAACACTTACTACTGAATAGAATACGTAATGGTAAGTCTTATATAGATCACGCTTATGCGTGTTACATGTGTCGACGCTGGGCGTATCGCAGAATAGTAATGGACTCGATCTTTTTTCTCTCGGGATAATTAATGGATAATTAATCGTAAAAAAAAACGGTAATGGTTTAAAAGTTTGGCGTCCGTGAACCTCGAGTTAAGAACCACTGCTTTCGAAGAATGAGGGGAAAAAATCCCATTAACACGTTATATGCGGGCGTTTCGCGCGCGTATTCTACGCCGACTGCGGTCAGCATGAATTAGCGGGGTAAATTATACTGCTTTTCTTTTGTGGTGTACATAGTATTTCCTTGTAATTTGTCTATTTGGCTTCAATTATCTTTACAGCACGCCACGGTTATTACTACCGACAGCGTGGCAGCCGCAAACATGAAATACTTCGCGACGTGTTAAACTACCCGCAGGATGTGTTAAATTTCGCTAAAATGTTGGTGCATTCCACGGACTGAGATCTATGATATTTTAGAAGCAGAAGCAGTCCTAACAAAATACAATTATTCTTGTTTAAATCGTACATGCAATGCTCGCATAAAGGAACAATTAAATTATAGAGTAAAGTTCGCATAAAATGTTGCTCGCCTTGGTTAAATTAAGTCCTCGGTAAGAACCATCGATCATCTATTTCCTGCCATTGAACGCGACAGATAATTATACGTCACGAACGAGATCCCAATATTATTGGCCTCGTCAAACTGACTATTAGACGGCGCATGTCACGCTCGTTTGACAAACTACACTCACCATCGACGTGTTATCTGTTTGACGGCGGGGCTCGCCGCGCTCATTGATAAAACGACTAGCGTGTACAGCATTTCGCTCGCGTAAAGAGGCGGGAAAACACGCGAACGGAATGCTGAATGACATGGTAATCGTTTCCATCGTAAATCGGAAAGTTTGTTTGCTTACATCCGCGCTCCGTGCATCGCCGGGACCAACTTCGCGTAAAAAGCTTACGTAAAGATACGCGATCCGCTCAATGAAGCGTACGCGAATCGAGACCAAACAGATCCCAAGTTCGAACGACCGTGTATACAAACTTGTTTTCACGCCGATTGTGTAACGCGTGCAATAAGCGTGAATTGTGTCGGACTCTTACTTAATGATACCGTCTTCGATGTAAACGTCGGTGCCGGTAATGCCATCCTCGTTCACGACGTTTCCATTCTTGATCAGCAGCCTGTTCTGCGAACTCTGAAAATCAAACGAACAGTCGTTATCGCCTTGCAACTTTTCATTTTGTAAAAGATCAAGAAAATGTTCTAAACTTAGAATTTTTTTTTGTGCTCCTTAACCCATTTTAATTAACTGGCTATCTGATGCTACAACCACGGTTACGATTAATTACGAGAATAAGGGGTGACGTTCTTCTTGCGAGAGTAACCGTACCTCCCGCATATTGTCCTTGATATTCGTTTGCAACGTGCGTCGGATCCGACATCCGGTGCAGACGATTAACGTGCGTATATTGCTCCACGCTATGGTATAGCAATCAGTATATAATAGAAGCTACGCTTCACGCACTTCCGCCAATGCTGGATTTAGAGCAGTACGCGATGTGCTCCGACTGATAAGCATACCGCTCCACACACGCACACATGCAACGCGATGCATCTTTCCATCCGAAAGAATAGAGGTTTCTCTTCCAGCGTTGTTCTTTCCGGGGGAAACCACGCGTTTTTCACTGACCTAGTCCAAAAATTACCATACAATGAGCTTTGAAAATCACGCGCGTACCTCGCTCAGAGGGTGAACCTTTTTATTTACAAAAACAAATTAAATAAATATGAGCCCTCATAATCTCCATACATGGTTTGCTTTTTTTATTAAAAACTGATCTTAAGTCCACGTACGCTACAATGTTTACTGAAAAGTGTTTCAAATGAAACTTGCTCAACATCAAAGGTGACACAGAGTAATCAGTTTTTTGTTATCTTGCATTTTTATTGAGATACGACTGGCGCCTTGTGGTTTTTCTTTTTTTAAACGGAACACCCTGGAACATCGTTTCATAGTTCGAAGGAGTAACCGAGTAAAAAAGGTATTAGTGTAAACACATCAAAAGTCAATACTCACCGAGATATGCTTAAAGAAATTTTTAAATGACTGAAAACGCACGAGAACGTATCGTTACACGCACGTAGAGTTACAACTGCAGAAACACTTCACGCGTTACTCTCGCTTATTAATCAATTACATAATTGCGTTCAGCGTAATAGGCAACATTCCGAGTACCGTTCGCATTAAAAATTGTTCCACGAATATCTTAGTACTAATTGTATTATCTTATACTCTTTTACTTAACATACTCCTTCGAATTCCAGAATGGTGTTCCATTTAAAGGAAACGAATATCTATAGAAGTTTAAATAGATTAGAGCAGCAAGGTCAATAGCATATTTCTCTTGCATTAAACTCCAAGATCCTCCTTAAAATTGCACGAGATAATTGGTGTAACGAACCTACTCGAATTGTACTCCAGTGGTACGAAATTTAGAACCCTTGTTTTCATCACCATAGTAGTCGAAAGTAAGGTTCCCCTTGTTCGTTTGATTGTTTTTTTTTCATGCGTTTGTTCTCTCCACTTACGTTACGTGCACCCTCTTCACGCCTCACTGTATCTCTTCCACTATACCTAATCGTTCGAGGCGAGTAGCCTGGATCAGGCTACTTTCAAGCGTTCTAAAGATCAAACGTAATCACTCAAGAGTAGAAACGTGCCGGCGATTACGTAAGTGGCCTAAGTAAATATTTTTCAATGTATTTTGTACAGTGTATATAAACCAATATCGATTGATAATAACTGACAGAAGGATTCTACGCTTAAATAATTTTCCTAATCAACCACTGATTACGTTCCCCACTGTCGATCGTCAATAAAACGCTATCGTCGTCAATGGATCAACTGCTCAAACGTGATTGGAAAAAATCTAGCAAAATGAAGAAAACAAGAGACACGAACCGTGAGTAACATAAACGCGCACGAATTTGTGAACTGACTTAACATTATGTCGACACGGGGGGCAAATTGAAAGGAGACCAGACTGGGCAAAGGACTTGTGACAACCACCCCTAGGCGTTCCCCATCCGGGCAAAGATAAAAGAGGATAGGGGAGAAAGTCGAGGGTTAGGGAACGAAAAAAAATAAAAGGACAATCCATCGCTGTCGACGTCGCCACCCACGTTCCATAACCGACGTTGGGTTCTGCACCCTTCGCGTTCTGTAATGCAACGCGTGGTGCAACCAACCCCTCGAGGGGCGAGGTTTCCGCCCCGTGAAATTGCTTCGACCCCCGCATGAATCTAAACCACCGTTAACACAGAGGCTTTCGTGAAATCGATCCCAATCTGCTTTGCCGCTCTAAAGTGTCGCGCGGTGCAAGTCCGTTAAATCGAATTTACAAAACAACTAAAGTGAGATGGCCCGTCCACGTCCCACGCATTCGATTCGTAATTTTATTATCGTAATGGTCCGTTCGAACGATCCAGGTCACCGAAAACGTCGAAGAGACACAAAGACGATGGTATTTTTACTTGTGAAATAAAAGAGCAAACAGCCTGCTATCGGTTTTCTACCATTCAGCGAAGAATAAGGTTGTACGCGACTCGCGACGGAAACTGTGGGAATCGAATGAATATCGAGTCCTCGTTGCCGCGATTCGCGTGGGCGGAGACCTTGTCATCCTCGCGGTACAGTTATTAGGCACGAGCGTGAACATGTGCGTTTCATGTGTCAAGCTATCTCTGCTCGGATATTTTCAGCGAACAGCGGCTTAAAATACGCGGCCGCTGCGATTTTTTCGAAAGGAAATACCCGCGCGCTACTGCCACTTCGATACGAAACGATCCTCGCAGCGCGAAAAATTTGAACGCGTTTCGATCGAGCTTTCAATAAGTCAGATTATAATTTTTTTATCGAACGAACAACGCATCGAAAGCTGTTACTCTTCAAGTTCGAAGGTTGTTAATTGGAATTTTTAGTCTGATAACGGTGTTGTTAGTTCTGTTAGGGCCACGTCGAAAATACGCTCCTGGCAAAATCGATATCGCCAACATTTCCCGGCCACACGCCTCGAATTCGTCTGCACGAGCACGCACCAGCCTAAATAGGAGATCTTATCGAGCGAGACTATAGCAGACCTAATATAAAGGGCCGACCCTCGCAATGGGAACATTGAAATATGTATCTCCGGGTTCGTACGGTGAACTGGAATGTATTTCCAGCGAGAACGATCGAACGTTTCGCTCGACTCGTAGAGAATTCTAATTCCGAGTAGAAAAAGCTGGGGAAAAGATGAAGGAGCGAATGGTAAACAGGTGCTCGAGTTTTTACTCGTGGCTCGAAATTCGTTATCCCGATAACGAATTCCGTCCACCTCCAGTAAACACCGAAGACGTTCTAGGTGTTCCCATTCGAACGATCCGCCCTGTACAACGACTCGTAAGCTCGATCGAACCACAAACTCTATTCTTATCGCGATAGGATCGCTTCCTCGTCCGGTCGTTTGTGTCGGATAGTCTGCGAACTGTTCAACATTCGCGTCAAACATAGTCGCGTGCGCTGAAACATCGTTAACAGTAGGCGTTCCACTTCGTATGTACGCGGTCCAATTAAAACCAGATTTCTTCTTTTACGGTATCTCCGCGCCGCGCGAAATCGAAGAAGAACGACAATTAACAACTTTCACAGAGGGAAAAGGGAGTTTTCCGTCGTCCGCCTTTAAGGAGGGAAACTCGCGTATTTAGAACGCCTTCCCAGACTCGAGCGTTTTCTGTCCTATTCCTCTCAAACTGACTTCGTCGAGGAGCTATTCTAGCCTGGGCGTCAATATTTTGCGTGTTCTCTGGAATTAAAAAAGAAGAATATAACTACTTGGTCGAGTTCGTGATTAAAAATTACCAGAGACTGATTTGATTTTTATTCTTATAAAGAGGGGTAGTGATGAGGGTGGTTCCAGAAACTGGAGAAGCTAGTAAACAATAGGAATTGTCCTCTCAAACTGAGTTCATCGAGGAGCTATTCTAGCCTGGGCGTCAATATTTTGCGTGTTCTCTGGAATTAAAAAACAAAAATATAACTATTTGATCAAATTCGTGATTAAAAAATACCAGAAACTGATTTGATTTTTATTCCTATAAAAGGGCGTAGTGATGAGGGTGGTTCTAGAAACTGCAGAAGCTGGTAAACAATAGGAATTGTCCTTGGTGTAAATGCAATATGCAGAGCACGTTTTCTGTCCTATTCCTCTCAAACTGACTTCGTCGAGGAGCTATTCTAGCCTTGCGTGTTCTCTGGAATTAAAAAATAAAAATATAACTACTTGGTCGAATTCGTGATTAAAAAATGCCAGAGACTAATTTGATTTTTATTCCTATAAAGGGGGGTAGTGATGAGGGTGGTTCTAGAAATTGCAGAAGCTGGTAAACAATAGGAATTGTCCTCGGTGTAAATGCAATATGCAGAGCACGTTTTTTAAATACACGTTTTCGAGATAAATCAATACTATTGGACTGCATACAAAAGTATTGAGGCACGACCATTGAAAACGTAATACATTACGAAACATTTCATATTTTATGTTCGTATTCTTCACACTTATGTAACACTGATGACCATGATTGCGGGTGTCGGGTAAAGAATGCTATTTGTAAACAGATTTAATTCGATTAATTATGGATCTACGTCCTGAATACTCTTGCTATCTAAATTTCTCTTGTTAGTTTAATATTCAACGATTTTCAGTAGCAAAGCATTATCATATTAAATCATCAGATAAGTATCGCGGTCATATTCATACTCAACTAATTAACAGAGCAATTAATCCAAGATGTATTGGACCTTTCTATTCCTTTCACGGAGGTCTATAAAAGAAAAGTAAAATCGTACAATAACAAGCCAGAAAAAAAACATAATTGCTAACGTACACCGCCAATCAACGAAAGAATTCTGCAACGTCGTTCGATACGTGTCCAGCATATTAGTACGAGTACATACGCGCCGTTTGTTGCAGAAACACGTAACACGTTGCAACGCAAGTAAAAAAAAAATTTCGATAATCAAGAAGTTTGTATCAGATTAGATAAAACTTCATTTCACTTCTACTACGAATGACTTACGATCAAATGACGAAAGAAATTCAGGGCGTTGAAGTATCGCCACGGGTTTAAGAATCATTCCGCGTAATCCGTCTTCGGGCTAATCGAATAAAAGCGTTGAAAAAAAGGGTCAATTCCGATCAGCTTGCGTGCTCCAATTTCCATTCGTATACGAACCGCCAGGGAAACGACAGCGGCGAGTCACACCTGGCTTCCACGTCGCGTCTATTTATGCCTCGGCAATAATACGAGCAATCTACATTTTGGGTGACCGACTTACTGCCGACTAAATTCGCCGTCAAGTTCTCGGCGAAACAAAAAGATGATCGCGCCCGTCGTAAGTAGGGCTGGGTCTGTTCGGGCATTCAAACACTGTGAACAAAACTTAAATGTTGCTGTTAGATTATCAGGATAAAAGAAAAAAGGAGAATATTATCAGAATTTGTTTGGTTCGAAGGTGGGTGGGAATGTTTTCCTCGAGTTATGACGAGAGGCCTGTAAAGAGGTACTTCGGGGAACGTATGCTTTAAGAAAACGAAAGGGAAAGTCGATTTTTTGATACGTTTGGACCAGAATAGCCCCTTGGATCGAGCCACGCCGCCTTCTAATCGGGATAAAAAGACGGCGGCAAAAATGTCAGTGAACAACCACGGATTTATTTTTACCAGCGGAAAGCGGTCCAGACCCCACGAGGCTGTCCGCAAAGACACGCAACGCGAAACAGAGGATCGCTGATTCCGCTCGGCGCTTGTCGTCTGGTTCGTGTGTCGAGTGCGTGCTCATAAAATCCCAACCCCGTGGTTTTTCCGACTTTAGGTCGACGTAGTGTCGACGAACTATTGATTCGTCGCGTTCCTCCGCGTTCCCTTGCCTAGGCAGCCGAAGCCCCAGTGCCGTACGATTTTCTTAGACCGACCAATTCGCCGAAAACCGCACCGCCGACATACAGTTCACCGTCGACGAAGAAGTTTTCCATTATCGGCTCGACGAGCGCCCGATCCGACTAAACCGCGAACGCGGGCGAAAAATTCGAACAATGGATAACCGATAGGGCCAACGTGTAGCAATTTTTATACCGGAGCATAAGTCAAGTATTAATACCGACAAATCCAATTTACATATGGAACGCGTGTAATATAAATTTCCAGTTGTTCCTGTATCTTTTTAATGTATCTTTATCTGTCCACGTGTGGCACGATAACTTTCATTCCGATCATCCTAGGCACCGAAATTGAACTGATTGTAACTCTTAATAAATACGGCTATCGTTTTAATTGGAAACAGAAATTCATAAAAATTTATCGTGGTTCGAACGATAAAGAAGCATTCACTTTACACGTGGGTTAAATTTTAGGTCGATCGAGATATCGGTTTTAATAATTTGTGAAAATTGTTCCAATAGACTATGCATACGTTTAAACATATGGCCGTAACAAGACGGACACGTGGGCGCCATGTTACGAGGGCGCAGACAACGCCCTTAAAGTAAAACAAATTACAAGTTTTTTTTTTATGGGAACAAAATAATTATATACATATATATATCTACCTTACGTTATTTAAATAATGCAAATATTGTTTATATGTATATATTTACAATATTACATCTTTATTGATTCGGGTCGTGTGTGTCGGTGAACCTTTGTGAAATCGATGATTCTTAAAAAGTGATCGATAATCTGTACATACAGGGTGTTCGACCAGTCCTGGGAAAAATTTTAATGGGAGATTCTAGAGACCAAAATAAGACGAAAATCAAGAATACCAATTTGTTGATGGAGGCTTCGTTAAAAAGTTATTAATATTTAAACTTTCACCCGTACTGAATTTTTTTTCTAGAAAATGGGTAGGATTTCGAGGGTATGTCTAATGACCAAAAATGATTGTAATTCACCCCCTCAATCGAAAATAATTTTTTTAGTATGATTTGAAATTTTTTAATTTCCTCTAAAAATTTGACACCTTCTCGAATTTTTTTCTCAAAACTGGATAGGATTTCGAGGGTATGTCTAATGACCAAAAAAGATTGCAATTGACCCCCTCAATCGAAAATAATTTTTTTAGTATGATTTGAAATTTTTTAATTTCCTCGAAAAATTTCACACCTTCTCGAATTTTTTTCTCAAAAGTGGGTAGGATTTCAGGAGATGTCTAATGACCAAAAAAGATTGCAATTGACCCCCTCAATCGAAAATAATTTTTTTAGTATGATTTGAAATTTTTTAATTTCCTCGAAAAATTTCACACCTTCTCGAATTTTTTTCTCAAAAGTGAGTAGGATTTCGAGAGTATGTCTAATGACCAAAAGTGATTGTAATTCACCCCCGCAACCGAGAATAATTTTTTCAGAACGATTTGAAATTTTTTAATTTAATTTTTTAATAACTTTTTAATGAAGCCTCAGTCAAGAAATTGATCTTATTTTGGCCCCTGGAATCTCTCGTGAAAATTTTTCCCAAGGGTGGCCGAACACCCTGTATTTTGACGCGGATGTGCACTTGGCTCTTTTTACGAGATAGACCGATGCCGGGCGCCAAGACGCTTGGATCAATAAGGCCGTTTGCACACATACCGGCAAAATCGGAACCGGGCACGGCACGGCGCGCGCCGCGGCGTCTGGCTTGTCGAATTTCTGCCCGGTTCCCTGTCGTGACGGATTTTGTGTAAAAGTCACCATTTAATTACACCGTAATCGTCATCGAAGCCGGAGCCGGATCCGGATCCGATTTTGCCGGTGTGCGCAAACGACCTGAGGCGGCAACCTTGCGATCGCTGCCGATGGTGCGACGAAACTTTCGGTTTTACCAGCGACGCAGAAAACACCCATGCTCACGTATTTACTATTCCACAAATCCCTAACCAACTCCCCGGACATTTACGCGTTAAAATTATCGATTTATATATGGTGTACACCAGAGACGAGATTGAGAGTACGTACGAGTTAAAGAAACAATCGATCTCCGTTCAATCAATTTTGTTAATAATACACCTGTATCGTAGTCTATTTTTAGCAAATGTACTTTCCACTTATTTAATTAAGCAGATTTATCTCCTCCGTGATTCTGTTGCGTTATAATCTGAATCGTTAAACAAACCTTTCGCCTTGGTTATCGATCGGAAGTTCAGTGACTTTATGCGCTATACGCAACTTTATACAGCTCGAAATTAATTCACGGAGTCGATTACACCGAATGTATTCGTATTCGTGGAATAGTGATTCGAGAACGGTAGACAGCATCTCGAAAAAGCAATTAACATTTGTCGTGCCGTTTTAATGCGGTATCAAATGCATAATTACACGAAAAGGCGGTAAAATCGATGCAGTACCGCAGACACCGTCAACAACTACTCTTGCGATAGATTTGAACGATTCAGGGATGTGTGTACACTAATTTATTGTAATAATCGCGTTTCAGAAATATTTGTATCGATACGTGCTCTCACACGGTTCACTGACATGAACTGGTACCGATTACTTTACATTTACACTGAAATTTATTTAATCTTTAATGACATTAATTATCAAACGAGTGATTACACTCCGGTTGGACTCATTTTCTGTATCACAAGTAACTGATTTTTTTGTTTGTGCAAATACAATGTATAATCGAACCGGGTCTATATATCTTTATGTAACAGTTCATTTTAACGAAATTTTGTATTACAGTATGTTACATGGTAAATTTCTAACAATGTTTTACGACTTTATGACATATATAAATCTTCATGTAGAAAATAAGTGGAATATCTTCATCGTCGAGATGAAAATTCTCGCAAAACAGATAGTGATAAATGCACGGGTAGCAATACTAAGAAATTATTGACCCGATAAAAGTAAATGAACTAATACGATTGTAACGTACATTACGCTATCGTAAAATAAATATTAAATATCACGTGTTCGAACTCAGATACAGAAATATAATTTATTTGTCGAATGATGCTGCACGTAACAGTGGACAAGCCGGCACGTTTCTAATGTGTTTTACCTACATTTTTGGCTAAACGGTTCACTCTACGCAATTTATTTACAAAGCGGTGCTTGACCGGTAATAAATCGGTTCCTGTAGAAGCACTCGAAAGGATAACGATGAAAATAAATCGGCAAACTAACCTGCAGGTGAATGGGCACTTTCTTCACCGGTGTGCTCATCTTCGGTCGAATAAAGGATTACGTTGCTCTGGAAAGAAGCCAATCACTCGATCGTACTCTTCCACGTTGTGCACCTTGCGCCGAAATACACGAACACTAGTTTTCTTCGCAGAAAAACGCTTCCCACTCACACGAAGTTCTTCTTGGGAAAAATCAAAAAACGCAAGATCGAATCGAACAATCGACTGCGACTGACGCTACGTGTGCGCGTCGCGCGACGGAGGTAAATTTTCCCCCCCCTTCTCTCTTCGTTTTGGCGAGGGTGGGGATATCCCCACTGAAGATGGCTCGTCACATGCCTGCGAACTACAGAAATGCACACACATTTATAATTTAAAGTCGTCGCTATTCTTTACGCACAAAATCTTTTTAGCTTATCATTTCAGTTTGCTTCGATATTTTGTATCCCGAAAAACGAATATTTAAGCTGAAAAGAGTTATTCGAGCACTGTTTAATCACACTTTGTTTAATATGCACGGGTACGAAAAGTACATACAAAATATTATCACCGTAAATCGTGGGGAAAAAAATGAATTATTCGTTATTACTAAGTAAACATTATCGACGAGTCTATAATAAATACAAATTGTAAATTATTGAATTTCATTTTTATCATAATTAGCATAAAAAATTGTTCCAAAAGTCAAACCACATTCCCGCGTGAAAAGCATATCTCTACTTCCGTTTAAACATGGCTATACGTTTGCATATGAAGCACGATTTGTCTGAAGCAAAAGAGAACGTTTTGCATTTAATGCCATGCAAAATTCACGGTGACGAGTCGGCGAATGTTTCCTCTTACTTTACACCATACATTCGGAAAATTGATGACGAACGTGAGTTCCTTAAACTTGAATTCTCTTTCGCTATGACTTAACATTTGTGTACAAAACAATAATTATATAAACACAACTGTTTCGAATGATGTATATTTAGAAACAGCTTATTGAAATTGACAATTACCCATCGTAAACATTTTATCTTGAAAATACGTACCATTGCTTAAACGTAAATTTAAGGTTAAAATAAAAATTATTTCACTTCTATGCAGATTACAATTCTTCATTTCGTGGATATCCACTTCAAGGAAAGAAGATAACAATACCTTCAGGATACAAAGGCATTACATTTCTTGAACATAAAAAACCAGAAATGGAAAATATGGAACGTAATTTGTATTCGACAGGAACATTTTCATACTTTACATATTGGAATTATGACAAATTACCATCTAAGAATGATGCTTTAGCAGCAGCAATTGATTGGATTGATATTGCAGAAGCAGTAGGTTATCGATAATCGAATAAAATATTTTCTATTAGATAGTGTATGATCAGAAATCAATTGTTACATTTTTTTCAGCTACATTCTACAGAATCGTAATTAAAATCATAAATCTGAACACAAAATATGCAAGATATTATTACGTAATTTAGTTATAATGATTTTTGTATTTTGATATAAAGAAAAATGAAAATAAATATTTTATATATTTTATATATATTATAGTTTATTAACCATATTTTATATCATGAGCATATATTTTGTCATACATAACAGACATCTTATAATTCCTTATGAAATATGTAAACATCGCAAATTATCTTTGGTTTAATTAGGAAAGCTGTTTCAAAAGTGTGCAGTCTTTTATAGGATAAATAGTATATTTGTAATTAATTTTCTTATTTTTGTAAATATATAAAAGTTGCAATAAAGATGTAAGCATTTATCATCATTTTAACACAAAAAATCTTTCCTTGTTATGCATGATACTGCTAAATATACTATACATATCTATTTTTTAATACTGACATTCAGTGACATTAGAAATAGAATATTAATTATAAATTAACACTCAATGGAATATGGTTCTTAGTAAAAGTTATGTTCATGTGATATTACACATAGCTGCTTGTTTATGGTCGTGTTTGTATAAAATTCATATAAAATGCATTTCTTGAAACTATGTAAAGTACATTGGCAGTCCTATAAATTTGTAATGATTATTTGTAAGAAGTATTGCATACATGCATAATTCCTACTAACATTTTTTACACATGCATATACATATATAAATAGAAAAGTTAAGGTAATTTTGTTTTCATGTACAATGGCAGTGTTAAAAGATAAAAAAAACTTTTTCTCTTTGAAGCTATGAAAGGAACAAATGTCTATTATTAATATAACGTTTATAAATATACCTCAAAAGAAGTATTAAATATTGTTATCATATATAATAATAAATATTATAAAATCACCAATCACCAAATCACCAAAGTTATCAAATTTTAAATAAAATAACATTGCTTTAAAACACAAGTCTATGATATCAAATAAAATGCTTTTGGTTAATGGGTACCTTGATACACATTTAAAGAATACTTTACTATAAAATATGTTCTTACTTCTAAAGGTTTTCTGATTACCCTACAAAATCTATTTACAACTGCATTACATTTCTAATACTCAGCTAATCTAAAAATAGGTCCACCATATATCACTTCACTTCATATTAGCAAAAGCACCCTAATGTTTGTTTATAAAATTAAGAAGTGAGTTTATGATATTCTGTGTCAACTAAAATAAAGATAATCGCATTATTCTACCTACTATGTTATGAGAAGTTATTTTAAAAGAAATGTTCTTATATTGGTACTACTATCCCATTTGGATGTATCTTAAGTTATTAAAATTACATATACGTAATAAATAATTTGCAATTTTGTCTACTATTGCAGTTTTCACTTTGTACCCTGATTTTTAGGTGTTTCATGTTTACCATATTTAAGATTACCTAATTAACTTAAAAGATACATACTAATTATTTTTTAACTCTAAGAAATTGATAAAACTATAGAAGAATTGTTTGGCAGCAAATATGGTGCTTTTAAATGCAAAATCTGTTTGTGTAACGCAAAATGCATGTAAAACTCCTCATATTGTCCATATTGACCATTTTTGCATAACCCTGTATTGAAGTTATCCTTTAAGTAAACACTATGTAATTGTACCTGCACAAGTATTCTCAACACTACTGATTGAATATGTAAAAAAAAAAATAAATAGTTTTACTATCAAACAAAAAGTCAACATAAATTAAACAAATTACAGTAATTTGTATGTAGCTTACACTTAATTATATTATACATTTATAAAATTTATGTGCTTTTAAAATTACTACATAAAAATTATTTTAACCTTTGTAATTCTGATTATGAAAATGTGCCTAATTCATTTGTTTGTTCTTGATGGTACTTGTTTTGGTCTTGTTGTTGCTTAATAAAAGCACTCAATCTGTTAAGTAAGAATTGTTTATCATGACCTTCTAATACCAATTGATTCTTTAAAACTGTAACCATATGCTGGTTTGCTACTGATACTGCATAATAATAATATAAAAGTAGGACAAGAATAATAAAAGCTGGCAGACCAAATCCAGCAGTACCAAGAAAATACAAAATCGACTGTAGCCAATTTGGAAACTGTGAAAACATTAGAATTAATAAAGACCATACTGACTTTAAACCTCTAAATGGGCCACAGGATTTTGATGGCATTATTTCTGCAATGGAGTAACCTACCGGGACTGTAGATATAATGAATGAAATTAATAAAATAAACATGAAAAGCGAATGCGATTTACTTGCTCTATAAATCTTACTTGATGGAGTACTGTTAACTAAACAAGCAAATTTCTTGATGTAAAACAACAGGAAAGTACCGACTACTGTAACTAGTGGCAACAATGGTGCAAAGAAACAACCAAGCCAACAAATGGTTTGCAAATAAACAACGTCTAACACATGCTTCGGTAAATCAAATTCTTGCTCTCCAAAAAACCGTAATACTTTATTTTCTGTATGCTTTGCTATTAACGATCTAGGGAAATTCACGAAAAATGTCATGATGAACTGAAGAATAATATCAGTAATGTAGAGCTTGAAAAATTGTTGGCCCACAAATGTTTCCCAACATAATGGCCGTCTATAAAGAATATTAGTACATTCGTTATCCGGTATATCGTTTGCAATTAATCTGTAAAATGACGCGAGTAAAACAATGATAGCAGAAAGTCGTAAAAATATAGTTCTTAAAAGAGTTACGCGTACAACAAACGATGGACTGTAATTTTCTAGAGTCACTAAATACCGAAACAAAAACGGTACTGCAAAATTTAAAGCGACAATGCATATGTATGGAAGAAACTCAAAAAATAACTGAATAATTTTACTTAATGATACATAACCTGCATCATTACTTTGAACTGTGTGGTGTGTAACTTGCTCGAACGAAAATTCAAATATATAGTAAATGAATGCACCGTAACCACATAATACCGTCAGAACAATTAAATTAATGAACAAACGCATAATAATAAATTTTGTTTTCTCCTCTCTTGTTCGATTTTGTCTTTCTTCTTCCAATCTTTCAGTTTCTAAAAATCCTTTAATCTCATTATATAGTGCTTTATGTTTCACAGCTGCAGACTTTTCATTATGTATACAGTAATCCCAACCCCCAAAAATTAAATTGCAATATTTATAAAATTGACCTTCGTTTTCCACGACTCTCTGTTTGAAACCTTTAGCAGCTGACTTAACAATTACTACCAAACTAACAATAAATATACCAATTGTAGCACAAATATAAGACAATGGTAAATTATAAAACATACCAGAAGCGTCATAAGTCATACGAGTATATGCGCCGTAAAATAATAAAGTGTATTCTAAAATACCAGTGCCCTGTACAATATCTGTTAAACTGCTACTCCCTTCAGTCATATTCCAATACATTTCGGAACAGCACGATATGCTGTGACTGTTGTTAGAATTTATGCATGACTCTTCTTCTGGCATATCAAATAATACTGCAGGTAATACGATAAATGAAAACATAATTAAGAATAAAAGAATATTTAGATACATCAACCATTTGATGAATAAAAAGTATGCTACTGTCCCCATTCCAAAATTCCCTCCAATTGTTTTAAGACTATCATTCCACAGCTCCATTTTTGAATATGCTTCCTTCATTCTGATACGAAATTGTTGCCAAGCTTTCCTTCGTTGCCATTTCAATTGCTCGAAACCTTGCAGCCTTAATTTTGTAGCGCTCTGAAATATATACATCCGCATACATTAGCTTATTCTAATTCTATGTATGTTAATTTCTTTTTCTTTCATATTGATATATTATTCAAATAATACTCAACGTACTTGTAATTGGTTTTTTAACTGTATTTTTTGTGCCATGCATATGGGCATAGCCTTAATTTGCATTATTTCTTCCCAAGTGCGTTCTTCGTTAGACAGATTCTCAGATAAATCTGGCAACATAGATACAGCAGCATCATGAATATTGGTTGACATACGTCTCGATGTAGTTGTACCACGAGATCTTGTACTAGTGCGTCTTCTCAATGTAGTTTTGGTATCATTACGTATTCGTTTAGCTGTGGCTATTATAGGAAGATATTAAATACAAGACACCTTAATTTATTTTTTAATTTCTATCGTCCATAAAAACTTACCAACACGAGATTTTTTACTTGGAAGTAAAGTGGCTATATGAGAAGGATCCCTTTGTAATACTTGTTGCAAATCAGCCTCAATAGCTGCAGGGTAACTTTCCTGATAAAATTCAGCACCTGCCTCTTCCCAGCCTTGTCCTCTATCACAAGCACGTTTTTTACGTTCTCCCCCAGACATCCTTCTTTTTTATTAATACTTGCAATTTATTTACTTGCATTCAAAATTCAAATAAAAATTACTCCAATATCCATAGCACTGTTGAAACAAGTTCATCTGAATAAGTCACTAAATCAACATTTAATATTTATAAAATTGTTGTATCTTTGTTGGTATATTCAACTTATTATAAATTACGCAGATCTATAAGCAAATATTAATTTAAAAAACAAGCTACTGTAAAAACCAACGTTAGCAGCGAATTGGTATGTACACATCCGAGTATATTTACCTGAGGTAAATCAGTTGATCAAGTATCCTGTAAATGCGTCATTGCTCGATGACACATATCTTGCTTTTATACTGATCGATAACAGTACTTATAAAAAAATAACGCTTTGATGGACAAAACACTGACGTTTAGAATTCGGACAATACATAGATTGTACGAAACGTTTAAACGGTATATCAAATCACATCAATGTTACATTTAATATTTCCATGTGTCGGAACGTCTGATTTTCGAGGACAAACAATGCAAGATAAACGCGACAATTCATCCAAAAAACACTTATTGGCATTTTGCTTTCGCATAAATCAAATTCGTTGTACTCTACAGACGGCTGATAAAAGAACACTGAAACATGAACCAAGAAGAGTGTAGAGGGTACTGATCTAGACAGCTGACATGAATTTAAAAGATGATTTTTCACTATACACATTAAATATGAATTTTCAAATTTCGCGCAATGTAATTATCTAATAAGTGAAAATCACAGAAATTATTCAAAAGGCCGTTTTTAGTAGTTTTTAATAGTTAATAATAAAACATGTAAATAATCACAATACATACATAGTAATATATTTTATCCAATTAAATACTTAAATTAATCATCTTTGTATCGCTAAACATTTTACATTATCAACCATTAATATCATTAAATTTGTTATTACTTCATTATAAAAAAAATTCATATTTACAAAATTTTAAGACAAACACCCAACTAAAATCAACACTAAACAATGTATAATACAAAATAGTATATAAATAATGATGTTTCTACAAGGGAAAACAATATATAAATTTCTAATTTATTTTAAATCTAGAACTAATGTTCGTAATTATTTTTTATTCCATTGTATATCTCCTTTCGGGATATTAGCAATCACATTTGCATGATTTGTTTTCTATTACATAATATGTGGTATACATTGTAGATTGACCTGTAATTTTCTACAATTTATAATGAATCATTAAATTGATAAGCTATGTAGGGTTTGTGATTTCTGTTTCTTTTAAAAATCGTATGTTGCTGCGCTATTTTATATTATTAAGTAACTGTTAATAGTTTTTCATTGATTGATCTTTATTTTTTCATACTTTTGGTATTCTGTTAATATATATTGAATTGTTAAGATACAGTTACAGCTTTTGCACACGGATTTTTCTTTTTTCATAGTCAGGTATGTATATGATAATTTAGAATATCCAATCCTATATAGATTATTGTCTACTGCTTTCTTGTTGAAATAATTCAGAGTTGGTATACATGTTTTGCTTGTTGTCGGTCTCGTAATTCAGTCTTTTCTGGATTTTTCAGTCGGTCGGGGGTAAATATATTCCATTAATAGTTATTAATTCATAATATTTCTAGTATATTGCAATACTATATTTCTTAAGTTCGAACATCCAAAGACATTTTCTTATAGGTTTTTTGATTTTGACAAAATTAAAGGTTTATTTAGATTTAAATATATAACATAAAATATAAATAATTAAGCGTCAATTCGTGATGTAGACGGTCATTAATATTAATTATTATGCTCGTTAATGCAACTTATTCTCAGAATAACGCTCATGACAATGTACGAATAATATTTTACATATATTATCTTAGTATTGTCGTCCTCTTTTGCCTCCGCCACGATTATATCCACCGCGTTGATAGCTATCTGTGCTAGAATTGTTTCCTTGATTCCACCCTCCTTGAACTCTGCCACCCCTATCTCTACCACTAGAACTACCTCCTTGATATTGTTGTCCACCTTTAGTGTCAGATTGTGAAGCAGAGCCTGCATTACTTGGATGACAGTATCGATGACCATATTCTAAATATTAAAATTGTTAATAATATAATACATTTACCTTTTCTTTTAATGCCATTACCTCCACTATCTCTATTTTCTCTGCTATAAGTGTTATTTCCTCCTTGTCCTCCTCTATAGTTTCCTCCTTGCTCTCCCCCATAGTTTCCTCCTTGTCCACCACCATATCCTCCCCCTTGTCCACCTCCATAGTTTCCTCCTTGTCCACCTCCATAGTTTCCTCCTTGTCCACCTCCATAGTTTCCTCCTTGTCCTCCACTATAGTTTCCTCCTTGCCCACCTCCATACCCTCCCCCCTGTCCTCCTCTGTATCCTCCCCCTTGGCCACCTCTGTATCCTCCCCCTTGACCTCCTCTGTATCCTCCTCTATTAGAAGAATAGTTAGAGCCCTGAGACCCACTGTCTCCAAAACCACTACCACCTCCACTAAAATTAGTACCACCCCGATCTCCTCTATTATCATTGGAAAAAGAGCTATTAGGACCGCCTCCTCCACGTCCCCCTCTGTAGCCTCCACCTCCTCCTCCTCCTCGACCCCCACTGCAAAATATTGTAAATGCGTATATATTTATTCCAAATCGTTTTGTCTAAGATTATTTCAGTTAATATCAACTAACCCAGAAGTCGAAGGTCCTTGCACTCTATCTTTTTGCCATGGTGGCATTTCAGGTGGTGGTGGTTCCTGTTCATATGGTCTTCCACCTCTATCCGGCACCACTCCAATAATAACCGAATTTATTTCACTACGAGTATTTTTCCTAACACTTGCATTGCTTGTCTTCTCCATTAATGCAATATCATCTCTTGCAGCTAATAAATCAGCAAACGTAATATCAGGTTCTGTATTTAAACATTTCCTAGTTCCTTCGTATTGTTTACTTAATTCATTCTCTTTAGATTTCATTCTATCCGACCACTATGTAAAAAAATAAATATGCATTTTTAAATCTTATTAAATATAAATAATTTGACTGTTATATGTTGTATACAGTAGTGCCTACTTAAGCGTCCGCGCTCGGGACCGGCCACTTCTCAGAATTCAACTGAGGCAAGGAAAGAGGATAAGTGCGAGTGAGATACAATAGCTGGCACCCGAAACCATATATCTACATATATACAATGCATCTATAACGATCGGCGTCAAGTTACGCTCGACACGCTCGATGTTCGAAGCCGCTTGATTTTCATGAATTGGTGGAGATAACTGCGGACGCTTAAGTGGGCACTACTGTTTATATAAACATTTGTTTACGCTTACCAGAAAAGATTGTATGGTTACATCAAGTCGCTTAAGTAACATATCACGACGCATTCTATATTCATCGTGCAACTCTTGCTGCACAAGCTGAAGATCTTTCCATTCTCTTTCTGAGAAATCAATAGTAATTATTGGTTTACCTACAAGCTCAGGTGGAACCTGTTTTAATATCTCTGTCAACTTAGTTTCTACTCTTGCAAAAATTTTTTCTGCAGTAATATCATCTGGTGGTTTTCCAAAATTTAATGCTATTAACATATCTTTCAAATCTTTAGCTGTATCACTTTCTTCCTACAAACAATTAGAAGACATTATTAAAAAATTTATAATATCAACTTGTCTTTATGTTATTCTTGTAATAAAAACTTACAACGTCGATATCCATGGAATTAGAAGTTTTATGTTTTCGAAATTCTAATAATCTGGAAGTTTTTAATTCTGCCCCCAGAAAATCTAATAAAATATACCTATCCTGCTCGGTTGCCAATCGGCTATTGACATTACCAGACATTAATCGTTCATTCACACATCCTAATTCCTTGAGAAAACAGCTTAATTCTAATAGGAAAGAACTAGAATCATCCGATGACATTATTGCATGAACAGTTTCATCCATATCATAAAGTACTGCAATTTCATTTGCCAACCATGCTACAAGTTTAGTAAATTCCGGGGATTTTGGGCCTTGTTTTAAGGCTATCATAAATTTATTTGGTTCAACTAACTCCTCGTTATACCTGAAATTAAAGAAGAATCTTGACTTAGTATTAATGTTTAAGATTATAACCTCGAACCGCTTACCCAAGTTTTTGTAATCTGCCCAATAATTTGAGTTCCATTTTGGCTAAACCTTTAATTAATATACCAATTTAGTTATTACAAATTACAAAATATACTGACACGATAAGAATAACACGTACTTACAGTACAAAATAATGAAAAACTACATATGATATATTTTCTTGCCGTATGTGCTGTCAGTATTCAGTGGTGGTCAGCCGACTTATAACTTCGCAAGCAATTGGCCACCCTGGAATAATGACCTGCATGGCTCAGAACAAACTTTAGCTGTTCAAGATCAAGAAGGAAAGGCTCACACTCGCTTTCTTTCTCGATTTCCCGAAGTTGCGTGCAATTATGCCGAATCTGGCCACGCTGTTGTATATAATTATCTGTAACCGTTACAACCTAGAATTGCAATCAAACTTTTATTGCAAATATGATCCAAACACTTAAAATATGCAAGAAATATACGAAATATAAATTATTTGATGCAAAAGTGATATTACAATGTCGAAAGATAAACTGTCTCTTTTACTCGTCGTACGATTCTGTACATACGTGTAAAGAAAAGCCGCAAAATCTTTACCGGCATTTATACTCGAAAATTTTAGCATGCGGACCAATTACTATCGCTGATTATATGAGAGAAGTTTTAACTCATCCAAGTGCAGGTTATTATATGAACAAAGATGTTTTTGGAAAAACAGGTGATTTTACAACATCTCCAGAAATCACACAATTATTTGGAGAAGTATGTAATTCTTGTTGAAAAATTTAGTAAGTGGATGCATATTCGATATAACAAGTTTCCACCTACATTTGCATTATATACTTTTTAGATGGTAGCAGTTTGGATAATACATGAAAAGATAAGAATTTCAAAATCTCCTTTTCAAATTATAGAATTAGGTCCAGGTAGAGGAACGTTAATAAAAGATATACTACGGGTATGATTTTAGTGTTAGATATATCAAAATTAATAAATTACTATATGAATATAAATTTACTATATAGGTATTTAAACAATTACGTGTCCTAAATGATCTGTCTGTTCATTTGGTGGAGATCAGTCCTGCTCTTTCCTTAATTCAAGCAAAAAATTTATGTAAAATAATTAAAGAGCATAACATTGAAACAAATGAATCTGAATCAAATTCCATTACTTATTATAGAGAAGGAATTACAGAAGATAATGTGAAGATATATTGGTATCATGATATCAAAGATGTACCTAAAGAATTCAGCATATTTGTAGCACATGAATTCTTTGATGCATTACCTATACATAAGTTTCAGGTATATGAAATGGTGAATATTTAATGGAAGATCATTGATATATGCTATGTGAACAAAATGATTTCAACCTTAGAAAACTGACAAAGGATGGAACGAAGTTCTGGTAGATATAATTGAAGGAAGCAATGAAGAAAAGTTTCGTTTTGTGTTATCAAATAAACCAACCCCTGCCACACTTTACATACCTGTAAGAATACATTTTCATTTCTGATATTAAACTAAAGCAATGAACAGAAATCAAGTAAGAATATATTTTGTAGCGTGACGAAAAACGGGATCATGTTGAAGTGAGCCCGCAAAGTTTACTGACAGTGGAGTATATAGCTCAATATTTAACGGAATGGGGTGGATTTGCTTTAATTTGCGACTATGGTCATAATGGCGATAAAAGTGATACTTTTCGTGCATTTTTCCAACACAAAATACATGATCCATTATTACATCCAGGCACTGCAGATTTGACGGCAGACGTCGATTTCAAAGCTATAACGGAAGTCGCAAAGAAAGATAATAAATTAATAACATTTGGGCCAGTAACTCAAGCAAGTTTTTTAAAAAACCTTGGAATTGATGTAAGATTACAAATACTATTAAAACGTGCTTCAGAAGAAGAAAGGAAACATTTGGAATCTGAATATCAAATGATAATGGATGAAGATAAGATGGGAAGACGTTTTAAAGTTTTGTCATTATTTCCATCTATTTTGAAATGTTATTTTGAGAAACTTCCAGTGTCAGGATTTTCTAATAAATAGAAACACAACATCTAAAATATATCGAAGTTAAGTGAATAAATAAATGTAAGTGAAATGACATTTATCTTTGTTAACATTTTTATAGAAAGTTATTATCGTACTTTTAATGATTATATTTGTATATACAAATTTATTTATTAAAATCGTACTTAAAAATTAAGCACAATTTTAAATTCCGCAGTCATACTTTTTCCATATTTCTGAAAATTTTAATACTTTTTCTCGTTGTTGATCAAAATTTTCTTTTCTCGGCTTTCGCCACATATCGTGATCTAAATCTAACATTCCGCCAATAATTTCCTGTAATAAAACAAACAAAATTGCTTCATTTAGTAATAAATTTTTAGAAAAAAATTATTACCTCTGCAAAATTTTTTGGAAACATATGTTCTTCTTCGATAACATGTGCATATCCTTTATCTGTTTCAAATTCCACCATGAAATAAGATAAACCATTCGGAATAGCTCGACGTACGTCTTTGTGCTCAAGATTGATAATCTTTTTGTTCATTGACCATTCTGTTTCACACTCCAACAAGGCTTTCTATACCAAGAATATATAATATAGAGTCTAATGTTAGTAATTTATAAATCACTTATTACTAATATATATTTACCTTGAAATACATTGGTGCTGATTCGCCAATTTCTTTTGGTAAAGGAACACATTCTAATTGCATATGTGGAAATTTGTAACGACTTTTGTAAATTTCATAAAACACTGGATACTGGTTTAGGTCCATAAACATCTTATATAAAGCTCGTTTCAGTGTCTGAAAATAAGATAATTATAAAGAACGAAGTTTATGCTTACAAAAAATGTTAAAAGAATCTGGTACCTTCAGTTTTTCCCAAACATTTTCATCTAATCGTAATTGACAAGCAACATGTTGTATAGGTGTTATTATACAGTGCCCTTGGGTCAAGGAAGTATAAGAAGGAAGGCTCAAACAAATTTCAGAATCCATTGTAACAATCATATGTTTCAACATATAATTTGACTCAATACACCACCGACAACTATCCAAACTTTTTGATAGCTGTTTGTGTTCCTTAATGGCGAGAGAACGATCTTTGTCATCTTGTTTCGCATTTGATTGAACGCTTGTGATTTTTTCTTCAAATATCTCATCCATGTCCATATTCTGTAAAACGATTCATACATTTACTGGTTTAGATTATTGTTATAAAATGTATTACACACCTTAGAAGCAATTTTAACAAAGGTTGCATCATCTTCATTCACGGATCTTCCTTTTTCACGTTGGAACTAAACAAATATTATTATTTCGTTTGCATCTAGAATTATTCATTAGGTCCATTTCACTTCAGTAGAATACTTACTAATTGTTGCAATGAATATTTGTCATCGTCAAAATAATGCCGCACCCGTTTTCCAGAAACATGCGTATTTGAAGTTTTCCGTTTGCCTTTTTCCAAAGATTCTGTACATTGACTCCTGGATTCCAATGGTCTTGTAACACCTATTATGCATAATTAATTTTTAATAAATCATTTCCTCTAACTGTAACAAATTTTTTACGTGTAATGCATACCCAAAGCATCAGTCCTTGTAAGTATTACATTTTTAACTTTTTCTGTTCCATGTAATTGCACAGATTTTGCAGCAAGTTCTCTAGCTTCTTTCAATTGAATTTTTAATTCAGCTGCAAGTTCCTACAAAAGGAAAATACATCAAATTTTAATTTATTAATATGTTTACACATATAATGCAAAGACTATGACAAACGTACAGTATTACCCATTATTTCAGCTTTAACAATTTTTGCCCCTAACTTATTCATTTCTGCTTCTGTTAAAGATTTCATTTCTTTGGATTCAAAATCATCTACATTGCTTTTGTTTTCCACACTAATAGTTTTTAATTCAGATACATTTGTATCTAATTCATTCTTTTTGGTTTCTTCTGTCATTTCCTTTTTTTGCCACTTTTTTGTAGTAGAATGATGAGTTTTATACGATGTATTAGCAACACAATTATCATCCATTGGTTTCTTATATTTCTGTTTTTGTTTTGCATACTGTAAACTATCATGTGCCCTATATTGTTTATGTTCATCTTGACTTTTAGACATGGATCTAAAATGACAATCTCTCTTTGATTCCGTAGAACTATATGAATGTTGTCCATTGTCATTGTACTTTTCATGTTTTCTTAATTGATTTTTAAACTTGAATTTTTTACTATTATCCACAATGTTTCCTGATGTTCTTTCTGCTTCAGATATCATTGACTGTATGACTTCCAAAGACTAAAACAATTAATAGTGGAATTAATATTATTTTTATATTCCGAAAATAATTAACAAAACACACTTACACCCCATCTGTCAGCTGCTACTTCTTCCAGACTTCTTCCCTCGTGTTTTGCCTGTTCTTGTGCTCGTCTAAGGCTTTTTTTTAACCAATCCACAGATGCTATTTGCTTTGTATCTGTTTTTGTTAAGCTTGTACTGGGTAAACCATTGCCACCATTTTTCCAATAAGGATTTAATTCTCTGGCACTTTGGCCCAATTTATCCAAATCAGGTTTATCAGCATTTTTATCTGTTTTCGAGGATGATGATTTGTCATTAAACATACACGGAAATATACTGTTTAAATTCATCCAATCCTCTCTTTTGCAAGATTTTTCTTGGGTCGACGAAGTAGGTGTATTTTGATCTGTAAATACAGATTGTGATATTGGCTTTTCCACCCACTCATGCTCATCTTCACTACTGTTCTAAAATTATATTATATTTGTAATGAAAGACGGAATAAATACGACAATATTTAAAGAGGTTAAGATGGTATCGAATACTTACTGAACTTGAGCTTAATTCATTATATTTTTCTCGCTTTTTATGTTTATTCTTATGTTTTTTCTCCGATTTGTGTTTCTCATGTTTAGATTTGCTTTTCTCTTTCTTGTGTTTCATTCTTCTTGGCCTAAAATCGCTGCTACAAATTACGCATCGTAAACACAGTAGTTTGTTAAGTCGCGCCAATGAGAGTTATGGCTTTAACGTTTCGTGAAGTTCATAATGTGAACACGTAGTTTAATGATATGTTATCCTCAGGGCTGAATTAAGGTTTGAAAAGCAGAATGTTAAAGACGACAGAAAGTCCTGTTGTTGAGGAAAGCAGGTAATGGCGGCATTTGTAAATATTTTTAAAAGGGAAAGCGTCATACAATTTGTACAGTTGCAATTAGATTACAACTTTAGGATTCTGAAATGAACAGTTTGTATAGATGAAAATGAACACAGAGTTCGCTGGACAAGGGTTAAAGGGTAAGGCCCAAGTTTGCAATTGCCTTTAGCCTCGTCCTTAATTTGTGTCTGGCTGTTTTGATCAGTTATACTGGAGGCATTGAAACTGTTTCGAGGTCACGGCGTATATATAGCTCTAGGCTTACAATTGGTGGATTAACACTGAAAATTCTACGTTCTACCAATTCGAAATTACCAATGTCGTTTCACCAATTGGAAGGCTTTACTCCTTTAGACCAATTCAATGCCGCTTTGTGTACACAATATAGTTAAACCTGCCGCATGAGTGGGTTGAATCGTGAAAAGATTATAAAGCGGACGAATGAATTTTTAATAGGAAATTGTTATCAATTATAGAACTTTTAAAATGATGTCTATTATTATACGTAAATAGTTATGTATTTATATAAATTTTGCATGCTTGTTTGGGACATGATCTCTTCTACTGTAACTATGCCATAGTCACGTGGTCATGTTTACCGTAGACTTTCGAGTTGAACGCAGTATACCTTTCCTCAGAATTTACGTTAAAACTGTACTATAGATGATTTAACCAACCAATAGCGGGCTACGTAGTTACCGCGTCGTAGATTTTGCCGCGCAAACGTTGCGATCATCATTCGTGAGATAATTAACCGAATATACTTGGCAGTTGTGACTTTGTAAGTTGTTTGTTATTTTTCATTGTTCTGGTGATGTTTTCTTTGAATTTGTGACACGTTATATCGCAAGATATTTCATATTTGACAGTTTTATAATAAATGTTTATTAATGTTTTACAGCACGTTAATAACACGTTGATTGATTGTTGATAAATGTCTAAAGCAGGGCTATGTTTCTAATGCGAATGAAAATAATAATAATAACGATAATTTCTACCAATATTAGTTGGTTTTTCAAAATGCTTAATATCACAGCAACAAATAAAAAGAATTTAAGTTATGAACTATTTAAATTACTTTTCACAGAAGTTTGTTGTAATATGAAATATAGTAGAAATATATTTTTTGCAAAGCAATTGTTCTCAACTAGCTTTTTAATAGTCTAATGTTTATGTTTTGACAAATTAAAGTATAACTTTTTCAAGGTTTCAGGTGAGTTTATAAAAAATGTTGGAATCTGATCAAAGTGACAAAGAGACACAGGATGAGAGGCCTGCTCTGGAGGTACCTAATAAGTCCTTAGATACCAATGTACCAACACAAAAGAGAATACACGAAGACTCATCAGGGGATGAGAAGTTACATTCAGTTTCTAAGAAATTATGTACTTCTACCGATAAAGTTACAACCGAAGATAATAATACAGAATATATCCCAGAAGTTAATGGTAGCGTTAAAGATGTAAATGAATATGCAAAAAATATTAATACAACTGATGATAAAGATGATGCAAAATGTACATCTATGGTGGAAGAAAGTACAGGCAGCGATACAAAAGAATCGCACGATTTAAACTCTGAAAATGAGAACGAAGAAGAATGTATTAATACTAACGACGACGTCAAGACTAAGATTCCCAGTGAGACCTCAATGGATAGCAATAAGGTAATAAATCACATGTGTACTTTAAATTTTAAGTTGTGAAAATAAATTTGCACTGTAAGTGCTTTTTGCTTAAGACATTACTATGTTATAATATTTCTTTTTTTATCCAAAAGGATAATGTATCTACAGAATCTGATACAAATGTTGATGCAAAAGGAGAAATAACAAAGAAGGAAAAAACAGAGAAAGGAGACGATAACAGTAAACAGAAAAAGAAACACGGTAAATCACAAATACAAGATTCTGAAGTAGTGGAAGGGTTAGAACTTTCAGTAGAATGTGCCAGTGACAAAGAAACAAGTTCTTCTGAAAGCGAGGATGAGACGGATAAAAAACCTAAACCAAAAACGATAATTGTTAAAGCTAAACCTAACGATTCCGAACTTGATGTTAGTTCTTCAGAGGCAGAGAAATCAGATTCACAGGATGCAACTGAAGTACTGTCTAAACAAAATGCAAAAAAAGAAAAAAAAAGGGGTCGAACATCTTTCAGTAAAACAAAAGTTACCGATTCCGAAGAAAACGATGACATTTCGGATGAAGATTATAGTCCGCGAACTAAGAAGAAACTTAAGAAAACTACTGTAAATAAAAAAGCTGTAAAATTACCCTCAGAATCAAAAAGGGGGCGTGGTTCAGTGAAAAAGGCAACTCAAAATTTGGCTGTAAAGGATGCGGAAGAGAAGGAGGGTCATACATCTTCTAGTAAAGCAAATGCTACTGATTCTGAAGAAAATGATAGTGTTTCGGATGAAGATTATAGCCCACAAACTAAAAGGAAACTTAAGAAAACAGTAAGTAAAAAAGTTACAAAATCATCCTCAGAATCAAAAAGAGGACGGGGTGCAATAAAAACGGGAGCTCAAAAGTCAGTTGCGAAGGAGATGAAAGAGAAAGAAAAGGATGAGGATGAAGATGAGGAAAAGGATGAGGAGGAGGAAAAGGAGGAACAGGATGAGGAGGAAGATGCGGAGAAGGAAGCCGAAAACCCCAATACAATAGATAATAAGAAAACTGAGGAAAGTCCATCTGATGAAGAGTCAGCGAAAAGTAAGAGTGAAAATGAAAATGATAGTGACAATTCAAAAAATGAGAAACAAAAACCTGGTACCGTAAGTTCAATATTTTAATACCTAAAATTTTTTTTTTCTATAAATACATATTTGTAAAATATATTTGTATTATTATAGCAAAAATCTGAGGATAAAAGAATTGAGTCTATGAAAAAATTTATTAGAGCTGCTGGAATACATGTAAAATCTTATAATGAACTGTGGGCTGGGTGTAAAACAATTAAAGCAAAGGTAATGTGTCTTAAAGAGTTGTTAGAAAAAAATGGAGTTTTTGGAAGACCAACTTTGGAAAAGTGTAGAACAGTTAAACGCAGAAACGAAAAGTTGAAGGATGTTGCTGAATTGAGTACAAGCAATATTATATCAGAAGGTTTGCAATTTTATAAGTTTAACCATAAATTATGAAAATACGTAGTCTACGATTTGCAGTTGCAATGTGTATTACTTTTAGGACGTGTTACACGTGCCCAGAGAAATAAGGATTCTAACAAGGAGGTAACAAGAACGCCAGAAACTCCTACAAAACACCGCGAAGCACGGAATTCATTTAAAAGAGTTTTAAGGGTCGTTGATAGTGATTCGGAATGAAACTTTGATAAAATTTGAAGGTAATTTTTGAAAATTGTTTATCAAATACATCTACATTAATAATTTACTTACCTGAATGTGGTAAGTATATATTTCATCTTTTAATGTTCGAAATTACATATTACTTACGTTCTCTATAAGACACATGCATAAAGTAAACTGATACCAACCAAATTGAAGGTGGAAATAAGATATTATAAGATATTTCGTGTAACTGTATTTTACAATATTTATAGCAGAGGAAAAATTTACTTAAATACAAATTATTATAAAAATTGACTTTTTAATGTGAAATGAGATTTTTAACTTAAGAATTACTGTGTAAGAAAACTATTCTATGTACAACATTATTTTATGTGTTTTGAATATGTTTACGTATTAGTTTGAGAAATCTGATATTTACAACATTTTAAAATTGTATTATTATCTTATCTAATTATATTACCTTGTACTTGAAATTAGCTTACTTACTCGTAAGTGTAGAAAATATTGTGAGATCAAGGCAATTTTTGTTGGCTTCTTGCTTATGAAGGATTTCTTTGTAATAGGTATGTTATTTCTAGATTATTAATTGCGAACAGTTTAACGCTTCTTGATTAAAAATGATAACTACTGAAATAATATCCATTAAAAGTGTCAAAAGGTGTTGAACTAATTTTTAAATATATTTTTTTATTTTCAAAATTGTGTTAATCCTGTGTGGTTGGAATATTAAGCTGTCTTTTTCATCTGAAGAAGATAGAATGAGTTATATATAATTCGTTGAAATGATGGAAGATGTGAAAATTGTATTATAGCTGAAAAGTCAAAGTAGGGTTCTGGTTTGTTGATAAATTAAATTTCAATATTATGATTAAGTATTATTTGAAGTATAAATGTGTATAAGTGTATTTAAAAATAATTAACAGGTATTAATTATAGCAGACGCCTAGCGTTACTAAAAAACGAAAAAAGATAGATAGCTGATGTTAATTAAAATAATGTTGCTAAGCTTTTAGAAAATTGCAATTAATAAAAATGTCAATCTTTCATTCAAGTGAACCAAAACCCTGTCTTTAAGGAAAAGAAAGTACGACTATCAGTGCGCTCCAGCCGCAAAGGATTAAAAGTATGCAACTGTAATCAGCTTCTTTAGAAACTCAAAAGTACCTTATAAAATCATACAACTGTAATATTTTTTTCTAAAAATAATTTGAATTACATGTATTCTAATAAGTTTTTACAGAAATATCATAGATTTATAATGATTGAGTATTCTAATATGGTTATATTTAACAAAAGTAACATTTTTATTTCTTCTTTCTAATTAATATTATATTTATAATTAATCACAATGTTTTTAACATAAAGATTACAATTGATATTTGTTATAAAGTGCTTATGCATTAATTAAAAAATATATTTCTTTACACAAAACTGTGTAAAATCTGTTTTTTAATGATATATGCATTTCATATTAATAATGTATACAAAAAAAAATGAAGCTACATGCACTGTTTTATGGCAAAATATAAAAACAAAAGAAAATGAAAAAATATTATCAAAACGCGGGCAGTACATTGAATCTGATATTAAGTTTACGTATGTAGGAACTTCGAAATGCATTCTTTACTGCAGAATATTTTTTTCTCTTTAACTGCTATTCTACCATTCAATAAGTTTTTCTTACAAATGTAACAACAGAAACAAACTTCTGTTGCGTGAAAATGCAAGTCTTTCACAGGAACACCTTCCTGGTTAGCGGCAATTACCTTTTCGCATGCGTTACATGTTTTCGCATACGTTTTCTGATAACATGGAAGACATAATGGACGATCGTTCTCTGTGATATATTGTTTTCCAGCTAAAGGAACATCACAGTCCCAGCAACAAAAGTGTTTCACATGGTAATTATGACCTTCTGCGACAGTATACTCTCGAACAAAAATAAGCTGAAAAAGGAAACAGAAATTACATTGCAAAGCACGAAATATTAATAATCAATTGATTCATAAAAATTCAACACTTATACAAAACATGTTTACCTCATCGCAGGCAAAACATCTAGGAATTCCTAAAAATGTCGCTAAATCTCTGCCGCAATATAATTTATTTTTATAATAGAAGTATACTAGATCTGCTAATAATTCGTTGCATATATTGCAAACAAAACATCCGGGATGCCACATTGAATTTTTAGCTTTGTCAGTTATTACGGCGACATCGCCAACGTGTATCTCTCCTTTGCATTCGTGGCATTTTTGTGGCTTAGCAGCGTCCATTGTTAGTTCTTCGACAGCACCTTTTAGATGTTCTATGTTCGGTAAATTTTGTATTTGTTGATTTGTTCCGCCGATAGTTTTGTAAGGGAATATTTGATTTTGTAATTGTTGAGAATAAATAACAGTAGAAGGTGCCACGAGATTACTCAATTTTGCTTCATGATTAGCGGTATTAGAAAATTGTTGACATGTTTGTGGTAATGGCATTGGTAAGGAAGACGAACCTTCTTTTAATTTCGTAGGAGTCAGCAATGTATTTTCTTTTACTTTGTCCTTATCATCTATATTAATAATTACTGTAGAGTCAAGAGGAGCAGATTGAACTATTTGTGAATTAGGCTTTATTACTTCTTTTTCTGCCTTTATTGATTTGGGTTCGACAGCGTTTCTTTCTACTTTTTGAATTCTGTCTCCTGTTAGAGTCAACACTCCAGGAGAATTTTGTATGGCAACAGTGACAGCTGCTCTCTCGGTCCCTTTATCAATATTTTTTATTTGCAAACCAGCGTTATTATTTTTAGCTAATAAATCATATGAATCTAAATTTCTTGCAAAACTGGGAGCATTGTGTGATGCCTGTACTTGATTTTCTTGGTTGCTATATTTATTTGTAAGTTTTTCTCGTATGAACATCAGACCCTTTTTATCTAATGTACTACCAATTATATCGTTGGCGTGTACTGTGCTAGGAGGAAGAAATGCATCTGCTAATATAGTTTCTGCAATAGCGGTATCATCGTTGATCGGATTAAAGTGCGTAAGATTAGAGGATGAATTCTTGAATATATCTTCAATTCCTTCAGTATTTGGAAACTTTAAACGTTCAGTCATTGAACTGTCTTTGTTTACAATATCATGATGATTGTTATCAGATTTTGGGCAATTAATTGGATAAATACCCTTGTCGTAAAACCTAGATTTAATTGGTTCTGATTTTACAGTCTCACTGCTGTTACTATTTATGTTATATTTTTCAAGAACTGCTATATCGTTGATGTTATTAACGTTAGTTAGTGTTTCTAAATTAGGTGCGTTGTGTTTGTTCCATTTATCATGGAAATCTTTTTTGTACGAACTTTTCGGAGTAAAACTACTTGGCGTGCGCAATTGAACCATATTTGATGGTACAGTAGGTTTATTTTGTGGACTAAAACGTTGCATGTCGGTTGCATTAGCGGGTGTCATTAACGATCGTTCGAACGGGCGAGCACTTAGTATCTATAATATAAAAAAAACATATATTATAATCAATAAATGTCACAATAAAATTTTTATTACAATAATTTACCTTTGTCACTGTTCCCTGTCCCACGTATTTTTTTATGCTTTCCAAATACTTCTCAAATTGCTTCATTTCTTGTTCACTCAGTTTATCACAAACTTTATAATCTATGTCATGAAGGGGAAACTGTTTCTGTAATAATTGTCTTCTCAGAGCTGCACCAGCTGACCCTTTAATAGGCAACTTTTCTACTGGGAAGGCTTTCATATAATCTGCAGCAAGTTCTTTTGTTGTATCTGGTGGTATCCATTCAAATGCTTCTTCTGCATGTTCTCTTTCATTATGTATATGTAATACTAAAAAAGAAAGAAATTAATAATTATTATAATATATATTAAATAGATCATAATTTAATTTTAATGATATTTACAAACGGGTTTCTTCTTGTATTTTCTTGAGGAACCAAATAACAAATCAAACTGTGGAAAATCTTCATCGTCTACATCATGATCATCTTTACTGCATTTACAATTTTTACAAGTCTTTCTCCAAAAATGCAAGTCCAAACCCGGGCATGTTGCTTTACAAATCACACAAGGTGCACCTGCTCCAGCTTCGTGCGCCAATCGAGGCTAAACAAAGTAACTAAAATGATCTCAAAATCCTTTTATGCCTCTAAATAAATTTATTAATAATTTATGAATACAATCTCTCGCACACGGATTCCTTTCATTCTTAATATGTAATTTATTTTTTTGAGTTGTTAAAAAATAGAATTCTATTGTAACAATAGATCTATAGAATATAGTTATAAAAAGAAACTTTTCTGAACAACTGCTTTTTGTAAATAATACAATGAAGATATGAAGTTGTAAGAAAATTTAAAAAACATGTTTATTTTTAGTAAGATTTTGAACTTGTCAGAGACCCACCTTTCTCTTTCGATTTTCTAGTTCTAACAACCATTTCGGCCGATCGTTTGATTCTATATCGCTCATTTTGAGTTAGTTTCTCTTGATTATTATATTGTTCTTTTATATAAATAGATATAACCGTAACAATTTAATAAAATATAAGCTCGTATAGTTCCTTGACACTTGCACGAACGCGTGACTCACCGCTATAGCTCACGACTGTAGTTCAGAGGACCAGTGCTTACGTTTTCCCCTTCTACCATACTCGACCTAAGTGGGGACCACTCAAAGATGAATTTCTTCAAAGGGACCACACATACACATACTATACAGTATTCACATATGTGTACGCCGGCATTCTCCTCAGTGATACTCAACAGATGATTACGCATGTACTTTTCCATGAGGGAACAATATAAAGAATCTTATTTCCACAAAAATCTTTTAATTTATTTAACACGAACCATATTTAATAAATTGTATAGTTGTTTTAAATTTTCGGAAAAAGTGTTCCGTTTTCAAGAAAATGCCAATACATATTTCATTGGCAAGGATTTATTTTTATCTGAGTATCACTGAGTAGATATCTTTATCGCGCTTGTTTATATACCAGATAAGAATTCATATAGGATAAGTGGAATGAGATTGTTCAAAAGCAGTCATAGTGGGGACTATAGGATCTCATGCTATAAACACCTTAGTACAATTGTTTACCTTATCACTTTATGGGTGATAGTATTTCGTATATACAAATGTACAAAAAAAACATTACGGAGTACCATATTTTTCACACGCTGTTTTTATCAATTCCAAAAGCCGCATCAAATTCTTCGTGCGAAATCTGGAACAGTTATCGTGAATGTAATCACTGATTGCAAGTAATTTGTCATTTTCGAAATTATGTGCATTAAAGATACCTTTTTCTTCTTCAATTTCTTAATTAACGCGATATCCTTCGCCAATTCTTCGATATCTTCTTCGTTAATTTTTCTTTTTCGTTTCTTTGTCGGGTTCGTTGACACTTTCTGTTTCAGTTTTTTCTCTTTGCGTTTCTTACGATTTTCTTGTTTGTCCAGTTTTTTCTTTTTAGCTTCGGACCAAGATTCGGTTTCTTTGCGTTTACATTTACGTCCTGTTGGCCATACACCGCTATCCCGAAAGATCTTCAGTTTTTCTAAACGATGTTGCTCCTTTTGTTTGTTTGAATAAGCAATTGAATTAGTATCAATGTTTTCGGGTTCGAAGGCCGATGTATCTCTTCCTTTAAGTTCAGGCATTCGAGGCATTCGTAGTAGGCCAAAACTCAGTGCAAGTTTACCCAGATCAATGTCTTTTAATCTTAGTATCAAATTACATTCGTGTTTATTGTATGCCTGTATGTATGATACAAACGCCCTGTTGGCTTTATCAAAAAGGAGACGATCTTTTTTCTGTAAATTTCTCATACACTTTAAACATTTTTCATACAAAATTACAGATGGTTCCAATGTTATATTTTGTAAATCTACTTTTTGATTTCTTTTGATGAAATCTACATATGTATCTTCTGTTTTCAGTAGGAATAATAACGCATTTCCTTCGTTGCCAATTCTGGCAGTCCTGCCGCATCTAGAACGAAAAGTAAATTCGATTATAAATAAAACTTAACTTGGAAATTAAGCTTTATATCAACATCTTAAATAATTTTAATATTCCCACCTATGGACAAAACTACTAGCCGAACATGGGGGATCATATTGTAACACCCAATCTACTTCTGAAATATCAACACCTCGAGCCATTACGTCCGTGCAAATTAAAATGCCGCTTTTGATATTTCGAAATTCATTAAATACTTTATACCTCTTGGTCTTCATTTTGCCATGAATTGCAAGTATTTGAACCAATGGCAGCAGTCTAAAAATGTAACACATTATAAGATCTATTTTCATAGACTTACATTCAATTACATTGCAGTTGTACTCACGCCTGTATAACATAACTAAAATAATCTACACACGCGCAGGTAGATAAAAATATCATATACTTTAAATTAGTTCCCTTTTGTTGAATAAAGTCTATCATTGTAGATAACTTGTACTCTACATTGACAATAGTATAATTGTTTTTTAAGTTTGACGGTGTAGAAATATTTGCTTTTTCTTTAACAGATACCAAAGCTGGATTTCTCAATCCTGCTCTGATTAACTGCTGTAATTCCTTTGTTTGTGTTGCAGAAAATAAACCTGTTCTTCTGAGACGTGGTAGATAACTTAATATTGTATCTAATGTCGCAGAAAAACCCAAGTCTAACAATCTATCTGCTTCATCTAAGATTAATATTTCCTGAAAATGAGATGATTAGAACTTACATTAGAAAAATGCATTGTTAGTGAAATATTTGATATTTAGAATTAATTACCAGTGATTTCACACGAGCTGCCAAATTTATGCTTTTGCAATTACATAATATATCTTCTAATCTACCAGGTGTTGCCACGATAATATTCACAGCTGCTTTAAGTCTGTCAGCATCTTCTGCAATCGTCGTACCTCCAACAAGTAATATTTGTTTTAAATATGGAATATTGTCTAAAAACTTTTGTAGAACTTCATTTATTTGTACAGCTAATTCTCTGGTAGGGCTGATTATTATTGCTCCAATTTCTGTAGGCTTCCATTTCTCTTGTCGTTTCTGTTTTATGTGCAAACAATTTATTTAATATCTATTCCTTTGTGTTAAACAAATGTTATCTGAGATACATTAGATGTTTATAAAATTTTCTTTAAATACCTGTAAAATTTCTAATAAGGGGACTATGAATGCAATTGTTTTTCCACTACCTGTTACTGCTTCTGCTGCAACATCTTTCCCCTTCAATAATAGTGGAATAGAAGCTGCCTATACATAGTTAAATAAAAAATTTCACATAAAGGGCAACTTTCGTTAAAAAACGTAAACAATGCTTTTATATAAATCAATGATTTCTAGTACATATTTTACCTGCACTGGTGTCATAGAAGAGAATTTTAATTCCTCAATGGTTTTCAATACAGAATCACTTAAAGGCACTTCTAATTCTTTCCATTTTTGTGTCTTCATTGTAATTTTTTAAGTTGTACGCGTTATACGAATTAAGCTATTAAAAATCGCATGTGTTTTTAACATAACGATTTTTCATATAATTCCGGTCCTTTTAGGTTATGTTCGTCAATGCATCTCATTGGTACAGTTACTGTTAATTTAATGGTTCCCAAATGTTTAAAATTTCTATTGTTTTTTTGAAAATATTAAGTTTATTTTAAACAAAGAATGTCTAAGTAAGACATGATCTTGACCACAAGAGGGACATATTACGTTTTACGATTAAAGCTTAATATAAAACTAGAGTAGCGTGGAAAATAAATCATTGTGTACAAGTTGGCTTTTAACGCATTGACTTTATTTTGATGTTTTTTTAAATCTCTTCGATATAAAATTTGTGTCTAACGATGCCACACACTCAACTATCTCTCAGATAAGGATCGTCCTTACCTCCGTTTCCTTTATATACACGACTAGGTCTAAGGCCGTAATTCAAATTCTTTTTCAATGCCATAGCATCCGACAGTACTTGTTTACACGTAAGAGGTACACAATTAATTCAAATGTTTCGATAACAATTTTTGAGTATTTAACGCAATGCATTCTTCCCGAACTGTTCGGCAATAAAATATCGTTTGTATGTTACAATTTTAAATTTCATTGAACTTTTCCTACTTGGTAACATGAGCTATTTATAAAAAAAAAAAAAAAGAAGCAAATTCGTGTATAAAGGCTTTACATAGATCATGCATTACCTATGTAAACCATGCGTAAATTTAAAATGTTCTAATACTGAAATAATAACTCGATTATCAAATGAAATATGGCTAAAGTTATTTTCTTTTATCATATTATTTGTTAGCATAACATCTTTGTCTTTTTGTCTATTCGAACAAAAACTAAAATATGTATATGTTAGTGTAGATACAGTGTGTAACATCGGAATTTTATGCCCTGAGTCACTGAACAGAAATAATATAATTTTTTAGTACAGGACATTTGTACCCCTTTACATATTCACAGATGCTTTTCTGTCACGACAATCGTCTCGTCGTTTTCAACGACATTGTTTATCGGACCCTTTTTTGTTTTCTTATACGACATTTTTCCTAATTCGACTTAGTCTCTGCTTTGAGGATGTTATGTATCAGCATCTCATAACAAAATCCATCGTCAACAAACTGCAAAATTTTAAACTGCATCTGGATACATTCGTCATCGTGTCTTTCAACTTCGCACATTCGTATGTAATTTGATCAAATTTAGAAGAGTTACATCGATCTATTTCTATGCTTTCTGTTCATTGCAGTGAAATATCACGTATGAAAGCGCGAGCAGAAAAATATGCCATATATTCTATTTACATCATTCCAATAATTACTTTGTGTAAAAAAAAAAAAGATTTTTTACTCGCGTAACATACCCGCAATTTTTCCGCTTTTTTTTAGTACTTCGATCTTTCTCGAAGATACGTACACCATCAGCCTATCAGATAGCACTCTGCATCAACCTCACAGGTTGGATTTTGGCTTAATAAATGTTTACAAAGTAGTGCGAACTACTATAATTGAGATTGAAATGTTTTTAAATTTCGTAATAGTCACAGTCCCTCCTTGTTGTCTTTTCCATTTTCTAAGATATTATGTAGGCACCGCCTATCAATATACGATTTCAAAGTATATCTTGGTTGCCAATTTACTTTTTACATTCTGCCTTTTTTTTTTTTTTTTTTTTATAAATCAACCTTCAAAATGATGTATTCTTTTCATGTATAATATATAAATTAATAATTCATAGTTTTTTTTTTATGGTTGTAAATTGCATATTGAAGTGTGTTCCGTGTGATAAAAAAATTCAAACATAATATTCGAGGGACTAAACATTATCGTAGGTCACTCGCAATTAACTGACCTATTCAAAAAAGTCACTTTCAAGATGATCAGCACTTTGCTTTACATTAATGCAACATTATCTACTTATAAAACCTTTCCTCCATAAAGATTGCTGTTTATTACTTGAGTTAGTTTAAAAGATGTATTACTTTTGTCTGGAATGATATCGCTACTATCAAGAAAAAAAACAAACAATGTTTAGACGTTAAGGCTAAAAAATGATGGAACATACACAGCTGCTTATTGGTGTATCAATATAATATTACAAGCAATAAGTGAAAGCCTCTTCAAGTGCCTAATGCCATCGTGAAAGTAACTTGAATTTGTAAACCTTATTCTATCTCTGCAGAATACTAGTAGTTCCTTCTTTCTTCATCCATTTTTGATCGCAGCTACTGATTGTGCGGCAAAATCACTGGTATAGTTTGCTGCGCTCCAGGAGGTGGCTGCGGCGGTAGGTATTGCATGTGATGTGGTGGTAACGGTATATGAGGAGGAATTATAGGACACATTATTGGATAACTTGCAGCATGGCCTTGGGGAGGTGGTGGAGGATATGTGGGTTGTGGAGTACCAGGAGGATTGTAAGTGCCTGGCGTATGTGGTGGATTGGGATTAGCTGGAGAGGGGGTCTGACTTGGTGGTTGTTGGGCAACGTGTGGGTGGGGATGTGTATGTGGACCCATATACTGAATACCAGGAGCCTGTGGTCCTGGCGAGTCATGATGATGATAAGGTGTAGCCATATGTGGCGGTGGTGGTGGTGCCTGAACCATGCGTACCATCTGTTGATATGCTGGTTGGCCAGGATAAGGCACCTGGAATGGTGGTTGCAGAGGGGCCGGTGCCATTAAAGGCTGTCCAGTTGCCGCTACCACTTGCATTTGAGAAGCTATATCTTGTGCGCGATGCTGCGCATGCATCACCGGCACTGGAATAATCACAATAAGGTATAACTTACATTACAAATAAAATCAAATAAACATTACTAATATATTAAGAAAGAGAATCTTTGTGTTTCTTAACCTTTTCATGCCTACCGTATCAGTTTCGGTACACACCAGTTTCGCGTAACTTTTATTCTTATTGCAATATTAACTGTGTTGTTCTGTGTTCAGTATAATTTTTCGATACGACGTTTAGACTGATGAGCATTAAAAAAATAAAAATAATATTCACTGCAACGAGGTGCGAACACGATGACGTAATTTTATGGTTTATATTTATAGAGAGACAAATGACTGATTATAACAGACTTAAAAATAGCTTCGTTGCGAAAGTCAAATAATTTTGATTATGTACATTGCTATAAAATGCAAAAGCTTAAAAAAATGCGAGCAAAGCGACACATTTTTTTAAGTATAGGTGGAATGTTACTACTTTGAATATTATTTAGAAAATATATATATATATTTAATGAATTTCAGAACCTGCAACCAGATATGCATAGATTTTTGTAAATTGCACGTGACTTCCAGATTTAGGTCGCACGCTAGAATCGCTGACTGCGAAAATGTTAAAATAGCACCAGGAAACCTTTATTAACATAGAGAATTGGATTAGAGAATTGGAAATAAGATGCGGATACCTAGATACTGACCCTTCCGGAACCTTGTCACAGGTTGAGCCGGTGGTTGACTGAAAGCAGTTGGTGGTTGGCTAGTCATAACGTATGCAGGCATAACTACAGTTGCAGGCATTGTTGCACCAGTGTATTGTGGTGTTTGCGGAGTATGCGGTCTACTAGGCGTTGGTGTGCTTGGAGATCGCTAAAAGTATGCAGTTATCACATTTATTATCTAATTATAATTCAAATATTTTATATCGATATGTAATTAGCTTACCTGTGTGAAAGGCTTAGTATTTGGATTGAATTCTTTAGCATTTGGATTTAACGTCGACTTCTTGAAAGCCGTCGTAATTTTGTCAACAGTAGATTCTTGTGGGGCTTGTGGCGCAGTAACTGCTGGTTCCTGTGGTGCAGTAGCACCTTGAGAGGGACTCGTAGGTCTTACAGGTAACGGTCCTGGCGGTGGTTTACTAGTAACAACAGTTTCTTCTTGAACTGTTTGATTTTGATGTTGCTGTGGCTGTTGTGTACTTGGATGTTGCTGTGGCGGTTGTTGTTGCGTTTGTGGCGGCGCTGTATGTTGATGGGGCGATTGATGATGTGTCTGAGTAATTTGTGTCGAAGAATGAGAATCTTGTGGATGCTGATGTTGTTTTCTTGTTACTGGGGGTGCGTCTTGTGCTTGTGTGTCTGTTAATTTGAAGTCTGTGGCAAATTGTCTTAATTCTGAATGTTGTTCTTCTCTACTGCGGGGTGTTGGAACCTTCGATAATACATAAATTTTTTGTAATTATTTCGTAAAAATAGATACTTCAGAAAACAATTTATAGATAGAATTTTATTACCTTTCTATGATCTGATTTGTGTGAAACTATCTCACACCGTTGTCCTTCTACCGAAGTTTGTTGCTGTAACTGACTGTGTTGTTGATGCGACGATTGCTGGTGAGACGTAGTAACGTTTGTCTGAGGGAATGGTGCTGGTGGTGCTTTGTCAGCTTGATATACTTGCTGCCTTCCAGGACGTTCCCGTTTCTCTGTGCTTATTTTATTCGACGAAGATTGCTGTTGGGGTGGTGGAAAATTTACTTGCGGTATAGAAGGAGCAGCTTGAGATTGTGTTTGTTGCATCACAGGTACTATAAATATCGTAATAAAATGTTGATCAAATATGACAAATATTTAATTAGTATCATTGTAAATGTAATTTTTTAATACCTGGTGGTGGTGGTTGCGTTGCTGGCGGAGGTACAAATGGTCGTGGAGAATTATTATATGTAACCACTACTCCACTAGGTGGCATTCCCATATTTATAGGTACTGGATGTTGTACAGAGGGATGAGCGCTTTGCATTCCAATCGGAAGATTAGAAGAGGGGGGAATATTAATGTTTACATTGGACGGAGATTGTTGATTGAAAACATTTTTATTGGTAGTCGCGGGTCCTGGCGAAGATGGGGGTTCGTTAGATCTCATTAATTTTCCACTGTTTCCATTTTTCTTCTTCAGTGGGGGTGGAATATATTTACCCTCGTTGGGTCTTACCTAAAATTATGCGTAATTAAAAGACAAACTGATTCCATGCTTTGTTACACGATTATGACAATAATAATAAACTGCACCACAGCTGCAAATCTTTCCTCTTCATCACCATTTTCTAATTCTAATCGCGCTTTGTGATTTGGTTGTGATTCTATTTCATTCGCTATTTCCGCAGCCTTTTGTTCTTGTTCTTTGTAATCTTTTGTATCTTTCCTTTGAAGTGGCAAAGTGTAGGCTGCCAAAGTTGGTTCGTACGTCGTTTGCACTCCATATTTTTGTTCATTTTTACGAAACATATCATTGGCATCCCATCCATTCTAAGAAAATTGTATGTACAAATTTAAAAGTGATTTATCTATATATTTATATGTATATTTGATTGTAAAAAATACTTACGGTAGTACCATCTAATTCTAAATCATCCCCATTCATGGTAGCAGGGGCATCCCAAGGTTCTAATTCTTTTTCACCAATTATACCATTGTATTTACTAATTGCAGTGTCCGTTTGGAACGTGTCGCGTATAGCATAATCTAAATCAACATCCTTGGCAGACATAGTTATGATATCTTGTGGCTTAAAAATCAATTTTTCTACTACACTGTCCACGCTTATTTTTCCCGAACCTTCTACGCGATGTGCCATTTCTAAGACAACGTCAAACTGACTGGAGAATGTGCGAAAAATACCTTCATATACAGAACCATTCAATGTTTGAATCTGTAGTAAGAATACAAACATAAGGAAATAGTAAATGATAAATATCATTTATTTTATATTCTACATGTTAATTATAATTATAAAACAAATTCTGATACCTGTACAATGTTACCAACATGACTGGTTATCGCATGCATAAAATGAGCATTGTTATATACACCTTCTGCAGCAACACATCTTTCTTGTGGGCCACGGGCACGAGGAGATCTATAAGTGATATTTATAAATGCATATTATATGCTAGCTTATATAAACATTGTTTATGTATCATTTGTAGAGAAACATTAACATCAAAAAATTGTTGACACCAGTAAAAAGTAAAAACGAGGAATTTAAGGGCACTAAGGAATTTGCTTGAAAATGGGATGGGGAAAACAGGTACCTGTTGGTATTCGAACGATTCTTTCTTTTGCTATTCATTTTGCCACCCGACGAGGACTCTTCACCAGAGGTTGGTGGATTTCTGCCGCCGGTTTGTTGCGGGCCTTCTCGTTTCCTAGTGGGGACCGGAATTTTGACTAATTTCCCGGTGACTGCTCAACGTCAAAAATATATTTTCGACCAAACGTCCCGATACGGGATGATATTGAGAACCCTTTATTTTACGGACTCCTCGTTAGATGCGGAAAGCTTCAATTTGAAATCTTGTTCGACCCCAGAACGATTGACAGGAGGCCGTACTGGCCGTAACAACTATCAACATTCACGACCGTTTTTGAATCACGATCGTTTGTAGGTTATGCGCCAATGGTATTGTTACCTAAACACTTGTTCGCGAAAGTCTAGCGCGTGCGTGACTTTCGAGTTTAAAGAGATACAAGAGTGCGAATAAAGAAAGCAGGAACACTTGGTATTCGAAGAGACGTACGGGGGAACACGGTGTCTGCCCGCCACGACACACACGATATCTTGCTGGTGCGTGACGTAACTCCGATCTCCTTACGCAGGAAATCACCCTTATGGAATTTCGCGTCGTGGGAGCTTAGAAAGGAACGGTAGGAGCCCCGAACAATGATTTTGGCCACGATATTGTATTTCTACTTAATTAATCAACATGTGATAAAAGATAAAACTTAGCACAAGTCGCCCGATCAGCCTGATCCCGGTGACTGTCGGATACAGTCGCCACCTAGTGAGAAATAAATGGATCATGCGATAAAGATCATTCGCAATTCCCTGCAAAGACCGTGTTTTCATTGTGCGTCGTCGATGCATGCACTTTCCTTCCTATTGAGAATCGACCTTGAATCTATTTGATATATACCTACTTGTATTAACTCGCCTATATTAAAATAAATTTACGATAATAAATAATTCTAGAATTTGTAATTTGTAAACTCTGCTATATTTTCGTATTAAATAAAATCATTGGACGGTTTTAAAATTATATTTTCAGAAGATCGTTTCCGTCGATTAAAATTGTTGCGCGCGCCTTCACCGTCGTCGGTGCATACTGCGTGTAATTTTCGAACGATACTCTTCGTCCTATCGGATATAAAATTGTCCACTTGACCCAGGACGTTGACACATTGAATTATCCACTCGAATCCTCTATTTATTCTTTCCGATCTGCTAGTACGAGCACCCAACCCACTTGATACAGAATTTGTAAGTCTTCCAATGTTATCTTTGCGTTCCTTGGCAAATATCACTCCAGCGTTCGTCATTATTATCTGATAAAAATTCAATGCAGTTTTGAATTATAAATTTGAAATGAGAAAGAAAGGAAGAAAATTGTTCGACTCACCATAGATGTCGCAAAAAGCAACAACAATAAAGCCCTCATTTTTTTTTTTTGAAAGCAATTCTCACATTTAAATTTCGTAAAACTGAAAATACTCGTACAATGCGTACAGAGTTTGTCGTCGAGCTCTTACGCCTCAGTTTTTGACTTTGTCATGAACACAATGGAGTACCATATTACCGATACTTTTTAACGAACTGGCCGTGTCTGCCAATAAATATATTTATTTCGTTTGAATGTTTTTCATTGAAACGGTATACGCTGACACGAGTAACAGAAAAAAATGGAACATTCTTAAAGATTGAGCAATTTGCTTAGCAAGCATAAGTATCCAAATTGTTGTTTCACAATGCATAATGGTATTTTGCAAAGGCAAGTGAAATAATACTTGTTTATCTAACTTTAACTGATCACTGAATTTTCAACAATTAGTGCCATAACTTCATTGGAAGAAAAGTATTGATATGTATTGATATAAGAAGATAAGTAATTTTAAATAGCCTTTTTTTATATATTTTTAATCTGATATATCAATGATATTATACTATTTCAACATTGTTCCAATAGATGATGCAGCTTTCAAGTATTTCTGGTAAGAAGTACATGGTTTTTATCATAACAAAGTTTGGTAACCATTGGTATACATATATACATGGTTTTATTCGATGTTTAACATTTGAAGGATAAAACAAAGGAATGGTAAAACTAAAAATTTAGATCGATTGTCGTATGCATTTAATTGATGAATATAATACAAAATTTGATAACAGGGTATGATATGTTTTCCACAGAAATTTCAAGAGAATACTTCTTGCTTAGAAGCAACAATTAATCGAGACCGTTTGTTTTTTGTCCCTTCTGTTTGTCATTTTATTTTTCCTAGTAATCAGGACATGGCTCGTTTAACGCGAGCTAGGTTTCTGAGCAGCTGCTTGCTGGAGATTGTTGTTCAGGTTCTGTGTCGCTTGTACAGCAATGTCCACCGCCTGTTTAGCGAATTTAGCAAGATCTTCCTGAATCTTTCCAGAGTGTTGGCTCAGAGATTTTGCAGCAGTATCGGATTCTTTAAGTATAACTTGAACTCCTTGTTGGAATTTAGATTCCAAATCAGCAACCTGTTGCTGAGCATTCGGGATACCACTGCTAATATCATCCACCGCTTTGGTCAGTTTGCCCTTAATGTCGTTCCACATCCTTTCCACCTCCGGACTTTTGTCTTTCACCTTGAAAAGTGTATATTTTGGCTCATTAAAAAATTCAAAAATAATATACAAGTTCTGGGTTAAGTATGCAATTTGAACTTTATCGTAATTAAAAATTTGAATAAGTAATTTAGAAATGAGACAGTCGATTCTCGAACTATACTTGAAACAAGATAGGGTATGCCTGTGTAGTTCTAAAATTAGTTAATTGATAACGTTACGATGAGTAATTGAATTCTAGAATTAGTAAAGAAGTAATTATATAATAGTTAATCTAGATAGACGTAAAAAAACATCCCACATTTCACATGATGAAATTTAGTTTTTACCTGTTCGGTGATGTTTGCTATGTACTGTTGAACATCGGTCACGAACGCGCTGCTTTGGTCTTTTACAGTTTGAACCAAGGTCTCTTGATCGGGAAGGTTCAAATGTTCTTGAATTTGTTTGCCCAGATTGTTGATGTTAGCTTGAGCCTGGCTGATAAGATCGCTTAATTGAACCTCAGGAGTCGTTTGGGTGTTAGCAGTGGTGGTCGGCGCGACTTTAGCCTCCGATAGGAGCGCAACGGCCAAGATGATCGCGATGATGCTCTTCATTTTTCTTCAATTCTTCGCGGTACAACTAGAAAGTGACTGATGTGCCAGCTGCGCAAGCTACTACTTTTATAGGCGATCCTTATCGAGGGTGCACGAGGGCAAACAGTGCCGACTATCTTGCCTCCGGCGATGATTGCATCCCTCTTAAGATGCTACGGCGAGGCGAAATCGACAAAGAGAATTTTCCATGACATTGTTCCGCAATGTTAATCTTTATTAAACAGGTGTGAGCAATGACGCATTATGTCTCCATGGAGCCCAAGATAAAATGGAGTTTGAGGCCTTCAAAGGGAAACCGAACTGAGAACATTTTTTTAATCGAATCATATTTTACCGAGATAACAAAACAAATAAGTTATACAACATCGGAGGAATGTTTAATCGTAACACTTAAAAAAAATTCTATTCCAATAGTTTCATAAATTAAAGAAGGTGAATTTAAATTTTCATTTTTTGTAAAACTTTTTTAAAAATATTAGCGTCAACGTCATTTGTCGATTCATGTAAAAAAAAAAGAGATTTATTACTTGTGTATTATAAACGAATATTAATTTTAGGTGTGCCCCTTGTTCGAGGTTTTAAGCAGATGTCTTTTGTGTCCATAGAATAAAGCGCTATTGTACACTATATGATCAAGACCACTATCTGACAATGTGCAAATACATTCAAGCACAAAAGTTGATGGAAATTTGATAATATCTCGTAAACTATATTTACCGTGTGTAACGCCGAGATGGTTACATCGAGCTAAGCTTCGTCTACCTTTAAACTACGGATTAATGATTAAACGTGTAGGATTTCGTTCGTTCGCTATAAATAATTTCGATACAGAAATCGGCACATTCGTTGCCGATTCCAGACTGATAGTCGAAAGCCATAGGTCAAGGAAGGTCAAAATTATCGTTATTTTTAGGTCACTTCGTTCCTGTCTACCAAAAATAGAATCGTATATCGTCCTAACATTTACACATTGAGATTCTTTAAAACGATTAATTTTTTATCGCGAGATGCGCGAAATTCCGTTTTTAGAAATCAGTTTGATAATACTATTTAAGAAGAGAAAGATCATCTTTGGTATTTTTCTGCGAATACATTCGCGCGTACGTAAAAATTTTCATAGAAAGTTACGTCAAGGGGGCAAGGTCCTGCATATGGACAAACCTATACCAATTCGCTTGTTGATTCTAGCAATTGCTGCACAAGTGCACATGCACAATCATCAAAGTTTATATCGGATAGTTATACAATATATTTTATATACATGCACATGTAAGTTCGTGTATTGTCAGTCAACATAAGCTTTGACCCGTGACGCTTCGACAACTTCCACACCATGTTGGTACAGTCATCCGATAAGAGTCAAAATATTAGAGAATCTGTTATCTGGCCGTAGTAAGATTTCATCCGAATTTTTATCAATATTTCGTTACGTAATTTGGATCATTTTTAATAGCCGACACCAATGACAAGAAAGTAGCATTGTTAAAGCTTTTTGCACGCATCGTGGGGCGTAAATCCGGGGCTAGATAAGTGAAAATGCTTCATGATGGATCGTTGTGTTTTATTTACAGATACTTTTTAAATTTGACGAGATACATTACGTAAAGTTGTTCATCGAATAATCGCACGATGAGCAATCTAAACTCCCGATAAATTAAACGTCAAAGTTTTATCTCAACGTTCGTGTCAAAGTTGACACTGCTTTCAAGGAACGTGCAAGTACGCGTGCACGTCCGAGACGCGACAAGAGCGACGCAACGTTATTTGAACGGAAGATTAAAGTAAATGTAGAGTCATCTGAAAACTAGAATTGTATGTATATACTGTATTTATTTATGTGCTTGAAACTCACCGCCACCGGTAAACGATATTATAATATATGTAGAACATAGTGTTTTTATTTTTAATTCTCAGGAATTCTGGATAAAAAGTCGAACGCCACGGAAGAGAACAAATTACATTCCACGCAAGAAGAATTAAATATTTATTTCGCGTTACATAGGTGGACACAAAGCAGTTATTCTTGGATCTTCTCGCCAATTTTCTCTGCTTCCTTGCGAATATTATCGCGAGCTTGGCTTATGTACGTTTTCGCTCTTTCGATGACATTGGCTATGTTCGTTTCGTTTATCCATTGGCCCATTTTCTCGTGTATCGTGCCCGTTGCACCGTTCCATGCGTCCTTCACTTGGTCCGTGAATTGATCTAAAGTGTTCGATGCCTGTTGCTGCGCATCTTGTGGCACAGGATTGGCCTAAACGGTAACGAGGAATGTATCGATTAAAATCTATCGCTTCTTTCGACGAAAATCTACCGCACTATATTTTTGAATAAATACCTCCAACAAGTAAAACAGAGAGACCAGAAGAACAGCGAAGAAAATATATCGGGCCATACTACAACGATGTTCCTTCCTGAGGTATCGTCAAATGTGTATGATAGTTTCTGTCAGAGGGACGGTTGTAAACTGCTTAACTAGATGCCTCGCGCCAAGAGCGCTACCGCGATAAAACGAATTAAGATCAAAGATCACACTAATAACCACTTAAAGTCTTCATGTATACTTGCGCGCAATACTCGATTCTCGATTGTCATCTAACTAACGTTGTTCGCTGTTCGTATTGTCTCTCCTTTGTACCAAATTGAAATGAATTGCTCACCAGCGGAATTACCTGCTTTTATTGCAACCAATTATTCCGCATCGCATCGTGAATTGCACTTTTTGCTATAGTTTGTCTTTGTTTAACGGAAATTGTGTAATTCCTTTATCTCTGTTTCCGTGACTTCAAAGACAAAAAAAAAAAAATTAAAGGAAACTTCGCCTCGGGTACACGGAAAAATTTTCAATGCTTGTAAACACTTCGCGTGTAATCGATCGTACGAGAAGAAAATTCAATTTGTAAAAATAAGCGTGTTTTTCACGTTCCATGATTCGTTTGAAATTTGAGAATCACTGCTTTATCTCGGCTGTAGTGAATCACACTAGTATTTAGAAACACCATGTTTATCGTACCATCCAGCTTCCGGAGCGATCCAATCGCTTTCTCAAGTATTATTACAATTTCAAATTTTTTTTTAATTACTCTGATCAGAATTAATTAGCGCTTTACTTGTTTTGATCGTTCGTTGTTTACTCTGTTTTCAGCTGTGCACGATTCAACACAGAAGATGGTAATTTTTCACAGGACTGGAAACTTGATCTTCGTTCTAGATTCCATCAAAATTATCGTACCACGATGATTACGTCATTGCATGGGTCAGAAATTTTTATTTGCACCGTCAGCAAATGGTCGAATACCTCGTCGACACCGTAGCGTGGCAAACAAGCTGAAAAGTTCGTGTGCGATATGGTGCAAGCAGTAAACAAGACACTATTCTCTATTTCAATAAATAAATTGCATTTTTATTCCAACGTATATACAAAATTAATTATGGTATACAATAGTTTACGAGTACAATATAGACGTATTACGCAGCATACGGAACTTATGTATATGTATACTTCGACCATGCACTGTGGACAGTGTGCAATAATAACACGACGCAAGATTAGTTCTCGGAATTGTTAGTAACCTTGGGAAAGCGATTCCAATAATTTCCTGCACGTTGAGTTGCGAAAATCTTCCGATCGAAGATGCCAAATTTTTACGCCCTTAGGAGCATCCACGGTGATCGGTTTCAATTTGTGTACGTTGAAGTTAATGGGACCGGCGGTATTGGTCACACGTCCGATCAATCCTATATCATCTTTAGGGAAAATAACGATTATATCGCTCGGTGATAGAGCAACATTGCCTAACGGACATTCTATTTCGTTTTTAGCAAGTTGGAAGCGAGTCTGCGAGGGTGCAACGTCTTTCAAAACGCGGTTCAGATTCGATCGAGTGGATGGGAATGCCCACGTACCGCATATACCGGAATTCATCAGCGAGGATATCGAAGGAGAAGTATTCGACCCGTACAGGTCTAAAATTTTCGCAAATACATTCGAGTTCGATGGCGACGCGGGACTTTTATAAAAGGAATCGACGTCTTTACGAAAATTATGGTAAGCTTGAGGCGGACGCGGATGATGCGGTTTCGAGTTCCAAGGTTCGCGTTGCGTTTGGCACGAAGAACTTAAAGGGTGCGAAGTTTCATCACAGTCCTCCTCCCCCTTGGGCAACATCGCGAAAGAAGGCAAAGAATTTTGCGAAGGATGACCGGAGGAACCACCTTGAGACGGTCCTTCCGATGGACGAATAAAAAATTGTGGCAAACGTGGATCGTTACCATCCCGTTGAGCGTTCGGTGCTGAATGTGGGAACACGTTGTTTGGAGAGGGCTTATCAGCGGAAGGAGGGAGGTCAGATTGCGCGGAGTAATTTAAGGGATTACTTTGGGGAATTCCTGAAGGTAACGGTGGCAGCAACGGGATGTAACCTTCGGGCAATATACTTGACATAGATTGTGGATTATCACTGTTCACAGAATGTGTAACAGGCGTCGCCTCGGTGGGAGAGGATTCGAACTGAGGAACGGAGGTGGACGTTTGAGGAGTTCTCGTTGGGAAGAATGGAAAATTGAAGAAATTCATGATTTTACCGTTTGGCTTCGTATTCGACGAAGAAGATGACGTGGGTGATGAGGACCCGGGTCGCGAAGTAGTTCCTGTTGTATCAATGGGATGAAAGAATGTTTCAAAGAGTTTGTTAGGGGTATTGCTCGGGAACATTTCTGAAGGCGACTCGATGCTTGGAGGAGAGTCTAATATAGATCTTGATGGAAGGTTTAAAAACGATTGGGGTTGAACTGGAGAACCGTATCGCGATGGTAGGGGCGTGGCGAATAACGACAGAGGAAAGTGATTCGGTTTTGGAGAGCCCATAAGATGTGAGAATAAATCCGAGAGTTTCTCCGAATGGGGCACTACGATTGGTTGAGGAGCCGATGTTTCAGCCTCGGTGTCCATTGGACTCATACCCGACGAGGGTAAAGAAAAGATACCCGGAAGATCGTTCGATTTCGGGCAGTTACATTCAAAGCCTGGAGTACTTGGGAACGAAGGCATCGATGTGGTTCTTGTCAATGGCATGGAACTATTTCCCTGATCCCAATTTATCCAAGGTATCTTGTGAGAGATGTCCGGCAAGAAGATCTTTAAACAGATTGAAACAAAGGTTTGCAGCGCGGTAATTATAGCCTGTAGAAATCCAGAAGTATGGTGTCCATTATTATATTGGAAAATGCTATCGATGAACTCCTTTAAATTCGTGAAAATTTGATAGAAAAAGTCTTGAATGGGCGCTTTATGGAATAACGATCCTATCAACGAAATTGCCTTCCATAGTATCTTTACTATATTTTCAATAGGTGCTGGTAAAGTCCCGTTCAACAAATTCAATGCACCTTGCTTCACGTCAAAAATTTCTTCCATCAGTCTTTTTAAAATGTCGATGAAAGCATTTATGTCTTTGTTCGGCCCGATGGATTCCAACAATCCCTGGACATGGTTGATGAATTTCTCGATAGCGATTTTCAGTCTGTTCAAAGTTTCTTGAATGTCAGACAAAGGAATATACATGTTGATGATATCAGGTAGCATCTTTAGATTTTCTGGGTTTTCTAGCAACTTTTCCAACCGCGTTATGGCTTCTTCTATGATTTTTAGTAGATTCCCGTCGGACAGCAAGTCGCTTAACGATGTTGGAATTTTCCCTTGCTCTTTCTCGTCGAACAGCAGATCCAGTGGTAATTCAACCTTCAAGTTGTAACATGCGGCTAATAGGTAATGAAAGAGTCTCTTCGTCTCGCAAACAATTGTGTATGCAATGATTTTCGATTCATATTTGTAGCCAAACATCAAAGCCTCCCTCTCGCAGGAACAACTTTCCTGTTGTCCCGATGGCGACAAGATCGATGATGGTTGTAGATCGGTTAACTTGTTTTCCGAAAGCTCGTCCAACGGTGAGTTTCTCGAGTGACGCAAATTGCTCGACTCGTCTGTAACATTCTAAAAATATTTCGCGAGTTACAATAAATTATTCCATATTTCCACGATACGATAGACGATAAATTTTACCTGTTTTGCATCTTGCAATGTTTCTTTCAGCAATGGCTCTTCCGTTGCTTCGTCCTCATAGCTTCCAGGTGTCTATGATAGCGCAACAGGAGAGAGATAATAAATTTGTATGCACGACAGGGATTAATCAACAACAAAGAATAGTAATAAATTAAAAATTACCGAAATTGGAAGTGTTGAGTATTCCTCCGGTTGTTGAGTATCGGGTAAATCTTCCGGATCCAATTCAGACGTTGAGTTTCTTATCTCTTCATCGATGATTTTCCTTTCGGTACTTGGATCTTCATTGGCTGAAACGAGGCTAGCAGTGAATAGTACCAGGCAGGTAAAAATGATCGTCGAACGCTCGTTCTTCATTATTCCTATCGAAAAAGGACTCTCGTTGGTTTCGGTCGATGGGGACAGCTTCATATACTCGCGGGATTGTTATCTCATTTTAAGAGACAGCACGCAGATCGTGAGCAACTCGAGCAACAATAGAGATTAATAATTAACGCGAATCAAGTCCGACGCGATACGGTCGATTAGAGCAAGATTTTACTTTGTTTGATTATTTAAATTTATCCATGTCAAATTAAGACAATTCACGATGGAACACGTATTCAGTTTCTTTTTAGCGATTACATATTTTTAACACGATAATTCGTTACGGTACTATATAATCGTTGCAATTTATAACAGTACAACTTTGGGCCTAGTTCTTGGGTTTTACAAAGTCCGTAAACAACGAGACATTCTAAGGAAGTTTTATCAATTTTATTAACGTTTAATACATTTTACAGAAAAATCACATTCCTTACATAGCTTAACATTTATACGGCGGTGAAACCTCGCAAGCAGGAACGAGTACTCTATCGACATGGGCCGCAAGTCCCCTCAATCGTTGATAAAATATTTCTTCGGACTTCTCTGGATGAACACTACAAAAAGAAATATAGTAAGTTAGATTTATAAATAAGAAACGTAGAGAATGTAGCAAAAAAGTTGTTAAATTTACTGTTTGGTCCGAACTGGAACTTGAACCGCAAAATTATAATTTTTAGGAGGAATTTGTATGTTAGCGGTTTGGGGAACATAAGTATTGTACACGTAAGATGTTTTTTCTGAAGTATAGTTCTCAATGCTCTTTTCTGATGGCGATGGAGTCGTTTGTGGTACATCTATCGCAATTGGATATTCGACGCGATGGGGCTGCGCGTACATGTCCGAAACAATCCTAAAATCCAACGATATAGGTATCTTCTCTTCTTTCGCGGGTGGTTTCGGCCCCTGAAATCATCGAATTGCAAAATTATACGTCAAATTGTGATTCTTTTTATGCCAGTTGTTTTCTACTTCGAAGAATTAAACTCGAACGATTCAAATTGCCAATGTAATCGACATTAACTTGTTGTGGACACATACCTCGATCTTAATTGGCAATTGCCGTGACACGATACACGGATCGCCATACGTCACTATCTTGGCTCTGTCGTATACTTGGCTGTAACAATGTTCAAAATTGGAGATCAAACAGAAAGCGATGAAAATCGAAATCACAGTTCCCGAATTCATGACCACGTCTTTGGTATCGGTATTAAAATTTAGCTGCGGTAGACGAGCTCGCGTTCTTAATATACGAATTGATAAAAAAACAATTCCTCTTCCTGTTTGTCATCGGTTCGACCGGTTAGACGGTTTACGTTGCATCATTTTCAAGCGTACGTAAATAAAAATAAAGTAAACGCAGGTCGTAATTTTTCCATTTAAAAATTTCGCAGTTTTGGAACGTGCTTAAACAGGCGGAAGCAGAGGAAATTTCATCCAAGGAAGTTAACATCGGAGCGTGTTTATGAAAAAGGAGATAAAACGCACGTATCGCTCGTTGCGAGTTTTAAACACGTAAGTGAAACTGTTTCGCACCGATCAGTATACAAAATCATAACACGCTATTACCAACCTGTATTGTTCATAAATTAAAACGTTTACAGACGCACCGTCGAGTGATTTCAATAGATCGTTGCCAAAAGCGTGCGGTTAATATCGTCTTCGATAACATTTCATTTCGTTAACGGATTACAATGTATTTACGATAATGATGTTTCAAAGAAAACGGTAGTTTAAAAATATCCGTTGTCTTACGCATTATTTGGATAAAAAAAAAAATTATTTAAATAATGAATCGAGTAAAAGATGATCTTTATTCTTCGTTCGAAGGTTTCATTACATTAATCGACGAGTGACGAATAAAAATTTTGTTATTGTTATTGGCACTCATAAGGAATATTCTTGACCTCTTACTTAGTTTGTTATCTTTCATTTAATATGTATGGACGTAACTATGTCTAATAAAATATCCTTAGTTCTCTCATATTGATAAAATATTTCAAGTTCTGCATATCTTCCTAATTTAAGGAGATATTTTAAGTTGTACCTATCTTAGAGACTGTAGCATATTCTAAGATCTGACTACCCTACCAATCTGCTCTGCCATCTGTTCGTACCAAAAATTTCTCTTACCCCGCTCGAAAGAGCGTTTCACGAGGCGTTGACAGGCTCGCTTAAACCTCGGAAGTCGAAGTCATAGGAACATCGTAAATCCTGATATATAGTAACGGCGTAACAGATACATACTACCAAATGTTAGTCTGTCTTTCTTTTTCCAAGTTACATACCAGTTGAAAGCGTCGTGTAATTCTACAAATCTTTATTCATGAAATTCAGACCAAAAAGACTCCATCAAATACAATTTATGGTAGAATTGTACAGATGTGCGATAAGATTCATAATTCATATATCTATGTATCTTATAAGGTACTTCTATTAATAGATCGTTCAATTATTTATACGTTAGAACAAACAACCTTGATTGTTGGAAATCTTAGAACAGTTGGTCATTTTCAATGATTAAATTAGGAAACTAATAAGAACTTTTTGTTTGTCTTAAAAATTACTAATGTTGACATCTATCTGTTAACTTCATTTTCAATAGATAGTTTTATTTTATAATCCTATTATCGCAGGAACTAAATATAGGAAAACATCAAATTTTCATTTAAAACATTTTATTTTTCATCGTCGTTTTTCGAGAATATGTACATAGTAGTGTTGTTTAATGATTTAGAACCAGATAAATCGACGTTGTTTGATAAATCATGATGGACAGGATCCAGAGTTTGAAGGATTTTGCTGTTGCATTTGATTCATGTTGTCAAAATTATCTTCGGTATCTTCGCGTTGAATCAATACTGCGCCTGGAACATAATCTGGTTTTGGTGGACCCAAGGGACCGCATGGTTCCTCTCCGCTATCGTTAATATCTCCACTGATCATTTCGTTTTGGCTTCTTGACTTCATATACATTGAGCCCACTGGTGCGTAACCCAGATCTCTACAAATAGTTAATACATTAATTAGTACACTCTCTTCATAAATTTTAATCTGCAAACGCCAAACTTACTTGTAAGTAAGAAGACTATCCGCCACTTGATCCGCAGTTTCTTCTTGCGTTATACTTTCACGTTCGATCGCCTCGAGTTCCGCGAGTTTTGCTTCTTCTCGCTCGTCGTAAGAACCAATGACAACAGTCCTTGGAGGTGCCAGTTTAAGTTCTACAACAGGTTTCTCGACCGTCACTAGTTTCTCTTCCGGAATGTCTGGAATTTGTTTCTCATATTTCACATCATTTGGCATTGTTCGGTGACCAAAGGACAATTTATCTTCCGGTACAAACTGTTTCCCTTGTCTATAAATTACATTCGGGGCACGAAGATTTTTGTACGCGAGAGTAAGAGAGACTGCGTCTGCTGGCATTTCAGGATACGAATAACCTACTGGAACTTCATCTGAAAACACACAGAAACACCGTAATATTTTATATTTTGTAACATGGTTCGAAATTTTAAATCGTTGACAGACCTGTGTCATCATCAAAACAACTTGAAGAACTGCTACTCATAGACATTCCTGTATGTTGATTGTATCCACTTGCAGTGTTTGAACTCATATGTGCTAGAGGAGGTAAACTGAATATTCCAGAATTTGGTCGATTAAAGGATCCAGAGTTTGAATTTCCATGTATCCCCAATTTCGATCCAAATGCACCAGAATTCACATTCCCAAATGATCCTAATCTTGATCCACTCAACGAACCAGAGGTTGATCCGCTAAATGTTCCAGAATTCATATGTTTAGATGATCCAAATTGAGTCCTGCTAAATATCCCTGGCATTGTTCCAGCAATGCCTCCATTTTTTGCAGACGGTGCGGTAAATATTCCAGGTAGCCATCTACTAGATGCAGCAGGATTTGCTTTTCCGTATATCATAGGACTGGATCCACTGGTTGCATCAGAAGTGCTGGATGTAATTGCTCTACTCGTGATCTCTCCAGTTTGTACATTTGTACAAATTTCATAAGGAATCGACGGATTGCTCCTGTTGCATATGATTTTACCAGGATGGGCTGGAGTTACTTTTGTTTTCTCTAGCAGTAGCTTTCCGCTACGGGAATCAACCGGAAGCGGGTAACATAAGTCGCCAATCGGTGAGAAACTATAAACAAAAATAAATATTTCAGTATGTAGAATTTCAAATATATTTCCTGTTGTTTTAATAACTCATGAAATTCGAGTACCTGGGTACAACATTGACATTCGAGTTTATCGAATCGTCAATGTCTATGGATTCTGAAGTTTGTTTATTGCAACCACAACCAGAATTACTTTTGCTAGAACTTTCAGGAACGGGTATAATATCAGTATGAGCAACAGTTGCTACAGGAGAACTTGATGAACTGCTGCCGCTGTTACTATATGTATTAGAGTTAGCGCTGTTGTGTGTTGTAGAATCACTATTAACGTGTACGACATTCGAAGTACCACCAGTGTGAGAGTTAGAGTTAACGTTGCTGTATGTAATGGGATTAGAAACGCTGACGCTTTGTGAGTTAGAGTAACTATTTTGAGATGTAGCAGTTGATATGTCTATGCTGGTACGTGAAGCGGCAGCATCATTGATGTCTTGGGGCGAGGCATAATACGTTGGTGTCGGCAATTTTGCAGCTTTTACCAGTGTCTCGCTACAAGTGCAAGGATTTGTACCTACAATCAATAGAATTTAATAGAAAATCAAATATTAGAATATAATAGAATTAATTATGTTCAATTTTGTACCTGATCCTAAACCTCCACATGTACAGCCCTGTTGTTGTGCCTGAACGATCAACGAGTATGTTACCGCGAGGACGAAGAGAGCGTTCAGAGTTAAAGACTTCATATTGATGAGGACCTTTTCGTTTTGTCCTGTTCCTCGCTCTGATTGCCTTATATACACGAAAATGCGACGAATTCGGGAAAGAATTGCACAATCCGTTAGTATCAATTTTATTTCCTGTTGTTTAAACATGGCTCTGATACTTCCTGTATTTGCACGTTGGAGATGAGAAGTTAAATTATTTCTTCATTGCAGATGTGTTTGTTTAAACGTAAATGAGTGTATGTTTGTCAATTAAAACTTACATCGTGATATAACATTGTATTCTGAATGAATAAAAATCGTGAAAGTTCGCTACTTCCGTATTACTTCCGTATTATTGTTCATATATGCAGTGAGGTCAAATGGAAATGAAAACGCTAACTCTCTATAACTTCACGAGTCCGTGAAGTCACATAATTTGGGTTGTAGAAGATTTAGAGTAATTAATTTACCCTTACAAGAATTATTCGGTTCAATAGTAAGTATTAAATTTCTTCAAAAATAGATCATTTTTGTCCAAGTATTTTATTATAAAATATTAATTTTATGATATAAACAATCGGTAATTATAGTATAAGTTAATATTTTTCGTTAAGTAATATAGTAATATATTTACAATATAATACAGTAGTGTTGACATGACAATTTAATACATCTTTGTGTTTCACTTATTAAAGAAATCCGACGCTCTTTGTCTCTGAAGAGGCAAATTAAGTAGATTATCGGTGAGAACAGGACCTTGGCATTGCATGACACTATTTTCAGATTCAATATGATTTTCAGATTTCGAGGGTGTATTTATACGCGGAGTACTCGGTGTTCTAATACCTATCAACGGTGTTCTTGAAGATGGTGCCCTCCGCGGAGTCGGTGTACTTGCTATACGGAGTTTTTGTGTAGCTAATCTTCTAGCTGCTGGAGACATGGTACTCAGACGATCTATAGTCGATCTTGGTGATGGTCTATAACAGAAAATCGTAAAAATTAATAAGAACAATTATAAACGCTACTATTTACACGAAAATACTTACGTTGCCAATGATTTTCTAGCTGCTTGCAAGGCTTTAGTTTTTCTATCTCTGTGCCGTTCGCCAGCTTTTTCTGCCAACTGTAATGCCAACTGTTCCCGTTTCGGAGGTTCCGCCATTCGAAACGACGGCCCTTGACTTGTCCTTAATAAAGGAGTGTCTCCGCCATCTAATCTAAACGGCGTACCTTCGATCTGACCCCAGGTCATCAGAGGACTCTCGCATTCGCCAGGTCTTGGACTCGGAGTTGCTACAAAACTAAATCCATTTACTCTGGGAGTTGGATTTCTAACGATTTCTTTGCCGTCGACGCCGATCTTTCCATCATTAGCCTTTGACTGGTTTTTCGCCAATTCATTAATGGTTTCCTTATTCTGCTGCTCGTTGAATGGATTTGTCCTGAGCCTTGTATTTTCATGTATTACTACTTGTTTCTTCTTAGCTAGGTCTATCCTTTCATCCGGAGTTAATTCCACTCCATCAGGAACATACATAATGTAATTTTTATTCTTGTAACTCCAACTGTCCAATCGATTAGGCTTCTCATCTCCATTCTCTATAGATAAGGTATCTGAACTTTTGTCATTGGTCAATGCCAATGACTTTTCTTCGGCTTCATAGAGCCAAGCATATTTCAGCTTGAGCCTCTTTTCTGCCTCCACCATCATTTCTTCAAAACTGGCATTATCTTCGCTCGTGTGCATGCTCAAGTACGAGTCCAATCCAGTTTTAGTTTCTGCCTTATCTTTCTGTTTTGCACTTGTATTAGCAGATGTGCCTTTTGTTGTTTTTGATGATTTGAACTGTTCATCTTCTGATTCTGTTTTATTCATAGGTGTCTCAAATGTTGCTGGACTAGCAGGTCTTTCTGTTAAAGGTCGTCCAGAACTGTACTTTTCATAAAGTTCCCTCATCCTTTTCAAATCGTTTTGTTCTAATGCGTCTAGATATTGATTCTGTGCTTGAAGTTTATCCAAATGAGGGAAAAAATCCCTTTGAATGATTTCACCCATTTTTTTTATGTATGCGTCTTCGTCTAAGATTTTTGGCTGCATTTTTTTATACCTTTTGGCAACACCTATTGGTTTTTTAAATACAGCCAAGTCTGTCATATTTTTGGCTGCCTCTAAGGCTTGAGATCCTGGTGAATTCATCATTGTATCTACAAAAAGCATAATATAGCGTTTAGAGGGACAATGTCCAGGAAAACTATAAAAAATAACACCTGAACAATTATAGTTTTTTAGAATATAAAACGATTTATATTTACGTTTTACCAGAAGTAAGGTTATGTTCTTAAATGCGTCTTCTCCTGCGTTAATATTACATTTTTAACACAATTTTTAATCACACGTGCAATATTGGTGAAAACTTTTGCAACTTTTTCATAATTATACTTCGTAATCGCAAGTTTACGGAATATACATGCACACGATGGAAACACCACTTGCAAACAAATATTAGACTTAACCAACAAAGGATAATGTACCTATACTGTATAGAACTGGTCACTGTTAGTGTCGTGTGGCGTCGTTATGCGTCTATTGCGAGAACTTAACAAGGTAACCGATTTACATACGTAGTCAATTCGTGTTGCGTTATCATTGTATCGACCTATTGTTTCGACATAAAAATTAGCGAAGAATATTGAAACAATCACAAACATTGTATTCAATTCCATTTTTTAAAGTTCTTTCTCATGAATTACACAACGAAACGTAATTACCGTGCAACAGCAGATGCAAAGATGAATTGTTATGCAAAGCATAAGTTTGTCAAACTCGAATTAAAACAGGTTATATTATATTCAACGTCTCCAAGATAGATCAATCTATAGACTTATATTTTTGATAGCATGTTTTATATTACGAGTTATATAGTGCATAATAATTGGAGAACTTAGAAAAGGTATAGAAATTCCGTATGTAATTGGCGAGAAATCGAACGGAAAATCAGAAGTAATCGAATAGTATGATACAGAGTAAAGGGAGAATTAACGTGGGTACGATTTGAATTTGGTAGTGGGGATCGATGTATCGCTCCATGACGCGCCGTGCAAACACGGCCCTGGCTTTGGCCACTCGGTAAGTAGTCGAAGCGATATTTTGGTCGAGCTGAGACAGTGGGATGGGATATGATTGCCTTCTCGTATTGCTGTGGCTCGAAGCACGGGCTCTTGGAAGAAAAGAGGAAGAGAGACCGAGCAAAATGATTCGGGAGGCTCCGAGGTGTTGGAAAGGCACGATGAAAGACATATGAGGATTCCAGCGGCGAGATAGGATATGCCTGCCGACTATGTTACAGCGAAAATCTTTTGAGGTCTACCTTACGCGTGTTGTTTCTCTTTTCTTTCGGTTTTATCGCAGATTCGATGTACGTTGAATTTTACCGAATTCGTGCCCCCGCCGAACGCATCATTTTATTACAAGTAAAGAAACGGATAGATAGAAAAAAAGAAAATATATACAAGAGGCTTGGAACAAAGCACCGTTCGAAGTCGAAGGTAATTTAAATCGACGATGATACCAAATTTTTAATACGTGGTTATTGTCATTCAATGAATAACATTTTAGACGATCGCGCGACATTGGCGTCAGCGTGCCAAATGTTACGGATAGACGACGGAACGTGAAATTTCACGTAAAATTTAAACGGAGGATTGTGATACTCGAAGGTTTGCGTTACGCGAAGCACGTGGCAGTGTCAACCGACACCGAGAGCAAGAGGAGTTAAGAAAGACGTCCCATCCCGTTCCCTCTATTTACGACATAAGGTAAACTTCTTTTAGGTCTCGTGGTTCACGGTCAGTGTCTGTCTTCGGATACTTGGCTTGCTTGGACAGTTTTCATGGCGCTAACAGACATGTCCGTCTTTCTCTCCATTTTCTTTCTGCTATGCGCGTTTACAATCAATTAAATTTTCAGATTTGCGAGTCGCGCGAAATTTTCTGCCGGTGGTTCCTACCAGGGATTGAAAATTTTTGTAATATCGATCGCGGTTCTCAAAACGGTCACGAAGAATCGGAATAGCGTTGTAATTGTTGTTGGAATAACAATTCTGGTGTAATGTCGGTTCTGGTATTGGTTCTATTTTGGTACCATTTCGGTACTATATTGGTTACGGTTCTATTTCGGCTCCATTTTGGTACTATATTGGTTACGGCTTAAATTACGGTTATTGAACCGCAGTTTCCAATTGCACATTGAAGTTTCTTTTCATCTTAATTTAAAATATCTTCGGACAATTTCACATTTCTTTCTACTCATTTTCTTTCTTGGTAATTTTAATTCAAAGATTGACTACCGAATGAGATGCATACGCTCACGACGGACACCCGGGCTTAATTATTACACACGTTGAATTAAAGTAACATTATATAGAAATGAATGGTATTATAGCATCAGTTATTCTTAGAATCTTTTCAATCCCTGGTTCCCACGCCTAATGAATCGGAAGAACATGTATCGCTAGAATCGTAAAGATGGACCCGGTCCAGGAAGTAGCATGCATCTAGGAGAAGAGAAAAAATAGGGACATTTGCCATTTTGGCACGAAGTTTAATTTACGATGCAATCCAATTTTAAATCATATTTGTTCCAAGTCACCTGTCGCCGTGCAATTAAGGAGGATGAGTCGACAGGCGCTAACCCGTGGTTATCCCGTTGTTGCTAATAAGACTGGAGTACGAATAACGACGATGCTCGTTACTTCTCGTGGTAAATTATATCGGTCGCCTACGATTCCTCCGGGATTACCGCGAACTACTCCTTTTAACTTTTCGGTACTCTGACACCCTGTATATACAGGGAGGCGGAACAAACGAAAACCTTAATACAAATTTGTCGTTCTTAATTTTTATCTGATCTCCTTGACCCTGTTTCTAATTTTGGGTCATCTTGTATTTTAGCAGTAATTTCAAGGAAACGTTGCATACAACGTTACCGTTGCCGGTTGAACCTCGAGGGCTCGTTTATCCGAAAAGAACGACAGCGCGCAAAACGATACAAATTTTTTCCCGAACGAGACCGAGGAACGACAGCCTTCGACTGGAAGTTTCGTGACAACTCGACGTTTAAATAAAACGCGAGACACGAGAAACGGAACGGAGGACGATGACGACGACGAAGAAGTTTAAGAAGTAGACAGAGAGGAAGGTTGCGGACGTAAAGCATAAACAGTCGAGGTGCGATTTGACGCGCACTCCGGCCATCCAAGGCACATCTCGCTCGTTGAACGTACGCTTTAAGAATCCCGAAGAAGCGGCCAGCCCGATGGCTGGAATCTGTAAATCTGTCATTGCAGCCATATTCGTGCGGCTGGTACCGCAGGATATGAACTTCTGCTCGTCGTATGCGCCACCAACGTACGAGACCCTCTAGATCTACCCGCTCCGTCTTCTTTCGAGATCTTTGCACCGAAACGGAAGCCTCTCCCTGTCTCTCGAAATAACAAATGTTTTCTTTTTTTGACAAAAACGTTACCGATTCTGGAAACCAGCTCTTTTCTCTAGCTCGGATTAAACGCTGCTCGGAGATTCCCTAAGAAAACGCTACGCAATGGCAATTATTCCGTTTCGTTGTGACTTACAGTACCTGGATAGATCATTCTCTATTCTATTCCATGAAACGTAATTTAATTGTAATTTTTATCAAATTAATAGGTGAGAGTCTGCGTCGATGCAAGCGGCGAGAACTGCTTTGTAACATCTCGAAGAAAATTTGTACCAATCCGAGGAACATTACTGTACACCGTTTCAATCGACGGTTAAATTGCGGAGAACGGAAAACGGAGGTGTTCTGGCCGAAGGTTCGAAAACCATTTGGTTGTATCAAACCGCGTGAAAACTATAAAAGCTACGGCAGTCGTCGCACCGTATACCCGGCGGTATTTCCTCTGGTAGCCAGCGATGACGGATTCATGGCCCGTGGGATAACGCAACACCTCGCCCTCCAGCTCCCCCGAAATGTTTCGGTTTACGGATGCACGCACGCTCGCACGCATTTTCCTTCTTTTTCCTCCATTTCTCTCCCCGGCCTTTTTTTTCCTCCATCTACCGAGCGATTCATTTGTCGGTCTTTGATCCGCGACCAACGAGCTACTACCGGAAAATCAGAGAGATTTATTAAGCGGTTGTCTTCCACGGAACGCCATCTATCATTTTATTTCTCCTTGGTTCCGATCTTGCTTGACGGTTTATACCGAGCGAAGAAAGCGAGCCGTGTTATTGCTTACCGTTAATTATACGCTGTACAGGCGAATTTAGACTGCATTTGGGACAGGCCTCTTGTACGATTCATCCACAGAGAAAAGTGTAAACATTCTTTTCATCTGCGTTTCAAATGCAAAGTCTAAGTTGGCCTTAAGAGGCCATCGTTTGTTGGGACCCTGAAAGTGGGCAAAATTTTGGGTGGTCGAAAAAGTGAGAAATTCTAGACACTCCGTCGGAGGTCCTCGAGACAGCGAATACATACAGCGAGGTTAAGAAGTTTGCTATACGCGCGCCCCTAATATCTTCACGTGGCGAACAAGACCTCTTGAAGAGGTTTCCCCAGACTTATTTCAGATCCTCAATCTGTTAACATTTACAGTTTATTTTCGAACTGTATCTGGATCTGTGGGAAGTAACGATCGGAGTGATCGAACGTTCAGGCACGGGCGGATTGCGTATATCGTAACGCTGTCGGTGTTCCGTTTATCGAGAAAACGCCCGATGCCGCGTTTAAAGAATTTAAAAGTCTTTGAGGGGCAGCTGGTTTCTCGCGAAGAGAAGTGCCACCAGCAGCGCGGGGTCACCTAACCCTGTCGGGGGGTTAACTTTCACAGGGCTGAGCCGGGCCTGGCACCTACGAGTAAGATGAAAGAATGAGCGAAGATAGGCCGACGGCCGCTTTTTATTGCCGGCGCCGTCACGCGTCACCGATAAGCGCGGTCTCTCTGTAGACGAAAAGTCTGCTCTTGCACCGGGTTTCCTCGTAACACGAGATTGTCCTCGTCACTCTCTTTTCCACCAATGCACGAAAGAAACCGCCGCCAATCTTGAAACTCGGTCTCTCTTGGCAAACAATGGACGCGTCGTCGGCGCAACAGATTTGCCAAAAGTTAAACAAACATACGCGTATCTGGATTTTTGAATAATTAATTCTCCAAGCGAACAGTATTTACCATAAATCGTTTGCAGATGCTGCGGACAACGTAAATCATTATCACGGCCCCGCGATCCACGATTTGCTTTGTTTGGATTCACGTTGGAATTCGCGACAATCGAAAGTCGGGAGTCGAAGTAAGCAGAAATCTAATTTAAACGCGTACCGGTCATTTTGATCGCTTTGATTCGGGGGATTTCCGTTTTTGTTATTTCTGTTGTTCGCCACGTCGCGCGTGCAGCCCGCTCGCGGGCGGCTGCAAAGCGTTTCGTGAATGCACGAGTGGAAAATATTCACCGAGAGTCATTAAGGATACGTTTATAATATGTTTACACAACGGGTTCTTCGCGTGGCCATCAATCACGAGGCACGTCGGTTCGTCCGTTTTTCAATGCGGAGGAACCGACATGCGACGTGTCGCGTCAGACGCTCGGGTTCCGTGTCGCTTCGCGTCGCTTCGTTGGCATTAGCGTGTGTCATTTTTAACAGTACCGGTGTTAAACAACCGCACACCACGCAGTCGTTTACCGAAAAATTCTTCAGCGATTTGGCATTTGCATTCTGCGATAGTTTTTTTTTATTAAACTTGAATGCAAATATTTTAAAATAAGAACCTCTGCTCTTAACGTTTGATGTGCAATTTATTAAACAAACATATATTTTCACAGAAATATAACCGCCAAGATGAACGTAAAGACGGTTCGTGCACGAAAATTTAGGAAACAGGGGATCTTGAGAAGTGGTAAAAAATCGGGTCTTGAACTCGGGTACTCGACATCACGTTGACATTTATTTCCATACACTTCTCATCGAACACGTACAAGGACTGTTGTGCAACCCAAGCGCTCTTGAGTTTCTTAATATTAGCGGATTCTCGAGGAAAGAGCGTAACATTCGAAGAGGGGGGGGAAAAAAGTTCCGAGACACAATGGCACACGATACTTGGGGGATAATTTATTAAGGCACTTAGCGGCCAAGCTCTCTCATGGGTTGTCACGGTGCGTTTACTTTCCCGACTTGGCTCGAGAGCGTTTTAGGCTCGTTTGGCATTTCAGACACCTTGTATAAATAGATGCACTTTGCTCCTACAAAAGGCACTTTCTTTTTCGACCGTCGTGCTACGGACCTACGACACCAACAACCGATTTGTATCGCGCGATTCGATCATCCTGAACACCGACGTTACCAACCACGGATTTTCTTCTCTTTGCACCTTTGCAAGGTCTTCCGGTAAACGGTCATTTACAAAAGTATCTTCGTCACCGGTAACATATCTCAAGTACGACAATGTATTGGGAATAAGTATCTGTTAAATAAATAGTACACGCTGTAAATACAATAACGGTTTACCGAGAGATCTTGCGTAACAAGAAATTAATCGAAAGAACGGTCCACATCGTGTTAAATTAACCCTGGATCCTACCAAGTTACGACTCAATGATACAAAAACTATCGTTGCCATAGAAATTTCTATCTAGGTAGGGCCCCGGATTAAAATCGCTCTTTTCACCTTACGTATTAAGACACTTTGGTTACGAGTATAATTTAAGTTATTTTTATATTACATACTTAAACTTAGTTGGTACTATCTTTGGTATAGTTTTCACGAACGTTCCCTGCAATTACTTTCTCCCGTAAGGCACTTTCTCGCGTTCTATGCTATTACACGCCATTTTGGCGTCGTACGAAAATTGTAAAACCCTACAAAATATTAAAGATTTCACCTTTTTTAGTGTACGGTTCGCGTTCAGTTCACCCGAAGATTCTCGAAGAGGAAGTTTCCAAGTACGAATTATCGTGGACCGTACAACGACGCCCCGGAGGGATGAGGATGATGAGGATGCGCGGGATAGTGAACGGAATTCATGTGCGCGGCTGGTTGCGCATGATGCGCAGGATAAGCCCAAGGTCCTGCCGCGGTGGCCCCGTAGAACTGATGATGGTCCTGGCTCGGTATACCCGGGATCTGCACCGTTGGTATGGCGTTCACGTAACTCGACGACAGAACGCCGGTGCTTCCGGTGGCGGGCCTCTTCGCGGGGTTCTGCATACTGGATACCGTCACCGAGTCGCACTCGTCCGACTCGCAGTCCCGGAACCCTTTCGCGAATGGATTGCTGGCGATCTTCAACTGGGTGATCCGGTGATTCTGGTAGGCCGTGACCGCGGTGAATCGCGTCTCCGGGAAGGTGAAGGTCTTGAAGTTCTCCGTGCGGGGATCCGGACCGGAACCGGGGGGCGAGGGTGCCACCACCACGTGGCATCGTGGCTGATACCGGTGCATGGAATTCAAGATTATCTGGAAAATTGTTCCCCAACTAGATTAATATTCTTACTGTTTGGAAAGTCACTTATTTGTGAAGTTGTTGGATTCCTGGGGAATTTACAACACTATTTTCTTAACCCTTTGACGGCCACTGTCACGTGCGCGTGATCTACTGTATCAGTTACCATTTTAACTTATATTCAACTTATTACGTTTGTTAACGTTACATTTATAATTCCTTAGAATAACATTCCTAGCATCTTCGTGTATCTCACTTAGGTGTACAATACCAGTGGCGATGGACAACGGTTTTCGCGTGATACGTGCGGCCGTTAAAGTGTTAAGGAACTTATCTGGAAAATTGTTCCCCGGCTGGATTAATATTCTTACTGTTTGGAAAGTAATTTATTTATGAAGTTGTTGGATTCCTGGGGAATTTACAACACTTTATTTTCTTAACGCTTTGACGGCCGCTGTCACGTGCGCGTGATCTACTGTATCAGTTACCATTTCATCTTGTGGTTACATTTATAATTCTTTGTAATAATATTCCTAGCATCTTCGTGTATCTCACTTTGGTGTACAATACCAGTGGCGATGGACAACGGTTTTCGCGTGATACGTGCGGCCATTAAAGTGTTAAGAAACTCGTACAACTTGTATTAGGTCGACTAAGTACCAGACTCTTACGATTCTTCAATATTGCAAGCTTTTATATACTATTGGTAGAGATAGAGGGACGATGGTCAAGGGGTAGTGTGTCTCAGGAAGAGTAACGAATGAGTAATGTTTGTGATGTGACTGAGTGATGTATGGTCGTGTTGGTCATCCAACAAAGTATGCTACTTCATATCAAAAACCATATCTAAACAAGCTTTTATATACTATTGCTGGAGATAGAGGGACGATGGTCAAGGGTCAGTGTGTCTCAGAAAGAGTAACGAATGAGTAATGTTTGTGATATAACTGAGTCGTGCTTGTATGGTCGTGTTGGTAATCCAACAAAGTATGCTACTTCATATCAAAAACCATATCTAAACAATGTTCAAGGCCTCTCGAGTAAGGTAAAACTTTGAAGGGTAGTTTCAACTCTGTAAACTTCTACCAAAGCTGATCGCAACATGCGATAAAATAGCATAAAAAACGTTCGAGAAATCGGAATGGGTCTTTTCCACGATCATCTGGTGTAATCGTTATCGGAAGACGACGGTAGTTCCAAGGAGCAAGGGAAATGCAAAAGAAAAAAGGTACACGTGAGGACCTTTCTTGTTTCGAAGGAAGGGCCCACCGCAGGGGGGCGGTCACAATGTTTGACAGCCACGAGAGACTCGGTGACTAATTAGTGTAAAAACTAACCCCCCGACCCACTCTCCGGCAACCCGACACCCTCGTCCTTCCTCTTGCACACACTTTTCTACGAGCATATGCCCGGGCATGTGTCTCTTTGGATACACGAAAAGAACAGAACCACGGGTAGAGGGGCGACGAAGGGAGGAAGAAGAGTCATCCTCGCGAAGAGCTTGTGCGTACGTTTGTGTGTGTGGCCTTCCGACACGGTCGACAAAAGAATCTTTGAGCGCGCGATTTTCTTTCTGCCTTCTCACACCCCCGCCTCTCTCTATCTGCTCTCTTTTCTCGCCGTTTCTTCGAACGAAACACAACGGGCGAAGTATCGGATTTTCGTCGCGTTTCCCGACAGGAGACACACCACGACGCAATAGCCCCCCCCTTCCAATTAAAAAACCAGAATCGTCGAGAGTTTCGAACGCTGGATTCTCTGACCCCGACGAATTTTTTTACGAAGCCTGGTGGCGTGTCTCTCTAAGCGCAATTAAAGGAACAAACTGCTCGATGGCACGTGAAAGAGGGGACCACGAGTCGAAATTCTTTCCGCGCGTGAAGCGATAAATCTTCGAACGGGAACGCAAGCCAAAGGCACCGGGGGATCCCCGTTTCGCGGTGCACGGTGGCTCGAAACCGTCGAAACGCGAATTACATTTGTCACGATACGCGGTAATTGTAATTGTAAATCTTTAGAACGTGCGAAAACCGTTTAAATTATCGTGTAATCTGTGCATGACTGTCCACGACTCGAGGACCATTGTTTCCGAACGATAAAATAAAAATGATGAGACTCGTACCGGTAATATGATTCGCCTCGCTCTGGCAGTCCTGCATCGAAATCGACGGAGTCATCGTACGACTTTGTCCGCGAAAGTGATCGACTCGCGTTTGTAATAATCGACGACGCGCTGGACGAGAGCGTGGTTGTTCAGATTTTGGAACAAATGGATCAGTATCAGGACCAGCCAGATGAAAATCACTTCTGAGAAGAGGAGTCGCGGCATCGTTCTGGAACGTGGCCGACGATAGTGTTTGGAGTGTAACAGCGCGTCGTCCTCCTTTTGACTCACGACTGACCAATGCACCCGATACCTGACCCAACCCGACCCGTACCGATCGACGCGAAATCGAATCATTAATTGGTATGCCAATACGTCTCAGTTGCCGAACCGCTTGATTTGCAACGGTGCCTGACACGTTGAATTTGGCACGGATACGTAGGGACGATTATTTTTGGCGCAACCGCAGGTGCATTAGGACACAATGACGAGAAACGGAATCGAGAGGTTCTCGACGTTCGACGCGCGAAGTAGAGCGTAACAAATTGCCCCTTAAAACAAATCTGTTTCTCGTGTTCGACGTTCTCTTTTCGTTTCTTTGTCCGACAGACTCGAGCAACGAAACGAAACGCAAAACACGGAAACGTCGGGTTGCACGAGAGAAGGGTGAAATTGCGAGGTCGGGATTGTAAATGTTGCGATGCTATAATGAGCACGCGAGATGAAATTCGAACCTCGAGAAACGTAATAATGGCGGATTATGACACGGTGACTGAAACGGTCAAGTCACGTACACGTGATAGCGGCTGGCGAAGTAATTTCATCAAGGAAAGGGAAGCTTGAAGTTTGGTAGGTAGTAAAATGTTAAACGGATCCCTGCCTATCGAATTTAAAGTTTTTGGCTGTTTTCAGAATCGAATCAACGACGTTGCCACGGAGCAGTTCGATACCCTCTCGTTCGGACCGGATTTATCGTCTCAAGTGGCCATCAAAGCGAGGAATTCTTTCGCGCTGGTGATTCTTTCGAAAACCGTAAACACGTCTTCCGGAGAGCTTTGCCGTCTTTTTCCCAGGCTTCCAAAGCTTCGTTTACGTTACGCGTGTTTACGTTACATGCGTTAGACGGCGGAGTTTCTATTTGCCGTTCCTCTTGGCGACAGGAGAGCCGGATTAATAAGGCGCGGACAAGAGAAGATTCAAAGAGTATACAAACTGCGAGCGCGATCCGCCTATGAAATACGTACGATCGAAACCGAAGTTCATTCCCAGCGAAATTAAACGCTTTTGTAGCGACATCGAAGGTGGAAAGTAAATCGTCAAGCAGTCATTGACTTCGAGTAGCGTATTCGTCCGCCAACAGGGCATAAATCCGATGAACGTAACGTGTTAAAACAATTATTGCTACTAATTACTCGCAAGACGATAATAGCTTCTAATGGAACCATGCTTCATTGTACTAGCCCTACATGCTTAATTGTACTAGTTCGACGGTGATTTTTCATCCAAGATGCACGCAGTAGATAACAATTCGAATCTCCTCCATTAATAATAACCGTAGAAAGTAAAAAATCGACGGGACGTCCCGTAAAAATGTTACCCGGACGTCTCTCGCGGTCTTATAATTTCTCGCGGAAGATAGGGGCTCGTATCTCAGGTCAATTAAGGGGAACTCGTCCGTAAACGACAAACACGTGGAACGCTACACCGACGCGTCGCGTCGCGACGCAGGGGCTCGCTTCTTTGCATCCCACGTTTCACTTTATCGCTTAGGTGTTTCTCTTTTGTGTCGCATTGGGAATGAATTACGGATACCAACATAGTTCTTCCGTCATTACTGTTAATGATCCAACTTGGATTAAAACATCAGGGATATTCTGCCCGAAAGAAGACCAATAAATATTACTTTGTTCTCACGTTTGTCATATTGCAATGTCTCCAAGTGGGTCTTGAGCGTTTTATAAACAAGACATGTTTGTATCTTGGAATGGAAGTATTTCCGGGCCCGTGTTTACAGGATATTTCATCCTCAAGAGGAGTGGAATACGCTACCAAAGTGGGGCCTATTTTGCTGTCACCGTTTAAACAGATCGATAAAGAAATCAGAACGCGGAAGAAGCTACTCTTTCTGGGTTTCCGTAAGACGAAATGTTTAGCTTACGTGTCCGTTGTCGTCGAGCTGATTGTTCGTGAGCTTCAGTTTGTCGAACGAGACGGGCTGTTTCATCCAGTGAGCGCCGCTCGCAGGACTGTCCGGGTGCACGTGTATCCTCGGCGGCGATACCGGATCCGCGCGACCGGCTACTACCCAGGCGCTGCTGTGAAAAGCGTACCGGTACCTCTTGTCGTCGCAGGGCACAAAGTCCATCACCAGCAGGTAATCCGTATTGGGGTCCAAACCGAAAAATCGGCACTGCACATTAATCAGAATTCCGTTCTTTCAGAATCGAACCACTTCCCGACGACCCTTTCGCCCGCGAACCGCCGTAGCAATATCTCTCGAGCGTCCACGTTCTACGCGAGTCGAGAATTGCTTGTTAACGGCGACTATGAACGTCAGAAGTCGTAAACATAGAAACGAGCATAGCAATTGACCTGGAAGGTAGGGAACATTCTTCTTCCAGCTTTGGTGACGATCATTTCTGTCCCTAATTGATGGAATTCTTCCCAGAGCGGTTTCGCCTCGAGGGCGGCGCCGGCACCGACCAGAGCGGAATGAAGAGGCCTCTTCGAACCGACTTCTTCCGTCACGTTTGCCCCATTCTCCCTCGGATGGTGATCACCGTAGTGGCGATTGTTGTTGTTGCTATCGTTCCGCGATTCTGTGGGAGTCGTCGAGGAAATCGACGAATTAACGACGCGCGGTGTTATCGAGGTTTTCGGCATGTTCGGACTACGGGACCGTTTCACCCTTCCCGCGGTCTGCAAACACGCTGAAACGATAATTAAACACCTTTTACGGCTCCCCGCGTACTCGAATGGCACGAATGGAATCGTAAACGCGAGATTCTGTAATCGAAACCGCGCTCAAGCAGCGAGATGCAGTCGACGGTCCCGTCGCGAGACTGTTCTAACGTTTCCAGGAAGAAACGTCTTCCAACGATCGTGAAACAAATTTCTTGACAATGTTCAACGATTAACGCGTTTGCCACCGCGTGTCAAATATGCGTGACGGGCCAATTCTCTTGACAGATCAACGTCAAGCCTGACAGCGATCGTTTGGGACACTCCGTGTACCAGTGGTTTCCAAACTGTTGGGAGAATTTTCTTTTGCGACCCTTTGGAAAACACTGGTACGTGATCATAGATCATTGTCACATCGTTCAAAATATTTGTGGATAGTTAACGCGTTGCCTAACATGGCGATCTACAATATTTCTCTAAGAAGTTAGGATACAGTGAAATTTTTGTTTTATGCCGTGGAAATAGAATGTAAAGTATCATAGCGTGTACAGAGTGTAATACATTTTTTTTAGGTTTCGTTTTCCAATGATTTTAAAGGGTAAATCTTTTTATAAAATTTTTAGAACCTTAGACTCTCAAGATTTTCAAGTAACCCGATTTTTCCGTCATTTTACAGATTCGAAATCTTGTCAGTGCCCAAGACAGCCCTACCTTCCATCTGTTGCATAGGGGATGGAACGCTCGTCATGGGCTGAGCCGGGTGGTGGGTCTGATGATGCGTCCATTGCTGATAACAGCAATCTGCGACGATGTCGTGCCGCGGTTCGTGTTGCTGTTGCATCCTCAACGATTTTCTGACAGCATCGACAACGGAAACACCTCTTCTCACTGATTCACCATTTGTAACCGTTCCTGCGAGCCCCCGGGTGTCTTAAACTCGAGCACTCGTTTCCGATCACTCCAAAGCACAACAACTCCGTCGAAGTCTCCTGTCTACGACTTCGAATTCTTCGGGGAAACTTGGCGCGAACGATAAAAATTCCCTTCGATCGATTTCACGCTCGGATCACAATCACTGATCGACGAACAACTCGCGGCCTTTCCTTTTGTTTACAGTCTCAATCTGCCCAATTTCCCCCGTCGAGAACGATCTGGCACGTGGCGAACGATTAACGAGAAAATAAAAAAAAGAGATCGTCGGTCGCGTGACACGAAGAAGGACGCTTATCTTTCGCGGCCGGTTGTTAAGCGGTTTCGTGGCAATCAGCGTGATTCGGGATCCTGCGCGGCTATCAGAGGACGCTCGACATCGTCGACGGGCTCCTCACACCTCTCGTCAACAGGACTTGTCTTCACCTCGAGATCCGGACGCTGACAAGGGCTTAAAGTCGTCGCGGCGTGAACGCGACATCGGATGAATCAGAAAGAACTCCCCCGAGTCGACTACACCTCGTGGCTTATCATCGGGACATCATTCTCCCGATGTGTTCCCTCCCTCCCTCTCTCTTTTTACGGGAATCTCCTCCTCCTCCCCGAGGTGAACCGATCGTGAAACGTGGGGAGGAGGATCGGGAGGAAGGGAAAGTTTCCACGTTGAAGGAGGGGTTTCACGAAGATCCTCCTACGCGGACACCCACGCTCGGCTAACTTGGGGTCCACGGGATGCCTAACTGCATCCTCTTCCTTCGGGTACCGTGCCAAAAGGCGGAGTCTTCTCGGACGGGAACAAACACGACGGGGAGCAGCGCGATACGTTCTCAGGGACGAGGCTCGTGTCTCGTGTACCTCGTCGCTAGACCACCGGGGTTAATTGATTAAAAGGAGGTGTTGATTCCGCGATAACCCGCGACCATCGTCGGAATTAATTTCCTTCGAGCGTGAAACGAGCCACGGTCTCCTCGAGTCTTCTTCTTCTTCCTTCGAGGAATCCCCGTCCGCTCCCCGCGACCATAATTCCATCCAGGGGCATACGCTTCGACTTTACAGTATACAGCGTACCTACCAGAACGTTTATTTCTGTTTTCTTTGTTCAAACAAATAGAAGATTTATACTTTCGTGCACGTATACACAGGATGTCCAAAAAGGTCATCGTAAGATCAAATGGACGTAGAAAGTCCCTGTAAACCCATGTCCAAAATGCTTTGTTAAAAAATTTATTGTATTATGCATCTTGGTAATAATTAATCAACGATACTGTTCTGGCTTCTATATTGTTATTGTTGACAGAATAAATGTGTTGCGGTATCGAAAGTAAATATTGAACGACTCAGAGGAACGACTTTATTTATTAATAAAAAGTTCTTCACTCCCTCGGTACATTAGCCACCTTAGCTGGAAGAATGTTACAAGTACAAACATCTATTCCAAAGTCATTACATTTCCCAATTCCTTTGTAATTATTTACAATCGGTAATTTACGCGTGCCGTTACCGTTTCGTGTTTAAAAACCTACTTTTCGTTTAAAAATCTACTTCAAGTATAAATTACAAGGGCGTAGTAGCTCGTACATACGTGTAATAGTGCCTGCAGTATTTTAATTTTTCAAGATTTGATCGTTTCCTCTTTCGTTAATAAACGAATGCTAAAGACTACGTAACTATACTAAATCCAGATCTTCGGATATTTAAATACTTCGTATCGCGTACAGAGAGTTCACAGACGTCCGTAACATCTAACGGCTTAGATTCTAATCGGAGTGTGACTGTTATCTTCAGCGCGGACACGAACCTAATCCACTGCTCGTATAAGCCGCTAAAATATTTACTCGAAAAATAGTCGAAACGAGCATTTCGTGGAAAAATGAACAAATTTGTACAATTAAAGATTACGAATTTATTGTTCGATATTATTCGCAATAGCATTATCAATAGTACCAGTGACTTTTTCAGGTATACGTGTATGTATGTACATACATGTCAATGAAGAATGTTCAATCAACGATCGAAGATGATCCGATTAAAAATCAGTATTAAAACCCAAGTATCGTGCGAAGCGTCGTGGTTGCGATAATACTTATTAAATACATGAACGAAAACCATAGAATGAGTGAATGTTTTTCGTGAGTTTTATTTATAAAATAGAAATTAATGTACAAGTACAAGGGAGGCAAAAATGATCAGTGTTTGTTGCGAGTTTGTTGGCGCGCCGATTTTTACTGAACGGCGCATAATGATTTTTCATTCTGTATGCGATTTTATAGCAACATCGCTGGAAAATGGGTCTGCGATCTACATGGTACATGAAAAAGAGCGTGACGAAGGAATGAACAAAATTAATAATAGCGTGTAAATGTTAATGAGACTAATAAAATTATTCACGACCCATCGGGTGGGCCATTATCATTCATACGATGAAATCCTTAGAAATCGGGGTTTTGTTTTCTTCTGCGTTTCTCGCCCCTTATATCGTAATGTGTATTGCATATTTGTGTAGTTTCGCTACTCGCGTTATGCACATTTACAACTTGTTCTTACAACTTTAGCTCTATTATTACGATTCCCTCCTGAAAGATAACGATCGCAATAACCTCAAGCAAAATCCAGAGAAGCCTCGCAGATACATAAATCGACACATGTCGTGCGTATTTGTTGTTTTGTTTTTTTTCCTTAAAAAAATGTCACTCGAAATTGATCAATGTTCACTGAACAGCTTATACATCGTATTCTTTAAGGTGTTATTATACAGCTTTAATTATAAAAACCACATTTTACAAAAACGTTTTCGTCCAGAAAGTTATATTGGTATGTTTATAAAGTCGATGAAGTTTACAGAAATATAGCGGTGCCAAAATTACGTATCGCATCTCGAACATTTGTCGTGGAAAATTTTTTACGTACATGGCGATATTATAGATCTGTAACCTATATGAGAAAGTAATATGTTGTATTATATCGTGTTTTTTTTAGTGATATCGCAATATCACCCGAACGGTTCTCGAATTGTTCGTGTTAGAAAAACATCGAACGTAATATCAAAGTAGAAAATCAAGAACGTCATGCTGACTTTCCTTGTCGTTTATCGCGATATATCATCCTGCCGTAGAATCTTACAGTGGTTGTTGAGAATTTCTAATCTAATCTTGCGTAATCGAATTTGAAGTAAACTTTCTTTTATATACACACACACACACATTCGATAACATATTTTCTCTTTTCCAATAATTTTCATCTGTTCGGTTCGCGTGGAACATGTTTCCCTTTTACTCAGCAACGCCCCTCCGGATTTTTCCTTCACTTAATGTGTCATTATAAACGGCTTATCGGGATTCACGATAAATTCGAATACAATATAACATTTGATAATAATAGTAGCGATATTAGGAAAAGTAATAACAGTAACATCTTTCCGCTTACAAAAACTTAATGCCGTAAAAGATGATGGGTTTTTGAAAGGAGTTCTGCTGAAGTTGTAGTCAATGCTTTCAAATTAAAGGGGGAGGGTTGAAAAACAAATATTTCGAATTTCACTTCTTCTTGCTCTTGTTATTTCCACCTCGCGGGGGCGTCACCGGTCTACCTGCGTTCTGGCCACCGTAATTCATTAATTTCTTTTTGTCAGCTGGTTTTAGAATTTGGAAGCTGCACATAAGTGTCTCGTCCACCGACATCATAGCCCCAGCGTTGTCAAATTCGCCGCAATAATTCGGCGCCGAGAACAGAGTAACTAATTGCCTCTTCGCAAAAAATTCGTAGCCGTCTTCTACGACCTGAAATTTTAACAAAGCTTCTGTTTGAACATGTGAAATTATCTAGGGGAGAAGATCGCCTAAAATTAGTCGAATACGCGTGAAAATATTAATTACGACGGTTCGTGAATTCCATACAAACTTAGTTGCATACACGATCCAAAGCGATAAACGGATAACGTGCTAAAATTAACGACATCGCGTGTACGTGACATACATACCTGATGGGCACGACATATGAGGTCAAAGTCGTGCTTATGTAAAAATTTGGCAACAACTTCGGCGCCAAATGTAAACGACACACCGCGATCATTTTCTCCCCAACCCATTGTGTCTTTGTCCGGATCTGACCACAACAAATCGCATAATAAACCTTGATCAGGTACATCTGTTGGTCGCATAATACGTCTGATCTGTTCCATGCTTTGTAGATCGGGGCTAAGCCCGCCGTGACAACAGAATATTTTTTCATCGATTATAGCGGCGACCGGTAAACAGTTGAAACAATCCGTGAATGTTTTCCAGAGTTTAATATTATATCGACGTTTACCTGCACGATACAGAGCAATGATTTTTTTACAGTTTCAATTATTTCAAAATCGATTATTATTATTTTCTTACATTCGTCGTAAAATCCATATATCCTGTTGATGGACGCGCATTCGTGATTTCCGCGCAGTAAGAAAAAGTTCTCAGGATACTTGATCTTATAGGCAAGCAGAAGACAGATTGTCTCTAAGGATTGTTTCCCTCTGTCCACGTAGTCTCCCAGAAAGAGATAATTGCTCTCTGGTGGAAACCCACCATATTCAAATAACCGCAGTAAATCATAGTATTGTCCATGAATATCACCTTAAAAAATAAAATTTTATTTTACAATCGACGATTTGCTTATGGTTCTAAAATATCTTTATTTTAATCCCTTAATGCTCGGATATTCTTTAGATGCAGGGTCCAAAATGTATAAATTTTTGTTTTGCAAATTTGCAATGTTTGGATGTTGAAAATTATGAAGAAAGATAATTACTGAATGTTAATTGTACTAAAAATAACATTAAAAGGAGACCATACATGGTTTATTATAAGACATCATAGGTATGAGCATTAAGGGGTCAATACATAGTTCCAAGTTCTCATTTGTACAATTACATGAATAACAATAAAAAAAAAATAATTTCCAATCACTTACCGCATATTTTAAGCGGTGCTTCGAGCTCTAATAGAATAGGTTGTGATAAAAAAATTTCACGCGATTTTAGGCAGAGCCCTTTTATTTCTCCTTCTGTCAACTGTACACTTTTTCCAGGCCTAGCTTCCCTCACTGGAAGATTAAATTATTTCCACTCATGAATGACGAGAGCTTATCTGTTAACTTTTTTAGTTAACTATTAATAAATGCTAAATCTAAAGAAGATACATTGGTACAGTTCAAGATAATGATAATATTTCCAAAAAACTAATACCTATGAAAAAGGTGTAAGCGTTTTAATGCGTCCAGCTAATGTTTATGTAATTGTTTTTAGCGGGAAACAGTACTTCCGCTCGTAACGGTAGCGTAATTAAACGTTCCCAGGTAAATTATTATGCGGATCGGTTTCGTCCGTTGGTGCATTCGAAACGAATTTAAAGAATAAATGACGCGGTACATCGTGAGCGTCGTTAAAGTTACGAGGCATAATGCGGTGGCAATTGTTGAACGCGCGGATGGAAGCTTCGCCCGAGAAGCGAGAATTTCAGTTACGCGCTATCAATCTCGGTTCGCGTAAACAAATGATCATCGACATCTCGTCTAGAGTATTTAAGATCGGTTGTATTTAAAGAGAGTTGCGTAATCGATTAAAGAAAACAGAGGCAGGGTAGGAAGGAGGAGAAAGAGGAGAAAAGAGGAGGAGGAAAAATAAAAGGTAAGGCGTGATATATTTGGTGGGTGATATGGTTTCGATCGCGTTCGTCCGAGTTGTAGCAAAACACGAGCATGTAGATGGCATAACAAAGGGTGACGCGGCTGGCTACAATTTCGTCTTACGATACCTCAAGGAGGGCAAACAGGGCGAGCAGCTTTACCTTCCAACAGCCGAGTTATGACGAGGTCAATATTCAGTTTGTCGGAATCAGCCATCGGGCCGGGGTTTTGTTCGCGTCCCGGGCTTCACACGGAGCACCTTCCTTTGGGGATGACCTTTGATTTTCCTGGATTTCACTAGTGTGGCACACAGCACTCAATTACATTCGCGGTTTCGGACACTGTACCCGCAATGGCCGCCCGGACAACCGCGCATTCCACTCCCTTTTACCTCCTCCCCGAACACGAGATCTTTCCTGCTCGATAGAGTTCGAGCGATCGATTTATCGAGCATGCTCCGTAGAACGCTTGCGCAGTGGAGGCACGTTGAAAGCTACAAAGTCACTATGACTTCGCGTCGCATTCGTTCGAACGTCTCGATTACATATAATTACATAATAAAGATCCATAAAAGGCCGAGTGCATTTATTTTAAAAGGTAATCGGTATTTCAATCAATTCTGTAAGGGGGCCGATGAAAGAGCGGAGTTGCAAAACTTGTTGCATCCACGAAATAGGGAAATTTGTTGGGAAACGAGAAATTCCAAATTGTAACCGAATCTTTTACAATTGTACAAGTTTCTTTTTAACATTTAAAAAGTTTTCATGGTATTTCATGAACAAATTCGATAACGAATATTCTAATAAAGATTCAATTTAATTGGCTGTTTATTTTTAAATCCGTTAGCGTGGAAGTTTTATCCAATAAGAATCAGTGTTACCACCAGCCGCCATTCGAACACACGTTTATGAATTAGTTCTATTGTGGAATCAGTGGAATCCTACGCGCAATATCACGGTTTACTATCAAACAGGTCCAAACAGGTCGGAGTTAGCGGTATTTTTTTATAATTGATCGGTGAACTTCTTTTGTGAAACTCGTACAAAATATGCCAGAAAACGTGGTAAATATATTTTACTTCACATTCATAAATTAATATTATACGATACGTCGATGAAGAACCTTTATTGTTACTGGTTTAAAAATTTGAAAATTATTCTGTAGGTTATATTGTCGCGTCCGTTTAGAAACAAAGCACGGTATACCAACGAGACACTTTCATCTAATTTGAAATGTGTTTCACTTTCATTAAACATCGCAAAGCGAATTGATATGTACAAACGCACGCATTTAACAGTTTTAAGTAATTTTATGAAAACCGGTAAATTAAAGTATCTTATCAGTATTTCGTGATAAGAAAGAAATTAGAATACGATCGTTCTCTGTTCTAGTTAAACGGAGATCACGTTGACGCGAAAAGCGCTAACTGTGAAACACAAGACAACGAAGAAGAGACTAATGAAAATGATATACATTTTGAGCCAATTATTTCCTTACCATTAATAGAAGTATCTAACAATGAAGAGGACGAAGTTGAAATGATAAGGATGTAAATTGAGGCTATTAAGAATCATAGATACATATTTTACTTATTTATAGCTATTGTATATCTGTATATTTCATTTATAGGAGAGCAAAATTGTACCGTTATGATTCATCCAATAACCCTGCCGAATGGAAAGAGCGTGGTACAGGGGAAGTGAAATTGCTAAGACACAAAATAAAAAATACAGTGAGAGTTGTAATGCGTAGAGACAAGACGTTTAAAATTTGTGCTAATCATTTTGTAACTCCTTGGATGGAATTAAAGCCAAATTGTGGCAGCGACAGAGCATGGGTATGGAGCGTACTCGCAGATTATGCAGACGAACAACTTAAACCAGAGTTGCTCGCTATACGATTTGCAAACGCTGAGAGTAAGTATATTAACGATGTTATGGAATGGAAATTGCAAAAATGTACAATATTTATTATATTTATCGATATTTATTTTTTAACAAAGATGCATCACTTTGGAAAGAAGCGTTTGAAAAAGCAAAGAAGATAGTAGGTTCCGAATGTGAAATATATGCTGGAAAAAATAACATGTCCGAGAAACACATAGAGAGTGATAGTGAACCTTCTAGTGATGTAAGTTATAGTGAAAGTACAGACAACGAAGAACAAGCAAAAAAACAAGTGGGAGGAGAAAGTATAAAAATTGAAAATAACGAAACTGATAAAGTGGACGAATCTATAAAACAAATAAAAGACGAAGAAAGTATGGACAAGGTATCCAAGGAGCTCGAACAATTACAAGTTAAGGACATTGAGGAGAAAAAGTAAAGGATTGTATGTTGGTAAAACAAAGGTGTTACTTATAAATGCACATTCCGACGTAAACATACACGCATGCATATGCTTAAGTATTTGAGCATCGAACGTAACGTAGGAAATTTTTTAGCAATAACGTTAATAGACAGACGAAATAAACTTTCAATTTATAAATAAGACAATATTTATACGAACGTTGTACGTTATCTGTGATTTTTTAATGAAGGATGTTTTAGCATTTATACTACAAAAAAAAAAAAAATATAATGGAAGAGAACAGAAATCTTAAATTCAACGAAATTAAGAATTTAATAAATAAAACGGCTATCTAATTTCGAACGTACGAGAATTTATTTGACAAGGAATATTAATAGATTTCCTTTAAATAAATTTTCTTATAAATAGGCAGTAAATATATCACATATATGTTCCTATTTCAGTATAAAACTTTTAAATAATATCAAAATGTAATTGTTCACGGTTGCGTTTCATTGACAAAAATTTGCAACTGTTTTTATCGTATATTTTATTTCTTTTTTTTTAAACCCTTTTTCTCATGTTTTCACACTTATATACATTACAGTCTGGAACATTGGAATGCTTTGTATAACGTAAATGAATATTCTCGTTTCTTGTATTGCCGTTTATAAGTTGTGAGAAACAACTGTAAAATAGAGCAATCAAAATCTTCGGTAAACGTTCAATATTAACGCGACGCTATTTTCGCTGAAGCATAAATGACACAGTTTGTATTATCCTATTACATTCAGATTTCTTCACAATTCGTCTTTGTACAAGAAAGAATGAAGGATATTGCGTTTCTCCTCCATTATGCGTTTCTTTTCATTGGACAGTTTCCCTTTTAAAATACCATCTATTCGCGTTTGTTCCGTTTGGACGAATGTGTTCCCCTTTTCTAATATTCTCTCCATGGTCTTAATATAAACTTTGGCGGCAGCATGTTGCGTCTCGGGCAACGTTTCTTCGATTATTTTAGCTTTGTTCAATATTTCCTACGAAAATAAAGGATAATTGTATCCACGTGCTTTTCAATAATTTTTATAAATTGCATCATTTAACCGTAAAAAACATTACCTTCCTTTCGTTCTCGTCGCTGGACTTGAATTCCTCTGCGAGTTTGTCCAATTGTTCTACGCAACCGGGCAGACCAAGGTACACGCTCGATTTTGTTTTAATGAACCGCTTGATATTGTCCGCGGTGAAATCGGTTGCTTTGTCCGCGACAAACTGTATCGGTTCTGTTTTCCCTTGTAAGAACAGAAGAACCGCGGGGAAAGCGTCCGATTTTATTTTATAGCGTGCAGCAAGGTCGGAATTGTCTTTGTTTCCATAATCTTTTACTTTGACTTCAGCCACCAAGAAATCGTAAGCGTCTTTCGTTGTTGCGGCTATTTGCGAGTACTGTTCGTGTTTGTCCCCGTACGGATACGCCACGTCAAACTTCACCACTGCGGCTTTGAATTTTGGAATTACCTGTGCATTATCTTGCATTATAAATATTCTATTCGTCACGGTCAACGGAATCGAAGAATATTAAGTACTCTTTACAGACTACTATTTTCGTAGAACGAATAAGTATAATATATTCCAAGTAAATTATAAATATTTTCTATTAGCCATAACATCGATGTTGTTTAATTTGCGTTTATTTAAACAATGAAAACTATCTCGTGTTCGATCGTTACAGACACTTTATTCGTACATATATATACACACGCATACAAATTGATATATTCTACGTTAAAACCTTATCAGCGATCCCGGTTAAGCGTCCGGTAACCACGGCAACGAACTATCTAGCCGACGAGCGACGAATTATCGTCCCCCCCAGTATTTCGATCAGGAGGGTTCACGATTCGATATAAATGAATACAATACAACGAGCGGAGTCTGCACACCCAACGAAATGAATATTGTATGTAAAAGCAAAGGTACCTTGTCGAAGGAATACGAATCCAGGGAGACGCATCCTTTACAGTCTTCGGCAACGGCGGTTCCGATAGCAAGAAGAATTACTGCGATCGATGGAAGCATGTTACAACCGACGTGAAACTATGGAATCTTTCGAGCGTTCGTTCGCTCGCGGAAAATAATCAAGCACGCGGACGTTCGTTTTTCCTTTGCTGTTTGGCGCACGAAACGGAACAACGTACGAACGTGCACGTCTCGTAAACGGTTGTGGATTATTTACGAACGGAATTGCAAGCAGGGAAGCGCTGTTTCGCCACGTTGGAAGTGCCACGGGTACCGTGATATTCTACGCGCCTCTTTCGATTGTTGCTCGTAACTAACCTCTCTCGTGGTACGGCACGAAGCGGACCAGGTGAAGCAGACGCGTCGCGGCGCTTTGGCGGCGTCGAATCAGAGAGGGACACGACACGAAAGCGCGCGTTGCAGGACGCGTGTCGGTCGCTGTCGCGACGTTAGGCTGTTGAACCGCGCAAGTGCAGGAAGCTCGCCTGCGATAACCATGTACAGTTGTAAAAAAATCCACGGGCTTATGTCGTACGGAAAATAAAATTCATGCATACAGCGGGACCTCGATTGATCGATCCAATCAGGAGACAGGGAGCCCGGATAAATCGGGACTTAATGGATAATCGATATTCGAAGGAAAGTAACTGAAAACGTCTCTGTCTGTTCTGTATCAAATTAACGTATAATTTTGAATCGTCTTCGAAAAGTATCGACATGAATTGAATTAACTTCAATTCCCATGAATTCGTGATTGCACATGATATTTTAAAGTCAATAATTTTGTGATGTACGATATTTAAATTTCAGGTCCAAAGAGGTTAGACGTTCGTTCAGAGAAAAATGGAAAAAAGGTAGGCCATTCGTTTCAGTTTTTTTTCGCGTAGATGAAAATGGTCGAAAGCACAGGAAGCATCGTAGTTTTACTCGGACAAAATTATAACGATACGGCTATCGAGGCTCTATCGTATTAAGTACAAAGTGTTATTGGCAGGCTTATAAATTGTACAGATACATAGAAGGAGATAAAAAGAGAAACGTGGTAGAGGTTGAGGAAGGGAGGTGGATACCGGGTGGGAGGAAAAGAGAGACAGAAAATGGTCAGAGTAGAAGCGAGAGGGTGAGAAGTATAGGAGTGCTAAAGTGGGCGAAACAAGCAACCGAATGGCGAGGAGTTGATTGATACAAGGGTGTCGTACGCTCGTACGTGGATGCGTAACTCGTAGAGAATTTCGTAGTGAAGGTTGCGACGCGAAAGATCGTTAAAAAAAAAAAAAAGGAAGAAATTTCGCGATTAAACGCGAGAAAAATATTTTTGTCGAGACAGTCGGTATATGACACCGTTTAAATAAAATGTATGGACCTTAAAGTAACTTTACGCCGCATGAACGGAGCAGGAAAAGAAAGAACATAAAAGCGTGCAGTTTGGATTCTCTGCCAAAGAGCCACAGAGAACCGTCTATGTATCTACTTTTGACGTCGAAACGAGAGTGGTATATGTACAGACACGATGCTCCAAGTACCTTTCTCTGGCAATATTTCTCGATTATCAGAGCTCTGTATTTGGAAAGAATTTCTAATAATTTCTTTTGCTCAGAAGTTGTGTCTAAGAGGACAGTCGGTTCTTTTCTCAGAAATCAATAATGCAACAATTTTTCTTAAAAATTGTATTATTTTATCTAAGTGTTAAGCAACTAGCTTGGGTCAGATGTTCTTAAGAACAGCGTCTTTGTTATTGCAAAGCTGCTTTTCCAACCACCTACGTTTTAGTATTTTATTAACACTTTCGACGTTGCGTGGGTCGTATTCGCCGCACTCTGGGTTTTGCATTCGCACCGTTTGACATTTTCGTTATTTGGTGTAACATTTTCATCAAATATGTGATAAAATCTTTTAGCGATGATTAAATATCACATCGTGACTCGTCTACCCCTCTCACGCGGTTTTTCGATTCTCTTACGTTTTAGTCATCTCGAAAGTAGACAATTGTTAAAATTATAAATTAAGTAATTGTACAATCAGTTATTTATTTAATTGGACGCGTATTGATGTTGCGGAATATTTATCCATTAACCCAAACCCGTCACGTTCCGTTTCCTATCTCGATGGTAGAATAGTCATCGCCTTCTCGTGGTTTCCATTGAACGCCGGCAACTTGAATGTTTCCAACAATAAGTGCCATTGACAATGAGCGAGTTCTCAATATCTATTAACCGTATTGGACCTTTCAGCGGTCGCATACCCTGTGTAACAATGGCAGGTCTAGCTTCCTGGCTACTAGTAGCATACAACCGGACCCAGCGCTTCAATATATCGTTAATTTCAATCGATTTTCATATAGTCCGTATTTCGAAACATTCGACCAAAGACTAGACAAAACGACAACCAAGTTTCGCTACTCCAAAAGATGTCTGACTTCGCGCGAAACGACCCTACACAGCGAGTTCTCGAGTTACCGCGGCCCCCATTTTACCTTCTCATATATTTTCTCTGGACTCACATATTACTTTTTTTTTTTAGAACCAGTCTTCAACTACGAAACTCCGAAAAGGTAATGATCGAAGATGACCGTAAGTATCAATCTTTCTCATAAGAAAATCAGTGTCAGAAAACGTTACTCACGGAGTGATCTAATATTTTTAGTTGGAGGTTTGCGAGTTGCCCGGTGGCTCGTTCGAATTCGGGCGAAATCGCGGCGGCGATCGATCCGAGGTGAAATTACTCAATGAGAAGGATGCACTCGCGTGCAGAAGTCGGGCTCTGGAGTCGAGAAACGCGAAGAAAGCCGAGACCGGTACGCGATGGAGAATTTTGGACGCCCGGTGGCGGCGGTTCGTAGGTAAAAAAGAAAAGTAGAAAGGGCCGGTATTTGGTCGGGCGAAAAAGCTGCGTAGAACGGAGACACACGAAGGGCAGAACGTATGGGGGTGTAGAAGGAAGAGGTGGGTAAGGGTGGGTGTTTGCCGCTAGAGAACAGGTATCCGCGTAGGCGTCGTACGTTCATTGATAAGCGTATAACGCCCCGTGCCTTAGACTCGTGACGTCACGCGATCGCACGGACGCCTGCGCTTCGGCCAGGGCTGTGTCTCCGATCGCACGGCCCTTGCACCACAATTTTTTGCCGCTTTTGATCTTTTCCATACCCAACCGTACAGTAGTTCGAAATTCTAAATATAAAAATCGACGACTCGTCTGTTATCCGATTCGTCCATCGCGATTATCGAGCCTCCGTGCGTGGCAAGGACTCGTCGGCCACGACCAACGAACAACCGGTGGACGACGAGTTCGTGCACGACGGGAATTTAGGGACGTCGATGCGTTAATGTCGGGACTCAGCGCAAGAGGGGTCCTTCTCGGTAGGAATTTCTCGTACGGTCTTGGGACGATCGCGTACATGTTGGTCGGCGAGCGTAAGAAGGTAGGGGAAGATGGTGGCGAAGATGGAGGTGGGGGGGGAACCCGGCAATCGACGGGATCGGAAAATTCACGTGCGCTCCGTGGGAGTTTTTTGTAATCCTATGACATTAAGAACAGTGTAATTGCTTCTTCTACGAAAATGTAAAGCGAAACGGGCGGGCGATCAAAGAGGGAAAGTAGATACGGAGGGGCGGAGGGATCGTAGGCACGTAGAATAGGTGTACGAGACGAGAGGCGACGACGAAGAAAGAAGAGGAGTAAACAAGGAAGGGGGCGCAAGACAGAGCACAAGAGAAGGGAAGACAGTTGAAGAGTAAAAGGAGAGGGAAAGATCGGTGAATCGTCTCGCGCGTATTGATTGGTCTTTTATGAAAGCTACACCCCCGTGTAGCCGCGAGACGAACCATTCTGTCGTGTCGCTAGACTTTCAGGGTGTACCGTGCGTTCGTTCGAGCAGCTGTCGCGATACGCCATGTTTGATATACCACGATCGAAATCGTACAGTCGTCGATCGGTGCGTTCGATGTTGGTGACAACGGGGCCGTAATCGCGTTAGATCGGGACCCGTACAGGTGAATCGACGTTTATATCGCAAAGAGAAAGGCGGAGGGATACGAGTCGCGAGAAGGAACCGTAGGTTAGGATGGTACGACAGCGTAGAAATGACGTAAGCGATCGCAAGCGATCCCTAGCGGTAAAGGGGCTCTGTATCGGCATCGATCGCAGAGTGACCCATATCTGGTGGTGACGGGAGTCCCTACCCCTGGCTCGGTTTTCCAGCTGCAACCCTTCTTCTCTCTACCCGCCTCTCCCTCTCTTTCACCCTTTTTCCCTGTCCCTCCATCCCTTCCAACCGACTCTACCCCCACCGCGACGACGTCTATCCCTACTCCACGCCCCTTTCTCCGGTGGTCGAGGGAATATTCCTCCTCCCCCGTTTTCCAGCAGCCCTGCCGCCTGCCTTCCACGGTCGAGCAGATCTTGGGGCTTGTACGGGATGATAGCCGAGTGAAAAAGCTCGCAATTCCCGTGACGTTCGCTCATCAGCAGCAGCAGCCCTGGCCTGCCACAATCGCTTCGACTCGGTCATCGTAAGTGTCGTCCGTCCCGCGGAAACAAAAAAAAAGAAAACAAAAAAAGAAAGCGAGAGCGTGAACGTACCAAGAACGAGAGATTGTGTAAGTTCGAATGATTGGAGAGGCGGTGGGGAAGAAAAAGAGATATTAAGAGGCGAAAAGAGAAGGTATCGTTGGTCCCGTGGGAAATAAGGGAAAAAACCGAAGTATAAGGGAGGGGAAGGGGGTTAGGGAATGAGAGAAAGGGTATGGCTGCGTGTGTTTCTGTGCGTGAGAGAAAGGGAGAAAGTTCGTTAACGACGGTATATGTCGCAAAGTGTTTTGGAGTGCGTCGATAAAAAGTGTCGAAGCGGACGGTTTCCTCGAGGTCTGGTATAAACTGCTTCGTATTTATGCGACGTGTAACGTTCGGTGTTACGGATCGGAGGGAGGCGTCGGCGCCTGTTTCGCGGGCACCCTGAGAACGGGAATTCACGTTACGGTTACGAGGGTCGATGTCGGACGAGAGAATAGGAGATACGCGCGAAACCGTGACCCAGTGAGAGAACGTAACGTAAGAAGAGTGTCAGTGAGGATAAAAAGGAGAGACGTCGTCGGTGCTGGCGGCACGGGTGTCATCGGTGCCATGGGGTATCTCGACGGAGCGGTTTAAAGGGGTACCCCCGGGTCGCTGTTTGCCGTCGTCGTTGGTACTCGTGGCGATAGCGATAGGCGATTGATAGTGATACAGTGGATGCACTACGTATCGTCGTGCAGTGATGTCCCGTGCGCACCGGGTGTACATGTATACTACGTACCATTGGTAGTGAGATCAATAAGCAGTGCCGTGCCACTCGACCCGTACCCACGAGCACGGACGGAAACTCATTCTGAATCTCTCCTTCCTTCTCGTCGTCCTCCGACCACCGCCACCTCCAACCCCCACGTACACCCCTCCCCTCTTCCCCCCTCGTTCCGCCAACCCTTCTTTTCTCCAGCAACCGAATCGTCGAGAGGTCACTTTCATTTGTTTCCTTTCTAAATTTTTTATCGTATCTCGAGCACCTCGAAACGAGTGTCCTTCCTTTGAACGGCGAGCCAGGCCATTGGTCCGCCGTTTTCGACGTGTCCCTATGCACGTACCGGTCTCCCTGTCCCGTTGCTTTTCGCCTCCGCGTACATCCGACCGTGCATTTTCGTCCGATCAATCGGTAAGGTTTACGCGCGCTTCCGTCACCGAACGCCTGATTTTTTAGCTCCTTTTCTCTCTCTCTCTATCTCTCTCTCTCCGATCCCCTCGCGGACAGACCTACTTGCTACGTGTCCCCCCCCTCAGTGAAGTAGAGAGTACCAGAGGAACGTCCGTGTTGTTTTGGTTTTCTTCTTTCTTTCTTTGTTTTTTTCCTATTAACGAGTTATTGTTCTTAATCGTCGCGCGATTATTACATGCTTCCAATGACTTTCGGCAGATTGTGCGGTGCCGTACGTATATCGTTTTGCCCGACCACGACGGCACGCGAGCAGACATTTAGTCCTGAAAGCCGTATTACGATCGTGCCGTCGAAATGTGCGCGTATCTCAGCACGAGTATCACGAGACACGTAAAACCAAGGGTACGTTTTTGAATTTGGTTCACATTATTCGTAAGGTAGATGTTGTACGGTATTTAACGCTTTGCCCGTATTCGCTAAACGATAGATTTAGAAAATGTTTACGTTCGCCGAGCGACCGGGATCGTTCGAGAGAATTTGTTGTAAAAAACCGGCGAAATTGAACCGACGAGTAAATCGTGTAAAGTGTACGTCGTTCGAGAAGCTGATAGAGGGTGAATAGTTTTATCGAGCGACACGGATTTTTGTACATTACGCTCGAGGAACACGATCACGCTCAGACACTTTTCCCGTACGACGAATTATCTTTGACGAGGAACGAGGCACGATGATTAAAAAAAAAAAATAATATCGCACGGGGTTCGATTTGAGCCGAATATATCACCGCGACACGGTGGCAAAGATTGCGACGCGCTCGTAATCTTTTCCGCCGTGTTACACAAGATATTCATCGCTATCCTGTTAACTGTTAAATCATGTTTTAGTGTTTCATAGCATGTAGCAAACTGTGAGCGTACATTTTGTTTTTTTTTTCGTAATATTTTCTTCCCACAGAATTCGTTCGGTATTCGTCGGTCGCGTAATGCTTGCTCGTCTTGTCAGCAAAATTTAAGCCCCCGCGTAGCACGTTTCGCGACGCAAACGACGCAAGGAAGAAACCTATTGGATTACTTAAACACGGTAGTTTGAACTAGACGCAAATTATCGATTATTAATTGCCGGCCGATAATTTTTTTAGCAGCGAGGCGAGCTTAGCGCGCGATAAGCGAAGGATTCCGATACCGATAACGCGGCGTACGCGCGTGGTTTCGACCACGTACAATGTTTTTTTTTTCTTCGTTTCCAGGTACACACGCGTTCGTCGTGAAATATTATAATATAACGGCTCGCGGGTATTCCCGTTCGTAGAATTTTTTTTTTCACCCCTGGGGTAATCTAACGTCGACGCATCGACGAATTCGATAAAAATAGTGTGCTCGGTAATCGACGCACGAGCGCGACGCGAGCGAAACAGAGGCCACGACTTTCGATCGTGGCGAGTGCACAGGCTGGGCGAGGGTGGGTGGTATAACCGGGCATACACAGCGATTTGTGCAAATAAATCAAAATTGTGCAATAACATTCTACCGCACGAGGCGCCGTTTTCGAGAAAATCAATGTCTGCCCATTGTTCGTTCTTTCTACTTTCTTTCTACCTGCATTTCGCAGGGTTTCAAGAAAACCTGCTTTTAGGGCAATCGTGTATCGTATTCTCGCAAGAAAATTCTTCCCCCGATGCTTTAAAATCAGTGTTTCCTTACCTTTGGCCTGAAAATGATAGTTATTTCGATCGAAGTAGAAATAGGGAGTAATGGTCAGACCAGCCAGTTTTAAAGATCCATTTGTACTCATGGACGAGCACGAGTATTTATAGTATTTTATCATTACTTCTGAGTATTTGTTAATATATACACGCAAAGCCCAAATACTGTGCCCAGATTTACAAAATCTTGATTCAAAGTCTTACGAACGATTCAGAGTTTCTTTAATTTATGTTAACGAACAGTACATGCCATTACAGATTTACTTAAGATACTAAACTGTCATTGATTCGACACTCGAGACTTTCAAGACCCCCCAAGACGATCAAGAGTTACAAAACATCCAAGACGATCGAGAGTTTCAAGACTTTCAAGACGACCGAGAGCGTCAAGACTTTCAAGACTTCTGAGATCGAGGCTTTCAAGAGTTTCTTAACGTCGAATCATGTTCGAGTCGTCGCAAGTCGCGTCCAAAATATGTGAACAAGCATAACGACGACACGCTATCGTTCTGCTTGGCTCGTGCTCGGCTGAACGTACGTAAATGGCTCTTTAACGCGTAAAATTAATTGTTCAGGCGCTGAATTCACGTTTGCTTATTCGAGATACATCTTAAAATTGTAACGTCTCGCCTTAACAATTAATTTGGACAAATACTCCATGAGAAATCTCGTCACCCATATACGAGTGACACGTCGACCAACGTGTTAAAGGGACCGTGGTGCTACGAGTAAGTAGAATATGGACAGCGTCGTGTAATTTCACCGTACGAAGGCTGTCTATAACGCCTGACCCAGTACGCCTCGGTCTTTTTCTACTCCGCGTAGCACCGTTGTCGACGAATGTTTCAAAATCAATTTTCCCGGCGAACGAGGGATCCCGTGTAAAAAAATATTATTGCGCATATTCGGTTTATTTTTCCACGAGTCGCCCTGCGGCCCGGCCATGCCCTCCCCCCCGCCTCCGTCCTCGTCCACCCTGCGTTTCGATCGGGACTTCCCCCCCAAGAACCTGTTGCCGGTAATCCCGTCGGGCGAATTTCTCATTTGGAAACAAAGTTATCGACAGTTCGGAATCGAGCCCTCGTCCACCGTTTATTACGCGCGTCGCTTTTTTTTTTTTTTAAAGCGTCGACGTGGTTTTAGCGCGCGCATCCAGCTCGCGCGACGTACCCGCGAGCAGAAACCGATCCACATACGCGGCATGCTGATTCTGGTATCCGTTTAATCCTCCGTTCACCGGCGCGATCGAAAAGTAATAGCTCCGCGATTACCCGGATAGGCGGGAATACGGATAGTAGGCCGCTATTGTAGAGAGAAAGAAAGATCAGCCCCCCGGATTAAAGGGAATGTAGCGTCACGAGGGAACGCGTACAACCTTCGAATATTATAAAATTTTTGTGTTTCGATCTCGATGCTTTTTCTCCGATAACATCTCTGGTATTCGTGACCAAGCGAAATTGTTACAATTTTAATGTTTCTGTATCTAAAACAAGGAACACGCGAGTTTGTTTACACGCGCTGATTCGCGGCAACGATACCCCCGAGACACGTTCGTAAGGTTTTCTCACGCCATCGACGTACATTTACGGCACAAACGAACCTCTCTGTTCTTATAGAACACGTCGTGAACGTTTGCCAAATGTCCGAGCAGCGCCGGGCGAGCCCTACTTTACGAGGGCTGTAACGTCCCGACCGCTGGTCGAATTTCCTTTCAGAATTGATCTTTCTTTCGTTCCCCTCCACAATAGATTTCGTTCTCGAAGATAATATCCTATCGGGAAACGTCGAGTTCCGTCTGTCGGTGGTTCCGCCGGTGCACGGAGGATTGAATGCGACGAGTGTACCATTTTTCACGGTTGTACGCGCGAAACGGATTAACCCGACTATTTTCAGTCGCGGCCGGGAGCTAGGGCACCGTGGCGGATCGACGCAAAAAAAAGAAAATATACGAAATCGCTGAAAATTCGTGGCACGGGGGAGTCGTGATAGCGTGAGCAGACTGGCAGGGCCCGCAAAAGCCGCCAATTAATTAAGATAGCTCCTAGATACACGGTAGATCGATAGGGACTGGCCCTGATAAAGACGGGCGAGGGTTTCAGACTTCAGGGATGTTGCAGTGCTGTGGTGTTGGAGGTGGCGCTTCCACGGCACCTCAGGCTCCGCAGCTGCAGGATACCGGATCTGCTGTCGGGATTACCACCTCCACGAAAACCACCATCATGCAGGACGCGGTCCACGAATCCATTCGCGAGGTGAGTCTCACCGATTATCGCCTCTCGTACACGGTATCCGCGTTCCACGCCGGAACGGTTCCTTCCCTTTAAACCTTTAAAGGGTATAACGTTTCAGCGAACGATATCGATTACACAACCGGCTCGGGTCTCGAATTTTAACTTTCATTATTCACGCGCTCGCGAGATACCGGAATATATGTCGCGTACTCCTGTTTACGTGCTCGTTAATATTCGAAAATGTAAGACGTAGCAAAAAAAAAAAGCAAAATTTATATTATCGTCAAAAATTGTATAAAAATCTGATTACACTTGCCACCATTTTGTGTACAGGTATCCTATGAAGGATTGATACAAAATGTAAGACGTAGCAAAAAAAAAAGCAAAATTTGTATTATCGTCAAAAATTGTATAAAAATCTGATTACACTTGCCACCATTTTGTGTACAGGTATCCTATGAAGGATTGATACAAAATGTAAGACGTAGCAAAAAAAAAAGCAAAATTTGTATTATCGTCAAAAATTGTATAAAAATCTGATTACACTTGCCACCATTTTGTGTACAGGTATCCTATGAAGGATTGATACAAAATGTAAGACGTAGCAAAAAAAAAAGCAAAATTTGTATTATTGTCAAAAATTGTATAAAAATCTGATTACACTTGCCACCATTTTGTGTACAGGTATCCTATGAAGGATTGATACAAAACGACTGAGGAAAATTTTCTTTGCATTTATAAATTTAGTAATTACGATCTAAGATCGTGACGAATGTAGTCGGATTTATTGTCGCGAGGATGATGTGCCGCCGGGGAGTATTACGTACAAAATTAATGTGCACGTAATAATCGTACGTTGCATCGACGTTGTCCCGAGATTCGCGCGATTACGCCGCTCCTGAGAGATGACGTATATCGAGGGGATGTTCGTCAGCCGATGGATATTGATGCTCTAAGCGAATTTTGAACGCCGGAGGTCCCCTTTAATTAAAAAGATTGTAAACCCGCGGGGGAACGTTTTCGGCGGTCCGTCACGAGTCACCTTCTTTCGGTTTCGTTTCTTAACGTGTCGACCGAGTTCGACGCGAGTGTTGGTTCGATCGTACGAATACCGATGTACCTTCGAGGCACACGGAACACAAAGGCGCCTTTCATTATTAGTAATGTCGAGCGGATGATTCCGATCGTGGACCATGCCACCGGCCGGACGTCCCCCCGGGTTATTGAAGGTGGTTATCCCCACCTTCGTTCGCAAATATCACACGAAATTCGCGGACGTTGTATTTCGCTAGCCAGCCTCGCGAGTGAGAAAAGCTGTACCTCTAAAACGGAGATAGAAAAATGTAACAAACTGAATGTAAATAACGACGTGTGTTCAATCGACCAACGAACGAGAAAAGTCTCCTTAAAGTTATAAAATTAAAATATCGCTTTGTAACTCGTATACACATGTATAGAAACATGTATCGTAAAATATACTGTGCCCGTTCGCGTTGTTATTGGCTCTGTTAATTGCATCGAATTATCGTAAGAAGTTGCATCGGATGTTGTACGTTGCACATGATTAATGCATGACGGTGCACTGTCCTAATTCAGCAGAGTACATGAGCCTTCGAGGAAGGATTTTTTAACGGGTAATTCGCCCTGCTAGAATTATTATATTATTTGATCTGCTCGTTCCTCGGATTTCAATTCCCCGGATTCTTACGATCCGCTTGAAGACATTTATTTATTCAACGCCTGTCGTTAGCGTCGAGATACTTTTGAAATTTATACGAGAGAAAGATTGAGAAACTCTGCGGCAGGACGTACACGGGATTGCATTCGGGTCAAAGGTAGCCATTTCGTTCAACTTTCCGTAAAGGCAAACGGCTATACATTAACTGTACACTGGAATGGCTGTAACTCGTAAACAAGGTCGAATAGGGCACATGTTTATACGAACTTCCATTATTGTTACATCCTCTGTACACCGCTGAAGTAGACAACGCACGTTCCGAGACACCGCGTACACTTTCATCGATATCGTATTTATGTCGCGGCGTCTATAGCCGTCGAGATCGCTTATTTTCTCGAATTCGTTCGTCGATTCTTAAAAAGTCTGAGAATCGAGCATGATAGATTCTGGCGAAATAACGCCCACATCTGTGGTAAACTCCTATCTGCTTGATCTCGAGAAGAACCTCCTTGATATATAAAAATTGTACGCTGTCGATTGATAATCAGTAGACCGCGGATGTTTATGCATTTATGGGAAATTTTAATTTTCAAAAAACTACAGAATTCAGTTAATATGCAAGAATATAAGAAGTAAGGTAGGAATTATTACATCTAGGGGTAGAGACAACCCTCTGTAAAGCTCCAATTTCATTAATTTTCATTAATAAAAATATAAATTTGCACGAAGATCCGCAGTGTAATAATCAGTAAGCACAAGTTATTGGAACCGTTTTAGAGACGTAGCTTTTCCCTAGTCGCGTTGGACATAAATTGTTCCCTGTCTTCGACATCATCGACGCGGTGTTTGCAGCAAATGCGTGAAACGGAAGCTCGGAAGGCGGAGCTGGAGAGACAACACGCAGAAGCACAGAGCCAGCTACGCGAAAAGATAGCAGGACGCTATCAGGGCCCGGAATCGGTCGAAGCGCTGCAATCGAAAATAAGGGAACTCGAGAAGAAAACGGAGCTGCAGATAGTCAGACACGAGGAATTGTCCTTGGAGCTGACGAGCCTTAGACGTGCTCGAAGCAGAGGGCCGGTGGTAGGACATCACTCGGCGGTACCGACTACTTGGCCACCGGCTGGTTCCGAACTCGACAGAATAATAGCGGAGATGGAACAAGATAATAGGTGTGTTCCTTGACATCGTATTCCACTAACCTCTCGACCCTGAGTCGCGTTTTAATATTTTACGTAAACGTAAACGATCGATCCGTACGTCCGTCGGTGTCGTTCGGCATCGTCTGATCCTCGATTTAACGTTGTTTGATTCTTTACGCAGCGCTAGTCGGATGTTACACGATTTGGACCACTCCCGGAGCACCATTACCACGCAACAGCCCTCGGTTACACAGGGTATTCTGCGATCCAGCTCCGAAAATCTTCCTAATCTTAGCCAACATCAGCATCCACCCCATCCGCACGCTTTGAGCCTGGGAATGCCAACGCAATTGGGCCACGTACGTAAAAGAACCGGTTTTCTTTTCTCCGTTTAAGTAGAAACATCGATGCATGGTCAGACGCGCCAGGGAAATAAAGAGCGAATTTAATCGTACCCGTGTAAGTCTAAGATTTTAATTCGTACCGATCGAAAGGAACTTTGAAACAGTACGCAGGTTCGCCGATGCCCCTAACGCCAATGATGCCCGGATGTCCACCGTTGACACCGAACGGACCGCCGTATCACTATAGCGAGCCAATCCCGCCGGCGCCGTCGCTCTCCACCAGCCAGTCGCAGCCCGTTTTCCAACAGAAGATGCAATCGTACCAGCAACAGCAGTCTCATGCCGATTTGCCCAGTTCTCATTCCCAGAGTGCTCTGCCCACGCAGCAGAAGCAACAACAAGCGCACACCCATTTCGCGAGCAATCAGTACCAGGAGAGTTATCCGCATACGCAGACCTATCAGCAGCCGCTCCAGCAGCAACAGCAGCAACAGCAACATCCGGCCTCTACAACGTACCTGACGTCGTCGAGTCAAAGCGTGATACCTCATTACACGCAGCCCACTCAGACCGGCCAAACGTATCAACTCAATGGAAGTCAGCAGGTAGGCTAACAGTTTGTTTCAATAATAGTTTCTACTTGTACTGTCGCATTAATGGAAGTTTGAAATAATTTCAGGCAACGACTTATCCAAGCTTATCGATAACATCCCACCCAAACGGAACGTACAGCACAGGGGCGAGCACCTTCAACACCCAACTGTCCCATCACAATTTCCCTGTACCGCAGACGAGCATCCCCCAAACCACGTTGTCGTCCCTACCGCCCTATTCGACGAGTTCCTTCCATTCCACGTTAGGCGCGCTGACCAGCGTGCCACAAACCGTTCTTCCCTACTCGAGTGTACAGAGCACATTTGCCACCAGCGGATCGACCTACTCTACCGTCGGGACCAACGCTTTTGGCACGTCTGGCGTGAACTCAGGTACGAATACACCATTATACGGTTATCCCGTCGTCAGTCGATCGCAGTTGCTAAACTCGCGGCAAGGAAACTATCTTTCGTTTCAGGTACCAGCTCGACAGGCTTGTTGCAAGCGATAAGCGATCCCCTCCAAGCGATGCAGCAACTGTCTGCCCAGTCGCAGGCGAACCAGCTGCAGCAGCAGGCGATCATACAGCAGATCCAGCAAAGTTTAAGAGCCAGCTCGCCGACAGCTACCACTGCTACCGGCCACCACTACCTCGGTCCAAGACAAATGCCAAAGATACCCAGCAGTATACTGTCGAATCCCCTGGATCGACTAACCAACGACAATACCGTGCCCGAGGGTCAGCTGGACATGCTGGATATACCCGGCAAGGGCAAATGTTACGTTTACATTGCTCGTTTCACTTACGAGCCGTTCCAGCACTCGCCGAACGAGAACCCGGAAGCGGAGCTGCCCGTACAGGGTGGCGATTACCTCCTGGTCTGGGGGCAACCGGACGCGGACGGTTACCTCGACGCGGAGACGCTCGACGGCAGACGCGGTCTCGTACCAGCCAATTTCGTCCAGAAATTGGTCGGCGACGATCTGTTGGAGTTTCATCAAGCCGTGCTGGGACTCAGGGACGTCGATGATTCTGCATCCACCAATATTCCCCAAGTGAGCAATGTGAGCAATGACCCTACAACACGTACACATTATATTTTTCTCTGAAAACTACACGCAGCTCTGCTGTCCAGATATAGCGACACGAGTCAAAATTCTCAGCCTCGGTTCCCCGCAGAAGCCGTTCCATTTTTAAATCCCACAAAGCGGAACTTATTTCCGTTTCCTCCATTTTTAGGCCGACAAAAGGATACGGAACGAGCGTTTAATATGTAGGGCACGGCGAACCGAAATAGATTCTAGAACGCTAGTCGTCGAACGTTGCAATTTCGAAGACGTTGGATTAACTTTGTTTTGATTCCGAACGTTTTTCTTTAAGATATGTAAAGAAACGCGAAACGTTTGCTTCGAAGCATTTTTGTCCGACCTAGAGGTTCTGACCTGAAAAGGTGTACGCAAGGGCCGTATTTTATCGATATACGGCGCTCGACAAAAGAATGTAGGCTGCGGAAGACTAATTAGGAAGGCGAGAATTTCGACTCCGGTCTCTTAACAAATACCAAACGAATCACTCTGCAATATAAATTTTATTTACTCGTTCCGTAGAAAGCCACCCAATTAGCCACCGTTCTGATTCAGGTTCTCTGTTTGCAGTGCTTTCTGCAAGACTTCGATCTCGAGTTGGCGGCCTTGGAGGAGGGGAATCGAAACCGACAGGCGGAATTGTCCGCGTACGCGGAGCTCGACAACATCGCGGAGGAGGACGAGCAGGAGCCACCAGGTTAGTACACTTTCGTACCAACGTGTATCCTGACTTTCGCTGCCGAGCATGTAACAGTTTAGATGTACAAGTATGCGTACACTACCGATATTTAATAAGTTTTACAAACGCTGACGCAATCGTCTTAGACGTGTAGATTGTCACGTGTTTCGAATGCTAGATAGTCAACAAGGTATCGACGTTTCGAGGAAACGTATCTCATCGTCGTCGTCGAACGATCAGCATCCTAGAATCTAACGATTGAGCTAGCGATAGATGTTTAGCGTAGGATACCCCGTCGTAGCATTGAATTTCCGATTGTGTTGAGTGCTTGTTTGTTCAGCGTTCTCCAACGACAGCGATAGAACTTTCCGCTTAATATCGATTGTTAAAAATGTTTCGTTCTATGTCGATTGGGTAGTTCCTATCGGTGTTATTGGAAAACTCGTTAGTTACGCAAAGCGTGGCGCATACAGAGATACGAGCGTAACGATTTCATATTAGTCACGCTCGTTCGACCGAGAAAATCACGATGCTTTGGACAAGTATCCGCAAAGTATCGGCTTTTCTTCCTGTTTAGTTAACCTTCGATGCGCGCCGTTCGAAGGTAGGGGTGTTCTTGAACGCATGTTGCCTGTTTGATAGCACAAATGCGAAAGATCCGTTTCGGTTTATCGTGAGCAGGGAGTAAGTACTATGATCGGAGCAGTTCTTGAACGGAGTCTTGCACTGTGTTGAGTATTGGATGGATTTAGGCTGGCTTAGCGAAACTAGATAGCGAAAGATTTATTAGTTACAGCTAGGCTTGTCTTGTCTTTTTTCCCTGAAGAAGTCTACCTGTTTTCGGACCTAGTTCCGGCGCCGCAGCATCTCACTCTCGAGCGGCAGTTGAACAAGAGTGTCCTAATCGGCTGGACACCGCCCGAAAACACTCACCAGCTCGAATCCTATCACGTCTACGTGGATGGGGTGTTGAAGGTTACCGTTAAAGCGACCGAGAGAACTAGAGCGTTGGTCGAGGGAGTCGACTCTACCAGGGTTCGTAAAAACAATCATTCTTAACAGATCAACATCCCCCTTTGAACATCGAGTCGTGTCGAATTATGTGTTTTTTTTTTTTTTGTATCGTCGATAGTTTCGAAGATATTCGATGTGATTTATCTGGGTCGTTCTGTATTCTCGTGTACCCTTGAAAGATTTATCTTGCGGTATTATTAGATCAGGATAATAGGAAAAGGAAAAGGAATAGGTCGTTACAGTGTTTATAACACGATGAAAGATACGCGAGTATTGGAACGTCTCATTCTTGGCGGCTATCGACGATATTAAAAATGGTTTCACGGGGCACGTAATCCGATGCAAATAAGCTTTTATTTTTAACAAAGAAGGTCAACCCTAACAATGTCTGGACGGAACTGTTCTAGTACCGCTCCGTGTCTGAATAGCAAGATCCTTTGTATCGTTGACAGCTGAGAAAAATGCCCCTGAGGGGTACATTCGGTTCGAATCATTCCATACATTCTACCACAATGCACAGAAGACACAAGGCCACCTAGAGTATCGCTATCGTATTGCTCTTGGAATAACTCGCTCTCTTACAGGTTTTGCACCCCAAATTCAACCGTTACATTTATAATTAATTTATAAAATACGATTTGTTCGCATTTTGAAACATTAAAATCCTTCAATCCGTTCAGGAGTTATGAAATTTCAGGGAAACAGTCAGATATATGTCAGACATGACGTTTTCAGTAATGAATTTTTTTCTCGAAACTGCGTAGGATTTCGAGGGTATGTGTATTCACCAAAAATGATTATAATTGACCACTGCAACTGAAAATATTTTTTTTAGAATGATTTGAAACTTTTCAATTTCGCCGAAAAGAGGTACCTACTCGAATTTTTTTCTCGAAAGTGCGTTGGATTTCGAGGGTATGTCTATTGACCAAAAATGATTATAATTGACCACTGCAACTGAAAATATTTTTTTTAGAATGATTTGAAACTTTTCAATTTCGCCGAAAAGAGGTACCTACTCGAATTTTTTTCTCAAAAGTGCGTATGATTTTGGGGGTATGTCTATTGACCAAAAATGATTGTAATTGACCACTGCAACTGAATATATTTTTTTTAGAATGATTTGAAACTTTTCAATTTCGCCGAAAAAAGGTACCTACTCCAATTTTTTTCTCGAAAGTGCGTAGGATTTCAGAGGTATGTCTATTGACCAAAAATGATTGTAATTGATCCTCGCAACCGAAAATAATTTTTCCAGAATGATTCGAAATTTTTTGTTTTTAATCCGGATAACCGGGTACCGAATAATCCGAACAATACTGTACCAATTTTTGTGATTTCTCGATAAACCATTACAGAGGTCGACATTCTTTTCTCTATTCATTGTCCGATGAATTTGGTGTGCAAAGCCAGTAAAAACGCTAAATAAAAGCTAACTCATCGCGTTACTCGATTGTTATTATTACCGAAATAATGCAGCCGCACAGAATAAGCGTACGGTCGGTGACGCACACGAGAAGAACGTCCCGCGACGCCGCTTGCACGATGGTGATCGGTAAGGACGGCGCCCTGGGTCCAGCCGCCGTCAAGGCGTCGAACGTGACCGCCACCAGCGCCGTGATATCCTGGCTGCCGAGCAACAGCAACCACCAGCACGTCGTCTGCGTGAACAACGTCGAGGTCAGGACGGTGAAGCCCGGCGTTTACAGGCACACGATCACAGGCTTGGCGCCCTCGACGATCTACAGGGTGACCGTCAAGGCGAAGAACCTGAGAGCCACGCACTTCGAGGACCAAAACACTCAAGCGGCGAACAACTTAGCGTGTCACGTCCACTTCAAAACGTTACCCAAAGGACTACCAGATCCTCCGGTCGATATCCAGGTGAGTGGCCATTGAAAAAACAATTTCATTTGTATTTGATAGGAGGGTATAGTTTCGACGTTAATCGTGTTTGTTTTTGTTTACAAAGGTGGAGGCTGGACCGCAGGACGGCACTTTGCTAGTGACCTGGCAGCCTGTTGCCCTAAACGGTTCGGCCGTCACCGGTTACGCGGTGTACGCCGATGGGAAAAAGGTCACCGACGTAGACAGCCCCACCGGTGACCACGCTCTGGTCGACATCCACAAACTGATGGGTTTGAACCCGAAGCATATCACGGTCAGAACTAAGAGCAGGGAGAGCCAGTCGGGCGACAGTTGCGCCACTGCCATTCCCTGCAGCGTTCTTCGCGGCGGGCCCGCGACCCATTTGCAACACGGGTCCGTGCACATGCAAGACCAGGGACAGCAACAGTCATCCAGCGTGGGACAGTCGGACGACCCCAACAGGGTGCGCATGGGCGGCGTTAGCCAGAGATATCCGTCGATCCCCGTTCCGTCGCACATGAGAAGACACGGGGTGACCAGGGTCGACGCTCACGGCCAAGTGATCATCGAGACCGACGAGAATCTGTCCGACAAAGAGATCTATCCTGGACAGAGCATGTCTCAGATGGGTAAGAGACCTTTTGCGCCAATCGATCGTCAAGGGAGCCTTCTGATTTCGAAATCGAGTCGGGAAATCGGAAGACTCCCGATCAAGCGACCTTTCGAGACTTTGCACGCGTTGCTACCGTCGCCTAGGAGTTCCAGAGATCACCAAGGACTCGGCGAGCGAGGCGAACTACAGCGAGGAGGAGGACCCGTCGCGCAGAGGCAAAGGCGGTCCTCACCACGGCGGCCATCCTCGATACGGGTCGCAAATGGGACAACAAGGACTTCCGGGAACGCACAGATCCGCAAGGATGCCTGGTCCAGGCGGCAGGTCCCAGGATCCGTACTACGAACAACCAGGTACGCTTAAAACGCTGCTAAAGTAAGAGTCGAATCTATCGTCCAACAAGGGACGCGATGTAACCCTATCGATTTTAGAAAGTACTACTGTTCACGACCAGACGATAGATTCGACTTTTACTTTAGTGCACGCGAGCAAACGATCGAGCAGACATTTCTACGCGTAAGCTTTGTCGCGTTTCTCTATTTTGTGTTGTGCGTGTGGTTCCTTTCTTCACGCAGGAAACCAAAGAGGCAGGGGTCCCGGTTACCGCGGCGGGCGGGTAATGCAGGCTCAGGGCGGTGCTGGTCATCCGTCGAGCAGCGGTCAGCAAATGAACGAGAGGCCACGGTGGTTCGTCGGCCTGTTCAATTACGATCCGAAGATCATGTCGCCGAACCCGAACGCCTGCGAGGACGAGCTCCCGTTCTCCGAGGGCGACTTCATCAAGGTCTATTTTACTAGCTTACGCGAATTATATCGCCGCGACGTGTCCAAGACCCGAGGATCTTGTGGCTCACGACTTGATTCGGTAGGTATACGACGACAAAGACCCCGACGGATTTTATTGGGGAGAATGCCGCGGTAGGCAAGGATTCGTACCGCACAACATGGTGAAAGAGATCAAAGATCTGAACGCGCCTGGTCAGGGACAGCAGGGGAGGAGAGGAAGATGGGGCGACATTTACGCCAGTATGCCCGTGAAGAAGATGATAGCGCTCTACGACTACGATCCGCACGAATTGTCGCCGAACGTCGATTCCGTAAGATCCATTACTGAACAGATAGCGGAATGGACGAATCCGTAACGTCTTGTTTCGCTGTTAGCTACGAATCGAGATTGTTAGATCTAGAGATAAGAAACGTACGTTATTGCGTATCATTGTTCTCGTAGCAAGTGGAGCTGGCGTTCCAAACCGGAAACGAGATCTACGTCTACGGCGACCTGGACGACGATGGATTCTATATGGGCGAACTGAACGGTGTACGGGGTTTAGTTCCGAGTAACTTCCTCACCGAAGTGCCGGATCAGCCGGCGCAGGGGCAACTGCCGCCTGGTAGCAGAAGACCACCCAGTCAGAGTCAAGGACCGGGAGCGAGAGGACCGCCTCCGCCACCACGGGAACCCCCTCCGCCTGGTCATCGACGTGGCAAAGGTAAAAGTATAAAGGCCGATTGCCGTTCGATCTTTTCTACTTTACGGTTTACGATCACGCCGCAAAGAACAGCTCCTCAAGCCAAGCGATAAAGGAGCGGGCGGAACGTAAGACGACAGATCAGTATAGAAACCGAGGAACGGAACGAGCGCCAACGATCAAGCAGTAACGATTACGAGACGGATGCAGGGGTCTGCGAAGAATGCGTTTGTCAGTGATTTAGTTTCCACGGAGAGCACGAGAAAACGTTAGGTTTGTCGCTTAAAAGAAAAAAAAAAAATATAAAAAAGGGGCTAGAAAACTGGCTCGAGGGGTTGAAATAATAATTCACACTGGCGCTGTTTATTTCGAACCGGTCGGTCTGTCTCGACGGAGTTCGATAGCGGTTGTTATGTATGAGATAGGACGATGAGGCGATAGAAAGAACTAGGACTGGAAAGCAACCAGACGTCAGTGTGAATAAAAAACTGTACAGACGGCAAGCAACACAAGACACGAAATTAGATGTGCCAGACGACAGGCAGAAGGGTCACACAAGTACTTATGGTTGGGCAATAGCATCTAGCGACGCCCGATCGATGTTAATCGAATCGAATCGTTCGCTTTTTTTTAGACGCACACGATTCATGCCAAATTGCAGTAAGATCCGCAAACTGTCGAAGCGACGAGCCGACTGTTTCGATAATGGCGTTTCGAGTAAGTGCACCCGATGCTTTTGCCTTCAGGGAAAATTACATTTAAGTAGCCCACTAAACGACAAGCTTCTAGGAACACGTTCGATATTGCCACGATATAGAGTCGAGTAACCAGATTGAACAGAAAAGCGGATTTTGTATTTGGAATCTTTTTTTTTCTCATTTTTTTTTTTGTTCTTTTTATTTATTTTTTTTTTTTTTTTTAGGAACACGTCTTTCGTCATATGCAAAGCGATTTCTATCTATCTGTCTATCTACCTATCTATCTCTCTGTGTCTCTACATATATATAATATATACATATTTTATATATGTTGCGCATACACTTATAAAATATATATATAATATACAAAATAAAACACTAAGCTGCTTTCAGTGTTTCTATTAAGTATACATACATACATACATACATATATGTGTATTATACATATATGTATTATATTCATACCTTTACTTTTTCCGAGCACTTTTCGGCTCTATTTACTTTTCTACGTGCCTATCTTTTTTCCTCTGTCTATTATATATACGTGTTATATTTACGCTATATACGTATACATATATAGCGTGTTATTCTATAACGACATAATCTGTTTCTGTGTGCCTGAACTGGTCGATGGTCGTCGTGTCACATGATTGTCGTTCGTGTCGTGTTGTCAAGCTGGCCATTTAAACGTTCAAAATGATTATTTCATATTTCGACGATTCGCTCGCGATTACCGGTACGATGATTCAATCATATTTCGTGTCTTGATGCGTTAAAGTCACGGGAAAAATTTAACTGTTTGCACTGGTCCAGGTTCTGCCGAGTAATTCGAATCCATGCTTCCACCGATTTGCACGATGATTTGAAAAAAAAAAAAAAAAAAAGAAAAGAGAATAAAGTAAATTTAAATATTACTCGGCATACTTGGCCACGTACATAAATGTCCATTTAAAAGAGATAAATGCGCCATGAATGACAACACGGTTCTGTTCTCTTCTCTGTTGCTAGATGCCTGCATTGTGCCTGTGTCTGTCCCTGTCTGTCACTTAGACTCTAGACAACAACAACAACAACAACAACAACAACAACCATCACTAATGAACAACCAACAACATCAACTCCAACATCAACAAAACAATCCACCGCATCTAGCGTACCAACAAGCGAATCACCACAGCTACACGACTGTAACCACGTCCAATCAACATGGGCCCACTCCCATGGGTGCCCATCAGCAAGGTCCCGTACCACTCCACCTTCAACAGCAGGTGAGTTCACTGCTCTATCCAGAAGTTTTCACTGGTGCTTTTCGACGTGCTGCAAATTCCTCTCGCTGCAAAAGCCTGTTGTACGATATTTTTACTGTATTACCTTTCTTTCTTACTAATTCACCGAGGTACACCGAGGTTCTCTCTCTCTCTTTCTCTATTTCTCTCGTTATGCCTCCAGCGTTTTACTTTACTACCCTCCATTTACGAAAGATAACCGTGGCACTCGGCTCTAATGGTTTAAGGATCGAAAAAGCAAATTACGGTGAATCGAAATCGTCGTTTGGAACGATACAATCTACAGGTACAGCGAAACCTGATTATTCTGGAACAATTGGTGGGGAGGGAGAGTGGAACAGCTACGAAATGGAATACTAAATACTCACGTATTAACTTACGAAGTGTTTACGAATAAATAGAAAAAAGGGAGACACGTGTTCCGCCCCAAAATATGAATTTTTATCAACAAGTTTGTGCACCTTGTAACGAGCTCCAGCGTGGAGCCTGCGTCCATCGTTAAAGTCATTAGAGTCGATCGAGTATCTGAGTACTTAACGTAATTCTAACGTTTAATTACGAAGCCAGTAATGCTCGAAACGTCGAGTTTCCTTCGAACTGTATCTCGTTTTCAAAGCTTGTAATCAAGTGCTTGTAATTATAATAACACGTCGTGCCAGCATGCGCATACGCCTGTGCACAGTAAAATAGTGCACAGTGAGCAGAGTTTGGTAAATTTTATTCTAAACAAGCAACAAAGAATAACGAATGAAACAAGATTTATTCACGAATAACATCCAGTTTGTTCATTATTTTTGCGAAAGTTCGTTCGAATAAAATTTTATTCGTTCCGATAAGAATTTATTCGAACAAACGGCCAACTCTGGCTGACTAAACGACGCTTTGGCGGTGATCGAAACTTTCATCTGAATTGTACCTAACATACACGCTTCTGTTTTCTCCTTCTCTGCTTATCGTTATTCTTCACGCTCGCTTCCATACTGTAACGTTCCAGTGTCTAGTTTTTTTTATTATTTTGTTTCCGCTTGTAAAGAGGGTCATCCGGATCGAACGAATTCACGAAAAACGAATAAATGTTCTCTCGCTCGTAGCGTCCCAGTAACATCCGTTCGAAACTACTTTCTCACGCTTCCTTTCTTTCGCTTAGGTAACGACACATCGAAACGTTGTCGTATACATAAAAACGCATTACTCCTTATAGAAGGTACGTAGATGGTTGTGTTCGGCGTACTAGAAAAGAACCGTACACCGATTAGAAAACAGTACCGAACGAAATAGCAACGATAACCGCATAAACGCCACTCAATGCGAACGTTTACCTTGTTAGAGTTCAGTTTACATTATTTTTGTTTTTTTAGGAAAGTATCTCGACGCTGCGAACATGCTTTGTTGGGATGAAAATTCGTTGAAACTTTTCAGGGTACCGGGGACGATTATTAGGAGTCGACGGGAGAGGGAAACGATACAACAGCGTTGGTAGGCTCGTTCGATTAACTGGTGTCGCTTTAATTTCTAGGGGAAGGGGAGGGGAGGCGCGATCAATCGTGGTAGTAACGTGCCGGGAGGTATGCAGGGCCCTGGGCAGCACATGCAACAGCAACAGGACTACCAACAACAGAATCAACCGTACCAGCAACAGCAACCGAATCAACAGAACCAGAACTACCAGCAGCAACAGAATCAAGGGTACCAGCAGCAGGGTTCGGGATTCGGACCGCAGGGCCAGCAGTTCCAGCAGCAACAGACCCAGCAGCAACAGCAACAGCAACAGCAGAATCAACCGTACCAGCAACCGAACCAGGGCTCGTCGATGCAGGGCAGTCAGAGCACCAGCAAACCGATGAGGGGGATACCGACGGTTCTGCCAACCGCCCAGTCGAAAACGCAACCGAACGCCGCGCAAGGCCAGCAACCGCAGCAACAGCAGCAGAGCACAGGCCCGAACCTTATGCAAAAGTTCACGGAGATGGCGGGCGCGAGCGCCGGCGGCGACATACTCTCGAAAGGGAAGGAACTGATCTTCATGAAATTCGGCCTCGGCAAGTGAGCTATTACCCTGCCCGTGTCGCTCGCTCCGCTTCCTCTCTACTTCTGTCCTAAAGCTCTCGCGCCGGACCGTCGTGTCCGCGACGGGGGATCACTTTCTAAATCAGTATTACGGAGAACAAACTGCGGAGAGCAAGCGAGACGCGCAGGCAGTGACGTACGAACGCGTCTCGTCCGATCGGTTCTTTGCTAATAACCACGAACGACACGACACGAAACGATACGATACGATGATAACCGTATGATGTAAAATGTGCGCTGCCATTGCTGCTGCTGCTGCTGTTGCCGCCGCTACGACTGTTACTATTTCGCGACCACTGCTGGATCCATGGTTTGATCGAAACGTTGCGCTGGTACGCGCGCGGACCGATAAGTTTATATCTAAAAACAACCCCCAGTCCCGTTGTTTCTGCCTCGAGCTACGAGGCAAATCTCCTATCAGGCAGGAAAGAAAAGAATGTTCGCTGGCGTCCTTCGATGATATCCCCCTACCCGCGAAAATCACCGTGAAAGTAGTCCGGATTCGGATTCGACGTTAAGAGTTCCGTGGATTGAAACGACGAGGCTCGGTAATCAACCACCTCCGATTAATTCTTTTTCGATCGCCTTTGTCATCATCGTTATCATTATCGTCTTCTTATTCTTCTTCTTGTTCTAGTTCTTGATCTTGATCTTGTTCTTCTTCTCCTTCTTCTTCTTCTTCTTCTTCTTCATGCAATGGAGTCCTTTTTCTGGGTGTCACGTCGCCGATCAAAATCCTAAAATTTAAACCGAAGGTCAATATCGAGAAACGGTTTTTACGCTCGTTGGAGGGGAAACGTTTCTGTGCAGGGTGTTTCTGGTGACTCTTCGCCTAGTTAACAGGATTTGCTTTTTTCTTGACACCGGAAGGGCTGGGTTTTTAGCGTAGATGTTCTCTGTTATTTCGTTAGAGTAACCCATCAGATTACGATTAAACTATTGTTTTCTGAAGTAGTATCTAATGTAGAGATGTTTCTTTTCCAACGGGTGCCAAGAACGGTCAAATTTCGACATTGTCCTTTTGGCCGCCGGACGAGTGTATCGAAACGAAATTGCGCACCGAGCAGGCATTACTTTATAAATATTGTATAGCGCGTCCAAACAGCACTGGATCGCGCAACGCGCCATTTGTACATGTCTTTTAATTTGCGGCCAAGGGACAAGAAAAATTCAACGATTTATTCGATGGTAAATAATGTTATGTATTGTATCGTTTGATCGAAAGCGTATGAATTAATAAATAATTGTGGCGTACAATATGCATTAACGCCTGCTCAAGGATTCGTACACACCGGATGTCGGGTGCATAATCAGGCCACCGTGCACAAGAATCACCTACCGATTAGTTCGACGGAGAAATTCCCTTTCGTACGTGGGCGTGCCTTATGAAAATCTCACCCAGGAACAGCAATCATATCTTTTTGACTTCAACCGATTCGACGGAACTGTCAGTCGATGTCGCGACGGATCGTTCGATCGTTTCGCGGGAACGAGGACATTTTATATAGAGGCGACTGAATAAAGAGACGTCGCGTTACGAGTGAACCGCGAAACAATTTCAATTCGAATTCGAGAAAGTTTCGCGTCGCAAGAGGCTTCTAAGAAGACGACGGAAATTCCTCGACTCTGGTTTGCAAATTTTTATTTACCAAAGTCGGGGTTCCGTTGGCCCAGGCTACGATTGGCCGACAGAACGGATTTCGCGGTGAAAGAATTTTCCGAAAATCGAACGTCCGAGGCGCGGCGCAGGCGCGGAATCGAGTCAGATTCTGCGCCTCTGGCGCGTTTCTTCGATCCCCCGTCTTTCTTTGCCTGATGTTTAAATTCCTCCGTTCCGAAGCGTTGCTTTGCGTTTAATTTCTCAGACCCTGGAAAAAAAAAGTATACAAAATGAAAGAGACTATCGGGACAAAGTTAAGTAGATTAAAACGCGATGCAAACGGATCTAAATGGAAGGCGAAGACTAAACGGGAACGTAGCTTCTCGTGGTGCTCGAGGCCGCGATTACGAACGAAACGAAAAATATTTTAAAAAGACAGAGAGCCAAAACGAATAACCAAACACTATAATCGCGCGCTGAACGACGCGCGACCGAATGGCTTAGAATCGAACGATTCGTGGATCAAGTCGAACTACGTGGTACATATAAATAAATAATTTAACTAAGTAATTAATTGGTGTCGCTCCGATGGTGGACGGGAGCGATGAATTCGACCGAGGAGAGAAAATATTGGGATCGGGGGTGGGGTTTTGGGAGGGGAAATATGGGAGATCATAGGATACGTATATTACGGTAATGAAAAAAAATATACATATATATGCATACGCAAATATACATATACATGTGTGTATATATATATAATACGTACACAGGACACGTACACGTACACACACACATATGACACACGCGCACATATATATATACATACAAAATACACACGCAAACATACATTATATTTAACTATTGCAAAGTGTTGTTACATCGCTACTTGTATCGTATTTTGTACAAAGTATCCTTACCTTCAACTGTTCTTTTTTCTTTCGCCGTGATATATAAAGGGAAAACAATACAAAAAAAAATAAAATAAATAAATAAATAAATGAGATCCTTAACGAGGCGGAGAAAGGGCGACGAATATTCAAAGTCACGTTTGCTAGAATCACTTTGGGAACCACGTTAACCAGACTCGTCAATAGTTGTTATTAAATATCAGCGGGTGTAATAAACTGTGTCTGTCTGCGAGCGAACAGTTTGCCTCTCGCCTGTTCCGTGCTAATCGAGTATCAAAAAAAAAACGGACGCGGCGACAAGCGACGAGCAAGGTGTGCAATTTACGAATCGTTCGTAGATTTGTCGAACTAGCGGGCCAACGAAGGATCCGTTCAACGGGCCACCATCGCGGTCCGCCAGCAGAACTTGGAAAAGGTTTCGAAATAGCAATCGTTTTCGAGCCGATCTAAGTTTTCAAGCCCTGCCCGCCAGACATTCTCTGCGATCCGTGTTTCATTTATCGTGATCCAATTAGGGATGTTCGATTCTTGTAAGAAATATCGATTCCAAAATGGATTTTGAATCGAGGTCGATCAAGGAGTACAAACGATTACAGACGTGACGATTTCTTACGTTCGTCTCGATTATCGATTTTAATTTCATCTTCGATTATCGCTAATTTCAGTGGAGTTCCGGTCGATCTCACTCTGATCGCGTATCGATCGTCAGGAAGGGGCAACCGAATTTTGAAAATTTCGAGTCGAATTGATTTTTTTTTTTTTGTAAAAGTTTACAGTAGAATTATCCTCCTCTCGATTGAGGAGTAGGCTGAATACAGAACAATCGCCTGTACCGGTAGTCTGAAAGATTTTTTAAATCTCGAATATACGTAGCTACATCGCAAGAACTATAATATCTAGTGGTTAGAAGAGGCAGTGTAATATTTATTGTTACGAAAATCTCATCGTTTGCTCTGAACATTCAAAGTCGTATCCATGATTTCAAGTACCGACACTAAACGTGCATTACGAAGAAATTCACTTTAAAGTGGTTAATTAATTACTGTTCGATAGCCGTTTATTTAATGGTAGCGAGTTCAAAAATAGTGAATCTTGCAAATAGTTGAACGACATTCGGATAATGCTTGCTTTTGAAAAGAAGCGTTCTGCCGTGAAGGGCATTCCTTGCAATTGGCAGATACAGTCTGACAACAGATTAATAAACTTATGTAATTTCCAATAATCTTTCTAGAGTGTCGAGGATCGATTTAGACGATTGAGTATCGTTCGAATAATTTTCTAGAAAATCGATACAGAATCAAATATCCCTAAATCCAATCAAAAGAAATACGATCCCACTTTAAACGTTTGCATTCGTTTCGAATCGTGTGTCGTGTTTAATAAGCTATTGCAGAATACGATCGATGAAATTGTACAAGATTTGCGCACGAGGACATCTAGTAGCCCTAAAGATCCTGTCATTTGTTATTTAGTTTGAATATAATGTATATGAATTCGTGAACGTGTAAATAACCAAGGGATAATTTCGTTTCGTAATTTATGAAAAATAAACGGAGCAGGCATGTCGAACTCATTTTTGCCCAAAGTTTAGTCTACTTTTACGAGGAGGGTTTAAAAATCGATTTGATCGAGACTTTGTACGCTGGTAGATTTCGACACCTTCTTTATGAAACATACCATGTTATAGAGTTAGAAACTTTAAGCATACCTGCAAACAAATAAAAGCAGTACTATTTTTTAGGAGAAATATCCTCTTCTCGAATAAAAATTTTTATTCGTATTTGACATGCCTGCGACAAAGGGTGGAAATTCCAGGACGAAAAGTTCCCCAAAAGTATACTATCGAAAAATAAAAGGCAACGACTTCCTTGTACAATTGTCTCTCTCTTTTTTTTTATGCAATTGGTTACGCAAAACAATTGAGCACAATGTTGATTATAAATAAAAGAAATATAGTCGGAGCGTGAAAGTACCCCGCGTTATCAGTTAAGGGTCGATCGACGTGTCTTTTGAACAAGTAATCCCCCCGAACAAAGTGTGCCTAGTTCTGGATCCCGATAATCAGATTGTAAAAAAAAAGATACTACGTGTTGCGATTGAAAAGAAGGTCCATACTGTTCTTCGTAGCTGAACGAAAAATATTTTCTCCGGATTTTTTCTGTGAAACGTGGATCGAGTCGAAGTCTCGAGGAATTCGTGTTCCCGGTGAAAAAAAAAAAAAAAAATAAATAAAATAAATGGCTTCCGTCTCTTCGTTTCGGTGGGACCCGTTGCGCAACCTTCGCGAATAAACTCGCGATCGATGTCTGAACCAATGTGAATCTGTACCGTGAACATATCTGACTACTTAGACGTTGATCCAAGCGATTAATGGTTTACAAAATGAGGGCGGGAGGGACGAAAAAAAAAAAGATTAAAAAAAAAAAAAAAATAATGAAAAAAGACTGACGCGACATTTAAGATCTACAGACGTTTAACACGTTCGCTACCAGAGACCGTTGAGACCCAGAGACCAGAGACACACTCGGGAAACGCGAATGGAAAGGGAAATAGAAAAGAAAAAGGAGAAATTACCGAAGTTGCTGCGTTCGCGAGAAATCGACGAACGATCTACGAAAGAAATTGTTTGTCGAGGACAGAGAGAGAGAGAGAGAGAGAGAGAGAGAGAGAGTGAAAAAGGGAGGATGAGGACTAGTAGCTCCGTAAGTTAATACCTCCATTCGAATGGTAGTGAATGTGTTAACTAATGTTACTTAGCGAATCTCTAGCTTTCATCTTCCGTCTTTTCGACACTTGCGTTTCCGTTTCTTTTTTCTCCTTGATCGCGAGCCATCGAGTTTCGTTGCGACCGAAAGAGACCCTCGTAGGTAGAGCGATACGAGCGTGTTACCAAAGAAAGACATCGGATTCGCTGGGAGGAACACGGTATGCCGCTTCGAGTACGTACGAGGGGGTGAACCTAGGGGGGGGGGGCAAATTATTAACACGAACCTTCATCTATTATCGTTAGATGTTAGATATCGTAAGAAAACGCAAGTAGTCTTAATGAAAAATATAAAAAAAAAAAAACAGAAGTAATTAAATAATCCAAAAAAGTAACACGAGAGAAACACCCGTTTCAAAATACCTCACGTACCGAGAGCCGATCTCTGTCTCTTCTCTGCGTGAATCAGACCAAACCTTAGAAGGTAATAGCTTTAACGACACAACAGGAACAATAAGCTGACGCAATGCAACGGTCGAACACGATTACAATGAAAAAAACTAACCGATAATATACACTTAGTCGAATCTTTTTATTTGAATGTTTACCAAAACGGCGGTGACTAAACGCGGGCTTGGCGATACCGAGGCGATCAAAACGAGCTCAGGCTGGCCGTAAATAAGCGAACAAAATAAAAAAAAAAAAAAAGACGCGAAAAACGTATGGGGGAGAAAAAAAAACGAATAACGAGGAAAAAAAAAAATAATCGACCTTCTCTTAAATATCCTTCGAGATCGTTTGTCGGCGCTCATTTTTCTCTAGTACTTCACTTGTACATTGTCATTGTTATAAATTTAGTCGTTGAACGGATTCGTATAAAAATCTTTTTGATATCGCGCCAGCTGACACGAGGTGAAATCGCGAACGTAAGCCGTGGCCTGAGAATTACGCGTACGTGTATAGACCGAATCGTTAGAGCGAACGCGCGACGATCGTCGATCGTCGGGGAGGACCGCTGGTTTGGAACGCTTGGAATATTTGTCCGGATTCGACGAACAAAAAATAATCAGTGTTAATCATCTAAACAAATTGTATTCCGACGAACGTGAAAAAAAAAATGCTTTATTTCGAAAAGAAAGAGTATGTTTTCCATTTCCCAGAATAAAAAAAAATATAGGAGTATACGCGTTCACTTCGATCTAGATAACGATTAGCTGAATAATACACGATATCCTGACAGCTGCTAGTAACAAGCAAGGAGTATCGATCTTCTGTGAGAGATTTGAAAATAATCTCCGTTTCGAAATCGCAAAACCTCTGTTCGACGAGAAGAAAAAGAAAACACTATGGAGGGACGGAAGAAAAGAAGAGGAAAAGAGAAAGAATGTACATGCATGTGTGCGTATGTATGTCAGTGCATGTACGAAAGGATGGTGAGAAAGAGGAAGGTACAGACAGATGGAGAATGAATGAATGTATGGATGAAAGGGGCGAGAAAAAAAATAGAGTTGTCGCGAAGAGAGCGTAGAGAATCCGAGGAACATATTTGAATGATGTTGTTAGTTAGGCGCCAATTATTGTCATTCTTTCTCTTGTATCGATACCCTAAGATTGTATGAACAGAACGTAGCGCAAAAAACAAAAAAAAAAAAACATGAAATCGATTATATACACACGTACGACTTTTAATATAACGAATTACCGCATCGATTAAGCATGTCGAGTCGCCAGCTACGTTTGTCTTGTCATTGAGTAATCTTGCGCTTTGTTTTTTCTATGAATCGGTGCATAACAATCTATTCCTTGTTAGCCCAACTGAAATAACGAGAACAAAAAAAAAAAAACTGCTACAAAAGAGAAAAATCAACAAAAAACACAATGTTATTATAAACGATTAATTAATAAAAAACAAATCTTGTTTGTTGTTACTTCTGGTATCCTGGTAAAGTCCTTCACGTCGAGTACACTGTCGCTGATTTGATAGCATCGTCGAAACGTTCGTTTCTTCGCATCGTGAGAAGGGTCGCCGTAGTTTCACCTCCTGTTCGTCTCCCAATCGCGCTTCTTATCGATTTATCCGCTACCAATTCTCACTCGCTTTCTCACTCTTATCCGTCCACAATCACGCCTGCTTTCTTACCGATGCTACGATCTATCCAATCACACTCAATTCGTCCTCGATCACCGCCAATCGTGCCGATTTAAACCATCGCGATTCTTCAAAGTGGCTTTAATCGATGAATCGTCTCCGTTATAAATAGAGTCTGGAAATCGAATCGAAATTTTATTATCCGTTCGTCTTTTGTTCGACAGACGTCGCGCGAGGTCCTTTGTACATATTAAGACTTATTTAGAGTCATCAAACTCAGCTTCGTAACTCACACGCATGCACACGTGAGTGGAAACACAATCACGTATCCAAAAACCCGCATAATTCAAGGACTCACTGCGTAGAAGCGTTCGCGAGGAAAATCGTCGTGGAACGAAATTTAAAAATAATTTTTCAAAAATTTGATGGGCGAAAGTACTTTATTTGAAGTGTACTATGGCGCTGTGATATAATAAGCGTACATACATATATATTTATATGTATAATCGAGCGATATACAGATCTCGAATATCAAGGACTAAAGAGATAAAAATTAAAAAAAAGTTTTGATCTACGTATCTTCTTCCCAGACAGTCTCGGTTAAGATAGCAATATTGTCTAATCCTCTCATTGGCGCGTACTCCAAAGTCCACATCAAATTGGTAAATACCACTGAAATCAATGTCGCCAATTGTCAGTTTGATCGAAATGCAATGCTCCAGTGTTCTTGATTTTGTAAATTTTTTTGTAAAAACAGAAACGTATAGTCGGCTATACGATAAGTTTCATTTGTTGATGAAAATCACTTACACATTTCGCCTTGGTGCAGATCCGCTATTAGTTCGGGACAAGAGCTATTGCAAGGATTTATGGGTGTTAAACGAAGCTGCGTAGCTCCTCGCAATTGGGCGAGTGCGATCAACCCAGAATCTAGTTCGACTTTTTTATAACTCGGACTATTGTAATCCGAAGACATGAGTACCCAATTGAAATGCGCTGGCGAGACTGTGCTCGAAAGGAAGTACGGTCGTTGGTAATATTTTCTTAACACTTTTACCGCGTTGATGTCGCAGTTCTGCCAGTGGACGAACCATTTAGCCACTTCCGGGGAATGTACTCGACGTAAAAATGCTGCTAAATCGGATGATCCGGTTCTCAAATTAGAAGTTAGAGCGCAGGGTACCGTTTCCATCAATCGTTCGTTTTCCAAATACAGCTGTTCGTACAACATAAATGGAACACGACAATTTTTCAAGAAAAATAACGCGTAATATGAAATAGAATTTTGCGTAATAAAAGCTTCTTTCTACCTACATGAGTAATGTTATCAAACCAGAAATAATCTGTGTTCATAACTGCCCAAGAATCCATCGCGTCTGTGATAATTGCAGGCGCGTCGCGACTCAAATAATTATCGACAAGATTCCGATATCTTACATCTGATAAACGATCGATGGTTTCCAATGCTTCGCAAGTCTAAAAATTCAGTTTCAAATCAACTTCATTGGTGGTCTTACTTTTTATATTTTTGTCTCCTATATGAAAACTATTTCTATTGAAAGAATTAAACCTTGCAATGCATGAAAGTTTATAAAATAAACTTATTCTAACGAATATTGACAATCATACCACACAGTCTTCTTCTGTAATCGTGTAATCATTGTAGAAAGGATTGTTGATCATACAATTTTCATAATACAAAGGTTGCCAATTCCAAATTGGCAGAACCTTGATGAGTAACAGACGACTGATCGCAGAGAAATGAGTTCCAACAAAGTCTAACTGAGCTGCTAGACAGGCCAAAGTCCCGATAATTATAAGAACAAGCATACCACGGAAGACAAGTTGCAACCATGAACGGCGCATTGCAGCCACCAATGGTTGACAAATAATATCCATTTCTTCCTCTGTAAATCCTGCCTGTTGACAATACCTATGAACAATCAAAGTATAAGTATTATTAAAAATGAGACTAATTCCCTAATTTTCATAGTAATATAGAATATAATGAAGTAAATTTCTATTATATTTGTACACTAACTGATTAGAGAACACAAAATCATTTTAGGAATAATACTTGCTAATGAAATATCTATAAAAAATTCTAATAAGAAAACGTCACTTTTTCAAAATAAAATTGAAAAAAAAGAATGTTGAAGGATGACATTAATTAAAAATAAATTACAGAACTCGAAAAAATAGATAATTGTGTTGTAAGTGAAAAAAGAGTAATTTACTTGTAAAAAGAATTTAATTCATCATCTATCAATCGTAATTTTTCCGAGTGTGTCATTTCTTGCTGCTGTTCCTTCGCATAGCTCTTGCGTGGTTGTTTAATACATTTGCTGTTCGACATTTTCTTGTCTTTAATTTGAAACAAATTTCTTCGTGCTGCACAGACTCAGTTTCCAAAATCGTTCACTGTTTGGGGTGAAAGAAACAAACTGGTATTATTGAACAGAAACAGTGTCCGTACGAGTACACACATGCATGCATGCGCACATTTTCGGCTTACCGACGCGAATATATTGATTGTTATTGCCGCTGCTGAAAATGCCGCGGGTAACTACAACGAAATTTGAAAGGTTCCCGCGTAAGTTTTTCATAGGCCGACATTTTCAAAATTGATAATCGGTATAAATTTCAAGTAGCTAAGAAAAAGCAAGCTCTTCTTGATTACATGGAACATGATTGAGAGCAGACATATCCTGCCGCACGAGCCACATGTTACGCTAGGTCAGTGCTTCACACAACTTCGGGAAATCGATAAAGAAGGCGAATACAAGCCTTTCCTTCTTGATCTTGAACAGCTAAAGTCCGTTCTCGTGTCAATGGCATGCAATTTCAAATTTCGACTGCCCAGGCATTTTAACACCCCCTGATCATGTTTTAACTATTGAAAAAGAAAACAATTTTTGTTATTATTCCTACGAACAAGCATATGTATACATATTATTAATACGATTGGGTATAAACATCTGATTGAATTTATTCTCAATACGTGAAAAATAGATTCTGCTCGTGTTCATGTTCAAAGGAATTTTCGATTTCCCGAAATTGCGCGGATTGTCGAGCTTCCCCATGATTCCGTCAGATGCTAAGTAAGTTCGTCGTTAGTAGTGTCGCCATCGATGCACTCGTTATGCCAAACCTGGCCACACTGATGCACACACCTTGTGCATAAGTATATATATATGTATAAAGCAAGAGACAAATTCCTTGTGACTCGGGTCCATAGGTCTACAATTTGGCAACAACGCTTACATAGCTTATAAGACTGTGTGATAGCGAGACTGTTGAACTGTACGTTCGTGTAAACAGCATCACAGAAGCATTCGTAAATTAGGACAACGGAATACTCGTATCGCAAAGCCAAATATTTACATCTAATACGTTACAGTATTAGAAACCTTAGACTGTTTTCTTAACTATCACAAACACGAGCGACCAAAATGTATAAAATAAATTTACTCGGTGAGTTTCGACAATGAGCGTAGGTATACACTTGTTTCTTGTTCAAAAATATTATATAATTTTGTTTTTTTCCAAGTTAATCACAATGCACTCGGGGTATTGTATACTGCTATTCGAAAATTTGCTGCCCTTTCCTTGCTACCAGAGACACACCAGATGCTTCAGAAAACATGCAAGTACTTATTTTTATATAATAAGAATAATAAAATATTATTCTTGATCTATTTGTAATTTATTTGCCTAATTGATTTTATTGCAGTAAGTTTTTATTAATACCTACAACATTAACTGCAATAAAATTATATTCTATATGTACTGTAATAGATAGTATATAGTAATTATTATTGTAGGGATTTTGCTGAAGGGGAGTTGAAACCAATAGCAGGACAAATTGATAAGAAGCATTGTTATCCGGAAGAACAAATAAAGAAAATGGGTGAAATGGGTTTAATGAGCGTTGCAATTCCTGAAAATGTAGGTGGAACTGGACTAGATTATCTGGCATACGCTATTGCGATAGAAGAAATATCCAAAGGTTGTGCCAGTACTGGTGTTATAATGAGCGTGCATAATTCCCTTTACTTAGGACCTATAGAAAAATTTGGCAATAAGAATCAGAAAGAGAAATACGTTACTCCTTTTGCAACTGCTGCAAAACTTGGATGCTTTGCTCTTAGTGAACCTGGTAATGGTAGTGATGCAGGTGCTGCTTCTACCACTGCTAAGTTGGACGGTGATAACTATATACTCAATGGCACAAAGTCATGGATAACAAATGCATACGAATCAGAAGCAATTGTTTTATTTGCTACAACAGATAAAGATAAAAAGCATAGAGGAATAAGTGCATTTATAGTTGACAAGCCTACAGATGGCCTCTCTATTGGTAAAAAAGAAGATAAGTTAGGTATTAAAGGCAGCAGTACCTGTTCGTTAATATTCGAAGATTGCAAAGTGCCGGCTGAGAATTTGATAGGAGATGTAGGAATGGGTTTTAAAATCGCAATGATGACTCTGGGTATGAAATAAATACACGTCTAGACGAGTACTACATCCAGAAATGTAATGTATGTATTGCTTGTAGATGCTGGTAGAATAGGCATTGCTGCTCAAGCTTTAGGCATAGCTCAGGCTTCTTTTGAGTGTGCAGTCGATTATGCAGCTAAACGACAAGCGTTTGGTAAACCTATCATTAAGCTACAAACAATTCAACAAAAGATAGCTGATATGGCATTAAAAATAGAAAGTTCGAGATTATTGACGTGGCGGGCGGCTGTATTAAAAGACAGCGGTAAACCGTATACAAAGGTATGGTGAAAATTACAGTTGTACATGCCGTGAAACATATTATCGGTAAACGTTATCTTTGTTTTCATTCTAGGAAGCTGCTATGGCGAAGCTGTCGGCATCAGAGGCGTCTACTTTCTGTACTCATCAGTGCATACAAATTTTAGGCGGTATGGGGTATGTTTCGGATATGCCAGCAGAACGTCATTATAGAGACGCGCGTATTACCGAGATTTATGAAGGTACATCAGAAATACAAAGATTAGTTATAGCTGATAGAATTACCAAGGAATACAGTCTCAATTGAAACTTTTGAATGTAATACGTATTTTGTTATCTAACCTTTTATATACGAGCAAAATATTTTTATACATTTTATATTTTCTTTTTTTTTATTGAATGAGTCAATAAATTGCGCATATAATAGGACTTCTAATTTTATTAGTTCCTCTGTTTCCCATATGACTCTGTGACATAAAATATGTATGTATATGTGTATGTATGCAAGAGATAAAGATACTATGCATACCTACATATTCATATGCATATTAGTATTTCATCGCTATTAGCCCTTCGGCAACGTTACAGGGGTTTTTTTTAGTCAAGATTCCTACCCCGCTTGTCGTGAAGAGAAAGCTGGTAGACTAGCTAGTAAATTAATACTAACGCACAGAGGTGGTAGACATACTCACAATGAGATTTTATTTTAAAACCCCCATGAATATCGAAATCCGATGAGATCGCGCATTCAACTTAAATGCTAACAATCACAACTGAGCAGCATAAACTCTGACACTCCCTTCATTGAGATTTTCAGAAGTCAATAATTAGTTCGCCTAGGTTGCCTCTCTAATGTTATCTTAAATACTACATTATAGATCCCAGTATAACAGGTAACAGTACACATACAATTTGTGCAAACGACAAGTATTTCGTTTTCAACTATGTTTTAAATGAATAATTCTTTTTGTTTTTTTGTTTTTTGCATAAGCGAACATGTCGGATATGAACATTACTACGCACTTAAATTCGGTTTGTTGTACAGAGATCTATTGGAATGCAAAAAATATATAAGTATATATAACATTTCAATTTGAATTTCATTGTATGCCTTTTTTTTTTTTTTTTATATACAATAACGCATCTTTCCGACGTTTTACCCGCCGTTACAGAGAAACAGTTCCAACTCTTCTCTTTCTTTTCTACATACATATGTATATCAATTTAATTATTTTATATTGTTACTTCCATACTTTTCACGAACTGATGTTAATGTAATAATTAGAATCGTAGATTAATTAAATATTTATCAATTTGGTCCTAATTTGGATGCATAAGTGTTCTTTTCAACTTTCAATCAAATGCAGGAAACGTAAGAAAAGCATAACCGCTATAGTCTACTGACCATTTGTAGTTTTATCTAATTTGACGATAACATCGAACGTTAGTAAATCGCCATAAAATTAGTCTCTGCTTGCAGAGTTGCTAAAATACTTTTCTTTAATTTTTCTCATTATTGTACATGGTATAAGGCTTAAAGAATTTCAGATTATGCCGCGCAAATTCGTTAGAAGAGCAGAAATTACATCAAGTGCGACAATGTTCTTGTTTTCCAACCTTAACACGATAAGTCTAAGACATAAATCATGGAATTTGCTATTGATATGATCGAACTCGCAATTTGTGTATCAAGTATTCTTGTTTGTGTTCTGTAGCAAACAGCTTGGATTGCTTGTTTATTAACTTTAGTACCGAACTACTATTGTGTTAAATAATAATTAATGCTTTTTCTACCTACATTGATTTTTATCGGACTGTACTCTTTTTCTTGAATATTTTATACATCATATAGATCGAACCGATTTGTACCAGTTCTCTTTCTTGTTATTGGCTATATTATAATCTTTGACTGTAGGTACATTTGTCTAAAACGCTTGTAAATGTAAATAAATTAAAATCATAAGTAGTTTTAATAGACACTGAATCTAGACACGTAAGTCCTGGAAATTGTCCCGATCCTGCAGGATCGCCTATGACAAAACGTATGTGAGTGTATTTCCATAGGTATGCGCATGTATCTGAGACATATAAGGAAATTGATTTAACCACCCATAAGAGAAGCTGTCAAAGCTTCAATCGTCGGCTCGCATACCCCTTACTTCTCCTTGATGTCTTTGCTGAAAAAGAAAACATTCGGATAACGTTTTTTAACAGCCACAACGCGGAGACAATAATCCGTCACTTTTAAATTGTAAAAAATTATTTACCCTATCTAATTCTTCTTTTGTAGTCGCCTCAATTGCTCTAATATCTTCCATAGTTAGACCATGCCAACGATCTATCCAACAAAATACTTGCCTATGGAAATTAGTAAACAGACGCCTTTCTGATTTTTGAATAAAACTTTCAACGCGATTTTGCAGACCGAACCATTTAAATTCACAAGTGACTAGCTTGTAGCATGTCATCACAGGCTGAACATTATTCTTCCACTCTTTACCAACAAGAGGTCCCCGACCTGTTTTCACAGATTTAAACTTGGTCGGATCTTCGTCCTCTTTGTAATCGGCATTCGCGATCTGATCATTTGCAATATCTATATGCACTACTTCTCTTATCTTTAACTTATCAGGAGGTAATTCGTGAACCTGCCAAATAAAAATTAAAATGTAATGCACAAAATAAAGTTGCATGTGGTTTTTAAAAAATTTTATACATACATTGTGTTGATTTCCAACATCATCAATGTGAAACGATTCTATCATAATTACAAAATTTTCTTTCATGTATCCAGGATTCTGTAAGTAAAAAAAATAACACATAAATTTATGTTAATATGCTATTCTCTACTTATAATACTATTGTTAAATTTTACTTACAGTTATAACAGTTTTACAGTATGGATAAGCATTCCAAGCTTCTTCATGAATTTCCAGTGAATTCTTTGGCAGCAAAATGCGAATGAAAGCGGGCACTTTACTAGCTAAATGATAAATCTTGTACGTATATTGACCCGAAGAATATTTCCCACCAAGTAAGGGATAATCCGTAAATGGCTCATTTTTTAGCACTTCTATACCCTCTCCACCTCCTGTATTATTTTTGCTTGCTTCTGCTACGGAATATAGCTGAGCCACTTGATACTGTCACAAAGGAAATTAAACTTTATAATACATTTATAGACGTATTTCCTGCAGGAAATATATATCTGATGTTACAAGATAAATTTCCTTGCATACAATTTATCGAATTAATAAGACACAATTAGTACTAAGATCTAATTAATTATCTTTATTTGCCAAACATCAGACACATGAATAAATTTAAAGAACCAACATAGGAAACTGTTTAAGGTAATAATTATAGATCACATTAAACCTAATTAGACGAAGAAGATACGCATATTACATCACAATAAAATTACCATGAATCAACAATATTTTCTCATATGCTTAAAAATGAAAAATTTTCAAGCATAACGTTAACATTGAAAATGAGCACTTGCTATGAAATAAACGTTAATTAAATGAGTTGCAATTTTTGCCGATTGCATGATGTCTGTGTAAAATGTAATTTGAGCCAGGTTTTCTTTTTCTAATGAAACAAGATGTCTCAAAGTGGGTCGTTATAATAAGATATCACTGTTCAACCAGATACATACCTCTTCCACCGTAAGGGGCAAAGTGACACGGCTATAACAGAAAAATTAATTGTATTTATAATTTATTAATTGATAAATAAAATATGCTTACATATCTATAAGGAATGGCCTTGAGAACATTCAAGTATGAAATTAACGTATGTATCATACATCAGGTATCCAGAACCGAACGTCAGACATAACATAAAACGGCCGTACTTTTCAAGGAAAGTTACATATCGGTCAAAATGAAAATTTGGCCGTCGCGTTGTTCGAAAGTTCGTTTGTCGAATCGCAAGGGATGAAGGTATATCCCTCTTCACCCCTCCAATCCCTCCTACCGTTAAAGATTAGTAACCATATCCCGAGAATCGGTTTAAATGTTCGGCCAGAAATCGTCTATCGCACTCTATGAAACTAACAGTAAGAAAACTCACGGCACTTACAATTCTTTGATAAGCATTTTAACAAGTAGAGCACATGGGCTGCAGTAATTTCAGTCCGACCTGCACACAGCACCACCCTTGCTTCAGCAAATTCACTCGCGTTATCTCTCAACCCGCAGTCGTACGCATACAACGGCGCCGACTTCTCAACCGACTGGCACACTACGACACACACTCCAAGTAGTCGGTAGCACTACACTGCCACGGCCACCAAAAAACACCTATACTTGCGCACACGTGTCCATCGAATTTCTCCCACTCTTGCTTTACGGACACTTTGCAAATGACGTCACGCCGACATATCTAAATTCTAGTTCGCATGCGTGCCAATCACCTATCAACTTACAAGTACTTCGGTATTTCGGGGATTTTAGATAGCATTACGTTTGCAAACATGCCAATTATTACAAATATGCATTGTGATGAATTACTTTTTCATAGAATGTTGATAAAACACATACGTGTACGTGTGCATGAGAATGGAGAGACCAACATGGTATGACTCACGTTTCATGTTTAATTTGGACTTGCGGTTTATAGTGAAACGCAATTCGAATTCGAAACGTTCAAAAACTAATTTATACTAACGTGTACATTTTATAAAAATCGTGTATTTTATTTTATTCTGTATCAATGTAAAATTCATCGAAAGCTTAACTTACGATATTCTATATCGAACCGATCAATTTCATAATTATATTAAATATAAGACAATATGTATAATGGGATTAATTGCATAATAATGTAATAGCAGATCTTGAAACGAATGAGACGTTACTTTGAACTTTAATTGCCAGTCGCATTGCATGTAAAACAGCGTAATAAAAGTCTAATGTAACGATTAATTGTTAGCCAAATCTGCTCGATCAGATTCTGCCCAGTGCAGTCCAATACTTGCTGCAAGTTTTTGACAACAGGAAGGCTATAAATTGGATGCAGGATCTGCTTTGTTCAGTAATATTGGCAGATTGTCAGCAGAAATATAACAGAATCTGCTGACACAGATGGCAGCAGGATGGTGACAAAACTCGAGCAGAGTCTGTGTAGCACAGTCTGTGAGCAGATAGGCCACAGAACAGTGTGTTTATCTGAATCGATTTTAGGCGTTTTAATAACCTATGATCGATATTTGAACCTTTAAACGATCTATATATAAAATCGTGTACACGCATGTACACAAAATTCTTATCCTTTTGAACAAAAATGTACAAAATTTTTGTATTCAAACCCATATAATATAAACATTCTCCAATATACGTATATAATAATCCGTATCCAACCAATCAGTTCTATTAGTTTATTAGTTAGTGATTTGTTGCAGGTTTGTGTAGTCAACCTTTTGTTCAATCAGTATATAACTGTTTTAACGAACAACGGCTATAATCTGTTATAGATTACTCAAAAGGGTGACCTTGATAACACATGTCAAGATCAAGGTCACCGCAACTTCCTCTCATAATTAATACAAAGTTTTTCTTTGCAGGTTTTGTTATGATGTTCATATCTATCGGCTCATTCAAATCACAAACATCGATTAATTTCATATGTGATTAAATAGAAAATATTTGCAGACTTTTACTCAAAAGAATGAGAATTTTGTGTGCATTGTATTTCTTAAATTAAATCCATTCCTAACATGTAATTTTTATATCTGTTAAAAAATAACATTCTAAAGTAGATCGTACGAAAACTAATTGAAATTTTCATACGTTAAATTTTAAAGTGTCATCTTTTTTAAGAACTGTTACCTAAGAAGGACGAAACAGAAACATTTGGCGCCATGTTTGGAGTCTGAAATAGTATAGGTGGCGCTAGTAGACATACATTATATTCTTGCATCAGTGTCAGTCGCCATTTTGCAGATAGAAAATTTGCGTACAAGGTGAGTAATTTTTCAAGGCAGTAGTATTTAATAATTTTAATCATTCTACGAAAGTTATATTGTATTGTACTGTAGCGTTATGTTATTTTTCTGTGATACAAGTTACAAACAATGTAATATGTTCATCACATCGGTAGAATGATTTGTACGAAATTAAGGTTATGAATTATTTTCATCATTTATACATTATTTGTTTATTTTACAAAAAGTATGGTGTCTAGAAAGTGCCAAGTTAAGAAATATAGTTAGGAAAGCAAGAGGCTGAGAGAATTTCTCAACATACCAATGGACAGGACAACATTGTCTAAAATGTTTATGTAGTGGCATGGGAGAATCTAGAAGATGGGTGGAACACATTAGAAACTGAAGACTTGTGATGAGTATTTTGAATGAATCATCTGAGCAGGATAACAATATCTACTCTTCGTTAATCAGGTATGGAAAACATAATAAATTAATATCTTCTTTGGTTGTATATAACCTTTGATTACGAGTAAGTGTTAATTAGAGTAATTCAAGTGCTTCTTTTTTTAAATTTTGCATCGAAATTGCCGAGATTTTCCTTTAATTTTTTATATACATTTATTAAAACGTGTGTTAGGTTAATCGCGTTTTCTCGTATTATAGGTTCTTTTCCTAATGATACGTGCTATTTACATTGTTTTATCAAAATTGTAAATAGAAATAAAACTAAGATTATATTATACGTGTATTACCAAAGGAAGAATAAATCATTTTGGTAAAAAATATAAACATTATTTATTTAAAAGCTGGGAATGCAAGAATCGATTTAAATGAATGAAACAATAGATTGTTGTATTTCTGCCGACAAGCGACTTTTTGACGCACAATTGTATGTCTTTTTTTATTTTCTTCACAGAAAGAAATAAGAAAGCATGTATTACCGTGCGTTAAAAATTCTTTTGTCTGCACCGAGCCTGAGTTTGTCAGATCGTAGCCCCAGCTTTTACGAAATAACTCGCTCATGCACGAGTGTGTATACGTAAGTTCGGGCAGCTTCGAGAATTAGAGAAAGAGGAGACATTCGTCGTCTTTCTCGTCTCCCCGAACTGTTTGAAGTGGCGGAACTTGAGACAATTTCAAAAGAGTCGAGAAAGAAAGGGTCATACTCGCCCTCTTTCTCGGCTTCCCGAAGGTATCCAAAACTGGCACAGCGCTTTGAAGGAGTGTCGAGAAAGAAGGCAGACGTGAGCTTTTCTTTTTCGCTCTTACATCATCCCCTCCGTTCGTCTTGCTGGCAAATGTTTCCTATCACGAATGACGTCTCTTTTTTTCGATAGCAGAGACCCGATCACCTTGAATACTTTTTAACCATGTACAGTGCTGGGCTCAAGTATTAGCATATTATACGATTACTTATACAAACATTTACAGTTACTGAAAAAATTGTTTATACCGTTCGTATATATCATTACTTAAAATACCTCATTTATGTAATGAAACAGAACAAGATTAATAACATAGGAAATATATAACTAATGAAAATGTGTTTACAATATCTTATGCGTGAACAAAAGTATTAGCACGTTTTAAATAATGTCGTGTTAGATTTTCTAGCATATTTCTTTTCGTTTCACGGCCTCTTTTAATCTGGCATTGAATGGACCATAATATTGATTATTTTTTCTCTCTGTCTGATAATTTATGCAACCGGCAGCTGCAAGCAATTACAAGCATTCGACATGTTTATGAAACTTTTGAAAATAGTTTTAATTGTAAAACTGCTGCTTTATGCTATCTCACCAACTTTTATTACAAATTTAATAATAATTCTTTTTTTTCAATATGGTTTCTTTCCTTTTCTCGACACTTTTTAAATTATTTTAAAAATCACATTAAATCGGTTGTTAAACTGCTACAAGACAACTGAAATGATTATTAAGACATCTTTTACTTGTTTCAATAAATGAACAATGTATTTTTAAACTAGTTTCAAACATATCTGTCCTTGTGTATAGACAAGTAAGATATTCTAAATAAAGATGTATGCATAAAATAAGCGGTGTAAACAGTTTTTTTAGTAAATGTTCGTATACAGAATCGCGAACTGTGCCAATACCTATGTATGTCCAGCACTGTATAACGTTGGACCTTTCATGCCAAGACGGCCGTGCCCTATATTTATACTCTAAAACGAGGAGACTGTATAATACCCAATGTACAGCTATCTTTTAATAGTAAGGAAAGATTTCTTAAATCTGAAAAATTGCGAGTATAGTCCCATTCGTCTTATTTATATATACAAGTTTTATGTTTCCTAGATTAATTAAGAAATCAATATTTTAATGCTGATAATTAGTCGGTTAGGATTTAGAAGTCCAGTGATGACTCTGGAATGATCAAGAGGTAGGTCTGACTTCGCGATGATCTTCCATCTCGGGTGCTCTAGACGGAATAAACATTTTCGACAACAGTGGTTCTCTTTATACCTTTTTAAAGGATGCAACAAGATGGCGGGGAAGAGCTACGTTAACGAATCGGTAATTAGTATTTAGTTTAACTGTCTGTTCGATTAATTAAAGTGAGTGTTATATGAAAAATGATTATCACATGTAAATATTCTTTTAATTAATATGTAATGTAAATTATTAATTGTTGCAACTAATACGTAGTTCTCGAAATCTGTGCATAACCTACAAAATTGTTCGTTTAAAGCTATTCCAGAAATCAAATTTTAATTGCTTTCAAATCAATTAAATTCTCCGAACATTTAGCCTTAATTACAAACGCTAGGAGTGCTAAAATCGAATTCTGATCCAAATTAATAACGTTAAAAGCGACACGAAAAAGCATTGTCTGCAACGTACAATTTCAGTGGTTGATTGTTAGAAGAGATTCGTGGAAAAAAAGGTTAAGAATTGTTAGTCTATTCTATATTTGATTTGTGCTTGTTTCGTATAGAAATTAGGCTTGGGTAAGCGTTTGCGAGAAATAGTAGAAATTAGATGACCTCTATCAGTGACCAATGCAAACTGCTGGTAATCTACACGTTTGGTAACATATTCTATGCTAGGTCTATTCAATATTTCATCTATGGTGTAACGTAATCGAAAACAAAGTATATAGTATCATTTCTGAAAATAATCGCGAAAATCGAAACTGTATAGCGCAACGAAGGGAATATAAAGGAACGTGAATACATGATTCAATTCGTTTAATTGAATTACACCTATACTGTTTGTAGCTAGTGTGCGTGATTTCGTAAGCACGAGTATATTGCAAGCTCGTTTTCCTTTGTGACAGGATTAAAGTCATATAGACCCGATTTATATACACGTAGATAGAAATACGATGTCTTGAATCGATGTATGGTAAAGCCCGTTTCTGGGTAAAGCGTAATTTCCATTCTCTTCTATCAAACACGATCTGATTTGAATCTATTGCTAATAGCGCATCTTCACAATGTTGTCAGAGGTCGACGTGTTTATTAGCAATTACACTCTTGTTGATCCCGAGATCTATCAACTTTGGGTCGATGGTCATACATGTAAGTTTATAAGTCTGTTGAAATTTCCTTGGTTATTCGTTCATTTATGCAACTTTGACATATTTGGTACTCTTTCTAATCTAGCGAGCGATGCAGTTAGTATCTTGCATCAACGAGGAATATGTCATCAAACAAATGCACCGATCGAATTAATCGCTTCCGATATCCTCGATCATTATCGAACTTACGCTCTTCTGGAAAAGCTTCTTCATACTCCCACGAAATTGGCGAGTGAACAGTTAGCATTTCAAATCGAACCTCAAACTAGTCAGATGCTTATCGAAATGTAAGCAGACACTTTTTACCATGTATGTAAGTATACCGTTCGCGTCAATAGCTAAATTGTTCTTGTAATACACGTTTATTGTCATTCACGACAAATAGGTATTACGAATTCGACGATGTGGTCATCAGAGAGCTATTAGGTAAAAAGTTGACATCAAAAAGTAGAAAAGACATGGACGAAGTGTCAGAAAAGACAGGCATCACGTTAAAGAGTTGTCGCAGACAATATGACAACGTGAAGAGGGTGTTCAAAGTTGTCGAAGATTTACCAGGTTCCTTAGCTGCCAATATCGAACAACACTTTTTACTTTCCGAAGATCTTGCCAAGTAACGAAAAGAACATCATTAATATATGTTTCTTTACGTCTATACAACTTATGTTAATATCTACAATCGCTTAGGCGATATGCGGCCGTGGTATTCATAGCGTGTCTTCGATTCGAGATGAACAAAAGAAAGCTCCAATTTTTAACATTTCCCGATTTATACCATTGCGCCAATAGTATGATGTCTTCGTGGACGTATCGTTGCGTCGGGTCTGAATATTTTGATACAGATTTGGATAGAGAATTCTTACTAGAACTAGCAGAGTCTAGGATACTTTTGGAAAATGATAAACACCACAAACAGTATGTTTTGTTTGTGAAAAATATACGCAAGATCGAAATAGCTTTGTTTCGTTTAACTTATAGATCCGTTTTTATAGTTTAGTATGCATCAAGCTTAAACCTGTGCTTCTGGAACGTTCGTACCAAGAAGTGGATGCAAACTTTCGTTCGTATTCCAGAGCAATACTAGGAATAGGTTGTAATCTTCATCGTTCCCGAGACTTGAGGTTTTTCTTTCTGGAACTAGTAGAAAGATGCATAGAGCCGTGGCGTCAAGTTAATTGGACACACACTGATCTCAGACACTTTTTGTCAGTTTATACTCAATGCGCGTTAGACATGGATGTCCTTAGGTATAAAACAAACTGTTGGAAAATAATCGACTATCAGAAGTTTGTTGCGTTTAAGTAAAATATTCCCGTTTCCAGAGACGGGGAGTTGAGGGATGCTTTTGAGCGCTACATGACCGTCGTAACGTGCTGTTTGTTGCGTATGTATCACACATGACTATTACTGAAAGAAGACGACGGTATGCAAAAAGTAAATGCAATTAGCAACGATGGGAATTAAATTATGTGGAATGAAATAAACATGATGAATTGTACGTATACTACAATTTATTAGGTAATAAATAATTCATAAACAAATGCAGCATGTTTATGCGCCCATTTCATATATAGATATATATTGATTTACAATTTTACAATTTTCTCGATTTATTTCCAAATATGGTTACAAGATTGTCTTCGAGAGAAATTTTGAAGCAGGAGAAATAATTCGTATGTGTATGGCAATAAGTTAATGCTTCTTAACTCGTATTCAAGGACCGATATTCCAAATTTATACACAAAGCAATAATATCGATTCGCTCTAATAACAAAAACATTAAAACACTGTTATACTAATTAGATATTATTACGTTGTTTGTAGAATTTGAATATTCGACCAACAGGTACTGCTTGCGATACAATAATATATATATACAATATCTGTGTTTGCACACACTAACGGGACGACGAACAATGCATCGTTTAAACTCTTGTGACTTAAATATTATTTAAATCGTTAAAACGATTTTTCTACTAATTATTTTATTACCGTTAAACTTTGTACTTACTCTCTATCTAGTAAGGAATCTATAGGATGCCATATCGAGAAGGGATACACGGGATCGTGAAAAATTTTGAAGGAAAGACAAATGGGAAATTTTAATTTTACCTAGATATCTATACAAATAGTTACTCTGCCAAACCGAGTACTTTGTTTACCGCGTATACTATGTCGCTCTTTTGCGGCAAAGCTGCGATTTCAAGCGATTTGGTATAAGGCATAGGAGTATCAACTCCCGTGATACGAACTACCGGAGCGTCAAGATGATAGAATGCCTCGCCTGAAATCAAAAGAAACCCATTAATCGAAATTCGCTAATAATAGTTATTATCCACTGTTTAACGTTCGAATCTGGAAGACTTACTTTCAGAAATTCTAGCACTAATTTCTGCTCCGATACCGCACTGAGGCCAACCTTGTTCCACGGTTAAAACGTGATTCGTCTTTGCTACCGACTGTGTAATAGTGTCTATGTCCAGTGGTCTCAAAGATCTAAGATTTATTACCTCCGCCTCTATTCCTTTTCCGGCGAGTTCATTCGCTGCTTCGAGAGCTTGTTCGACGGCTTTGGAATGTGCTACTAACGTAACGTGTTTGCCGGCGCGTTCGATTTTCGCTTTACCAATCGGTAGTACAAAGTCCTTCGATAAGGCCTCGTCCGACATGGGATATTGAATGCCGTATAAAATTTCATTTTCCAATACAACGACAGGATCCGGATCCCGAATAGCAGATTTTAACAAGCCTTTCGCGTCTTCGCTATTGTAAGGCGACACTACTTTTAAACCAGGACAGTGGCTGTACCATGCACCAAAGCACTGAGAATGCTGTGCTCCTACACCTGCTGCTGCTCCATTTGGTCCACGAAATACAACAGGTACATTTACTTTACCAGCAGACATGTAAAACGTTTTGGCAGCTGAGTTAATAATTTGATCGATTGCTTGCATAGAAAAGTTAAATGTCATGAACTCGCAAACCGGACGCAAGCCAGCCTAAAACGTTGGTTCTGTTAGAAATAGAAACGAGGATGAGGAATATATGCATAAGGTATACATACCATTGCAGCCCCTACAGCAATACCAGTAAATCCTGCTTCTGTGATAGGAGTATCGACCACACGTTTGTCGCCATATTTTTTCCAGAGGCCCTTAGAAACTTTATATGCTCCATCATACATTGCCACCTCTTCACCAAGCAAGAACACTTTTTCATCCCTTTCCATTTCTTCATCCAGGGCAGAGTTCAAAGCATCTCGCACAGTCATCTATAAGAATGGAACACGATAGAACGAAGAAACCATGCCAATGATTGGCATTACATTTTACATTTTGTCCAGATAATAAAAGTGCACAGCATGAAGTGCACTCGGAGATTTTAATTTCGTAAGATCATCACGAAGTTGTCAGAATTAAATATGAGTGACCTTTGTTGCCCTTCAACATGTAGCAACCAATTGAATAATAATTTATCGAACGAAAAAAGGAAGCAACACTATCCATCGAGCGGATACGATTGAAACAAGAGAAAAGGTGAATTATTTTTTATCACAAGGTTATTATCGTCGCGCGAAGAAAACGGTACGCGAGGAACTCGATCCACGTCAAAGCAAAAAAAGGTTAGGTTCGGGAGGCGAATGTAAAAAGAAAGATATTGGTATTATTACCTGCTGCGCGGCAGTCCATTTTGACGTCGAGAACGAACGTCGTGCAGTGTTTCTCAAGACACACTGGAAACAACGGACGAACAATCAGAAACGTGTTTCATTTATTTTTTTAAACAATGAATGTCATATGTTTTTTAAGATTGTAACGCAAGTTAGTTTCATTGAGTTGTGATATTTACCGAAAACATCATAGGCCGTCGATTTTTTAGGTAATCTTCGAATCTGGGGTTGTATCAATCAATCGAAATGTTCTTACTCGGTACTCGCGTGTATTATCAGGGCCTCTGGCTCGAGATGGCTCGAGTTTCTTTCAGTGTTCGCCACGGGCCGAAACGCGGAACGATACTAGAGAAGCTCAAGGTCAGTAGGCGAACTCTTATGAAACACATTTGTCTCGAACTATACCCTATTTTTTATACTTTCGCGACGACTCTTTAGGAATAATGGAGGGAATTATGGAGGGACCAGATTACTAATCCGATTAGTAAACGATTTACAGAATCTGTTGCATCTAAAGTGTTTTCCACTTATTCTTGCTCCCTCTATCTTATTTAAGAACGGATTTGCGAATACGATTTCACATCCTTTCTTTAGCGATAGTGAATTCGAAGCGCCATTTCACTGCTAGCCAATGATACACAGATAGAGTTATTATCCAGCCAATCGTAGTACGAACGTTACACCCACGCGGCTATTTTGGAATATACCGAATTCGCAGAAAGCATCCGTGTGGTAAAAGTGATCGAAATTGTACAGAGATAAATCAGTACATTTCTTTTTTATGCGTTTTCGATCGATCATAATTTTCATGGAATTTGTAAGTTGAAGTATCAACGTATGAGTATCAATAGCAGATCTCTTTGGATCTGCAACCGATAAACGATCGAAGCTTTGGACGTATTATGATATCTCGATAAAAATCATGTTTCAGATTGTAATTCATGATTGTGAATGAGTTGTCCCAATACTTTCGTACATACAAATACATGTAGATAATACAACTTACTGTGTGTACGTGTTCGTATACTTACGCAATATCTACTGCGAATGGCTGCCGCGTTGGTTGATTTACATTCGATCAGGCTCGATATCTTGATGTCGCGATCGAAGAATTTACGAACAAAATGGACACGCATTAAAATCCAGAATTTGTTTCGCGTAATATTTAACGTTATTACGTAGCAAATGCCAATGTATGTACATATTTATTAAACGGAAATACGTAAGTATAAAATAGTATTTTAAATCTCGGCCGATAATTATGTCGCATTTTATGAACAATGACCACGAATCGAAAATGACCACTAATTATGCCTTGAAAGTGTTCAATTAGCGAAATAAAGCGTAGACATGGTTGAAGTCGTAAATGCCACGGTGAAGACGTACCTGGTAAACAAAGCGTTTGCAATAATGTTATGAACGGGTGATACTTATGAGACTTGCTTAAAAATCCTTGGAGCAAAGAGACGAAGTACCAACATTAGCACATTGTTTATTTACAAAAAGTATTCGCTCTTGGTACAATGACAAAATGCAATGTGAAAATGCGTGTTGAATGCGTGCGTGTGGATTGCCTTTATGGAGAAATGCATACGTAGCTAACATTCATACGAGAGCATTCTATTGCGAAGACACTTGCGTTGTGATTGTGATTAGAATCTCGATCCAACTATACGTACAAATTTGCGATTAACAAACGAAACGATGCTCGATGAACGTACATGAACAAATGACATCGTGACGTCGATCTTGTGCAGAAATCTCTCGAAGAAGGAAATTAAATTTGGGTAGATCGTTTCTGAACCGTATTTCTTCTTTGTCGGACATTTTATTAACGAGAGAACAACAATTTGCATAGAATTTTAATCGAATAGAACACTGGCTAGGGTAAAACGACCCTCTCTTTGATCGTTAACTAAAGTTACGACAACGCAATGGAGGCCAAGTGATCTAAGGGAACGAAGAGAGGGCCCCAAAGTGTGGGCTTGTGTGCCTCTAAGGTATTTGCTTTTGTCTCATATCTGTATCTGTATCTGTATCTGTATCTGTATCTGCATTTGTGTGTGTGTGTGTGTGTGTATGCATGTATGTATATATGTATATGTGTGAATTAGAGATCGCTATTTTAGACGTGTATTAAGATGCACGTGAACCACTGTAATCAGTTAATCGGATTTGCATAGTACTTAACCATCGACGATAAAAAGATTGCGAGCCACGTTCAGAGCTGTACGCGCGGTCGCGAATAAAACTATTCTGGATTTTTTTATAATTATAAATGATACCAGTGTATGGTTCTGGGCGTGGTTTACAATTTCTTGGCGTCGATGATAAAAAATTACGTGAATTCGATTCGTGTATTCGCCTACACGCGAAATAAGGATCTCTGGCGTGGACGCGTGTGGGTGTGGTGTATCGTGTGCGCGTGTGCAGCTGCGTGCGGCTATCGGAAAAGAGTCGAACGAGAAAGAGAAGAGGAAAAAGTGGTCAGAACCGTAAGGGATGACAAAAGGTGAATATCGGGGAAAGGGGGCGAGAGAAAGAGAGCGCGCATAAAGTGTAGTCGGTGCAGGAGTACTATCGTCGGAGCAAAAAGAGATCCTTTCTTAATCGTTCTAGTCTAATTAATCATAGATTACAAGAGAATTATCAATAGTAAGAATAATAATACTTATAATAACTGTAGTACCGTTAACATCTCCTGCAAGTGCGCTAGAACGATTTAACTTTACTTTTGATAACGTTCAACTACTCTCGGTTGTACGTTTTGTATTTTTTTGTATTTTTCTTTTTGTTTTTTTTTCTTCTTTTCTTTGTTTCGTCTAGCGTGTCCGGGGTTCAAAAAATGCCCTTTTCGTTTAGCGTTTCGGCGTCGAAAAATATTGACGCAGCTTTGAGACTAAATTATAAAGTTACTCTTCTTCAAGGCCTCGATTAATCCCTTGTGGCACTTAACACTTCAAGGACGTTGATCGTTGTGTCGAACGATCGGAACGAAGGGAAGCAAAACGTGCCAGGGCGAATCAAAATCGAAATCGAAATCGTGTCTACCAAGGTCTCCGCGAAACCGTCGTTCTAAATTAATTTGCCGAACGTTTGATGATCGGTATCCGCTGGCACGCGGTTCTATTTCTTTTTTATTGTTTTTTTGTTTTTTTTTTTGTTTGCATCGTTTACTGTTTTCGAATTCCATTCAAACAAGTATCAACATATATGTATGTACGTGTATCCTTGTACGAAAGTACGAAAGAACAAACAATAACGTGCAGATTCTTCGAATTTCGATATTTATACGCGCGTAGACGCAATCCAAGAAACTTTTACCGCGAATCGAACCGAACAGAAGAGAGCTTCGTGGCTGTTCTCCGTCACGTCGAGTTTTGCGTATCGTACATACAATTGGGCACATCGCGAGACACGAGACTCGTCTCAACGTGCTAATTTACACGATATAAAAATCTCCCTTTCTCCTTGTACCATTTTTTTTTTTACGCTTTTTTTTTTACTAAATGTATGTACAAACAAACTGCTACTGGTAACTGTTTCCGAATGCAGCACGCATTGTTCACCTCCTGACGAAAGAATATCGGGCGCAAATGTTGCGCGTCACATTAACGTCTAAAAACCGACCAGCAATCCGCCGCCTCGCGCGTCGAACAAGAACAAGACGATAAAATGCATTGTTTGTTTCGTGCCTGGTAATATTTCAAAACATTCGCCGACCGGAAGACGGGCCAAAGATCTTTTGCAATTTTTTTTTTTGCCGTTTCGTTCGTTCGTTCGTTCGTTCAGCGATTCGAGACGTTTCGCTTTTCTCCGTATAATACGTAAATGCTTTCTGTAACAACGAAATTACTCGTTGGGGAATTTGAGGTAGACAAGAAATTCTTCTCTTTTAACGACGAGACACGGAACGATCGGCCAACCGATCGACTTTACGTTTCACTCTACTTTCGCCTTTGTTTCGTTTCGCTTCGTGTCGCAAATTCTTCAGAATTCTAGATCATTTACTATAGCGCCGATCTTACAGTATCAGTAAAAAAAAAAATCTCAAATCTCTGACTGGGCTGTTATCGATTTCAACAGCCTCGATGTATATTGAAGGCAACGCGTGACTGTTTCTGAAGAAACAATATTTATCACTTTTAGTTTTCAAGATACAAATATTAGAAACCTTTTATTGCCTTGAAAATACAACGCAAGGTTTCTAATAATTACATCTTGAAAAATAAGATCGAGTGATAACTATTTTTTCCTTCGTAGCACTCGCGATACATCGTCCCAGATACAGTTCAAGACCGTTGAAATTAACGAGGTCGGAGCTATTGGAAATAATTACCGCGAGTTCGTACGATCGTTAACCAACAAATGATTAAAAATACATTCCTGATAATTGGTTGAACGATTTCAGTGGACAAGGCGATCGAATGGAGCTGTGACGCGAAACAAGACGAAACCGTTACACAATTGTGCACTCGGAGTTTACGACGAATTCGATCAGCAAAGAAAGTCGCACATTTTCAAGATACAGATATGGATACGGATAAGGATGAGGGTTAGTGTGGGGCGAGGACTGAAACAGGTACACGAGTAGGGGGCAAGTATAGAGGTAAGGATATACATAGTAGATATATCGTAGACACGACGAGGTTCAACGAGCATGGCTCTTGTAGAATTTTAACGAGCCGAAGAGACATAATTTCGATTGATATGGCACAAACGCTTAACTCGAATGTTCGCCCAACAGTAACAATTGAATCGAATCGTTGGAAACAATATTCTCAAGAGGTCTAAGCTACTGTATTCGATAAACGCGTTACTATAATCGGGACAGAATGCTCGTTTAAAATAAAACAAAAACGATCACGTAATTACTAATAAAAAATATTATAATTATCCAGTCGAAGTAATAAATTCTCGATTGAGATGGAGATTTGATCTTTGAGCAAAGATTTAGCAAACTCTGGCTGTTCGAGGCATTCGGCGAGAGGCGAGATCGTACCATTTGGCATCGTCGAACAAAGGCGAAAGACTTTGTACAAGCAGAAGTTACAATTGGCGCGATTAAACGGTCTCGAGAGGGTGTTCGATTCTGTCCCGTCTATAGTTGATCCGCGTAGCGTTCGATGATAGAGTCGTTATCGAAATAAACGTTTCTATACGTGATCCGTATGCTTGCGACTGTTTTCGATTTGATCACCGAGCGAGGTAGCAACGATTCGAAATAGAGACGGTACAGCGTTCCTTTTGGACGAACGGCCGAACGTGATCGAACAACGAAACGAATTTCTGTCGAAACGTGCACAGGACCGACGGTGAAAATAAATCGCGAGAAAAAAAAATACGCGCGTCTGTGCCGGAGCGATAAGAGTTTACATTCTTTCGTTCGATCGTGAGCGAATCCGACGATTCTCCATCGACGAACCCGTAGCTCGATTAAACGTCCAAAAAACGTGATTTCTGGACGGTCCCGTCATCGAAACTCTTTCCTCGGTGTGTATGTACATATGTGGTAGACAAGAAAAAACGTACTAGTCGAAATGTTAAGTTATCGGCAGAATACTAAAAAATCGTAATGGAAATGACGATGACGATGATGGTGACAATAATAATAGTAATTATAAGAATAATAATAAGGATAATTATTATAATCAGAACCAACTGGTTCCGCCGAACTTCGTAGAAAGGCCACCGATGCCTTTGCCGAACATACTGCCGACCTTTCCAACAACGTTCGAGGTGACGTTGCTGATGTTCGATACGTAATTCGAGTCTTCTCCTTCCACGTTCTCGACGACCGTTACTTTTGTCTTCGGTCGTTCCACCTCGTCGTCGTTACCGTTCTCCGAGAGTCCCCTGCGAAACGAACAACAAACGTAAACGTTCAGGAACAGATAACGACACTAAACGTTTCAGATTAGCAGCGACAAACTAACAACAGCGAAAGAGGATATCAAGGAACGACTATCGCCCGCTTATCCGATCGAAAATGACTCGCAGTTATCCGAACATTGCTGTGTTATACTCACTCTTCGTTCTGAGCGCTCATGGTTAAGGCACAAGTCGCTTCTTCCGTCTGCATCCTCTTAGATATAGTCTGATATGTCATCGAATTGAGTTTCTCCTCCATGACACCCTGCAGCTCGAAGTCCGAGTAAATCTTCTTCACGATGTGGGCGAGACAGGTACATTGATGCAGGTGTAAACTGTGATCGAGCCTCTCCGACAGCCAGTTGCACAGCATCTGGATCTGCGCCGTGTACCATTGCTACGAAAACATTTGGATGGAATTTAACGCGGAGGAACGTAATCGAAGAAGAATAGTCGGATCGTCGTTTACCTCGAAGAACGTCAGAATCCACAGTTCGTCCAAGACTTTGCTACGAATCTGATCCATGCAGTTCCTCGTGAAGCTCACGTAGGCCTGACCCATTTCTTTACCGCTCCCCGACACTTTCTGAAAAAGATTTTCACGATGCTCGAAAGGCACGAACCTCCTATCATGGCAGTTTAAAAAGAACGATCGTTTACCGTAAGGCTGAGTATGGAACCTATGAAAGATCCCTCGTCGTAACGGGACAGCTTGGACAAGGTCGTCTCCAGGACCGTGACCAGCTTGTTGATCATCCCTTGGGTCATAGCGGCCGACGTTTTCTCTATCAGATCGTCTATCTTGGAGTGATACTGATGCTGAAAGCGAATCAAAACCATCGATGATCCCGTTTCGAGTATTCATGAATTTAAAGAGAAAAAGCAAACTTACCACGTCGACAGCGTCGATGGTGCAAAGGTCGAAGCTTTGGTTCTTCGCGTCCAAGATGACGTTGACCATCGCGCACATTTCCGATGGTATGATGTAGTCCGTCGATGTAAATGTTACACCTTTCTTCAGCCACTGTTGGAAAGCGGCGTCCGTTCGTTGGATGCAAGATTCGATCATGTCGCAAGCCATCAGCGTCAGCCTCTGCTCCAAGTGCTGTCGAAACTCTAAATCCGGCCAGTGGAGATCGCTGATGAACGACTGAAGCGCGTCCAGTTTCCAAAATAGCTCCTCGGAGGTGGCGCATCCGTTCCCCTTTATTTCCCAGCGTTCCTTCTCGAATCCCTTTTGGATCGACTGGGCGATCGACGTCTCCATCAGGTCCACGTAACGTATCACCAATGGAGCGAACGTCTGCCGCAGGTGTTGGTGAAACCTGCCGTTCTTCAAGTTGTCTACGAGACGAAACGAAACGGAAGGCAAGTTACGGAGCAAATGGGCGGCGAACAGAAGAAAGGAAGATCGCACGTACCGTCTTCTCTCAAGTAGTCGTTCATCACTTTGAAGAGGGGGAAACTGTCCCAGGTGTCGGGCGGTTGTTCAGCGAACACCTTGTCCATGTCGACGGCGAACAACGACCAGAAGATCTCGGCGTGCTCCACCATAAGATCGCTAAACCAGGCGAACGCCTGCGGTACAGTGTAGTAGGAGCGGATCGTGAAAATATTGGATGTCACACATATACGGTGGGCACATTTCGTCTAACTCGAGGCGATGGGTTCGCCACCCCGAGCGATGGAATCCTTGAGCGTTCGCGTCTCGGGTCTCTTCCCTTTATTGGGCCGTCGACGAAATTTCAGCACAAACTAGCGAATGAGAAGCTAAGAGGAATGAAAACATCACCAAATTCGACGTTCTTCGTGGAGACACGTGGACATCACAGGCGATACCTCGATCCTTGCGACATTTGCCTCGTAACTGCGTGCTGGATGCTCTAACAACTAGACTTGATAGACTACGGATGAAACTAAGTTCAAACAGTGCTGAAATTTAGCGTTCGACCCAATATATGGTCCGTTTCTGCATGTTAAGGTGAGAAAACATCAAGCAGAGAACGATCGAGGAAATTTTAGTAAAAGAAACTTTGTCGAGCGTATGTCAGACGAATGAGACGTCGCAACGATGGTTTACTAGCGCGTTCGCGTACAAATTCGAGTTTCTTTCACCGTTTCGGGACGTTTTGGTCCCTTTCCATGCGACCGTGTCTCTCGAGGATCCCGTGAAGCTTAACTCGGTTCTAGAAATCCAACTAATACCTCCGAGTAATGCTCTCCGTTCTGTTGAAGCAGATCCACGCACATTTCGGCCAGCTGTATGAGATCAGCGAGCTTCTTGTTGGGCGGAACGCAAACGTCGCCGCTTAGATCGTCCTCGATCTTTGCTTCGGCGGAGAGCTTGGTGTAATTAACGAGAGCCGCCGTTTCCAGGCAGCTCTTGATCAGAGTCTTCACCTCTTCCGTGTCCACGGGGCTGACGCCATCTTTCATCATCACGCGCTCCAGAAGCGACAATGTAGCCTTCACCGTGCCCTCCGGACGACCGAACGGAAAACTATACCTGTTGGATCATCACGCGGTTAATATCCGAAGTTACGTTTTTTTAATGATTTGGCAGACTGTTTTGTACTGATATTTTTATTCATCTTATTACTAAATTACAACTCCCGCAATTTTTAATATTTTTTGATGAACAAAGTACTGTACATGCTTATAAGATGAATGAATATGTCTGCAAAATCTCTGACAGTCTAGATAGTAATACCCCCTTAAGACACTAAGTGCTACCTGAAGTTGGTGATTTGATCCTCGAGGATCTGCCTCAGTCTTCCCTTGATGGCCTGAAATTTGTCCTTCTCCTCCAGTGTGATGGACACTACCCTGTCGGTCCTGTTCCCGTACACGTGAGAGGCGCAAAAGGCGAAACTGTAGTGTATCAGGGTCGGATCTATCGTGAATCCTCGATCGATTCTGTCCAGCAGATCGTTCAAGTAGCACAGATGTCGAAAGCAGCCGCGCACCCCGTATCTGCGGACCGTGGAAAGAGAAATAGCAAACAGTCCGTTCAAAGGCGAGATCGCGACACGTATCATCGAGATCGTTTGTGAATTACGTTACCTGGCGCAATACTCGTCCAAAACGAACAGCTGACCGGGCGAGAACCAGCCCAGCGAGCAAAACGGATCGTTCAATCGGTAATCGAGGATCAGGTTCTGTAGAAATTTGAACAGACCGTGATGATCGAATTTGCAAGGATCCGCGCTGATGTAATCCTCCATTCCGTGCTTCTTCACTCTGTCGTCGCCCTGTATCTTGCTCGACGAATTCTTGTCCGCCACCGAGACCGGCGGTGTAGGCTTGTGCGATTGCCCGGTCGCTCTGTACATGACCATCACCCACGTCTGACACTCGTTCTTGTCGTCCGAGGCGAACACTATGTTGTCACCCTCGCGAACAGCGTTGAAATAATACCTGACGAGTAGAAGTTGTTTCAGAACGCGTTATCCGTTCACGAACAAGCAGAACGTTAACACGTTCACTGTCCATGACTCGTATACGGGTCACAGCGCCACGCTTTTTAATACACCGCCAAGAGACCGGACAGTGAACGTGTTAACGAAATGAACCGGGGAAAAATTATAGAGATTGGTAGAAGAAACATGGAAGTCAATGCCTGTGGACAGGTGTAGCGGATTAATTAAGTAGTAAAGTAAGGTCTGAGATTCCTTGAAAACGTAATTAATTATCGATGGCTTCTATGCGGGGAAAGATTGGTCGCATGTAACTGGGGAGTATCGTAGATTCTCGTTGATCCGTTCGTCCCCGTCGAGATAATTTAGAACCATTTACCTTCCGCCGTCCAAGTTCGCGCCGACCATAATATTGGTAGAAACCATGATTTTCGCCGAGTCTGCCTCGATATAATCGACCGTGTAGCCGTCTAGCTGCATCATCTCCGACGGCTCGCTTCTTCTCTCTTTGTACGAGCACATCGCGAACGTGTATTGCGAGACCTGAACCAACACGTGGTACCTCTTCTTCCACTTCTTCCACACGGACTTGCCTATCGCGTAAAGGTAACCGCAGTGCTTCATGTTGAACGGCTTGTCCATACGACAGCCGATCTTTATTCGAAGATCCTGGTCGGGACAGTTCTTCGGGACGGTCATACGATACCACTCTGGCTGCTTGGACGCGAACGGGGGCGTTATGATAACTTTGCCCAGCCATTTGTCTTCGAGCGCCAGCATCGCGGAGTTCTCGGTGTAGAGGCGGACTTTGACCACCGGTAGCGGTTGCATGGTCGTGAAGTCGCCCTGCGTTTCCCATCTGTAAGACGAGAGCAATCGATGGTTTTAGAAGTTTATAGTGTTTTGAGATAGGGGAGGCAATGATGGCGATTATATTTAAATGGCTACTGACGTGGGATTGGAGGCCTCGGCGTGATCCGTTTGCAGCTTTTTGCCCTCGACTTCCATGGTGCAGAAAACGATTTTGTTCGGCGGCAAACTCGTTAAGCCCCTGACTTCGATGACGACTACGGCCAATTGGAAATTCAGGCCTACGTCCATCTTGGTCAGCTGTGGTTCACAGTCGGCGGAGTCGCCCTCCAATTTCGAGAGAGAACCCTGACCGCGGCAGCGGGAGCGCTCACGACGATGGTTGTAGCGCTTCAGCTTCTGCAGTCCGTATCTGCTGTCTATCGAACCCTTGGAGACTGGTAACAGCTCCAGATTAGACATTAGGACATTGATAGACGACTTGAGCTCCTCGATGTAGAGCGACTCCATCTCTTTTAACAGGAACTTGGGCATGAGCTTGCGATCCTGAAAGAAACGAACGTTGCAACAACGGATAAAGGACGATCCCCTATCTGGGAACGTTACCTTTTCCATTTCGTTCACTTTCTGCAGACGACCGTCCAGCTCCCTCCTGATGGCGGCAGCCTGTTCGTCGGCTGAGTCCAACAGGAGGGCGTTGAACAGAAGCTGATGTTCAAACTTTTTGATGCCAAGGATCTGCTGAAACATGTCGTACAGCTGCTCCTTGGACAGTATCATGTCCGATATCAAAGACTGCTGTTGCATCCTGGAGGGCCTCTTAGTCTCCTCGTCACCCGTACCTTTCAAGATACAATCGAATTTGGCCAGCCAGGACGTAAGCACAGTCTCTTTGCTCAACCCGTCGATTTCCGGGAGGCGTCGAACACGCATCTCGATGTTCTTCTTGAATACCTCGCGGAAGTCGAGCTGTGAGCAAGCACCGCCCTGCACCATTTTGATCACTCTGTCCGACGTTAAGAACACGTCGTAGTAATTCTTTATGGCGTTGTGAAACGCCTCGTCCGCCATTATCTGCGTTTCGCCCTTGAGGAAACTCTGCGGGATCAGAAAAGAAAGAAATTTAACGGATCGTATACGCGAATTCGGATCGAATCCGGTATCACGGTCGTTCGGATCAGTCGCGAAGGCGAAGGTTAATCGCGCACGAGATATTCAAGTGTAAGACGGCCATCTAGGGCTTCCGAAACGCGTCGGGGTCTCCATCGAAAAGGTTTCTTTTACCCTCCGCGCCGCGTTATCGCGATTGCGACGAGACGAAAGGAGAACCGGCCTTCGACGCTGGATCCCCAGAGACCCGCGATCCGATCGCGATCGATCTTGTTCAGTCACCTGAAATCGGGAACATATTGTCTCGAGTTGCTGTTTGGTCACTTTCAGCTGTCGCCTGGTCATATCCAGTGGTTGCTTGGCGTTGAACGGATAAGCGATGCACCGCGATACGAATACGTACAGCTGTATTCTAGTTTTCCTCTCTTCTTCCTCGCGTTTCTGTTTGTCCTGCAAATCGCAAGGTGGATTCGAAACAAGCAAAGAGCAAATCGATACACAATATACAGGGCGTCCCGCCACCCTTGAGAATAATCTTAAATGGCGGTCAGATTGGACCACGAAAATCCATAAGCAACAAATTCTTGATTTTCGTTTTATTCCGGCCTCTAGAATCTCTCATTAAAATGTTTTCCAGGGGTACAAATATCAAATACTATCAATCAATTCCACCTTAAAAGTTCCATCACTCATGAATATAAATTTTTCCAGTGAGCAGTTTATGGAGCAAAGGTCTTACCTGTGGATCCACGTCAGCTTTCTCGCTGGCGACCGACGGCGAGGGACTGTTGGGCCTCTGAGCGTAATTAGCTGCGTCCTGCGCGGCAGACATCGACGGCGACAACGAGTTCCTCGCCGCGGAGAGGTTCGAGCCCTCCATTCCGGGGCCTCCATCTTGGCCAGCGGGCCCGCCGGTGCGAGGGGTCCCGATGGGGCCGTGACTCGATCCCCCTGGCGACGCGGTCAGCCCCGAGGCCAACGAGCTCACGCTCCCGGACGCGGGACCGCTCGCGCCCCCAAGGCCCCCGCCAGGTCCTATTTGACGACGGGAGCCATACGAGCTACCGCTACCACCGCGAACCCCTCCACCAGCACCACCGCCCCCGACATCCTTCGCGTCCTTCTTCTCTTCGTCGCTCTCCTCCGACGAACTGGGATCTATCATCCTGCTCCCCTAGGATCGGCCTCCCGCGTGGAGGCCTACCGTTCCAGCTTGGTCACGTGTCCGTCCTCGATATCTGCGATCAAACGAGTCCCCAATCTAACGTGAACGCTCATTTTCTCCTAATTTGCTCGACAATGGCTCGCAATCGGATTCGAAACGGTTCGAAGCTTCTAACGCTAGGACTACCGACTATTATCGTGTTTTTATTTGTACCAAAGAAATTGAAACGATAGATACTTGAAGAAATGTATAATTCTTATAGAAAACCATGGTAAATTTGCAAAAATTGCGAATAGATAATTTTGACCAGTTTGGTAGTTTCAGTGTTGAGGCTATGGGGACCTGTTCCTTATCGTTTGAGATTGAAAGTTGTCGTTGCTTGTAAACGATAGGGATAGTTTAGAAGAGGTCGTATCCGACAAATTTTAACTCGTTACGTTCGTTTTGACCGACACGCCTCTTAAATTCATGCCAAAGGTTCGCAGTGAATAGCATTGTTCGCGAAAAATGTCAACGAACAATGCTCCTTTAGAATTCCCGAAACCCGTAGCTAGAATTTTGCCCGACAACAATTGAATTTTGGCTCCCAACGAAGTTCTCTCACTTATTAACCGTCGTTCCAACTGGACCGCTTTGTTCCTGGAATATAGCGATGCACCCGCGATTCATCGACCATTAGACTGCAGTTTACAAACGCTTCTGCGTCCGCCTCGTACCGATCCAAAACTATTTAAGAAGTTTCGACGGGCTACGGAAGTGGAAGAACTCGTGACACGAATTTAAATTTTACTGGGATAGAAAATTCTCTCGATTCTCCGGCAGAAAGTATTCAGATATTAGCGAACACCGATGTAAAAATATAAGGTTGTTAGATTTTTAAAATATCTACAGCATTATTAAACAAAGTGTTCTTGCAAAGCATGAAATACACGTACCTAACAGGCACGAGAGATTGATTGAAAATGAGCTCGAATGTATAGCAGACTACGTGTGCTACGTACGTTTCGATTTCAAAACATCCGACATATCCGAAGATGCAAGTGTTTCTGACGCAGCGAGACAATGGGCCGCAGATTCAATATCATCGCTTCACAATGGAAACGATCACTACTTATGGAGCTCGTTGGAAATTGTCAAGTATCGAGAACCAAAGAACGGCAAGTGTCAAGCGCGTCACTGTCCCGGAAAAAAGAAGCACTGTAACCAGTGATGGGATTTGAAACGCTTTGGTTCTGTAAAATGGCGGAAGAATCGAATTACTTCGAATCTGATTCGAAGCCCTAGAAGCCTCGAGAATCTCGCGATTCTTGAAATGACATTAAGAACCTGAGAAATAGAATATAAGAAGAACGCAGAAACATCAAGAAAGAAAAATATGTTCAGTACCGCAAAGCGTTAAAATTCGAGGTGCAACGGAAACGAGCACAACCAACGACGCTGCTTCGGAAGAGCGATAAGCGACAAAGTTCGACGCAACGCGGTTCGTCTGGACTTTATTCGACAACCCGTATACGGGCTTTAATGTCTAACCCAGATATGCAAATATTTCTGGCGCAACGTCGATAAGTCGTGACGCGTCGAATGGCCCGTTCGAGTTCGAGTTCGAGTTCGAGTCCAAGTCCGAGCTCCTTTGGGTTTCGCGATCACGCGTGGATACGCCTTGCAAGTTTCCAACGTTACCGTGCTTTCGTCTCCATTTTCGCGCACTCGCCATGCCATAAATAGCATACACGTGCTCCCGTCTCATCAAATCATCGACGCGCGTTACGTTTCCTTTTGCCTTCCCCCCCGTCAAAGCACAGAACCGAGTATCGGTTAATCTTCCGCGCATAAATTAAAACAACCTGAACTCGGAGTACTTTACGAGGAGTTAAAGTGGATTTCGATTCGAAACGCTAAACGGTTCCCAGCTTTGCAATAGATTATCGTTCCATTATTAAACACTGTTTACGCGTATAAAAATCACGCGATAATTGTTTTATAAGAATTTGTTCGTAGGCTCGAGGATCTATTGTAAACTTTAAATGGCGCAGAATTGCTGGTAGACGGGCGATTGTTCCTCGGACCGAATACGAGCCTTCTTTGCCTCAGTTTGCGTTTCGCCAGACGAGTAGTCTTGAGAACGTTCAAGTACCAGCTGCGAAACAACCAACTTTCTCGCGAACCATCTACGTTTCAGTCTTTCCCTTTAACGACGTCTTCATCGACTCGGAGGATCGGTTCTTGTTCCCTTGGCAATCATATGCGTCGCTACAGGTTCTGCACTACAAATTAAGAAATTTGTTTTCTCAATCCATTGCAATAAAACGACAAAGTGACTGAATTTAGAGTGCAAAACCTGCACTACCAAACGCAAAATACGCCACGTTTTAAATCCACTGTTATTTGGATCATTTAGGATTTTGAATGGCTACATTTTGTCGTCCCGCAATGAAATACCAGTTCGATAATCGCGAATGTTCTCTTACTCTTTCGTCGAATCAGTCCACGAGGCAGAATATTTAAGCAACATATGTCCTACTTTACGTGAAATTGATTCGATAAATTCGTTTCTCGAGGGATTGTACGTGCATATGTACGTACGTACGAACGTCCCATCCCCCGTAGCAGTATCTGCATCGAGTCACGGAACGACGTAAATAAGTAGATCGATTCGTAGCGTATATTACGAGCGCGTGCTACCTGGACGAGGATGGGCTTCCCCTCGGATCGTCCCGTCGAGCAAGGGACATTTCGAATACGAGATTATTTTGCAGACCGTCGAACACGACGAGCCTCGCTCAGTAACCTCGTCGAGCATAGCAAATCAGAACGTACCACGTATTCGTGTGCACGAATATCGAGCGTTTTTCGGCCCCGCGACCGTGTCCGTGTCCGTGTCCGTGTCCGTGTCCGTTTCGCCTTTTTATTTTCTCGTCGGCGGCAACACAACGTGCAGAACGTGAAAAATTACCGCGACGGATCGATCGATTCACCGTAACAGCGCAAACACGGGCAGCTTTAACGACACATGGCTGGAGCGACGGCATTCGAATATGTATAAACTTCCTCCCTCCGCGTGTTGACTTGCTTCTGATTAGATTGCATCTACGTGCTTCCCTCAACGCGTACTCCGTATCCTGTTTCCCTTTCCACGAGCAACCGTGACGAGCACGTTCGAAATAGAAATCGTTTTAATTCCGGATAATTTCGAGATGAAATCAAACAATCGTTCTTATCTCCCATTTCTCTTTTGCAGATAGCAAGCCGACGATCGATGCCGCGAGCTCTCCTCTGGCTTGGCCGACGAATGGAACGAAAGCACGTGTATATTCGGAGACTTCTTCGCTCCCGTCGATTTCCTCCGATTTACGATCCTCCGCGCCACGCACCGGATCGCGTTCGCGTCGAAGGAAACTCGCCACGACGTTTGTTTTCTTTTTCTTTCGTTTCGAGCATGGTCACGCGTCCGAAAGGCTCGAGACGAGAACTTTCGAACCGCGTCGAACCGATTGCGAACTCGAATTCGAAGGGCCGTGGACGCCCGCGTTTTGGGTGTGTCGTGGCATCGAAAATGTTATCAACAACGGGGTCTGCTTGTTGCAACGAGACCACTCTTTCGCTCGTACTGTCGTTCCCTTTCGTGCATGCGCGCGCGCTATAGCTTCCGCGATCGTTATTACGAACCAACCGAAGCCAACCTTTTTTCAAGCGATGCACGGCCACGACGACCCTGAATACCGGGAAATCATCGTGCGTTCGTTATTTAATCGCGCTCGAAACGCACACGTTATGTATCCTCCTACGTCCGTACTCGTTTCCCGTGCCGACGGTGGTTCTCTTGTTTTCCGGTACTCGGGGACGGATGAACTGTCGACGATCGCGTCGGATCAACGTAACTCAGCCGCCTCTGCTCGTCAACTGACTAAACCACCGAGACGATACCGACGACGCCGACGCCGACACGGACGCCGCTAGGGAGGCACTAACGGCGACAAAGGCAGGCTGACTGTGTGTTTTGCGAAAAACGAGAAAAGAAAGGAACGGGGGAGAAACGACGGGGAAAACAAGCGGCTGAAAACGACGGTTCGAGGAACGAGATCGAACGAACACGCGAAAGGGAGAAAAATCGCGTAGCGAAAGGCCCGGTACGATTTCACGGCGACAAACGAGGGTAGAAGGGGGGAGTGAGAGTCGCGTAGAGGGTGCAAAGAGAGATCGGCGAACGAAAGTGAAATTGGCAAATCGGTAAATGAGCAGGAAGGCAGAGAGGGTGGGTCTGGGGGAAGAAAAGTTTCGATGGAAGTAAAAGCGCGGGGGGACGGAATAAAGAATGGCGTGGGTGTGTCGAAGAAGGGGAAAACAGCGGTAGTGATAGAGCAAGAAGGATAGTTTCTAGGCAGGGATGAAGTGGCAGTGGGCCATCGATCGGGTGCGCGCGGTTGTCAATGGTGGTCGCTTCAGGAGCGAGTCGTACGACGCTATCGCCGCCGCTGGCGTCCCGACGCCCGTTCCCGTCGACTCCATCTTCTAATATCTTACTGTCATTCTTTTTTTTTTCTCTTCTGTCTTATACGTGCCTCGCTCGGCCTCGTCTTTATTCCCGTACTCTTTTTTTTTCATATCGCATGCGAATTCGTTTCGATCTATTCGCGCCAACGTATGCGACACGCTGCATGCCATTCTATCGTTCTACTCTTTTACTGCATTAAAACCCTCTCGATCGGTGTTTTAGAATTACTATTCTAAATATTATAGCGCGCGCCATTAATGATTATTCCGTACCCCGTTCGACCAAACTTTAACGTTGCACGAAATTGCGTAATTTCTTCGCCCGTTCTACGCACGATGTCGCGTTCGTGAAACGTCTATCGTCATCGCGAGAAAGTCGTTTCATTCCAAAAGTTCCGGGGAAACGAAATTATTTCTGAAGTGTTCGTATTTCCCGAGTGTTATTCGCGGTAGCGCGTGCTCGAGAGCGTGTGCAATTATGCAGCTGCTGATCTCTTGTTACGCGACAAACAACAGAACTGCAATCCCATCTCGCGAGACCTTGGCTGTCGATGTACGAATGCGAAACGAGGAATAAGACGGCGACTGTCCGTTCGTTTTATATATATTTTTTTTCCCCCCCCCAATAGCACCCTCGCCGTCCGTCGGAATTGTCCTGCAACTTTGAAAACATTCGTGACCTAGGGCGAGGTTACAGATATTCGCTTTCTCAGAGTCAGCGCGATTGCTCGAAATTCTGGCGTTGTGCCAGCCACAGAAAAATAGGTTATCGATCGATCGCTCGTACTTCTAGCCATTAAGCTGCAATCTCAAATTCGCGAACGAAACCGTCCTGCGTGTATTCTTCCGCGTTTTAACTCTCATTTCCACCCCGATTTTGCCTTCCCACCGTTCTGCGTCGTTCCCTTTTGAGTTCTCACGATGTTGCGAGATATTTTGCTTGCTTCGACTTCTCTGAAAAACTTGTTCGGCCTGCAGAAAGCATATTTTTGAAAATCAAAAGGACAGCTAGCGCACGGCTGTGCACGAACATATGGTCATACGCAAATACGCGTATCAGAGTTTCTGTTGTAAAAATGTTCAAATTTATTCGCAGCTAGTTTATGCATAGCGATCGTTCGCAGTGGTTTTGATCGTTATAATTTCTTGATCGTAAACATAAACATCGATAACCAGAAAATTCGATAATTCCGAAAAACGACGCGTCGATTGGTCCCGTTTCCGGTTCCCATAGAGCAGACGAACACGTGCAAGCGCATGCGTATGAATTTACTAGCGACGTATCTAGGAAAATTTTCTAGCAAAATATAGACAACCGATAAGAAAGCGTATTCAATGAACTAACAATATCGTACATTTATGAAAGAAATAATATCTGCTTTTGCGGCTGCGGGTAAGGTCGTAATTGTTTCAATTTCCCTATAGGGAATAGTTATGGCGATACTTCTCGTAATCGCCATTAGAGGGCTAGTTCAACTCTAATACGACTGTGTATGCACGTTACAATGAATTTGTAGTGGGGAAGCCTTCTCTTTACAACGACCTTTTAAACATTAATATTGGCATTAGAATAGCTCAAGGTATTAAGCTACAAGCATTTTCCGTCATTTAACAAATTAGTTCCCGAGCACCGTTCGAACTCTGTCTCGTTGGACAGAGTATAGATGTCAGAAGGGAATCGAGAAATTGCGAGAAAGGGATTGGTTGAATATCCCTCTGGTAACGAGTACTAGAGGTACTGGTGTCCAGTATGCGACATCTACGACATCTCCAAGCAGGAGAAGTGAAGTTCTAGAGAAAACCATGATGGTCAGTCGTTATCTGCTGAATCGAGACCCATCGAGATCGCGTAAGGTTGAAACGTGGTGGGACGCGACGAGATTTCCAGTAAAATCGACTGTGATTGGTGGACATCCAGGGGTACTCGAGATGGCATCGATACAGGATTTATCGATATCACAAATCCAAGAAACTGATGCAATAGACATGTAGTGGCAGTAGGAGATTGTAGTGGTGATTGGTGATGAACTGGTGACCCTTGTGCGTCGAAGGAACGAATGAAGTTTACGTTGGCCGTGTATACAGATACGTGTTGCCTTCTTCGAATGGTGGCAAGAACGCACGCTTGTCGATTTATAATGCCAACGCGTAGAAGATTGGCACGTATCGAGTGACAGTGAACACGGAACTCGTGTACAGTGAATTCAAGTGACGATCGTCGACCATCTGTTCCAGTCATGTTCAGAATCAGGATTGAAGAGCCAAGGAAGAATGCAACGGGTTCGAGAATCGCCGTTTCGAGTAAAGTAACATGGAAGTAATTTGTTTGCCGAAATACCTTTCGATCCGTAACAAAAGCATTTTCGTTACCACGGTGGCGTTGACAAGGAACCGCGACGAACCAGCCACTGTTCGAATCATTGGATGATAATCGATCTACAACAATGTAGATCGAGACACGTTGACTCCAGAACAAATAAACGGGATAAACGGGTAGCGAGACAATCGTCATGCTTCATTTACTGCATCTTCGTAGTCGTCCTTTACAAACCCTTATTCTAGGATTGATCGGCTTAACTTTTTACGCATATTATCGTTCAACATATTACGATATCCCTCAGTATGCGGTACCTCGAAATATTAGTAAGTATATTTCTCGTTTTTTCTCGTTCTTTCATACTTCCTATTCATTTATTCGTATATGTTCTAATAAATGCTTCGTCACCGTACAGGTCATTCTGCATATCAAGAGATTTCCAAACATCGATTAAACACGAGCATAGAGGAACATGTAGCAATTTTGCAGAAGAATGCCTCGTCCGAACCATCGGCGGCCCTTCATATAGTACAAAATCCTAACAATATTTCAAGTCCTGTGGTTACAACATCTTCAACATCGTCGAGCTCTCAGACTCAATCCTTTGCAAGCGTATCGATATCTAGTTCCAAGCAGAGCAGCGAAAAGCCTCCACAGAAAGTAGAAAAAACTTCAAACGAGACCAAAGACACGTCTGCTGCTTCCAACGAGTGTTCCGCGCGCGCTATTTATGAAGCGGGTCACGCCGTACCGATACCGGAAAGATGCCCAAATTTTGGCAAGGAAATGGATTTGGTTATAATAGTAATGTCCGCACCGACTCATCTGGAGGCTAGGATGGCTATACGACAAACGTGGGGACACTTTGGTCAGAGAAGCGACATCAGTATCCTGTTCATGTTGGGCGTAACATTGGACCCAAAAGTGGAAACAATTTTAAGAAGAGAACAGAAAACTTACAATGACGTGATACGCGGGCAATTTTTAGATTCCTATTCGAATTTGACCCTGAAAACGATCTCTACCCTGGAATGGGTAGACAGTTACTGTTCCAAGGTCAAATTTCTTTTGAAGACCGACGACGACATGTTCATCAATGTTCCGCGCTTGCAGGCGTTCGCGGCAAGACACGCGAAAGACAAGAACGTGATATTCGGTAGACTGGCCAAGAAGTGGAAACCGATTAGAAATAAAAAGAGCAAATACTATGTATCACGGACGCAGTTCAAGCACGCCGTTTTCCCCGATTTTACCACCGGTCCGGCTTACTTGCTGTCCAGCGACATTGTGCGCAAGCTGTACGACGCCGCGTTGGATCAAACGTACCTCAAGCTAGAAGACGTCTTTGTGACTGGAATCGTCGCGGATAAGCTAGGGATTAAGAGGACGCATGCGAATGAATTTTTGAATAAAAAGATATCGTACAGTGCGTGTAACATTCAACGAGGCATCAGTATACACATGGTCAAGTACAGCGAACAATTCGATCTATGGAAAAAATTACTCGACGGCAAGAGTAAATGTAAGTGATAGATATCGAGTCATGCACTCAAGATTTCCAAACCGATTGGCAAACCACGTGCCACTCCAATCGCTTGAACGTACTCGCTGCTAGCTTCTTGCGTCGATTCGATGCCCGTTCATACTTCTGTACTAGATTCTGTGGCTCGTATAACTTTGTTTCTCCGTTCGCCTATGCAAACTGAACGGATCGCGTTCAGACGATTCTCTCGATTTCGTTCTCCGAGAAAGATCGGAAACCGAAATCTGATACGATCGTCTTCGCGGCACGTGTTCGGTCATACAACGTAACCGTATTAATCACGCCTCCTGTTAGCAATAACTCACCGGAGTAAATTATTATACTCGAATGACACGTGTAATGAATCGTTCGCAATTTAATGCCTTATCTCTCCGACACTCGTGACATATTTATCTAATATATGTATATTTATCTAATATCATACATACATACAACGTACCGGGAATATTTCCGTTTACTACATTATTAAGCGGTCATTGCGATGAAAGTGTACGCGTTCTTCGCGGAAAAAATGCGTCAATCGAGAATATAAGGCTGTTTCTTTCTTCTAAATACGTATCGTTCGCTGTCCGAATAACGTGTAACGTATAAGGATTAAACGCAATTGACGGAATCGATTCTCCGTTTTACAGTGCCATACGCATAAGAGAAATGTTACGATCAGTTCCTTTGTTGTTTTATCATATTCGTCGTCGTGATGTCGTTGTTCTTAAACATTTCCGACAGCGGCTTCAATCGCGTTGAAAACGTACGATTGGAAGAAATTCTTGTAAACGATTGCGAAGGCAATGAGAATCGAGACAATCGGGTCAAGGTGTTCGTTGCTCCTATACGAATGCAACGTTGAAACTTTGATCGGTAACCTTGGCACGCTTTTCGATACTCTCGATGCTCATTAAATGAAAATAAAATTTTTATTGTAATGCAAATTTTTTAACGGCACGTTTCAGTTTTATTGCGTCGCGGACTCGACGAGAAGTAGAAGCGTGATAACTTAGTGTTTTATAAAAGAAAACAAACTGAACGACCGCAAGGCGTTTTCGATATCGCGAAGAAATCAAACGAACGACATGTTCGATCCCGATGTTACGGATAGTAAAACGTACATGCAAACGTGCGGTGTATTGTTACGCGATCCAATCAAATTCGAGTTTGTTGGGTCCGGGCGAAGCGACGAGTTTGTAAAAATCGCGCAAAAACTTTCACGTATTTCCCTTTGGACGGTACGAAATCTGTTCGATCGATTTCATGTCCTGAATAGTGCCTAGTAATAGACCAAGTTTTTATGAGCAAGATTTCACGTTTTTAGGCATTATCTATATCAGGAAGTACGCGATTAAAAGTTCTCCGTAGAAAAGTCTAACATTTTTAATACTGTGGCGCGTGCGTCGGAAACAGAGATTATTTCCGATAGTATGATTACCTCCTATCTTCGTAATTGTCCAGTCAATTCTTAACCTCGTGTTGCAAGTTAGGCCTGAATGTTTTAAGTAGACAACTAGCAAATTGTTTGCTATCGTGGCTTTATAAAAAGCTGGACAGTCGCCAATGTAGATGGACAAACTGCGCCTAACATTTTTAGTAGTATTCTGATGCAATCTTTCTCAGGAGGAAATTCTTTTGTCATTCGGTTAGAAAATCGCCTTCTTCTCTTCTAAGTGATATTGCTTTCTATTCTCTGTAAGATTAGAATATATTAAGGTACTATCTCTCGTGTTCTCCCAACTTCACGCGAACAGTAACGTGACTCAAGACCATTTCAATCCATTCCTATCGATGATTCCTGTGTATAATAGGTGGACTGCGGATGTTCATGCAAAATGTATATTTTTCTAGAAAACACAGAATAGTGAGACTCGGACAGGAAATTTATTTCGTCGTTAGAGCGGTTTAGAAATGTATTTTTCAAAACTGGAAATCTGTACTGTTTAATACACGATACGCGTGCATTAACATATCCGTATTTGATAATTACTAAAAAAGTATCTTGGCCTTTCTAGTTGCCAGTGCGCTAAGTAAAATATTACTGTGGAAAGTCCAGTAATTCTACTTTTTCAGACACTAATGTAGATAAATACGAAATAGAGCAAACGAATTTATTTATTTTTCAAAACAATATGACAAGGCTTGAATAATGTTCTATGCTATAAGTGTATATTATATATATTACTTGCATATTTAGCATATTTGTTGTACATGCATCAATGTCATGTGTTCTTTGCATATCTTATAGTACATGAACATCCGCAGTCTGGCAATAAGTAAAATAGCTTAATATCACTTATGGGTTAACCGAATACCAATAGCTTGATAAATGAGTCCGGTGAGCGTGTTTGTGCGCAAAGATATAAATTGTTACTGTGTTGGGAGAAGACCGACAGGAACAAGTTTACTTCAAGCGAGCGTCGTCGAAAACTAGATTCTTGAATTGGTAATGTTGGAATTCGTGTAGAGGGTAACTACCTTAACTAAGTGGTATAACTGTAATGCTCGATACCGAGATCTTTTAAAGTCGCATTCCATGAAAACCACCGATATCATCAAACGAAGACAAATCTAAAATTTATATTTTATCTTTACCTATAACAGTGTACCTCTCTGGGGCACGTTTCTCGTAAGACGAGCATAATGATTAACGAAGCATTACTGATGCCCGAAGGGATAAACTTGTATTACAAAAAAAAATAGCACAAAATGTGCATTTAGGTTGTGGTCACGTGTGGTGTTATGTATGTGGGTGTAATGTACGAAGCACGAGTATACGGCGCAACGAAAAAATGATTTGAAGATTATGCCTTCCGAAATGACCGATGTCGACTCGCATCAACAATCGTACGACAAACGATCATTATTTGTTATAAGTACATTCCAATGCTGTTGCTAGGCTAATTACAGTTCTTGATTGATTGCATTGATCTTGAATGATTTGCATTTTATTTTTATACGATTCTATTGCGCGAGTGTCGTCTTGTTAATTAACACGAACGTGTAATCGATATCCGACGTTCGACGATTCCCTACGCTCAATCATCGTTTTGGGGATCGATTCCTCGATGAAACAGTTGTTCCTGTTTTACCTTGAATTTATTGCGAAAAATAGATTTATGTATCGATTCCGAAATTCCTATTTTACCGTAGGAATCCGTACGAAATGTTGTAGTTAGACGTGAGAACGTGATATCGTGTTACGAGACTAAAATACGCCCAATTTTCTAACGAATGTGCGTATACTGATTTGCATGAGAACAGTTACTTTCTACCTTCGATTCGAATCATTCGCATACGTAAGTAACGGGTTCCGTCTTACGTTGTCTCGAACGTATTTGGCACCAATTAACGAATAGACAAATTCACAAACGCGTGATATGTTTGATTCGACGTAAAACTGAGAAGAATCGTCTAGTATTATAAATTGTATAAAATCTGCCTTATTTTCCAGTACATATTTTCAAATTGTACGAAATGTAGCGTAAATGAACAAGTTTTATCAACTTAATCGTTGGTGTACCCTTCGACTCATTGCGAGGCAAATCCTTCCAACTCCTGTACGATTGCGTTATCGCTTTATGGATAACTTTTTTTTTTTTCATACTTTAATACGTTTGTGTCGCCACGAACGTGACATAAACTTGTGAAATTTGACTTTGTTAGTGACATACGAACAGAGGTATAGTTGGCGGATTAAATAAAGCGATCTCGTAAAAACGGTAGATTGCCAAAACTCTAACATCCTTGACTATGTGCCAAGAATTCAAAGCCATTCTGGATAAAATCTGTTTTGGACGTTAGAATTTTCAAGGACGTCCCAAGTCGTATTATCGGATACAATAACATAAAAGTGAACCTGACACGAGTTTAATAAACCTGTCGACGATAAATTGGTAGTCGGTTGGGAAAATTTACGTAGCAACCTGTGGGGTATTATTTAGTATCACTTGACAGATCTTTATGTTTCTTCCATCGACTACACGATCTCGTGAAACATCTACGGTGTATGGAAATCATTCTGTGCCATTTTGCTTTTAAATCATTTTGCTTTGGTAACGTCATCTAACGTCTCAACCATGCAACGACTAGAATTCGAGTTTCGATTGGTAGGATTCTTTTACCGACTTTTTCAAAGGCAGCATGACACTTTTAATACTTCCATAAATAATTAAAACGTATTCATACACGTAAACTAGAAGCATATCTGTATATCCTCGATTCATAAATAATCGAGGTATTTCGGTACGAAGTTACTGAAACTTATCAATGGAATTGGCAATAATTACCTTCAAAGCGTTTGATAACACAGCTCTCATAAACAGATTAAATATAAATATTGCTGATCTATTCTTACATTATATCACAGCACAATACTATTCCCTTTGTAAGCTGCAAAATAAAATCGAGTATATTTTTTGCACGAGACATTGAAACGTTTTATAAGTCGTTATTTTAAATGTACATTTATGCAAGAACCCAAATGTGATAACGAAATATTGGAATCGAATAATTTTAATCAATCATGTTAAAGCATAAAAATTGGCTCGTTTTTTTTATTCTTGTATAATATTAAAAGCTTTAGACATTCTTGGTTATAAAGTTGTCGCATCTTTGAAAAAGTGGATTATGAGAAAAAACTTTACTAAACTTGAACAGATTGTTAAGGTAGGTATAATGTCCTATTGGTCATTATTGTTTTGATTTTACGATCAAAAATATGTATATGTTGAATAAACAATATTATTTGGTTCTTGTTTAAAAAATGGGTAAATTTATGAAGAAAATTACGAATTTCTGTAATTTATTAAATGGGAAGAATGTATAATACTATTTAAGTACTAAACGAAGAGAAATAATGTTATTAAATATGTGTGTAAAAAATACAACAGTGCAATACTTCTATTATATTTGTTTGAAACCTAAAATGATATGTATTGATTTTATTAAAAAAGAAATATTAATAAATTACAAATTAATGCATCAAGAAATTTGTAAAATTGTATCGGTTATCAACTTATTTATTCGTTATGTTGATTAGATCATAACATTAATGTTTCGGATGAAACAAGTATTTTCTGTAGCTTCGAACAAATATTTGGTCCAACTGTTATGGACTTTTATCAAGTTATAGGAAATTTTGATACATATTATACAATATAACGAATTATAAAAAGGTTCTTAAGTGTTCGTTGCTTTTACGTTATTCTCGTAGGAATGCTAACAAATATTAGTATGCTTGTACGTAGGTTATGTGTGTTATATTAATTGACGGTTTAATTCGATGCCAGGTATGACATTACGTAGATGTTTTGTAATTAATAATGATTATTTTATCTGATAGTGACGTACATCGTCGTTGTTCAACGTGGTATTGAATGCAACAGTTTTTATCTACATTATGAATGTTATTGATCTTTAAATTTGATATGATTCGTGAATGTTTTGATTGTACAGACCATTTTTCTTTTTTATAAACTTGATTTACTTTTCATTCACGAACGAAAATTTGGAAGCATCCTGTTCATACTGCATCACAATTTTGCTACTTTTTAAGATTCATATTTACTTTATTATACAAGTATAATGTATTTTAGTTTCAATTTCATGTAAGAGCACAATGTAATGTAATATATTGTATACAACAAGAAAAGACTAGTTTCTATTATGTTGTATACTATTTTTGCGTTGATTAAACAAATTAATTATGCGAAGGAGTTTTAACTTTGAAAGTAATCGAATAAACAAAAATATATAAGAAGCTAATCTAGCGTGAAATATTACGAGCGAACCATGGTAAAAAAACGAGGAATCGTGTGGAATTATTACAATAAGAAGATGGCTGGGTCTCAGGTGATCGCATTTTGCAAATTTTGCGATCAGTCGTACATTCAAAATGCTACTCGAATGGAAAGGCATATGGAAAGATGTCCAAAATGTCCAGAAGATGTCAGACAACAATTTATACAAGTAGCGCACAACAAAAAACATAAAACTAATAATCTTGATAATAAAATAAATAACGGCTGGCCAAAACAAGAATCATTGGTAGATCACAACATCACTGATAATGAGTTGGAAGATCTGGATGATTGGAATTATAGGAATCAATCTTATTCAAACGAAGCACCTAATACAGTACAACAAAACATGGACTTGGTGATACAAAATAATGAACAAACTTGGGTGAATCGTGATACTGCAGCTGAAAATAATGATACTGATACAAATTCAGTCGGTAGGAATTGGGAAACAAATCAGAATGATTCTGGATCTGTTGTACCTGGTAATTTGAAAAGAACATCTAAATTGTAAAATTGTTTTTAAATTACAGTTAGATCAAATTAGATTATAAAGTTAGATTACAGAGAATTATTCTGTATAAATTTCTAAGGAACTCTTGAATATTTTATATAGCTGGATCAGAGGAACGAACAGGTTTGGTCCATCAAAGGAAATCTTATAATCCCAGAAGAATATCACAATGGCCAATGTCTTCCATGCAGACATCCGATTGTTCACCTTTACAGAGCAAAATATATCAGGAGCAGCTATTAGAAAGACGTGCCTTAAGAAGAGCGGCCGAATTGGAACTACGACGTAAGACATTGGAATTAGAAAGATTCCAATGGGAGTACGAAAGAGATAAAGTTCAGACTGAAGTTCGTTGGGCGCATGAAACTCGTATGATGCAACTTAAAGAAGAACGAGAAAGACAATTGATCGAACAAAGTAGAACAAAGACAGTTTCACATGTGGTGTAACCAATTGTAAATAATGACTTTCATCTACTGATAACGAACAATACCATTGCATCCTGAAGAATAGAAATAGACTTTTAAAGAAGAAGATACAATTCCTAATTCTAAGAAAATGCACAAATAGATGATCATAGAATGTATGAAAATATATTATCTATTTAGAGCAAAGAGTATGATTTACTTGTCATGTATATAGAAAAAGCGCCTTTGTATACAATTTTTTTTATCAGAAGTCTTTACTTAACGACTGGAAAACAATTTTTAATTGCAACAAAATATGCGACTAAAAGAAGAACGTTCTAATGTACTTATACATACAATAAAATTTCCTGTTTGTACCTCATAGTCTAAGATTACATTTACTTTTTATTTATTAATATATCATGTTTTAGTTTTAATGGTGGATTTTTTGCGTTAGTTTAGATTAGAACGAGACCAAACATTTAATGATCTATTATCACTTTAACTTCGGCGATTGTCTCGATGCTCAGTTTTTCTTTTCGATTATTAAAAATAATCAAATGTATGTTTTGTGTTTAAATGTCCTTAAAGATGAGGCTTTCGTGTAACTTGACTTTTTTTTTATGAAATATTAGGTAGGTGAGGTGTGTCCCGGCACTGATAATTACGCGTACTAAATATGGAGCACAGTTGTGACCATAATGTATGCTGTAGTTCAAGTACCGATACCGGTGTCCGTCAATCTCTTATTGAAATGGAGTTTGAACGCGGTATTTGGTATGCAGGTAAATAATTACATTTTAATTGATATTATTGAATTTTTTTATACATGTTACGAATTACTTAAGCAGGTTATATCATTTTTAGCCCAATACGACGATTTAGATCGAGTCAAAACCTTACTGAAGAAAGGTGTTTCAGCCAATGTCGAAGACTCCGCCGGATATACAGCCTTGCATTATGCGTCTAGGAATGGGCATTATGAAATCTGCAAAATATTATTAGAAAACAATGCGTCGGTGAACGCACAGACTCGTTGCGGGCATGCTACTGCTCTGCACAGAGCAGCTACGCAAGGGCACGTTAACATCGTTCAACTTTTACTAAAATCCGGTGCAAATCCCAATATAAAAGATGCCGATGGTTATATTGCTTTGTATAGAGCACTTGTGGCGAAATCGGTTCCCGTTTGTAAGATTTTGATACCGTGCACTGATTTAACACTGCTGAGTAACAGTCAGCAGAGTATAGAACAGTTGGTAGAGGAACATTGCCCTGATATTTTACCGTTTCTGTTTACTTATACAAATATGGAATAATCGTGGAGCAAGAAAGTTTGTGCGAAAATAAAGATATGAACGAACCTGCCGATTCCTATGTACAAAATTTAATGGTATTATTATAAAAAAATAAATATATTTATGCTAGAGGACACAGTTTTCAACATTTATATGATATAACAATCTTTAAATCGAACTCTAGGTTTAAAAAAGTATTAAAAACGATGTCTAAACGTTATCTGTTACGCGAGTGAAATGATTATGGGGCTATAATCGACGTATAAACGAACAATTCTTCGAAGGAAGTATCATTATTAGTTCGTAATGCTATTAATCATAGGTTCGTGCGATACGAAATCTTGATATATATTAAAATAATTTTTCACGAGAATATCAATCTTTGTATGTGAACTCCATACAGAACTTACGTACTTACTCGACGATGGTGTGAATTAAACAATTATAAATAAGACTTAGTATTGTTTAACATTCCAACACAATAGTTTGAACAATTCTTAACAATATGTGGTGTATGAATAATGAAAGGGCCCATCAGTATAAGTATATAATAATTTTTCGCGAAATAATTTGTCCACCGGACGGGTGGAGATGGCGCGCGCACGCTGTGCTCTCCCCACTCCTCTGTGACTACGTTGGGCTCACGCGGACCACTATGACTCAGTCTCGCGCGGAATTTCAAGCGGGGCGGTACTCCTGGACTGAGGGGTGCCCGGGATCATCCTAGGCTGACCAGTGGTGACCAGGGGGGACCACTACTGACCAGTACTGACCACTACTGACTAGCGCTCCTGCCACTACTGACCACTACTGACCACTACGACCAGTGCCGGACGGTGATGACCAACGGTAAGAACTGTTTAAAAATTCTCTCCCCTCTTCTATTCTATCGTTTCATACCAATTTCGCTTCAATAAACTGATTTTGCCTTGCTTGCCCAACTGACGTTGCTATAATATGAATATTTTCTTACTTTACAGCTGGCCCACTGGTAACTATCCTGTGTACTGACAACAAGTAGTAAGTCCACTCCACTTATTTATATTTTATTATTTTTATTTCTTTGTTTGATGTGAATTCAACTTCATTTATCTATCTGATTTTATTTGGTTATTATGAATGTTCCTTTTCTCCGTTTCTACTTTTACATTGTTTCTCGAATTTATGTTATTGCTTTGATATGTATATTGCAGGATATAATAATGTAATCTTGGTTGTGAAATGTGAAATGTTTCTATACAATTTCACGAATTTCGGTTTTTACGTTCTCGCTCGAATTCTCGTAATATTCTACGGAGGTACTTTCTTTGATTCTTCCATTTCGTTCGATCGTTCGGTGTTGATTCAATTTGGTGTCTGGATCCAAGTTTCTTTCATTATTACAAATGCTCGTTTCGATATACAATATTACATTGTGCAGGTGCACATACCATATTTGTTTCGACGACACTGATTAATATTAGATTTTTATTTTTACGTTTCAGCTTAAATTCTTGTTTTGCTAATATACTCTGTTCAATTCCCTTTAGTTAGGTGATAGATTATTTTTAAGTGTCTATTCAATTTCGTACCATATCTTACTAATATAAATATTAGTTTTGATTTCAGTTTAAATTCGAATTAATCGCAAGGACATCGAGGGAGAACGCCACAGCCGTCGAAGGACTTTTAATTCCAAGTTGATTAGTCTTAAGCTTCGTCGCGAGTATTAAAATTAAAGTCGAAGCCTTCTTTATTATATGTACGTGTCTCCGTGTCCTACCAAGCAATTATTCAATAAGTAGATTGTGTCTCTCGCTCGTTCCCTCGTTCCTAGCTTCGGTCACCGCTGTTTCATCGATTGAAACATGTGATCGGCCGTGTAGCTGATCCGAAAGATCTAATCGCCTTCCCATTGGTAGCTCGATCCAGGGAAAATGGTACTTTGCTGGAAGGTGTGGAGTTTCCGTATCCTGCGGAAACGCATACCTTCCAGCGAAAGTCGACACTGAAACAGAGGTACTCTCTCTTTGTCAGACAACTTGAGTCGGGTCCTTCGGGCTCCCGGCGGGTTGCGTTGGAGCAATGGAGACCTTAGATTCGGAGTCGCAGCCGTCCGTTATCCTGTAGAGATCTAGTTAGCAAGGGCAGTAGGTTCGATCCTCGGATCCGCTGCACGCTTCAGCGTCGCGTCGCGTCGCGTCGCGTCGCGTCCCTCAAATTAACTTCGTCCCTCTTTCTAACCAAATAATTGCTTGGTACAACTAAATCAGAACATCCAAGGAACTCTGTTTCCTTCTATCGTCCGAATTTTAGTTTCAACTTGACTAGACTAGAGCTTCGACGTTAATTTTAAGTCCCTATTGTATGCGTCACCCAATATTGCCAAGTAATTGTTTAACAAGTAGCTTCTCTCGACTCTTTCTCTGGTTCCTAGCTTCGATCACCGCTGTTTCATCGATCGAAACATGTGGTCGGCCGTCCAGGTTGTCCGAAAGATCTAGTCGCCTGCCCATGATGGATCAATTTCTAGAAATAGAAATCAATCTACCAAGGGCAGTGTTGATTCGATCCGAAGATCTGCTGCACGGTTCAGCATCGCGTATCCCATAATTTAGCTTCACCCCTTTTCAAACAAAATAATTGCTTGGCAAAATTAAACTAGACTTAAGCGTCGACGACTCCCATGTATGCGTCTGCGTGTGTGCCAAGTAATTCTTTACCAACTAGCTTCTCGTTCATTGCGTCGATCACTGCCGATCGACATCGCGTCTCCCTCGATTTACCTTCATTGCTTTTTAAACGGGATAATTACTTGGTACAACTAAACTAGAAGATCGAAGGAACATTGCTTCCTTCTATCTCTCTAGTTTAGTAATCTAGCTAAGCTTAGCTAAAAGGGAGATCGATGGAACTTTGATTCCATCTATCTCCCTTTGGGTCTCCACTCGCAGCAACCTCCTCGTGGTGAGACCTGGTAATCGGTGTCACCCACGATAGAAAAGTTACTCTTCGTGGGTGACACCGAGCTAATGGCTGCGAATTTAGAATTGTTTCTCGACATGATAAACGAATTTAGATTTGTAGTTAGGCAGGTGTTTGGTTAGCCATTATGTTTGGCAGGTTATTTTTATTTGAAGACAAATTCGTTTGAATTTTTATTTCTTTTTAATTTTTATTATTAAAATATTTGTTTAATATTTTGGATCTTTATTAATGGTGGTTGGAAATCGGTTAGGACGGGTCTCCGTTCGCAGCAACCTCCTCGTGGTGAGACCTGGGTAATATTATTTAGCATTTAATTAATAATCGTATCGCTCTTAGCTGGGTAATGCAATTATTAATTACAAATTAAATCATATTAGCTAATTGGCTGCGATCCGCTTTGCATAGGTCATCATTAGACTGCGGATGTTTATGCATTTATGGGAAATTTTAATTTTCAAAAAACTACAGAGTGCACTTAATTTGCAAAAATATAAGGAATACTTAAAGCAAGATACGAATTAATATATTTAGGGATTGAAACAACCCTCTACAAAGCTCTCATTCCGTTAATTCTATTAATCAAAATATGAATTTGCATAAAAATCCGCAGTCTAGTCATCATAAATATAGAGCTTCTTCGCTAGATTAGTTTTGATTCCCATTGATTCATCAAAGATTCTAAAGTATTGTCAGAGAAGAAGATATATGACTAGATCTTTCACCCAATGTATTTTTTCGGCCCATTTTTAGGGGGTCTCGAAACCCCCATTACCATTATCGTGTCACTCACTACATTACCAACAGATTTAGAAATGAATTTCAATCCCTTCCGATAGTCAACGTCATAGTCAATAAATCACATGTATTTATCTTCCATAATCAATAAATCACATGTATTTACGTACATACTGCAACTGTCTGCCCATCGATACTAATACTAATTCAGTAAATAGTTCCTCAACTGACCACCATCCATAAGAAGATGACGCTAGAATCACCCTCGAGTTTTCAGGTCGGTATGGCAGTCAGATTGGGCCACGAAAGTCTATAAGGTGAAAGGTTTGCTCGTATATCTCGTCTAGGCTTCCAACATTAGTCTATTTTATGTTTCTGATTTATTCCATACTTTGTGATTACGCATCTTTCCTATAGTAGGTAAAAAGAAAAATGCGTCAAAATGGCAGACATCGGCAGTCGGCAAATCGTGGTTTTATGCATATCTATTTCGATCAATTATTTGGATGCAAATAATCGTTAATGTGAATTATCTTTAATATCGTGTCGTCGGAGAAAAATGATTTAGAAAATAATTTCAAGTTAAAATTTTAAAAGATGTCTACCTGCGATAGAGTTCACTAAAACGTGTTATCAGGGAAAAATGATTTAGAAAGTAATTTCGAGTTAAAATTTTAAAAGATCACCTTTGGTAGAGATAGTTGTTCGCTAAAAGGTAGAAAATAGAACGTAGCAGGATAAGGCGCGTGTACGAGTAAATTTCTGTTGCGAAATAGGCGAGAACGCGACTTTGTATTCAAACTTGACGCTTTGCGAATAGAATTGATCCGTGGATTGGACCAGAAGAGGTCAGTCTGGGATGTTAAGCGGCAATAGAACAACCTCGCGTGTCACGTGTCATGGTATCAACTTAACAATCCGTTGTTTTCATTCTCCCGTGTAATCTTATGTTTAATTAATGTAATCGACGGACTTTGGAGCGACACGTTGAAACGGCACATTATTCCCCCGATTACGTTCTCGCTCTCATTTTCGCCCTCGGTCTCGTTCTTGTTGCACTATGCGGTTTTAATCGGTTAAACGCGTTCCCAGCGAGGAACACACGAAAGTGCAGCGAGCGACTTCAGATAAAAGGAACTTTCCACGGTTTAGTTTCTTAATAAATTTTTCCGATGCAAACAATTCGTACGTGTTTCTAAAAACGTTTGAAACAAATGCGGTATACGGATACGGATATATGTAGATGTGTAGCTCGATTAGTTGAACGCGATAAGATTAGATTATTATATTTTATACGAAGCAAATCCCTGCACGATATCACTGCTTACAGAAGCTCTGCAAATGCAATAGAAGAGACTTGCATTTTCCAAATTTTCATTTGTCGATCCAAGGGTGGTTCAGAAATACTTAACCCCTTAGCTTACAATGGCGTCTCAGAGACGCTATAAGTCTACCGGGCCAAACCTTGGTGTCGCTTTTGGCACGCACAGTTGTAAATTAAATCGTAAGGCAAGGGGTCAAGAAGCTGAAATAAATAAAAAAATATTCCACGTACCTTTCGAGTCACGAAAAGATGAATGTTCGAAGTCCATGTGTCCATTCTGTGCCCCGACATTTTGCACTCGTAAAATGTCAGGTGTTCCTCGAGTACTTTGCACAAGTTACGATCTAATAGCTTCGCGATCAAAAGACCGTACACGATCATCGTCGCGCTTTTATACTCGATGAGATATTGATAGATCCATGGTGGTAGGTATTATTGATAAATTCCATAATCTGCGAAGTGATTTATTAATGTCAGATAAGCATAAGGCGATCATTTAATAATTTCTATTTCGCAAACTAAGGAGTACACGGGCACGTACTTGCACGATGTTTCTTTACTTCTTTTAGCGTGTAGATTCAGCTTCTCAAGTATTTACATGTATCGAAATCGAAACTTTAAGGGAAACATACAGGGTGTTCCACCACCCCTGGGAAAAATTTTAATGGGGGATTCTAGAGACCAAAATAAGACGAAAATCAAGAATACCAATTTGTTGATCGAGGCTTCGTTAAAAAGTTATTAACAATTAAATTCAAAAATTTCAAATCGTTCCGGAAACATTATTTTCAGTTGCGGGGGTCAATTACAATCATTTTTGGTTATTACACATATCACCGAAATCTTACGCACTTTCGAGAAAAAAATTCGAGATGTGAAATTTTTCGACGGGAAGAAAAAGATTTCAAATCGTTTTGGAAAAATTATTTTCGGCTGCGGGGGTCAATTACAATCATTTTTGGTTATTACATATACCCCCAAAATTCTACGTACTTTCGAGAAAAAAATTCAACAAGTGTGAAATTTTTCGACGGAAAAATAATTTCAAATCGTTTTGGAAAAATTATTTTCGGTTGCGGGGGTCAATTACAATCATTTTTGGTTATTACACATATCACCGAAATCTTACGCACTTTCGAGAAAAAAATTCGAGATGTGAAATTTTTCGACGGGAAGAAAAAGATTTCAAATCGTTTTGGAAAAATTATTTTCGGCTGCGGGGGTCAATTACAATCATTTTTGGTTATTACATATACCCCCAAAATCCTACGTACTTTCGAGAAAAAAATTCAACAAGTGTGAAATTTTTCGACGGAAAAATAATTTCAAATCGTTTTGGAAAAATTATTTTCGGTTGCGGGGGTCAATTACAATCATTTTTGATTATTACACATATCCCCAAAATCTTACGCACTTTCGAGAAAAAAATTCGAGATGTGAAATTTTTCGACGGGAAGAAAAAGATTTCAAATCGTTTTGGAAAAATTATTTTCGGTTGCGGGGGTCAATTACAATCATTTTTTATTATTACACATATCCCCGAAATCTTACGCACTTTTGAGAAAAAAATTCGAGATGTGAAATTTTTCGACGGGAAGAAAAAGATTTCAAATCGTTTTGGAAAAATTATTTTCCGTTGCGGGGGTCAATTACAATCATTTTTGGTTATTACACATATCTCCGAAATCCTATCCACTTTCTAGAAACAAATTCGAGAAGTTGTGAAAATCGACGGAAAAGAAAAATTTCAAATCGTTTTGGAAAAATTATTTTCGATTGCGGGGGTCAATTGCAATCAATTTTGGTGAATAGACATACCTTCGAAATTCTACGCATTTTCGAGAAAAAAATTCAGAACGGGCGAAACTGTAAACGTTAATAACTTTTTAACGAAGCCTCGTTTTAAAACGATTTTCCTTTTATTTTGGCCTCTAGAATCCCCCATTAAAATTTTTCCCAGTATCGTAAGCCGAAAAGTTGATAGAAAGTATACAAAGGGGATGCAAAATTATAATTGTTAAGAGCGTATTAGTGTTTTGAATGCACATTCGATTTATGTAAAGTTTACATTTATGTAAATGTTTTGTTTCCATTTTGTAGAGGATGAGGTAGGGTATTTGTGAAAGAACATCACTCGAAACGTCGTGTTTTATATTTGTAATTGTTTTTGTCGTTACAGCGTTCACGATGTTATCAACAGGCGTATTGGAAAATTAAGAAAAACGATCGAGACTTGTCATCGGAGTTTTTTTTCGCGCCTAGCGCGTACTCTTTACGTGCTTGCTTACTTTAAGTATCGAAATCGGTTCTACCGATCGGCTACGTTACAAGATCGAACGAACCGACGAAACCAGCTCCCATTCCCTCCGTTCGTTGACTCAACAACGACGGTATTGCTTAACAATAAATAAATTCTCGTATCGATCGGTTAAATATACGAAAGCCGGCTTGAGGACTCCGTCCGTACTGTACAAGCGGCGGGTACAGTTAGAAAAAAAAAGAAATACTGTTTCGCTCGTTTACATCGTCGCGCGTGCAAACGGTGTGACGCATCCTTTTTTAATCGCTATTACGCGACGTTTTAATTTCATTTATGTCGCGATTATCGAGCCCACGCTATCGAAATCTCGAAATAATCGCGACAATGTCATTTTCGGGAGGATCGGTGGTTGTTTGCAGTGAAACGTCGCGGTGCCGTTCGAACGAGTCGGAAAACGTGAATTGTCCAATGTCCCCCCCCCCGTTGGGATTCGTTTGTCCGGAGCAAGTTCGACGCAGCGTCGAATTCGAACAGAATTCGAATCACATGCAACCGCAGGCTTCTACTACCATGTTGGGCAGAGTTTTCTGCGTGATCGTGTTGTTCGAATCGACGTAGAGCAGCTGAATGGGCGATAGTTGCGTGGGCGAGCAACACGGGACGATCTCGCTTCTGCGATGCTCCGTGCTGCTGGTTTTCGCGAATAACCTCTGGAAAAAGAATGTTGTATTTTATATTTTGGAAAAACTGCTATCTTAACATTTCTCGTTCCACGACTAACCGCGAAACGACAACAAAGGACGCACCTGGACCGCGAATTTAATGAAAAGTTTAATGCAGGATGTTCTAGGGGCCAAAATAAGACGAAAGTCAAGAATACCAATTTGTCGATCGAGGCTTCGTTAAAAAGTTATTAACGTTTAATGTCCCGCCTGTTGCGCACGCGTGATGGTGGTCTCTGCCGTTCTACAGACGGAGCTTTAAGCGTTAATAACTTTTTAACGAAGCCTCAGTCGAGAAATTAATATTCTTGATTTTCGTCTTATTTTGGCCCCCAGAATCTCCCATTAAAATTTTTCCCAGCGTTGATCGAACACTCTGTATACCTTTCGTAACTACGGTCATTTACGAGGGTTGATATTGTATTTGAACTTGTTAAAGATTGCTCACCCTGATGACGTTGTTGTAAGGAGACCCGCTGATGGTCAACGAGGCCGCCGAGGAACAGGATCCCCGGCAGAAGTAGGCGTTGTAGCCGCTCGGATGAAGGATCCAGTCGCTCCATCCGATGTCCTCGAAGTTTATGTAGAGCTCGTCCCTGCAGCATTCTTTCATTTCCGGCAGGCAATTCGAGTTCCTCTTGGGCCTGTTCCTCTGCGGCAACGGGGACGTGTGGATCACCAGGAACGGTTTCAGCGTCTGCTCGACGGATACAGGTGCGGTGTCGCGGTCGATCGTGCAGGTACTGCAAGCTATCTGTATCGCGTGGTTCAATCGAAGCTCCTCCACCCACTTGTTCAGCATGAAGCTTACGTCCGCCTTTACCCAACCCTCTGAAACAGCGATCCCTTTGGTCGCCTCGATCTTTGATCGCGCGCTTCCGCCAGAGATGAGCAAAACTTTCTACGCGAATTAGAAAATAATCGATACGAACGACGTTCAGTAATTTATGCGTGGACGTCTATCGAACGATCAAGTGTTTCCTAACACGACGCTTGAACTATAGCAGAGGTACTTCGGTTCTTGCTTTTTTATTGTTCGTAGTATCGTGCAAGATGAAAAATAATCCTCAGCTTCGCATTATTTATGGATTTTTTATCGTTTTATTCAGCGGCGGTGAAGCCTCTGATATTTCGAAACGAAACACTTGAGATCGGAGCTATCAAAAAACAAAAGAGGAAATATGTGATAATTTTATTTTCTAAATGCCATTGAAAGCAAATGGATGAGGATAGAAACCGTGAACGAGCTTTAATGAAAAGTCCAAAAATGGGGAAAAATGTCACGTTTATAAAATGCATAAAATTCAGGATATTGCTCGCGAGAATATGAATATTAATCAGAGTGTTTTCGATTCGAATTTGCGAATATTTGTATCATTTTAATTGACGAGAAGAATTTTAATTTAGATATGTCAAATGGTTTTAATTCTTATTGATATGGCGGATGGAAAGAAAGAGTTTTTTCCAGATTCAATTTCGGTGAAGGCATTGCAATGGTACGGGGTGTTTCCACATATAGGAAGCTTCGAATTGCATTCGACTAAAACGAATAGTCAATACTATCATGGAGTATTAGATTCACACCTACATCCTTCTAACCAAGACCATGACGAATTTTAATTAAATGACGCCTTTTCCATCCATCACAGTGCAAAATACAAATATAGGGGATGGTCGTTTTTTCGGTAAAAGAATCGAACAATTCTAGTCAAGGTCCATAGAACTATTTGCAAAAGTACAAGCAACTGACTTATTTTTCCCAAACAATAATTTAAACTACGAACAATAAAACAGCGAATAGAAGCGAAGTTTATATTTTTATCGAACGAATAATGGACGATGAGTTTATATTTTATTTGTTATTCAAAATTGTTATGTAGATGAAAGAACATTGCCCATCTCTGGTTCCTACGTACGTAGATTTAACTTATTTCCATCGCTATTCTAAGAGATTTTTAAATGGATACCGGACATAAGTTTCCATAATTCGATGTTTCGATCGAGACGTAATCGAGGGGAAGAATAAGTTCGCGATCCAGATCTGTCGAGTGAAAATCTCAACGTGAAACAAACGGACATTCGTTGGCCACAGTTTGGAAATGACTTTCGGTGCACTCGATTCACTTTTTGCACGGTTTCGATTTAACTCGTTGATTGCCGTGTCACCGCGTTACAAATGAGGATGACTTATAAAATCCACGGGAAATTAAAAAAAGCGAAACAGAAGAAAATTAATTGCATCGCGGGCTTCCCTCGAAACTAATCGACTAAAATGTGGGCAACGCAAAGAACCCCTCGCCGTAAGAATCTACTATTCTTGCAACGTTTCGCGCCGACAAAAGTTTGTAAATCACTGGCACGAGCGAGGAAAATAAAATAACCGTTCGTTCGATTCTTCCAACACCCGTGTTATTGTGCAGCTTGGGAACCACAAAAGCGTGGCTTGATAGAATTGTCGTCAAATACATTGTAAACGCGTTAACACGGTCCAGGAAAAGAGAATCGATTCAATCTCTTTCCGAGCGAATTTTTTGCTTTAACGCAATTTTAAATAACAACTTTTTTTTTTCAAATATCTATCACGCGCTCACAGGGTGTTCGTTCACCCCTGGGAAAAATTGTAATGGTACATTATAGAGGCCAAAATAAGACAAAAATCAAGAATACTGTTGACGGAGGCTTCATTAAAAAAGTTATTAACAAATAAATTCAAAAATTTCAAATCGTTCTAAAAAAATTATTTTCGATTGCGGGGGTTAATTACAATTATTTTTGGTGAATAGACATAACCTCGAAATCCTACTCGCTTTCTAGAAAAAAATTCGAGGTGTGAAATTTTTCGACGGAATAGAAAAATTTCAAATCGTTTTGGAAAAATTATTTTCGGTTGCGGGGGTCAATTACAATCATGTTTGGTTATTACATATACCCCCGAAATCTTACGCACTTTCTAGAAAAAAATTCGAGAAAGTGAAATTTTTCGACGGAGAAAAAAAATTTTCAATCGTTCTGGAAAAATTATTTTCGGTTGCGGGGGTCAATTACAATCATTTTTGGTTATTACACATACCCCCGAAATCCTACGTACTTTCGAGAAAAAAATTCGAGAAAGTGAAATTTTTCGACGGACAAGAAAAATTTCAAATCGTTTTGGAAAAATTATTTTCGGTTGCGGGGGTCAATTACAATCATGTTTGGTTATTACATATACCCCCGAAATCTTACGCACTTTCTAGAAAAAAATTCGAGAAAGTGAAATTTTTCGACGGAGAAAAAAAAATTTCAAATCGCTTTGGAAAAATTATTTTCGTTTGCGGTGGTCAATTACAATGAATTTTGGTGAATAGACATACCCTCGAATTCCTACCCACTTTCGAGAAAAAAATTCGAGAAGGTGTGAAATTTTTCGACGAAAAAAAAAATTTCAAATCGCTCTGGAAAAATTATTTTCGATTGCAGGGGTCAATTACAATCAATTTTTGTGAATAGACATACCCCCGAAATCCTGCGCATTTTCGAGAAAAAAATTCAGTACAAGCGGAACTTTCAACGTTAATAACTTTTTAACAAAGCCTCCATGAACAAATTGGTATTCTTGATTTTCGTCTTATTTTGGCCTCTAGTACCCCCCATTAAAATTTTTACGTATTTAAAAACGTAAATTTAACAAAAAACAGACACAAGATACTCTTGCTACAAGTTATCGATGTATTGCTTTTTGCAAACACTTTTCTCGTAAATAGTTTCATTATTTCTGCACAATTTTGTAGAGTTACTGCTCGGATACTGTATTTTGTCCATAAGCAATACGTCTTCTTTACACAGGAAGAGAATCGTGTGTATTCGATAGATCGACGCTCTTTGTACGAACGATGGAAATTTGATTCGTGCAACGCGTTATTTACGAGCATTAAATCGTCTGTGTACTGGCGGTTGTACGACACGGTCTTTCATTGCATCTGTATCGCGAAGGCGATGTATTTTTTCCGACATGCCCGTTCCCGCAGTCTAAAGTCCTTAGCAAGAGATACGTAGAACCGCCATTATCGTTACAGTCGTCTTCGTGGAGTTTTCTTTTGCCCGTTGCTCGGTAAAAATTGTCCACGGTCGAAGGGTTGGGCACGTACGGGAACTTTGACCACAGAGGAACGCGAACGAAGCCTGACAAAGTCCAGGAAACGCGACTGCGATTACTTCAAAAGAGATACAATACCACGATGGCTTTGGGAAATCGATTCCCCTTTGAATTTTTTAAGCAACGACGATGTAATACAATGCACTACAAACGAAGGCTGTCAAGGTCGAGGAAACGCGACTGCGATTATTTAAAAAAAGATACAATACCACGACGGTTTTGAAAAATCGATTATCCTTTGAATTTTTTAAGCAACGACGATGCGATACAAAGCACTCCGATTCGTTTCACCTTTAGTTTCACGATGGAGAAATGGGCTTGAAAATATTTTTAAAAATATGGCGGGAAATCGCAGATTGGCTCTGGGCGTGAAATAAAGTTTGACCCGTAGATAACACGATCAGAGAGGGTAGGAGTAGGAGAAGTACCGAGTTTCTCTATGCACGGGCGTTCGCGAATCAGCGAGGATCGAGAACTTTTCGATTCACCTACCTCCGATATCAGTTTCGAAGATTGCCACTACCGTATTCTTTTCGAAGTTTTCGCCCAGGTCCCAGTGATCGAGTTCGGAGAGCACGAAAGTTTGATTCAGGTCGTCGTTCTCGTCGTACTCCTTGTAAAACCAAAGCTGCGCCGAGGTCACGTCGACGAATTGCATTTCGTTCGGCAGGTAAAACGTGAAACAGGCCGCGGGATTGAATCCCGTCAAGTGGTTCGAGCTGTGACGGCACTTCTTCGAGTCTGCGACGCCTGTCGGGAACCAAAATAAAAAGCAAATGTTACGGTACACATGGTGTTCGACCAACCCTGGGAAAAATTTTAAAGGTAGATTCCAGATACCAAAACAAGACGAAAATGAAGAATAGCAATTTGTTGATCGAGGCTTCCTTTAAAAGTTATTAACGTTTAAAGTTCCGTCTGTAGAACGGCGGAGACCACTATCGTGCGCGCGCAGCTGTTCGCAGACAGGCGGTACTTTAAACGTTAATAACTGTTTAACGAAGCCTCAGTCGAGAAATTAATATTCTTGATTTTCGTCTTATTTTGACTCCCAGAATCTCCCATTAAAATTTTTCCCAGGTGTGGTCGAACACTCTGTGTAACCGGTAAAATAAATATTTGATTTGCGATCTGACAGATTTCGTTTTCTTTTTGGAATTTCCACGAGCACGATAGATAATCCCGTTACGCGCGGATCGCACGAGTTGCTCGATCGTTGATCGCGATCTTGCATTGCCAAATCGAGCATGCGGGACGCGCGTGCTTATCAGTGTTTCGGTCTTTCGATTTTCTATTTCGATCGTCGAGCATCCGTTTTTTACCACCTCGAAACGATCGGGGTTATTACTGGATCGAATAGTCCTTGCATTTTGTACATTTTTACGAGATAAAGCATTTATCTTCGATGCGAATTGAAACGTTGTTCCTCGTTAAACGTGGAACATTTCATGTACGGGGACAACTGGAGGAATAGAAGTATAGTCATTCCACGTCAGAAAATGTAGAATAAAATTGTCATTTAGGTTACTTTATTTTTTCGAATTAAATAAAAATTGTATCTTTATAATTACAAAGATAAAGTAACTCGACTGCCACGAGTCAAATCAAAATTAAACATTAGGTTCAGCTTGCACAGATTATGTTTTATCTCCAACGAGGTTCCCTAAGAAAAGTATTAATTTTTAAACAATTTACTGTATTAATACACATTATTGCCTGTCAATGACTAACAAGATTTTCGGTTCCAAAGTCTGTTCCCCGGGTAAAAATACGTTTGCACATCGATCGCTTCGAAAAAGAAAAATCTTTTTCCATGCAAATTGTTTTGCAACGGTTCGAGGAGACCGATAGACAGCGTCTGGGAAATACGATGGACGATCAAAAATTTCCCAGAAAGAGAACGCCCGCCATTGACGATTCGCGCGCGGGGGCGGATTTCTTTTAAGGCGTCCCTTCCTCGATCCATCAGCTGACAGTAAAGATCAGAATTGATGGTTTAGTCGAGTCCGGGAAGCTGGTATTGAATTATTCCCAGCGTGTCTCGCCGAGCCATAGATCATTATTTTCTTGGAATGCCGAGGCTTTTCCGAGGGTTCAGGCGTGGTCTTTTCTAACCGCTTCGTTTCCAAATAACGCTACCATAAATATCCATTTCTTAGCGTTTCCACGTCGGTAATATACCACGGCCATAATCCTTTGCTCTCTCGAGTTGAAATTTATATAAGACGTTTCGTCTTTCTTCACGATCGAACGGTATTAGAATATTAGTGGGATAAAAACGTCTTTGTTCGGTGGTTGTTAGCAACGAGGAAGATTGAATGCGAGGAACCGGGGGTAACGAATAGACCTGGCGGAACGAGGAGCTACGCCCGACGACGCTCGCTACGTCAGACCGTCCTGGTCCGACTCTGTTCTCGTTTGTTCCGAAGGAAATGACGTGCCTGCAATTACGCGACACTCGTACTCGTTCGTTTTATGACGCTGACGCTGTTCGTCGTCTGTAATAGAACAACACCGTGTCGCGGACGAGCGACAACCGTAAAAAAGGGAGAACGCGCGGCCACTTGCAAATCATTTTTCGTGCGGCTGCGTTTCCACCGGTGGAAAACGCGCAACGTCGAACGCGGAAACGCGCGTCCATGAGCCGCGTACAGCTGCCGGAACAAGTATAGCGATCCACTCGAGTCCGTTTCTCGAGCGTCGAGGAAATGCAGTCGAGAACAAACTGTTAACCCACATTATCCATAATTTAGAAATTTTTATTGTCAGGTGTACAATTATTGTAGGCTCTGGTCAAACGAAAAATATGCAAAAGACAAGATGAGACGTTAAAATTGTGTAGTTTAACACTTTTTTGGAAATTGAAAACACTTTACCGATAGGGACTTAGAAACTTGAGTGCATTGTTAGGATTACAATTATTATAGGCTCTGGTCAAACGAAAAATATGCAAAAGGCAAGATAAGACGTCAAAATTGGGTAGTTTAACACTTTTTTGGAAATTGAAAACACTTTACCGATGAGGGCTTAGAAACATGAGTGCATTGTTAGGATTACAATTATTATAGGCTCTGGTCAAACGGAAAATATGTAAAAGGCAAGACAAGACGTCAAAATTGGGTAGTTTAACATTTTTTTGGAAATTGAAAACACTTTACTGATCCGGTATTTAAAAACTTGAGCACATTGTTAGGATTACAATTATTACAGGCTCTGGTCAAATGGAAAATATGCAAAAGACGAGACGAGACGTCAAAATTGGGTAGTTTAACACTTTTTTGGAAATTGAAAATACTTTACCGATCCGGTATTTAAAAACTTGAGCACATTGTTAGGATTACAATTATTATAGGCTCTGATCAACTGAAAAATATGCAAAAGACGAGACGAGATGTCAAAATTGGGTAGTTTAACCCTTTTTTGGAAATTGAAAACACTTTACTGATCCAGTACTTAGAAACTTGAGCACATTCTTAGGATTACAATTATTATAGACTCTAATCAACTGAAAAATATGCAAAAGACGAGACGAGATGTCAAAATTGGGTAGTTTAACCCTTTTTTGGAAATTGAAAATACTTTACCGATCCGGTATTTAAAAACTTGAGCACATTGTTAGGATTACAATTATTATAGGCTCTGATCAACTGGAAAATATGCAAAAGACGAAACTAGACGTCAAAATTGTGTAGTTTAACACTTTTTTAGAAATTGAAAACTCTTTATCGACATTTACACTATCAATCGATTTTACCGACCGCTTATTAACAGGTTGTCATGAAAATTATAAATATTGCTAGATTTAATTGCATCATAGTAACAGAAAACAGACTATATATTAAGAATTAATATTAATATTAATATAGTTATAAAAACGAGTGGATTATAAGAACATTGTAGGGTCAACTGGTACCATTAAGTACCATTTTACGATGATATAGACAAAATTGAGAGGACTGGTAATTGTACGTTTCAATTTCTAAAAAAGAATCTAGAGTCAAGATTGAGTCATTTAACACTTGAAAGAATTAATTATTAAATTGAGATGTTAAATCAGTTTAGATAGAATTTTAATGAAATCGCAGAAATAAATACGCCAAATTGGCTGTTGAATGTCGGGACGGAGAGCTGATTTATTAATTTGTGGACAAAGAGCAGGTCAACGTTCGTTGAACGTTGCTCGAGGGTCAACAACCCACGAATTTCATTCTGTATTGCAAAAAATACTCTTATTTATTTATTATTAGCCATAGCATTACTCATTTTTCTCTTAGAGGAGGGATTGGATAGCTACACATCGATTAGCGATTATTTTCTACTAAAATAAAAGGCTAAAAACGATCGTAGAGAGAATATATTAATTCAAAGGGTTAAATCTATCCAAGCAGAAAAATGTCAATTTATTTCTGTCTCAACGACGCGATTCAACCCCCGTTGGAAGTTCCAAGCGTCCAAGGAGGATCGCTCCAGGCCAGGTCTGAATTATTGACGCCCCGGCGAGTCGAGAACGTCGCCCGTTCTTGGGATTCCGCGATTCTCACGAAATCCCTGCAATTGTTTCGTACGTAGTGGCGAATTCGCGCGCCGACGAACGTTTCTAATCTGCCTTTCCGAAATACCGATTCCGCGAACCAGCGCGTACTCACACTAACCTTCGTTTGGAAAAACGACGATCTGATCGGTCTTTCCGTAGAAGCTGTCGGCCGATTTTTCCGGCTCGAGGGGCGCCCCGGGTCGGAGTTCGAGCACACGACCGTTTATCAACGGCTTTGGCAAGGTCGATAGTGGCATCGATATCTCGGGCGGCTTGGACAGTCGTAATTTCTTGAGAATCTGTTGCTTGACGTACTCGACCCTCAGCTCGTTCAAAATCGGATCGTTCGCCAGCAAGGTGACTTTGTTGTGCGCGCACTCGGTGCAGTCCTCCGTGGTGAGCGCGGCGGCGGACGACGGGGAGGTAGAATCGGACGATCCCGAATAGGAGCTCCACCAAACGGGTGACAACGGGTTCGCGACCTTGGGCCAGATAGCCCCGACGCGATTGCCCATCGACAGAAGGGCCAGCAACACCAGCTGGTAAACGGTACGCATCGTTTACGAATCGGTTTTCCACTGGCCGCGAGTCCCCTTCTTCTCTCACTGGCTCTCGCGCTCGGACAACACCGTGGAAATTAGCGGCTCGCGGTACACCCACGCGTTTCCCATCGAGCCACGCATCGATCTCGACGATCTTACGAAATACAGTCGCGACTCTCGTCACTACGAGCTAGTCTCGACGCACGTCGTGCCGTTCATCCGCATTTTGACGCGGTGCTCCTCGGCCGTTTCGAATCTCCCGGTTTAACCGTTAGGCCGTTCGATCGACGCGTTGCTCTCTCGGTCTCTCGTTTCCCGCGGATCCCGGACGTTCCAAGCAGCTCATCCGCGAAGACTGAAGATCCCTCGGTCAGTTTACTCCGCGCGTCGTTTCTCGGTACAGTCCGAACTTTGCTCCATGAGCGGGGGGATGCCGCGCGGATTGGACAGAGACGAATCGCGCTGATATCGTGTTCCCCGCGGAAACACGCGCCGCGAACATGCCTCCTCCTCGCCGTCTTTTTCACCTACGGTTTCTCGCGGCCATTCGGATCGCGTCGAACGGGGCCGGAAAATTCCAAATCTCTCTGCTCGCGCGGCAGGTTTTTCGCTTTTCGCGGGGAAAGTTTCACGAAGACGCGCGCCTGCGCACGCCCCGACGGCCCGTCTACGGGCATTTATCGTCGTTGGACCGGCCGCGCCGGTCGCGCGCACGCCTTCTTTCGATAAATGTTTACCTCGCCGAAAGTTTATTTCGAGTACGGACGCGCAACGATACGATTTATCGCCACGGGAGTATTCAAGGCTGCAGCATCGCTTCCGAGAACGATGCAAGTTTGTTTAACGGCTACCAGCGCAACAACCGCTTCCTCCTCCACGCGGCCTCCCTCGACGAACCGTTTCCGTACATTTCGAATTCACAATATCATCAACTAACATCCGTATTTTGGAAGCTACAATTTCTATAATTTCACACAAGTCTCATCTTCGAAAGGGGATTTCATCCCTTGGACGCTGAGCTTGTAGACTTTGGTTATTAATAGACTGCGGATCTTTATGCAAATTCACATTTTTATTAATAGAATTAATGAAACGGAAGCTTGGCAGAGGGCTGTCCCTAAATATAATAATTCGTATCTTACTTTAAGTATTTCTTATATTTTTGCATATTAAATGTAGTTTTTTGAGGATTTCCCATAAATGCATAAACATTCGCAGTCTAGTTATTAATTTATGTGTGTATTTGTTGAGATAGGAAATGACAGGGGACAATTTCATTTGGATTTGGGGGCTTCACAGTTTAGTGGTGTTGCTTTCCTGGTCGAGGAAACGAGAAAAGGAGGCCCTGTCTTAGACAATATTGAGTAGTTTTTTTTTGCCCTCCTGGGTGAGATAGATTTTCTTAAGTTAGTGCTCGAGGGTTTCAAAAACCTCGTTGTCGATCGAGCGCTTGCGAGAGATACCAGAGCGTAGCCCTCTGGCGGCGAGTACCGGAAGTGACGCCACGGTTTCGAAAATATATCGAAGCACGATTTATTTAAACTTTTGCGTACGCCGCGTAATTCGCTATGCCGCATCGGTTCTTGTTTTTGGCCAGGCGCATGTAGCCGTTTTCGCCCCATTCGTCGCCCCACCAATTCTTCAAGATCCACTCGGTCGGCGTGTATCCCACGATCAGCATTGCGTGATTCACGCTGTCCGAGTTGCAGAATTCGTCGTCGTACACCCCTTTACTGTAAATCAAAATTTTCATACTTCAAACACAAAAACAAACAAACGAGGAGCCATAAATTGTCAATCTTTGAATTTTGCTGCAACTTTGCGATAAAAAGTCGTTAGGACGCGTACTTTTGCTCATTTTTAAGGGCAATGCCTCTTAAATTAACTTTTCGAAGGCTCTTGCATCATTTTTATTTAATTTACCAAAAGCAAGACAGCTTAACTCGTCGCAACGCGAATGCAATAGCGACAAGATGGCTTCCCCCAGTTAAAACTTGAACCATCCATGCAAGGCGAATTTCCCGCTGCTTCCGCTCGGATAGCCGTTCAAAAATCCCAATCGTCCGATCATCGGGCCACGGACGCTACTTCCGCACCCTTTTCGATCACGAATCGCGAGTCCAATGACTTTGGTCCGTTGTCGCTTCAGGGTCATCGCGTGGACGATGCACCAAAGGTTATCGCGCAACTGGACCAACCTATTCGTGTATCTGTCAGAGGGGAACGATACCCATTTTTTCGCGTAAACATTCGTCGAGCACGAGTCGATCACGTGTCAAAAATTCGTCGTTCCTTTGTTTACGGATTTTTACGCGAAAACGTATGCACAGAGACAATCTACCCTTGTTTTCCGCGAGTTTCGAGCTTTGATCGATTCGCGGGAAGAAAAATTCAATCTGTGCTTCGTCGAGGAAAACCGACTCTACCAAGAAACGTGACACAAGGAACTACGAATATACTTACTGATAGAGCTGAAAAGTTTTTGGACTAGCGTTTATGGAGGCCGCTACGGGGCCTATGGTGGCCACAGCTGCCTCCAAAGCCCTCTCGTCACGAGCTGGTAACACCGCCCAAGAAGTGATGTTGACCACGCTCATTTGTTCCCGGAAACGGCACGGACCTTGCTGCTCTCGAAGCAAACGTATCGCGTTAGTGGCGTTGCAATATCGTTAAACAAACGTGAAACGTACTTTCGCCTTGTACGGATAGTGAGCCTGAGCCATGAGCCCTTTCGCCTTCTCGAGGTACCTCAGCGTGTTCCTCAGAGATCCTCCGGAGCACCCCAAGTTCCCAGCGGACGCGCTGCAGTCGACCAGTTGTTGCTCGCTGAGGGGCACCAACATGCCAGTCTCTTTGAAAATTTGACCCTGGATACTCCCGGCTATGGAGTACGCGTAACAGCTTCCGCAGTTCTTTTGGTTTTGCGGGTCAGTTCGAAATCCCGCCTCCCGCCAATCGAATCGACGCGGAACGCGTCGAGGATCGTGCAACATTGCTCCGACCATAGGTTCCTGCGACACGCGTCGCTTGCGACTAGGAATCAGTTTGATCTATACACAGAAATGATCTATAGTTAAAGAGGAAGGTCCAATCTCGGGGTGCAACAAATTTGTCTTTTGCAAAGCTGGAAAGATGGCTACTGGAGCTAATTCTCAACATTTCACTCGCTTTTAGCTATTTTTTTGACCCTTGATGGCTCAGTCTGACGTAAAAGAAGGTTCGAGTTTGGTGGATGCCACCATTTTGACCAATAGTAGACGCCATCTTTGCAGGTCTGCACGATACGGGCAACTATTAGGTTAACCCTTTGACTACGGTCGATCGTGACGCAACGAAGGGTTGAACGAGAAGCGTTTGCATTTGTATGACGAAACATAGTGCAATACACCTTTTATTAATACTTTCCGTCGTTCGATGAATGATTTAGCATGCACTCGTTTTTCGATACGCCAAGTAAAAACTGCTGAGCTAATTAGGCTGTTACATAAAACGTATCGAGTTAACGAAAACTACAAACAAGATACGAAGTACACAATACGTTATATCTTGACGTGTTCTAAAAAACACATGGACGCGGAAAAATATGTTATGTTTATTATTTTGTGCGTTGCTTGGCCTCACAAAAGTTCATATGTTATCGGGCGAAAACAAAGGGAACCCAACCCGAATTCGTTTGTTTCTGCAATCACCGTGAATGCACTTAATATTCTTTTGTTACGATACATCGCGTTTTGCGTGGTCGGGCAAATATTATTCGCGTACGTTAATTTACGAAAGTTTAATTCGATATTCAAATTCGACCGACGATCATCCGTAGTATCGTATCGACTCGATACGGTATTATTTACGTCGGAATTATGTTAATAATCGGGTCCTTGGTGCGCGTATCAAACGCTCGATGGAAACTAGTTCAATAGCGTACGCGATAGAACTTTTCGACTACGAACCATGTCCCTCATGTATTGTCTGGTACCGAGATCCGCGATATGATTGTCGTGTAGCGTGTAGTTGTGATGACCGGCAGCCGCCAACATGTTGTGCTTGTAAATCGTTACTAGATTTTCCTCCCAGGCCAACCTTCTGACCTCCTCGAGGTTCGTCGAGTAACTTTTGTTGTATCGCATCTGCAGCAACGTTTCCAACGATTACACATTAAAAACGATAGATAAAAGGAAAAGGAGATTTTTCTACGAAACATCGAAACGCATTGTACCTTGTACGAATTCCAATAACCGTCCAGTTTCGCGGACACTTCCGGGGGAAAGTGTTGCTGCCTGTCGAACACTTCGACGCCTACGACGCCTAAAGCTAGCCAGAGGAACGCGAAACAGCAAAACGAGAAATCCATCGTGGATCGAATTGAATCGTATCGGTCGATTCGATCGAAACTGGTCCGAGTAGCACGAGGACGACCCGCCTCGATCGTTTCGTGACAGATCCAGCCTTGGGCGTCAGCAAATTTAAAAAATTTCGTAAGCAAGAGCTGACAGGGGGCAACAAAAAATACTACGGGACTTGCGCCATCCTCGATGTTTCGTGTACGCGCGAGACAAATAACGTGCGTTACGCAAAAGAAATGCTTGTTTCGTGTGATCGAAGAAATGGCCGATTAGCGGGTATAATCTTATCTCCGCAACTGATTTGCGGTAGCATGTGCCAATCTGCGAAATTTGAAAAAAATTCTTTCTTCCGCAACGTTTCGATCGCCGGTAGTGGAACGAACGACTGTTGACTGGTAGACGAATTTCAGTTGATAAGGAGAAATAGGCGACGATACGGCAACCGCGACACGTTATATAATTGCATCGTTGATGTTTACGCGACGACCAAACCAAACAGTCGAGGTAGGCGTAATAGGGGAAATCGTGGAGTGGATTAAATGCAAATAACGATAAGAGTAGATCTCACGGATTCGGGTAACGTGCGCGCGGGATCGCGATACGGGAGTTTGGAGCGTCAGCCGTCAGATGGCTGCACCAGTACGGAACGTCATGGCGGCCACGGAGACGGAGGGAAAGAAGGCGCGCGAGCCAAGCGTTGTTCGACGCAAGCAACAAGAACTTGGGGACCTTTCCCCACTTAGGCTTCGTTAATGCGGTGCAAGAATGTCGGAGCGACGGGATGACTCGTTACGCGTTGCAGCGTACAAAGAGAGGAAGAGGGGCATGGTCTCCTCCCGAAACAGCAGCGCCGTCGACGCGCGCATTTCGTGATTCGTTCGGTGATCGCGAGCGGCGCGCGTACGATCGTTCGGGTTTCGCAATCCGCCGCGGACCCGTTGGCGAAAAAGAGGCCTTGGCGATAAAACGATCTTGGCGTAAAGCGAGTCGTTCAGTCTCCCGGGCGAGTGTTTGTCGGCGCTCCGGACTCCCGCGAAATTCATCGCGAATTTTCCGACGCGGGTTCGACGAACCGCGAGGCGCACGTCGGCCGAGAGAGTCCTACCGCCGTTTCCCGTTTGTCCGCTTTCTCTCGTATGTCGTCAACGACAGAGGATGGGGGTAGCGGGCAGAAGATCGCCGATGCTCGTTCGCGAGAAACTCGCGATTTACTCGCGTCCCGTCCCGCGTCGCCCGTCCCTCGTCGAGGATCGGGACACGTCGAGCATCGAGCATATCGGTCGACCGAGAGGTTCTACATATTCCCGTCCATCTGTCCGTCCCTAGCCCCCCGGTTCGCAGTTCTCGCGCGGCTCTCGACTCCCGCGTCTGCGACGCCTCTCTCGCTCCGATTATCGCTCGACACGCGCGCGTCTCGGTCTCTGCCAGTGGGGAGGCGCCACGCTGGAAAGCAAAACTCCGCGGAACATCGTTCGCGCGATCTCGCGCGATCGTGAACCGTCAGCGACGAAAATCGTCTCGGGGGCAACGACGGTCTGACGGGCTACGTGTGGCGTCGCGACGTCCTGGTACGCGTCGCCGCGACGCGTCGCTTCTCTGAGATCCTAGGGACATCGCCCGGTATGGACGAGTCCGGTATCGACATGGGCTTCGATCTGGCGGCAATCACCGCCGATCTGGAGCATCGCGAGGCCGATCTCTCCGGACGTCGATGCGACGACAAAGGAAATGGAATCGCCGTCGACGATCCGGGCACCATCAACGGGAACGTAAACAACGAGGACGATTGGGAAGAGGCCCTGTCATTTCTGTCGTCGCCGGCCCAAGACATCATGTACTACGAGTTAAAGAGTCGAGCGCCCAGTACCGGCAGGTACGTTGCCACGCTTAACTCTCGTTAACCTAAAGACTGTCAACCACGATTCCCCTATCGTCGAACTTTGAACGTATCATCGCTGTTCGGGTCCATTTCGATCTCTACAGGCTGTTCGATTCCGTGCTGCCGTTTCTCAGGCTCTCTTCTACGCGTTCTCGATTCGCCTCGGCTCGGATCGGTTCGATTCGACTCGCGTCGGGTCCACCCGCCGTTCTCCCTCGCGATTGCGATTGCGCTCTCGATCTCGAACACTCTCGATGGAGAATCGAATCGAACCGCTTCGTCCCGCCGCTCGTCCGACCGCAAGCGGAACGAGACGCTGGACGAGCATCGTTAACCCTTCGCGGTCCGGGACGCGTTTGATATTTCGTTTCAGATCCGCCGGCGTCGTTCGCTCCATGACCGCTTGCATCGTTGTCGTAGCAACGGAGTACAAACTTTCCATCGTACGACACTTGAAAATTAGCTATATGAAAATTAATTGAACTTAACGATGCATTCAAGAGCATCGAGAGTCAGACTGTGTTGCCACGACCAACGCAAACGGTCCTGCAGACTTTCTTTTATAACCAGACTTGCACACACGCGGTGCAAATTAGATAAATATCGGTGTTATGAATCATGTTTTATCGGTAACTTTGTCGGCGATGTGGATGTTGTTGAACGTTTCTTAGAATTAATGCCATGCAAGCTCATGCGCTTTAAATTGATCTCAATGAACTCGTGACTCGGTACATAAACAATAGGCTCGATCTTAACATTTACAAATGCCACGTAGCGAAGATCCAGCACGCTAACATACTTTTCTACACTCAATGATGCATCGTTAGAATTTATTGACTGTATCTGTAATCCATAAACATTCTTTTGCTCTGCACGTTGGCGGCTTGAACTGGTCATTCGGTTTTATCAAGTTGCTCCGATTTCAAAACCCCCTTTGGCTTCAATGACTCTTTGTAGTACTGGTTGGTTTATTCCAAAGATCGGCAGAACTCTAGAATAAACCAACAGACGAGCTGCAAAAGTTGGTTTACCAAAGAATCTGAGATTTGTAATTCTTGTTTGGAAATAAAATTTGCCCATCTCTGTCTATAGTGTTTTTTTTTTCGGACAAACAACCGCAAGGACAATGAAAAAACGGACACGTCAGATACGCATAAATACTATTATTTGTCCGTAGAGTCGATCTTTTGAAATCCACCGTTGAAATTTGCATTGCGTTATTAAGCCAACAATTAAAATACCAATGGTGTACGTCGCGTGACGCGACGAGACGGTAGAAAGTGTCCGCATTCCCGTGTCCGTCTTTCGTTCAGCTTATTTTATTTACTTCCCGCAGACCACAAGTTAAAACGTAACCATAATCTTCCGCTGTTAGTTTGATTATGCAGCAAAAGTGTACAATAAAGCATTAAAGCACCGCCGTCGACGCGAACGGATTCATTGCACAACCCAATATTTACTATGTACACAGTATTTACACTCAGAGACTAGAGAATTCTCAGTCAGGTTATTAGTTTATTTTTACGACCCAACTTAGTTTACCGTGTGTGTGGTAGAATTATCACAACGTAATTGCCAGGTGCAAGTAATCTTTGGTCCTTGGACCGTGGCTAGGGATTTCACAATAGTCAGGTTTCGACTCGACAGACGTGTGTAGTTACTAGGGTTTAACATTAAGTACTAGCTTACACGCCAATTAGTATGTTGCCACTTCGTCACGGTCGCCTTTGTTGAAACGGTACCAGCGTGCACCAAGTGGAATTTCACAAATGTTGACCTTTCTTTTCTCGAAAGATTCGAGCCCATGTTTGGCTAATATTGATCCATGGCTTTTGTAGATTTATCATCTTTATCGAAACTGCTGCCTCTTATTAACGACTCCCTTATCAAATGAGAATTAAAACAATCGATTATATATTTTCTATTCGTATCTCTTTCTTTGGTACATATGTATTTCTTTAATATTATTTTAAAATAGAATCGTTTTTGAATATAGTATAATCCCAGCAACGCGATAGCCTGTGTATCGATGTTTATTTCTCAAAATTTATCGAAGAGAAGCTACTTGTGAACGCTGCAAAATATTTCGCAAGAATTCTTTAAAGCGTTTCCGATTTTGCGTTGAATGACCCGATATCGCGTGCCGTCGAAAAGTGCGTCACCAGCCTAATCGTTCCACGATAACCGGGCGCGAGGCCGTTTACCTCAAAATCCAGAAAAAAACGAGATATCAGACAATGTCTTTGTTTTTCGATTAACGCGATCCTGGGTCGACGAGACGTTGCACCTGTGTCGAATCGCGAATCATCATTCGACCGGTATTGTATTTGCGTTCGTTGTTGATAAATACCCCATAAGGTTGGTGTATCGAAGTAGCTCGAGGGACGTAGCCCAAAGGGTTGCAGGTTTATAGTGTAGCGTAGTGACCGTAGGTGTACGTAGCTCCTCGACTCCGAAGCCTATTTTAACAACACTAGTCTACGTTACTAGCTGAACGTACGCGGACAAGCGAGGCGAGTTGGCACGTATGCGCGAGTGCGCGCACGTCGGGTAAAATTAAAAGGGGGTGGGAAGGAAAACGGGCAACGCAATGTATCCAGGTTTAGAGCTACCAGCGCCGGTTTTTCGACGTTGACAGCGTCGTCGTCGAACGGCGTCTGTGACAGCGACGGGGCCACTAAAAAACCTGGCCATTAGTAGCGTCTCGACGCCTCGACTCGTTCGGTCGCGAAGCGTTTACCACCTCCCACGGAGGACATGAAAGAGATATCGTCGGAGACCGTGCGACAAATCGTCGAATTCGAGGATCTAGTGTCGCGGTTGAGTCGAATAAACGACGTCGGTCGTCCGTCGATCGTGCCAAGGGCTGGAACGCCGAGCGTCAGCGCAGTGACGTCCGCGAGAACGAACGCGTCGAGATCGTTGCCGAGCCGTACGAGCGCGTCGCTTTTCCCAGCCCCGTCGACGCCGCGCGCAGTGGTACCGGAACCGGAACAGGAACGGAAAGAGGAAAGGAACAGCAGGGAAGTCGAGACGACGAGAACGGTGTTCGCGTCCGCGTCGGTGCCTCTGCCGGGACGTTCGTCGTCGTCGTCGTCGTCGTTCGACTCGACACCGTTTTCACGATTCTACGGTCAAACGGCGACCAACTCGCTGCCGTACGCGCGCACGACTCGCGAGAGGACAGAGTGCGCGAGCGACGCCGCCGACGCGTACGGGACCCTCTCGCGGACCACGAGCTGCCCGTCCGCGTCGGACCAGCGCCGGGAGGAGCGACGGGAGCAACGAGAACAACGGGAGCAACGCGTGCGCGTCCACATTGGTATCGACGAGGATCTGCGCATGATCCTCGAGATGGATCCGTCGATCGTCGACGGGACGTCGTCCGCGCCTTCGCTGTTCGCGGGAAATCCACGCGGGAACGGTCACGTCGCGAACGCGACGTTCGCGCGGCCGTTACGCGCCACTCGACCGCAAGGCTGGTACAGAAATGTTACGACGCGTCGGTTCGAGATTCGCCCAACTCGGTTCGAACCGCCGATACTCCCGCATGTACATTCTCTTTCGCGCCCGTTCCTTTCGACTTTCTCCGTCCCGGCGTCATCTTCATACGCGGTACATCCTTCGAACCTGTACCAAAATCGATGCTTTCTAACACCGAGACTGATGTAAGGTCTGTCACAGAACGGTAGAAATCCGCCTTGGGAGGCAATCTTTATAGTTAGCCAAAGGTTAGCAAAACTTGGGGTTTTGTTAAATATTATACTGAGATGGTACATCGTTAGAAACAAGAAAGATCGTAGAGAGTTGGTTCGCCCTGGGTTTGCTAGTGGACACGTCAGTAAGGCTTTCTAGCAGGCCTTGTGTTAGACGAAGGAATTCTGGGTAGTCGAGGTGTCGGTCGACCGTTTGCGAGAGAGAAGAGCGCAGCCCTCTGGTGGCAAGTACGAGAGGTGACGCCCACAATTCGTTATATGTATGTGTATTCCTATATTACGAAACACACCTCTTTTCAGCGTGGAATATAAAAATCAAACTATGTCAATGATAGAATTGTCGGTTGCCTGATAAAAGGCCCATTAGTGTACAGAAGTAGTAGAACTTGATAGTCAAAATACGGTTATAAAGGCAAGTTTAACACGAAAAAGATGAACAACATAAGGACAAGGTGTTAAAAAAGTTTAAATACATAGTTTTTGAAAGATGCAAAAGTAAAGAAATCCAAAGTGGTACCATAAAAATTCACTATCAGAGATTACTTTCTTAAGAGATATTCTCACATCGACGTGTTGAAAAGATCTCCACCCCTATACAATAGCAAATAGCTCAATTAAGATCGTGTTTGGATGTTCCTTGCAACAGATATAAAAGTAGTTCACATCGACTCCGTCTTAATTAAAGTTTCAGTTATGCGAGGGTGTGTGTTCCCATGCGTTCTCGATCCTCCTGTTTCGTCTGGTCTCGAGTTTACGCGCGAAATGCGATTTACCGCGAGATTATAGCCGGACGGAAACTCGCCGACACCGCCCTCTCCTCTTTGCCGGTACGTTCGCGTTCTCCTCGATCGTAAACACTACGTCTAAATATACGCGCGTCCTTGGATCTTGCACAGAGATCTTTCGTTGACTTTGCTAGTAAGCGCACGCCACCAATTTTCGCCGCTTCCTCCGTGCATTCGCGCCCACCCTTTCCTTTTCGCCACTAGGAACCGATTCGATACCAAACGAGCCTCCCCCAACGTTCAGAAATCCCTCAACCCCTCGATTGTGCGTGCACAATTATTGGAAAAAATAAAAATAATAATTTTAGCTACGGAAGACAAAAGATTGGATCCATCAAGGGGGTGAAAATGACTCGTTTTGTCGCTTGATAAAAAAAGAACTTACAAATCATAATCGTAGGGAAATTTGGCCCAAAAATACTGCTATTTTAATACACATTAAATAGGCAATTTAACCCTTAAATGGATTATTGGGGTACGTCAATGTGGTTAT